AACTTTGAATATGCTATGATACAGTAGGAGTATTATGCTGGAATGGATACTATCTATGCGTTCCTATATCTAAAATGGCAGTCGATTAAAGCGACTGGGAGTTGCTGGGCGAGACGAGCGTGGGGTGTTGAAGCCTGAGCGATAGGGTGTCACCGGCCGAGAGAAAGTCCTGTTTCGACTTTCTCGTTCTGCACTGTACCGATTGAGGATGCGGACGATGTCCCGGGTGAGCATCTCGAGCTCTTTCAGCTCCTCTCGAGACATGGAGAGATCCTGGGTGACTTCGTCGTCCGTTTCTGACTCGGGAGCCTCCTCTCTAGGAAGAATAGGCAAGTTCGCAGCTCTAAAACTGCGTCGGCTCATGGTGATTCCCTCAAACACCCGGAGCATGCTGGATTCCATCAACGTCTTCAGCCGGTACACGTCGTCGAGGGTATCCAATTTGCCCACGATCGGGAGCCACCCGTCGCAGTCGATACCCCGTTGGTTCATCTCAAGCTTGTATGCGCCGAACAACATGTAAGTCAACGGGTCAAGCTTGGTGGTGGTCACGAGCATGGTTTGAGGCGTCGTCGACACGGTCGCGTTTTGTCGTTTTTCCATGAATGCGAACAACTGCCTGTTTTCTTGTTCATCCTCCTTGATGTGTTTTCGGTTGTTCACACTGGATGGGTGGATGAATGTCATCTAGCTCGATATGTCAGAGTGAGGAGAGAGCTGGGATGTGGATTACTGACCTTGTCCTGAGCGGTCCGGAAACTTTTGTCCCCAGTCTGGATCGCAAACTTGGGTTGAGAAGCAATGGCAATCAGCGCGGCAAGGAGAGCTTGGGAGCTGCCATTGACATTGAGCACAGGAGGAACCTGGAAGGACCGCCCCATCTGGGAGGCGGAAGAGGTGGTCCCCGCCGAGACATCTATGACCCCGATACGGAACAAGGATTGCAGCAGATGGGACTTGACTTTCTGAATCGTGAGGAGAGTAGGTTTCGACAGGAAGTTCTCCGAGCAGAACCGATTCGCGCTGACATATTCACCCCTCGATTGCATGGCCCACCAAGCATTGTACGCGGCAACAGCTGCAAGCGCATCAGACCGGAAAGTGGATGAACTCCATGACATCTTGGCTTTGGATGCCTCTGCCTTCAGATGCATGGGCGACACAAATGAATCGCGATTGGACAAGATCGCGGCAAGTGTCAGCGCTTGATCAAGGCAGCGGAAGAAGCACCCATACAACACAAGGCGGCCCAGCTGCACATCGACAGGAATCTGCAAGAGGACCCGGCCTAGAGATGAAAGGTTTTTGTGGGCGTCCAAGGCTCCAACCATCTGCAGGTCTTTCATGGCAGCTGCGACTCGTTCCGTCAGCGGGGGTTCGATGCAAGCAGCGAGCACATCCTCGACCGTCATGCCAGGGAAATTAAGTGCTTTCACATGCATGACGACGTTACTGAGATCCACCCGCTTCATTTCGACCGTTTGATATGGCTGCAGAGCATCCGCGTGCGATTTACCGATCAAGCCGTAGTAATCACCTGGTCGATGCCGGCCAGCACGACCAGCACGTTGATTGAGATTGGAGGATCCGACCCAGGCAGAAACCAGAGACGACATGTGCCTTTGCGGATCGTATCGCTGTTCCTTGACCTTGGCAGAGTCAACGACGTATACGACGTCCGGAATAGTCACTGAGGTCTCAGCGATATTCGTGGAGAGGATGATGCGTCGAACACCAGCGCTGGGCGGCTCAAAGATAACTTGTTGTTCGGCGAGAGGGATGGTCGAATGGAGGAGGTGAATCGAAAATTGCGAGCTATCGTTAAAATTAATGCCTAGTGGCCCTTTAGGGGTCAGGAGCGCCTTTTGAACAGCCGTTATGTCCTCCCATCCTGGGAGGAAGACCAGCACATGGCCGGAGTCAGTTAATTGTAGTACATGCGCCACAGTGGCCGCAACCAACGGAGCGGGGAGGTCCAAGTCTTCCTCCTGGCCAGACAAGGGAACGACCGACATCTCCCGATCGATGTACCTGGAGACGGATTGCTCGGACATGATCCAGGAGGCAGGTCCCTTGAGGATAGTGGGGATGAAGTCATTCATAAAATGCTTCTCGACTGGGAAAGATCGACCAGGGATGCTAATGACCCGCGCAGGTCGATTGTGATCATCAAGGAAGTAGTTCTGGAATAGGGTGGGATCGATAGTCGCACTCATCAAGATGACCTTCAGTGGAATGTTCCGGCGCTTGCGGTCCTCCATCAGCTGTTTGAGGACGACCAGTAGCAGGTCAGTGTCCACATCTCGTTCATGGACTTCATCAACCACAACGTGAGTAACATCATCCAACGGACGACCCTCTCGCCCGTCGTTGCTCATGCTCGATTGCATCCGCTTGAGGAAAACTCCGGTTGTGCAGAACGTGATGCTCCCGTTTTCCTCAGGTAGCTTGGCCTCGAATCGCACTTGATACCCAACCGAATTCCCGACAGTTTCCCCTCGTTCTTTCGCGACACGATCTGCCACACTGAGCGCTGCGAGACGTCGAGGCTGTGTGCAGACGATATTACACGAAGCGCCTTGACCTTCCTCAATGAAGCTGTCCAGGATCAGTTGCGGGATCTGCGTTGTTTTTCCAGAACCAGTCGCAGCCATGCAGATAGTTACATCGTTATCCTTGACGTGGGCGAGAAGTTCGTCGGCTTTGGTGAATACGGGAAGTGACATTCTTTGCTTCCGGAGGTTCTCCAACTTGCTATTCTCGAGGTAATCATTGCGTGCTTGGGAAAGTCGAGCTGATTTGGCCTGTGCCATCTCAGGGTCAAACCGGCGATGAACCCGAGGTGCTGTGGCAATAGCTCCGGCAGTATGTGGGGCCTGGGCGCTGACGACAGGTCTTTTCCGAAAAAGTTGACTCTTCCTGATGTCCACGCAAAGATCACGAACTTCATCGTCGAGCTCCTCGCTCATCTCGAAAAAGACTCTGGGCGCCATTCCCAGAGCAGTTCCGTCCAAATCCGCTTCAACGTAAGCCTTCCATAGTTCCGGGTCACAGCTCTCCAGATATTTCGTCACATCCAAGTAGCACGCTGTCTCTGCGTTCTTCTTGTTGCCAGCTTTGCCGATCCCAATCCTGCGACCACCGACCTCCATGAATGCCCCCCATCCCGATCGACTCTCTTCTAATTTGATGTCTGGTCGCTCAAACCCGAACTTCCGGCAATAGTAGTCCATGAATGCACGCGCTTGGTCGACTGTCACGACAGTGCCGTCTGAAAGAGCGGTGGTCCGAGGTGCTTCTGCTTTCGCTTTCGGAGGATTATCGAGCTAATCCAGTGAGCGAAAACTCGTCAGAGAAGAGAGAGACATACAGTTCCTAACTGATTCAACTGATATGCAAGTGATAGAGCTGCTGTAGACACTGAATTTGACTTGTTTGTGTCGTCGCCGATTCCAGTCAAAGGTGGGGTGGTCTCCAACTGAACGGTAGTTCTATTGAGATATCAGACGCGTCCCTTCACAATGAAACTATGACTGACCTCCAAACTTCACGACCACCCACCACCACTTGGCCAGTCTCGTACTGAGGGATTTTACCCAAGACTTGTGCTGCCCAGTTGTTAACTGAACTTTTCGGAGCGGAAAGATGTTTCGAAGATAGTTTGACTCTGCCTCCATGTTGTGACTCGACGTATGCACTGTCATGAAGCGGGCCCTCGACGACTGGATACTTCGGCCGGGAAGGTTGTGGGGGTGCGCGTGAAGAATGGCCCTTATTGTGCCGGAAGGAAGATGGTCGACGCGAAGACGAGGAAGAGGGATGCGCTTTTTTGTCCGGCATCTTGGAGGAGGAGATAGACGGGGAGTTGTGGAAACGTGGAAGTTTAGAAGTGGAAGGGGAGTCGATGATTGGAGGTGATGATTGAGCAAAGGAACGTTTCACAGCAGTCGATGCGTCTCTCTTGTGCTTCTCAAATTGCATGAGAAGGCGACGCCTGTGCTGGACGATCAACCCAAAGCTCATAGACAGGGACAGAGAACTGGTCAAGCAAAGAGCAAGTGTGACAGTATCTTCGTCACGCAGGATTTTTTACTTTCTCGGTCCGAATCTAGTCGCATAGATCATGTCTATCTCACAGAACAAGTGGACTGAGATAGTATCAACTCCCTATTTCTTCTGCCTTTTGCTTAGCAGCCACGTCTATACTTTCCAGATACTTTAAACGGACAGCCTCCTCTTTGACCTTGTCCCAAGATCCAGACCCCACAGCACTTGCTAACTCTTCTACCGTCCGGTCTATGGTTGCTGTCAACGGGTCGATGGTCAGTCAATCCCCGAAGTTAAGTATCGCGCACCTCGATTTTGATCGGCAACAAGGGAGAGCGCTGTCGAATCCTCTGCTTCTTCAATGTCCTCTCGTGTCTGCATTATCTCGGTGATGAAATCAATGTCTTCCAAGGTCTCGTGCTCAGATATTGGCATCCCTTGCTTCTCAAGCAAATACTCCGCGCGACGGAGAGGATTTGAAAGGGTCTGATATGCTTCATTGAGACGAGATGAAAGACCTTGCGCGATGTCTTGCTTATGCTGGACATTCTGAGAAGCTTGCCACACGGGATGCCTTGTGACGCACTTGGCCCTTGGAAGTCCAAGAATCGGGATGGCACGCTGCCTGTGCCTCTCGAAACCGGCGCTTCAGGAGTGTCTGGTCGATGACGAATGGATTGGGAGAAATTGGAAGATTGAACAAGTCATGATGGGCCGTCGTTGGGGGAACAGGCGAGATTGAGCCACACTGGCTGCATGCAGGCAAGGCTGTTGGTAGAGAATGCGAGCATGTTGAGCAGCGGGCTGCTAGTGAGCTGAGAAAGCGGGCATGAATTCGCATCATCGCGGCTTGAAGGAAAGAGACTGTTCGGCAATATCGGACATCCGGACCTGCGAGTATGACATCATAATACTCTAAGTACTGCTTCGCTTCTTCGGCACGCTAGAACGTCAATGTCCCTTTCTCCATCTCCACGACCACCACCGACTGAAGTCTCATCTTCAGACTTGAAAGCTCTCGTTGATTCACGTCTCACAAAGCCCAAATTCGGTTTCCTGCGACCTAAAAGACGCAGCACGTCCTCGGTCCAATCTAGTTCATCACCCAGCCTCGCTACCACCCAACTTTTTCCACCACCGGGCTCCGATGCGGTAATTGACGTCGGCCCTTCCTCAAACTATTCCATTGAAGATGAACAATACCGCTGGGCTGTAGTTTTTGAGGTGAGCGCCTCCCACTCTTGGCGAGGTCTGGTACTGTCTGCCCTCTTACACGGTTGCCAGAACCAAAGAGGTCTCAGAATCGGCTCATCCCTCTACTTTTCCCGGTCTTCTCTTCTACCGATAGATCCTCTGCCATTCACCGCTCCTGATGCCGACCCTCGTCGATCTCGACAACCAAACTTCACTCTGGCGATGTATCCTCTCCCTGATGGCGCATGGGCATGGTTGTCTCCCTGGATGGTGGATATGCGCTCGGACTCTGGAGAGGTACAGCTAGACGGCTTCGAATACAATTGGGCTTTCCGAGAACATAAATGGCACCCTCAGGCTGGAGCTTTCAGTTGGGTCAGGCGGAGGCGATGGATGCGTCTGATGGTCCGACCGGTCACGCCACAGCTTTCAAAAACCACGGAATCATCTACTCCTCTCAGTGTTCCAAATAGCGTCTCAAACAGCGCTGTCAAGAAGCGAATGTCGATGCTGTCGTCTGGGTCTCCTTCCATGCCAGAGAGCAACGCAGAAGACGATTCGTATTCCGCTTCTATGCTTGAGAGAGAGTTGGAACTCATTTGGATGGACGACAATGCCGAGGTGAACTGGGATAGATGCCGTTTCGCGACGAGATGTGCGGGACGGGATGGTCGCATCCTCGAGTTGTGGGCGAGATGGCTGGGCTACACGCCACCTGAGGGCACCAAGCGGAATCCAAAGAGGCAATGGACGGAAGACGATGATGATATTCCATGCCCTGCGGTCCCTGATCCGGTTTCTGTCCCTCATACACCTCCGCCAATAGCCCATATCATCCCTGTCCTGCGCGAACATGTCAGTAGTCTCAACAATCCCACATGTGTTGAGCTAACTTACTGCCAAAGACCCATGCGATTCTTCAGTCCTTCATATTCCCCGAGTCTCGGGCCAAGTTTGTGAAGATGCTCGATACTGTGGGCGTTTTGTCGCAACTGGAAACAGGAATCCGCTCGATTTCTTCCGAGGTCAACTTCTTCAGCTACTTGAATCCCAGCACCGAGAAGAACGATGGAAACATAATCCCGCCCAAAGCAGCCATGACACGGGTGTGATAAGCCAGTCATAACTTATTCGATTGGTCGCAACACCGACGGCCGGGTTCGACATCAACCCTAGGTACACACCCAATTGGTTTGCTGTCCCGTAGTCTAATACCCTTGTATAATAATATACCTACCACCTTCGTTATCCGGCGCTTCGTACGTCTTCGTACAGCGCCGGTGCACACAAACCATGTATTCAGCCATCAAATTATATCACATGCTTGATGTCGCGCTTCATCGTACGCTTCGGTCTTGACCATGTCAGAGGCTGCTCGACGGCCATCCGAGCTGAGGCCCAATGTCTGTCGACGCTTATTGGGCCTCCTAGAAGGGCTGGGCAGCATTATACCCCAAAATTCGTCACATCCAACCCAAGTCGCCATCCGAACTTACACACTGGCGCTTTGCCTGTCTCTCACTCCCGCTCTCGCCCCATTCCTGAAACGATCGAAGAAACACGACTTGAATGAACTAATACGCGTCCTCTCACGCGAATTTGGAGCGACAGGTTTCGCCTTCTCCATTACGGTCGCCATCGGTGGTGGTTCATTCATTCGAGAATTTTGGCGACTTCTAGATGGTTCGGAGTGGGATCTCTCGGAAACACAAAATCCGCTATCCAACTCCGCCGCGTGGATAAAAGAACGGCTCAAATACATGCGGGTATCATCGGCGCAGAAGACGTTCATCAGCAACATACTTTCCACCTCGGCGGGCCTCTGGCTCCTGCAAGCAGGGCGTGCACGATTCCGATCGACCAAGGGTGGCTCAAAAACGCTGGATCTGACTCTCCTGGTGTTTGTCCGCGCTCTCGATGCTGCTGTGCAGTCATTTGTCGCAAGGAGATCGGGTAGCCGACGAGAGAGTGATGCAGGGGACACCAGCTTTACGCGGGCCCCTCGAGACGAAGCATATACCAAACGTCAACTCCTGCGAACACGAATAGACGCCTTCGTGTTCTGGGCATGTAGCGCTCGGTGAGTCCGAGCAACTAAGATCCGCAGCCGGTGATGGGTATAACGTCGTCCAGGATCATGTGGTGCTTTTTCTATGCACCGCAGAGGTTGCCCAAATCATACGTGAAATGGATCAATGCGCTGGCGAATGCCGATACTCGCCTGCTCGACGCACTCCGGGCCATACGGACGAAGGATTGGCTGTACCGCAAGGGTCCGCCCTCCCCGCTTCTTACGACTTATGCTCGAGATCTCGGATACCCTGCCTCATGGGGCGATCCTATCCAGCTGCCAGCCTTTGGCCACGAGGCCGATCAAGCCTGGAGAGCATTAGGAGTCACGGGACGTGCCGGTGTCGCCGGGATACCGTGTCAACTTGTCCATGGCACAGTGGGATCCAGTTTGGGTCTGTCGCACAGCTGCACCGCCAATGCTGGTCTTCGAGGGTTGGTTGCTCTGATGGAGGCTATCGTGCTGTATCTTCCGGTGAGCTCCGAGCGCTTATTTTAGCCAGCTTCTGAAGAAGTCAGGTGCAATTTGTGCCGATTCTATTGAGTCGACCACGATCTCTCTTGGATCCCCATCGAACCTTGGAGTCTCTCCTAGGTGTTTTCCGCAGCGCGACGTTCCTATCTACATTTGTGGCATCATACTACTATGCTGTCTGCCTAACTCGCACACTTGTGCTGGCTCGCCTGTTTCCCTCTATTTCTCACAACTTCTGGGATGGCTCATATGGGTGTATTCTCGCTGGATCTTTGGTCTGCGGTTCAAGCATCTTTCTCGAGAACGGGCGCAGAAGGGGCGAAATGGCGCTGTATGTCTTGCCCAAAGCTGTCAGGGCATGTCTTCCCCACGCCTGGTTGCGTGGATCCAACCGCAGTGTTCGTATAGTCGAGCAGTGGGTCTTCTGTCTCTTGTTCCGGTCCGTGCTCACGGAGTTCAGGCTCGCGTTTGTGCTGTCCTTGTCCTCTTTGTTGACAGCAGCAAATCACCATCCGTATGTTCTACGGGGGCTGTCCAAGTGGGGACTGCGATTCATCGTGCGAGGCCCAGATGTGGCTTCTGTGCTTCGCGCCAGGTCCAAGACCAGCGAGGGAAACGAGTAGACGGCGGCTGTGTATTTAGGCCCGCCAGAGATGCAATTTGTGATCATAGAATGAACAACTGGCCACGGTTGTCGCCGCATTTGCGTCCGAAAAGGACCAGTCTGCTCCATACGCCAAAGAGGTGTGACGGTCGAATCTCGTCACGATCGCGGGATCCCCTGCGTCAAAGCGGACTAATTTGAATCCGTCGTGCATACAAGCCACCAGCAAATCGTCTTTTCGCTCCGGAGACGGGTGCCATTTTACCCTCCATACACCCCCGCCGACGTCTGACTGTGCGAACGGAACCGACGGCTTGCGTTTGTCGAACAACCGGACCGTGTTGTCGTAGCTGAGCGACTTTTGATTCACGTCTGCATTTGTTGTAAAGCGTGATCAGCTCACCTTCCCACGGCCAACTGATTCTCCTTGTGTGGATGGCTTTGTATCGTGGTGACACCCGCATCGAATCTTCAGACAACGAACTTCAGTCAGATGCGGGTCGGCGCTGCTGCTGTAAAAACAAGCCTCTTGTTTGTGAATGTAGGCTGCGTAAACCCTTGGCGTATATCCCATGCCTTGAGCTTCAGATCGTCGCCGCCTGCAATGGAGCCATCAATGGAGGATTCGGGTGACGATGGGTTGATAGAGACGGGCCTGAGTATATCACGTTCGCATCCCAGTAGTCCCAAGCAGCAATCCACGGCTCAAAATCATGTGCGTGCCACGTGTCCACAATCGCGAGCCCGCTCTCCGACCCTTCAATTGGACGCAGCAAGCAGAGCGCTCCATTGGACAGAGACACCACCATCGAGCCCCAGTCGCTTATGGGCGGACGTCAGTTACGTTTCCGCCGACCGGACTGAGCCAGCCACCTTGGCGTTCTTCGATTCGACCAGTCCAGAGAGAGGGACAGCACATTTTGCGGAGCACAGGATAACGATGAATGGCTTCGCAGCTGGACTGGTCGGTCAGTGGCTGGCAGCGCCGATGTGGGTCGGTTACCTTTCCCTCCTGCCATTGATGCAGGGACACATTCCCTTCGGAGTCGGCGATTCCAAGGAGTGGAGCTGAGGATGGAGGTGTATGGCACCTGCGGCGATTAAACTAAGAAACTGCCCAGATCAACGAGGTACCATTTCATGTCGGGAACGGCTGGCAAGTTGATAGCTTGCACCTGGTTGCTAAGATTCCAGATAAGATGGCTGGGTGTTTTTTAACTTTCAAGATCCCCCTACAGAGCCAGGGTCGGATTTTCTGATATCTTGAAAAGGAGACATTGTCCGATCCTTTTTTGAGTCGAGTCCTCCGCTGTGGGGGCATCTTTCACGAGATTATACGTCCCACAGACGAGCAGATCGCTTGCACTCGGATGCGGGCAGAATTCCACGGAATCGGCGGGGTAGATCGTGTCGAATTCCACAGAGTCGGCCATGTTGAGTCGCGCGCAAGCGTAGATTGATTATGATGCAGTCGCGTGATGACATCATCAAATTCTCTCTCTCATTGACACCCACCTAACTGCGGCTTCAGCTGCGCATCGTCTCGTCTCGTTACCTGCACCCAAGAACCACTCGTTAGGAATACAAGATGGACTTTGTTCAAGGCCTTGACCCGTCCAAGCTCTCGCTGGCTCTAACAGTGCGTGTGGAAGTCCGTCTGAGGTTCCATCTGCGTCTCACCGTCTCGACGCGTCCAGGCTCTGTCTTTCTTTCTATCCCCCTTTGCTTCTCCGCCGTACAACCTTCCTGTCATGCTCTTTGGGACTTTGGTCCAGCAGCAAGAAGCCGGCGTAGGTCAGGCGCTCCATATCGTAAGTCACTGCACGCAACTGTCGCTTGATCTCGCTTCAACTCTTGCAGTTCACAGGTCCGTAGTTGCCGCAATATGTCTCGTACGCGATGCCATTCCTTACACAGCTCTTCTGGGCGCGTCCATTCCCTTTGACATCATTTGGATGATTGGGAACTCGCAAAATGGCTTTATTCGGTTCCTGTCGCTCCTGCTCGTCCTCCTCAAATTGCCGGCCTTCATCTCTTTCGGACTGGGTGCGATGTCTTGTGCTTAAACTAAACAGCGTCGCTTATTGCTTGCCAGCATTGCGCCAGCGCGGTGGCGGTCTTGGATTTGGCTCCCTCAATATTCGGGGAAATGATCTCGGTGGTGCCACTGGTGCGTTCTGACGAAGCCTTCCGATCAGATAACTCGACTGACCACTATAAAGTATGGGATAGTATGCCTGGAGGCTTCGGCTCCGTCGGAAATAACGGATACCAGAACTTCGACGACGAGCGACCCGCTCAGTATTCGAGACCGACTGCACCCGCTCCGGCAGCCGCCCAAACGACTCCTCCTCCCCAGGCAGCCCAACCGGCAGCCCAACCGTACCAAACTGTGTAACAGTAGATGTTCTCATAGCGTTATATGTCAGCTTCGAGTAACCTGGCCAGATTCTCTAGGAAATCCAACTTGTGAACCGCTTTCGTTCGTCTGTACATCCAGGAGCAATCCAGTGACTCGCACTCGATGGGATCGCCTGCTGGGGAGTTTGAGCATGACCCACAGACCTGATGTGCTTCTAAAACTCGTTTCTCGCCCTTGCGAATCTTGAACAGAATGCCGGGCAGTGCTCTTTGGGGGTCGACCGAACATTCCGAGCATAACTCTGAAAAGATTATTTCGTCCTGAATCCGGGATACAGCAGCGCCGGACGGACCTTCATATGCGGGGGCTTCACAGGCAACGCAGACCGAATTGTAAAAGTGCTCGTAGATGTTGTTTCCGTTGTCTTCAATCTGGGCAGCCTTGGCTTTGCTGGGCGACAGCAACTGTGCGTCCACCGACTTCGGCCTCGGCATGTCCATGTACCATTTGCGGACGTCGGCTCCGGTGAGGCTGAGGATTCGATCCAGAGGGGGGATGAGCACGCGTGTGATGTAATAGTCGGCGTCGAGGTGCAGATGCCTAGCGCAGAGTGAACATGAGCCCATAAGCAGAAGGAAAACAGCGCGGTACCGATTACGGAGGATGTCGAGCGGTGCGACCACTCTGTCGACCAGCCGAGAATCCGGAGGACCGGTGGAGATGACATAGGGGACCCGTTCGCTGTACTGAGGTTCTCTATTTTCGATGACGGCTTGTTTAGCGGCAAGAGCGACGCCTGGAGGTGGCGGGCCGTTGTTGCTATACGTCCCCATCCGTACTTCTTTGGCGAATGTGAAGTCCTCCACCGAGGCTTTACCCTCGAGCAGCTTGGCCCATGACCTGCCTGACGATTAGCGAGACGTTAAGCGACGGCTGCAGTTCACAGCACCGGTAGCAGTAATCCTTGATCTCGCTGAGATCTTGTGTGCGAAACAGCATTCTGGGAAAGTGGATGTGCACATCTGGAATCGCATGGCTGGATGACGCACTTGAGACAGGTTTCGGTCATCTTCCTCTGGGCCAACACGCCGTCGCGCCGGACCGTTTCAATGCCCTTTGCGTCGAACACGGGCTCAACGTCGTCTGGATGCTCGTACTTGAATCCGACATAGCGTTTCTTCGCGAGCAATACACATGGGAGATAGACCTAGCATTTGATGAAGCCCGACGATGCAACGGTGGAATCAGAACCAGCTCTACCTTTTCAAACTTGAGTTTGATGGGGACGGGATTGCTGCGAGATCGTTCGTCACCGCTGTCTCGAGAGATGCCACTTGTCCTTCACCTGCGGGTTATCGTCTCTGCGATTTCCTGACCAATACGGAACGCTTGATCTTTCGTTCTCCCTGGCAAGTTTCTTCAAACATGTGAGATTCATATTGTAATTGTAAAAATCACTCAACACGAAGACGGAGTCGGTATCGCCGTAGACAACCTGTGCCCCCCACTTTTCTGTGCGATTGATTGTGTCGATTGCCTAGGACGATGAGCAAATATGATCAGACGCGGAATCGAACGACGAACCCTCTCCAAGGTCTCCCTCCCACTCTGGACGATACTTGGACAGATCAGCACACTCGCCTACGACAGATGAGATGGCGAACCAATCAGCGATTTCCACAGCAGGCATCCGACCTGAGAACGATGCGCTGGTGTACCCATAAGTGACCTGGTTCATAATCAGTGAGACACAGCTTGGGGGCGAATTCCCACATACATTGGCGATAAATTTCAAGCCCAGTTGCCTGGCATCGAGCACGCGCTTCAGAGCCTTGTCATTTTTGATCCCTTTCATGGCCTGTTTGACCATCACTCGCGTGTCCAGAAGCTCAACGAGCATCCGCCCCAGCAAGCCCTGCCGCACTTGCGGTTTCACAAACATCATGCCAGTGGGGCTCACTGACATCGTCGATCAGCTCGACCTAGTTTGACTGACGCATTGCTCTTGCACTCACCGGTGATGTGCTCCTTGAGCTCTTCAATGACGCCGGGCCGGAGATCGAGGTCGGTCACCCCAAATTTCTGGCGCCCTTGGAACTCTTGGATACGACCAAGAAAAGTCGAATAGCAATACTAGGCCTCGATGTTCAGTGTTGTTATCCACTCAAACCAACGGAGACATTTACGTTGTTGGCAATCATAATAGACGGATACAAGCTCTGGAAATCGAGTACCAGCGTTGGACTTGTGTAGAACGCGGACTGAGGCTCCATGATCAGTGGCATGGCCTCTGCTGCATTCTGCCGTCCAACCTGTAGCAAGTTACAGAACGGACGGTCTGCGTCACAGTGACTTACGTCTTGTTTACTAGGGGAGAGAAGCACGAAGCTCTCTGGTTTCGCTATGCGGAACATGAAGCTTTCGACTGCGAAACGGTCAGCTGTGATCGAGATATCTCGACAAGAGCGGGCCACCTTTGAATTGAGATCCTCGACTGAGCACAGAAAAGAAATCAACCCCGAACACACGGGCAAATTCCCTGGTTGATGTCAAGGGCGACGAGGCTGACCAGTAGACAGCGCTCACGCGGTCTTGGTGATCACTTCCGTCTCATCCAGCAGACGCAGTACAATAAAGGTTCTGTCCAAGAAGTAGGCAAACACTTTCGCTCTGTGGGCGAAGACCGAGTCCTGATACCAAGACCGCAGCGTGGCGGGGTTGTATTTAGGAATTCTGTGAGAGCGTAAGCTCGCACGAGAACAGTAAAGAACCAATGCTGCGCCCACCTCTGGTGAAGCACATGGAACACCACGTTCTCGAAAGAGTACGTATTGAGCGTAATCTCGACGCGCATCACACGCCACAGATTTAGAACATGGCGGCCTACGATCTTGAAGGTCGATGTATGCCTCACATCCCACTGGGACTGGTTGTCGACCTGTTTGGAGGGTGCACGATTGAGCAGATCAATGATATCAAGACCTGGATTCAGCTAAGATGATAGCACGACACGGCACAACGGGGAGCAAACCATGTTCACCAGCGCGAGCGCTCAGATAGCCCCATGAGGACGTCTGGATCTCCCACCCCGTGAGAATGTCCGGATCCAGCTTCAGCACAAGGTCCACGATGTGATTCAGAAGGTCCAGTTCGTCGGTTACGCAAGTGACATCGGAAGCGAACTTTTCCTGTTGGTCCGAAGTCATGACCATGCCGCGAGACACGGATGAATTTCCGTCTTGAAACGCATAGAAGGCAGCGACGATCGCGTCTGTTTCCGAAGAGGGATGCTTCAATGACGGTGCTGGGAAACCGATGAGCAGATGGCCCATCCATCTGGGCTTGCACATACCGTACACCTCTAGAGCGAGGATGGTCATGCTTTGTTTCTCGCGGACTGAGTTAACAGTATCTCCCTTGACAGCCAGTGTCTTCAATCCATAGATGTTAGCCATCGTCGGGCCTTCGATCTTAGCTTGGACTCGTATGAGTCAATCGCGCTTCGAAAGCATGCTCACCTGAGAGCGCGCGCTCCCACGCCTCTTCGCGGTTGTTTTCCCGCGCTCGGACAGCAACCAGTTCTTGACCTGTCTAGCACTGGGCGGGCTCTTCGCATACTCCCACCCCCCTGGAAACACATCCGTCGGCTCCCGGTAGTCGTTGTCCACTGGCTGGTGCCCCTGCCATTCGTCCAAGTACTCGGTTGTATCGCTGCTGCCTGCTAGGTGGAAGATGAACCCTCCGTATTCGCGAGGCTTATCTGGCACGTCAGCGTCGATCGAATAATAGGGGCTTTGATAGAGCTTGGTGGCTATGTTGAACGTATCGAGCGTATTCGTCAAGTCGAGCACTGACGGGGCAGGCAGAGAATAAATGTGCTGATTCAGGCTGACCCTTTTGCTTTCTCCCGCGACGATCGTCATGGCTTTGTGCGCCGCGATCCGACCTGTCGGGAAAGACATCCGGCTGGTCTCGAGACGGCGTTTCTTCTGTGGCGGTTCGCTCGTGACATCGAAAGACGGAGATCGCGCTGGACTGGGCGAGACATAGGATCAGCTTCCATACGCACGAGATCGCTTTACCTGTTTCCCGTTAGTTGCAGAGCTTCAACGTCCTGCGAGCTCGGGCTGCATGGCCATCAGATCAATCAACTTCTGTAGTTGTGCGCGCACTCACCGCGAGGGAGAGGGCGGATCTTCGAATGCGGCGAGGTGATCCAAATCAGGAGGACTGTCGCGTGGCTCAAAAACACATTCCAGCGGTGATCAGTCACACTTGCCTCGATAATGATAATACCTCTCCGGCAAGGTCGCTTTGAAAGGGGTCCTCACTGCAGCGATAGGCTCGTCAGTTTTCTTCCGTGCGCCGTAGCATATCATACATGCATTGATTCCGCCTTCACTTTGTCGTCGTCAGAGTCTGGATCACTCTCTTCTTCCAGAAGGCTGCCCAGATCCTCCTCTCCGTCCTGCTCTTCGGGCGGGGGGCTATCGTGGTTTAACTCTCGCTGCCATTCAGCTTCTTTCTGGACGAGCTGGCTCAGGTGATCGGCCGAAAAAGACTCGTCGATATCGATGTCTTCCTCAGGCTCAGGGTCGCCTTCGAGAGCCTCAGCTTCGTGGGCAGCGGGTATCACAGGCTTCCATATTCTCCAGGGGTCCTCCCACAGTGCTTCGATGCTCTCGAACGTAGTCATAACCCAATTTTCCCAGTCGTTCTGCGTTTGTGGTGTGGGGACGAGCGACCGCTCGGCTTCAATGCGTTGGTGCACTTGCTGCCACCAGCGTGCTTCTGCAACCCATTCACTTCGCGCGCTTCGAGATGATTCGCTCGGGTCTTTGGGCATCTCAGGAGACGGATCTTGCCCCCGGGCGATTCGGCGTTTTCGCTCGTCGTCCCACAACTCGCGAACACTCAGCACCAGTGGCTCCGATGGAAGGGTTGGGGGCCCCGGAGCGGTGATCACAAGTTTGTGATGAATGTTTCGAGCGCCGATGCGATGTCGATTGAGAATATGACAGCCTGCGGCATCTACTTCTAGCGGCATCTTCGTTTGCCTCACATAGGGCGAAGGGTCCCAGTCAAAACTAGGCACATCTTCGTCATCGTCGCTCCGGGTCTGCTCTCGTTGCAGGACATGGCTCAGTTCTAATGTCCCGCATCCATAAAGCCCGAAGTCGGCCATAAACTGCAAGGTGAAGCTGAGATGGCTTTCAAATATCCGGAAGTGTGTTCTAAGAACTGATCCGGAACGCATGATGGTCACAGCGCGATTATAGAAAGCGGGATCGTTGATGTAGACTTTGAGGAAGGGAGAGTATGCCGAGTGAAATCCATAAAAGTGGACGCCTGAAGAAACGTCAGGACAACAGTTTCAACCATCTTAGAGAACACCGGCCTTTCACTAGGATGATGCTGCGCACAAAGTCCGGTTTATAAGAGTCCAAGTCCCTTTTCAAAGAAAGAGCAATTGAATGATTGAGGGAATGTTTAAGTTTGTGGATGTAACGGTTGACTTTCCCAGGTGTCAGCTCGCCGATGTATCACTATTCAACAGAAACACGGACCGTGGCGAATCCGTAATTTGCCGTCGTATTCAACGAAGAAATAGGGATACACTTGATGTACATGCACACAGCAGTTGACTCCGGCCGAAGATGACCCATAGACACGAATCACGGGAACTTGGAAAGATTCAGAGTTGTCTAGTGGTCCTGGTCGCGTCACGTAGTGATCGATCTGCAGACCAAAGAATTTAGATAACGGATGGGACGAGATAGCGAGGTCATATGCACTTGATTGACTTGTACTTGTAGAATGGACGCCATCAAGACATGGTTGCGGGGGTCGTTGCGGACAAGTGTCACAATGGGTGTCACGTTATTAGCGCGTCAACGTCACATGATCGAGCCAAGGTAGGCTGTCAACTTCGGTTTCCAACCTCAATTTGGGAAGTTGCAAAGGTAACACGGAGTTGGACTTCTGATTGCACAAGAGTGACAAGTAAACTTGGCTTTAAATTTGATAAATCTACATTGATGATCTATGTGTTGTTACATTCGACTTGATTTTCTAATCTATTGTGTTTCTGCGACTCACTGATGCCGTCTGGCATGCTGGATGACCGACATGACTTGCTTCCCAGACCAGGTCATTCCGGGAGCCACCTTGGAAAAGCCCCGGACGTGACCAGGCTCGCAACAGATGAATTTCTCCCTACAAGTTGCATTATCATCAAATTACCGAAGGTCACATAGAAAACGCACCAGCCTCCCTTCTCCATATCTCCAATCTTGCTTCCAGCTTCGGCTTGAGGATTCCAGACAACCACATCTTTCAGATTGGTCGTTTTGATGGCGATGCCAGAGCCTGGCCACGTAATTTCGTAATTTTGTGGAGCATCTTGGTAAACGGAATCGGTAAACTTCTTGACATCCACGCCAGCTCTGCTTTCGATCTTGCCAGTGGCCTTTCCTTCGTCAGTCGCCTCCGTCTTGTCAAAATACGTAAGGTTTTGCAAGGGGGTAACCCGGACGTCGCCGACGTCAGCTGGGGCAACGAGAATGTAATTGTGGAAGAGGGCTTGGAATTCGAGATAATTCGGAGTAGAATCCGTAGCAGTCGCAGTGTTTTTGACGTGCAATTCCGTGGAAAGGTCATATTCACCCAGCGAAACCTCAAAGGTAAGATGGAATGGACGCTCATAGATTGATCTGATAGCTTCGGTGGGCTCAAGGGCTAGGGAGGACATTAAACCAGGCACAATGGTCGGTAGCGGCTGTCCACTTACTAAGGGTAACAGCGACCCTGCCGTCTTCCTCTTTAGCGACTTGATCCCAAAGCCAGATGGAATTCCGCGCAAAGCCATGCTGTCAGATAGAATGAATACAGTCGCTCAACGCTGACAGACTGTGGCAGTGGCCGCATTTACTTGGGAAAGCTTCATGTGTTCAGGGTGTGCAGGGGCTCCAAAGCACGGGAATACGACAGGAACACCGCCTCGGACTGGTTTGCTCCCTGTTACGAGTCTCAGGATAATTAAAACGCGCCAAAAGGGGAAGCCGCGCCGTCCAGGAAAGCTGTCGAAGACACAAACAACCGCTCCGTCGGAGTGGAGTCCCCTGCAGAGGGACTTTTCCAGGATAGGATCGTAGCACCGTATAGAAGCAGTTCAACTGATGAGCCCTGAGCAAGAGGAGATTGAGCATTCCGGAGATCGTGAAAGAGGGATGGGCTACTTTAGGATGCTTCAAGACGATTTTGGCCATTGTATGAGATCGCTCAAGTGACTTGAATGGAGACGCCTCTGAGATACGAACATGAGTTTGGAAAGGGGGCGGGGTCAGTCCGATGGGTCGCTGTTGGACCACACTCACAAAGTTCACCGCGTGCGGGGAAGAGTGATAACAGTTACACGTGATCAGAATCTCTCTTGGTGTGGCCAACGCGCATCGCCGTTGTCCCAAGCGTCGAACACATTTCAACCCACCTGCCTCCTCTTTGAAATCCCTTCATCTACGCAGAATAAGCTACCGCCATGGATACCGGTGATGACGTGGGTCGTTCACTTCCATGGAGTCGTTTGATACTGAAAGCACTGTCCAAGATTGCGCCGATTGCCATCCTCATGGATGAGCTCCGTTCTGAAGACGTCCAGCTCCGTTTGAACGCCATTCACAGTATACCAACAATTGCACTGGCTCTCGGCTCCGATCGTGCACGCGACGAGCTCGTGCCGTTCCTTCAAGAATCGGTTGATGACGAGGACGAAGTTCTTCTCGCCTTGGCGGAGGAGCTGGGCCGCAATTTCGAGCAGTACATTGGCGGGAAGGAATACGCGCATATTTTGCTCACTCCTTTGGAGAATCTGTCTGCTGTGGAAGAGACATTGGTGCGGGATAAGGTCAGTCCTTGTCCGTGAGGGGCACGCCCTTGCACTCACTTATCTTGAGGCCGCCGAATCCATCACGAAAGTAGCCAGTGTGCTTTCTCAGGCTCAAGTGGAGGAATTCTATATTCCTCTCCTGAAGCGATTGTCCCAAGGAGAATGGTTCACATCGAGGACCTCTTCTGCCGCCTTGTACGCTGCTGTGTACGCCAAGGTCTCTCCCCCCATTCAAGACGACTTGAGAACAGCCTATATGGCTTTGGCCTCGGATGACACTCCCATGGTGCGGAGGGCGGCTGCGAAATGGCTTGGGGTGCGTCTCTGCTACTGATTATAACGCCGAGTTGACGAATTATCTGCAGCAACTTGTCGCCGAATTCTCCCCTGAACACGTTCTCATAGACGGACTTGCCATCTACCGTAGACTCCAGAATGACGATCAAGATTCCGTTCGGTTGCTCACCGTCGAGGATTGCATTGCATTGGCGAAGAGGATGTCTCCGGCTGACGTCAAAGAGCAATTGGCCAAGTCTGTGCGCACGAATTCGACTGATAAAAGCTGGCGTGTTAGATACATGGCTGCCAATCACTTCAACGAGGTTTCGCTGGCTTATTTCCTAGCTTCAACGTCTGACCTGATGTCCACAGATGGCTGATGCCGTCGGTGCCGAGCTAGTGCGAGAAGAACTCACTCCGCAATACGTTCAACTACTCAAAGACAACGAAGCCGAGGTCAGGACTGCTGCAGCGGGACAGATTCCGGGTATCAAATTCCACTTGAGCTTGTGCATGCGCTGATTAGTTCGACAGGCTTTTCCAAGCTGATAGAGAAAGATGTGATCCTGGCCCGGATTGTTCCCTGTGTTCGAGATCTCTCTCAGGACACTTCGCAGCATGTTCGCGCCGCTCTGGCCACTCAAATCAGTGGCCTGGCTCCTCTGCTTGGAAAGGAGTCCACCATCGAGCACCTTCTTCCGCTTTTCCTCCACCTTCTCAAAGACGATTTCCCCGAAGTGCGACTGAATATCATCAGTAAATTGGAGACCGTCAACAACGGTTTGTTGGTCTCCCTGCGCGTTGCTCTCGTTACTGACGTCATACCAGTGATCGGGATCGAACTGTTGTCTGAAACCTTACTGCCTGCGATTGTCGAGCTCGCCGAAGACAAGTCATGGCGAGTTCGTCAAGCAATCATTGAATACATACCCTTGTTGGCCACCCAGCTCGGAAAACCCTTCTTTGACGAACAGCTTGGCAATCTTTGCATGTCCTGGTTGGGCGACACAGTTTTCAGTATTCGGGAAGCGGCCAATATGAACTTGAAGAAATTGACCGAGGTCTTCGGCGTGGACTGGGCCAGAGTCCAGATCGTCCCGAAGGTGATGGGGATGGGACAGCACCCCAACTATCTGTTCAGGATGACCACGGTCCAGGCAATCACGGTTTGTGTTTTGTGCAGGAGTATATGCCACTTGTACTGAGCGTTCTCATTAGACGATCACGCCTTCTCTGAACCTTGAAATTGTTCAAAGCGACATAATCGATTCTCTCGTTTCCCTCGCCTCTGATCCCATTCCCAACATTCGGTTCAACGTCTCCAAGTGCCTGGAGACGCTCGCATTGACCTTTGGCCCGACCCCCGGCGGCAGTGATTTTGTGCGCGCGAGGATCGTGCCTGTGCTTGAGCATCAGAAAAACGACTCGGACGCAGATGTTCGATATTTCGCAGCCCGAGCGCTGCAAAAGGCGATTGCGGCATAGTGAGGTGCTACTTCTTTCCCTATCGCTACCAGACTTCTCATCGTGGGTCCCTAGATCATGAGATACAAACCCAATGTTGTACACACAGTTTCAACTTTAATGAATAATTCTCTTCTTTCATGCCCGATTCTGCGGTCCGCCGTCCGAGGAGCATCAATTTCGGAAGCTGAAAAAGATCGGACAAGCATGCTGCTGGCTGATGGTGACAAGAACGATGAAACCGTCGCACATCTCCATCGCTGTCGACACCTCGATGGTAGATGTTCTCCTGATGAATGTACCAGCCTTGGGTAAACGTCCGCCCGCCACACGTAAGTGACTGATTCGTAAGTGATGCATGCACACCCTTATGTTCAAATTGTTCCCATGCCAAATCTGCCGTGGGCCGTAAAACAAAACGCGGACAGAAGCCCGGGGATATCAATCAGGAATGTATATATAGACACGGCATGCGTCGGTGGGATTGTTCATCTTTCCCTTGTTCCTTTGAAACTCTCAGTCGCTCGTTCGCCCACCCTCTTTACTAGAAATGACTGTCCTCACCCGCCTCGGTGCTGCTTTGCTCGTTCTTGCTACTGCTTTGCCCTTGGTGGCTTCGAATTTCTCGGGCGGCTCGAGCTGCCAAAGTAGCGAATTCTGGTGCGCACGTTGGGTAGAGTTGACAGAGAACAATAGCACTGACTCGTATCAGGTATGAGCCCAAAGGATGCTGTTTGCCTCACGGAGGGCCTCCGTCTCCGCCATCTCCCCCCAAGGGCCACGACTGCCCTCCCTCGACCTGGTACTGGGCCACGAACCTGGGCTGCTGTGCCCCCAAGCACCCGACTCCCCCGAGCAGCCCTCCGCCTCAGTGCAAAAACGAGTGGTCGTGGTCCTCGGGCTCTCACATGTGTATGCCAAGCAGCCCAGTTTCGCCGCCTTCTTCGCATCCTTCGGGTGGTTATGGCGGTGGTCACTGGAAGCGTCACAACCACAAGCGTGCTGCACCTCGCTGCCCTCGCGGGCTGGACGCTTGCCCAATCACTGGTATGAGCGCCACCGACTATGAGTGTCTCGACACCGCCGCCGAACTTGAATCATGCGGTGGATGTGCTTCCCTCGGACAAGGACAAGATTGTACTGCTATCCCTGGAGCTTGGAATGTCGGGTGTGAGCGGGGTCAATGCGCCGGTAAGCCACCACTGGTCGCGCGCGTACTTTTACTTAATGCTCTCGTCAGTCCACTCTTGCAGCTTCGGCTACAAACTGTCCAAGGACGGACGCACCTGCGACAAGCTTTGATCTCCACATACCTCTTGATTTTTCCATCAGTCTCCCACGTTTGTTATCTTCCACGTTTTGTTAGCTCCTAGCACCCTTCCTCACCCTTCCTGGGTATCTCGTTCTTTCTTGTCACACTCGCTGAACTCTTGGACTGGTATATATCTTCTCGGAATAGATTGGACTCCCATACCTGTTATTGTGTCTCGTATTTGCTCCTAATGCACTAGGTTCATATGCGCGAGAGAGCGGAAGATGACCAGTCATGGATTACAAGTCTTCGTCGACATCGACGGGTAAACGCAAGCAGATCAACTTCGAGTTGATTGCCTGTTAGAACCTGCGCTTGGACGCGGAAACATCACGAGAATGTAACGATCACATGACATGTATTGACAGCCGTGAGAATGGGCAATTAAAACTCCGCGTACTTATAAGAAGAATCGACGCGTATCGTTCACTCTCTTTCCCTTACCGTCATCTCCGTCCCCAGTGCACCGTGCTCCATTCATCTCTTGACGCAACAGGCCCTTCGCGAATCGTCTACTTTGGAATGCCCTCTATCATGCGATCAATCCTTCTTGCCTTGCAGGCCGCTTCACTCCTTACCCTTTCGGGTTTGTCCCCCGCGCCTCTGGTCACTGTCAACGCGTCACCTCTGCCTGGTGCTTCGTCCATATCCTCAAAGATCTCGCCTAGCTCGCTCCTCGCTCCTCGTGTTCTGACTAAGCACGCCGACGCTGATCTTGCTCCTCGCGTCTCCCCCGTGCTCCTATCTTCTCTCGAGCGCCGCCAGACCGAGGACGCTGTCGTTCAACGCTTCCGTCAATATGCAGCCACCGCCACCAAGCACGATAAGAAATTTAGTGCGTGTACATACTCGCTCAATGTGTTTGCCATCTGACATCTTCGCTAGAGGATCTCGCAGCTAAGGCCAAGACTGTCTCGCCGGACGATAAAGAGTTCCCGAGGAATGCCAGTCAGCGCTAATCGAGTATCGAGAATACTACTCCAGCTTCCAGTCCATGTTGACCGATCTCGCTGCGGATTCAGGATTGGCCTGCTTCGACAAGAATAACGATATTCAGCAATACCTCAAAATCATTGTCAACGCGCACAAGAGCATTCTCCAGTCTGTCGTCGTGATTGTGGCTGGGATTCCCGTGCTAGGTCCCTTGCTTGCACCCCGTGAGTGCGCATATACTCACCCGGTGCACCTGTATCTGACCCACTCAGTTCTGTACGACATCAAGTGTATTGTCGACAAGATCCTCGACATTGTCGAAAACCTTATCGACTGCTTATTGAATCTTCTCGGCCCCCTCGTGCAACAACTTTTGCCTGGAGTGAGCGACCTGCTTTGCCAGTTGAAGCTGTGTCTGCTCTAGAAACGGCGACACAATACACTGTATCAACCACTCACTATTTGTATCACATTACTACTGTATACCACCACAACCTAGAATCGTAACATGCTAAATCGTTATTAGCAGAGTCCTAATGTACAAAAGTAACTACTCGTCCTTGATTCTCACTCGTCCGCCAACCACCTTGCGGCGATGGGCCCTATGTAAGGAACCTGAAAACGTGCAAGCCCGTTGTGAGATGCGTCAATAAATGCCCTGAAACTGTGTGCCTTGCGTCAGCCGGTGACGGGCGCTCATGCTGCAAGCACGTACGCCATGTAAAGCTCGGCTCCCAGCAGGAGAATCGTAAATATGGTCCGCATCCACCCGGGAAACCGCAGCAAAGAGGCGAATATTCGCACGACAACGAGCGGTGTTGTTAGTAATGCAGACTGGTATGCTGCAATGATGCCGGTAAGTAAGTGCACAGTTCAGACAGGTACTGCGTACCATGGAATCGGACATAGTCGTTTTGCGTTTCAATAATAAGAAGCGCTAGGGCTGCCAACAGTTAGAATCCTCATCCGACATGTAACGAGCCGGAGTACCAGAGATGGGGCCAAGCAAGTATGCCGCAGCAGCCGATACATCCACACGAAGTCCATGTCGAGTTTCCCATTGGTTCTGTTCCCCTTCGGCTTCCTCAACAGATGCAAGTCCACCGCCGGCTGAGGTGTTAAAGGTCGGTATACCACCAGACTGGTATGACGTCTCCGAGGCATGGCTGGGAAACCACGGCCTTACCGGCGCCTTAGAGGAAGTACCCGAAGTCGTTTCATCCGGGGGAGGGGTCTAAATAGATTTGAGAATCGAGAAAGCAGTTTCGCATTAGAAATAACACGGACATAAGCCGCAAATGAGGCGAAGTGGCTGGACGAAGATGACATGCGGAGCGACGTAGATGCCGGTTCATTGCCGGTTGATCGCAACAGCGTGTCACGTGCTACTATCCAGTCGACGACATTCAGCCTACCTTTTCCCTTATTTCGCGGCCCCGACGACGACAGCGTTCAAGGTGAACTCTCCGAATCGGTTTTTCTTTCCGCAGACTGACTGATCCTAGCATTGTCTACTAGTCCTTCAAGATGGTTAGCAATCTTGCGCGCTTCAAAGACCCAATCACTCACTATCGAACCTTTCGTTCCACAGGCTGACGCACCCATAACCCTCCGCACTCGCAAGTTCATCACCAACCGCCTCCTTGCCCGTCGTCAATTCGTCATCGAGGTCTTGCACCCCTCTCGTGCGAATGTCTCCAAGGCCGAGCTTTCTGAGAAGCTTGCTGCCGTGTACAAGACCCAGAAGGATCGTGTCGTGACCTTCGGCTTCAGGACACAATTCGGTGGTGGAAGGAGCACGGGTTTCGCCCTCATCTACGATGACGAGGAATCGCAGAAAAAGTTCGAGCCGAAGTACCGGCTGGTTCGCGTGCGTTGCTTTCGCGAAACTGTAATGATGCGTGCTCATGGATCTTCCTGGAACTCCAGTCAGGCTTGCAGGCTAAGGTCGACAAGCCCTCCCGTAAACTACGAAAGGAGCGCAAGAACCGTGCGAAGAAGGTGCGTCGACATCCCTGCCTTGCTAGTTGTTACCCTGTCGTCTTATTGCTCGTTCTAGTTCCGTGGTACCAAAAAGTCCAAGGCTGCCGATGCACCGAAGAAGAAGTAGTCGGTTCATCGTGGTATTGGTTCTCTTGTGCGGGCGTTGATGATGACAACCGAAAACTAGGGCCATGTATGCTATCTTACAATCCATGCTCTATGCCCTTTCTTTTCTCCTTTTGATGCTTCAATTTGTTGATATGTACATGCAAGGAAGTATGTAAGGCGGGTATCATAGAATAGTGGTGAATATGCGTAGTGTGCGTGCTCGACCAAGAAACTCTAAAACCCCGACTTTTTGTGGATGATATCTGGGTCTTCTGATACTCCTCTGCGGAGACCCACATCTGAACAAAGAGTGCGTAGTCAGAGACACGCAGAGCCTGTTACGCGGGATTGACTCACCTTCTTGAACGTGTTGAGTCCAGCCAAAATTGACCCGCCTATCCATGTTGAGTACTTACGCTCAGGGGGAGCGTAAATTCTGATCTTGATGTCTTTCAGCGCGACTTTCTTGACTTCATTGAGAAGGCGGTCCCCGAATCCTACACTCGCGATCAGAGAACAGCATTCTAACACAAGCAGCAGCGCGAACCTCGACAAAGCGTACTGCCCCCACTGAGAACAATATTCGAGAAGAGTGACTTGCGCAGATCCAGGTCCACGCGATTGATGGAGTCGAACACAACTTGGTGAACACCAGCATACTCCTGCCCGATGAGCTCTGGATTGAACAGTATTTCGGGCGCACGGAAGCGCTCGGTTCCCAGCTAGGACACAGCATTTAGGACTTTGCAGGTATATAGGTGATAAACGCACTTGGATGACATTACCGTCTGGGAGACGGAATTCTTCTGTTCGACCTTGAGAGTCTTTCTCCTCTTTCGCCGGATTTAACGCGATGTAGCAGCATTTCTCCTTGATCGTTCTAACCATTCTCGCTCTGCGGTAGTGTAAAGGTTGTGTCCAGACTTTCGCAGCAACAATTGGAGATAATCCGTCACGTCCCTGGAGAAATACGAGTTAGACAAGCATTCGTGAGAGCTTATTGAGATACCTGCCTTCCAGCACATCCACCCGACGTATAGCATGCGGCATCGAAAAGCCTTCAAACACAGGAACTGCATGTGTAACGCCATCTCCAGAGTCTATGACGATTCCCGTAGTTCGTCCCGACGAATATCTGTAAACGATGGTCAGATTCTAGAGAGCCCGGATACAGAGGCAAACTTACAAAGACAACACTGCTTGAACGGATATGTAGAGAGCAGGGACATTGAATGTTTCGAACAATAGTTGAGCGGCGTACTCGCGGTTGGCTCTGGGATTTAATGGTGCTTCGGTAAGCAAGACTGGATGCTGGAAGAGTGATCAGAGGAGGGGCCACTCCTTTGGTTTCTTTGACGCACCTCTTCGCTCAAAGTCCCAAGCTCTTCCGCGTAGACCCAGTTCCATATACGTTCCATGTCGTCCCAGTCCGTCACGATCCCGTGTTCCATCGGATATTTGATCTTGAGCAGTCCACGAAACTCTTGCGCTCGTTTGCCAATGAATACATCGCCCTCCAAAGCACCCGCCATCATCCTAACATGCTTTGGTCGCCCAACACTGAGATTGTACTTGGGTTGGTCCGCATTGAAATGGGAACGAGGGTTACGCACAAAGAAGGAAAGAAACATTTTGGATGGTCTTGGCCAGCGAAACCAGCCTTGATGGTCCCAGAGCCCTACAACGAATAAGATAATGAGTGGTTTGGAGCAATTCAAGCGCACATTGTCGATGACGACAGGTTGGTTGGTGAGTACGTCGTCGAACTCTGCAGACATGGGTGAGCGACGCGTTTCCCAATCGGGCTAACATCAAATACCGATCACTTAAACCATGGTTGTCTCCCTCGCTTGGCTATTCCTCTTCACCGTGCTGACTTCGGTCAGTGCAGCGACTCACAAATGGGAAGCAACGAATTTCTGCAAATGTGAACCTCCTTTCACAATTCTCGTGCCTCGGACTCACGCTCACCAGGCATTTGCTTCGGCGCCAACTACACCATTCTACATTTAGATCATCCCGACAACCCCAACCAACCGTGTTTGTCTTGCACTAAACAATGGTTCGTTAAAGTTCCTCTATTGTTGAGCGTGTATGAATGACGCCCTACTAGGTGTCTCAATCAGAACTTGCCCATATGTCATGGCGCCTCCCTTGGAGACACTAATCCTGACACCGCCAGTGGAAAGGAGGGTGATATCGAAGCAAGATGTTTCCGTGAGCTCACTCAATTTCCACAAGTCAGGTACAGAACTATAATGTTGTATTGCACAGAACGCGATTCCCCTCGGGACCAACTAGTTGTCACTATATTCCTATTGACAGTGATTGGACTGCTTCTCGCCGCCGGTATCAAGAGTAGGATGGTCAAGGCCGGATTTGCTGACCGCAACCTCCGATGGGACGCGGGACGTAGATGGTGGGATGTGAGTTCACTACGCTGTGTCTGTGTGATTGCTAGGTGACGCTTGTGTTCCAGTCTTGGACGCCTACAACACAAATGGCAATACCACGCTTCGGGAGAACAACTCGCGGCGATGAGATGCGGATGGGGGATTATACGCCTGTTGCAGGAGACTCGCAGTGACTGAAATCAAATCGTTGTCTCTCTCTCTCTCACCACCACCATCATCTTTTCGGAATGGGATCTCTTTGTTCGAAAGGCGCAGCCAACGCCTATACAGGTGACACTAGAGTCCAGTGGAATGGGCAAGTAGTTCTTAGTTGATAGGCGGCCATTCTGTGCTGTCCGCTGGTCAAGATGGAACGTCGAGCCAGCAGACCGATCCGCGACGGGCCGCGGCGCTAGCCGCAGAGCAGCGGTTGCAAGCTGTACGTTGAATCCTAGAACGACCAGAGCTCCTTCATGGAACCAATATGAATCGTGCAGAGCAAAGTGAGGGGAGCGCCTAATCGGGGCGCATTGGCGGAGCAAGCTGCCAAACCAGTCTCACGTACCCCCGAGGCACAACAACCAGAACGAATGGTGGTGAGCCGAACTCCCCATTGAACTGAACACAGGACGTTGACAGTGAGCTTTCAAGTGGGACTGAGCGATAGATAGAAGCGGTAGTACGTCAACCTGTGGTGCCTATTTGATTGAACTCTTGTCTCTTCTCCCCGCCACATGGCATGAATGTCTGGCCAGTCGGAAACGTTTTCGGAGACGCAACACAGATGGGAGAGGGTTTTGTGGCGAAGACAAGCCCACCCCGATAACCACATCGTTCCCGGATTCCTGTCTTCCCTTCAGCAGAATGGTACGTGGCCGAAGTGTCCGGAGCGAGTGAGAACAATTGACGGCATCCAGTCAACTTTAGACCGTACACTTACTGGGAGCTAGTGTTACTGTCTGGGACAATCACGCAGCATATTGCGTCCGTCTTCGTTTTCGTTGCCATCTTCCTTCGCTTGAGAGAAGAGGATCTGGATCCTTATGTGCTCGTTTGGATCTCTGTCGGCTGCTTCCTCATAGGTTATTTTCTCTGGGAACTACTGGACCGAATCGGAGCTAGCCGCTTGCAACGCCATGTCAACCGTAAGTTACCTTTTCTCCTGGAGAGACGTGCATCACATCATGCAGGGGTCAAGACTATCAAGTCGTCCATTTTAATCTTCCTTGCGCTCATGTCCCTGTCGCCGGTTCTGAGAACTTTAACTGCGGCAACGTCGTCGGACTCCATTTGGGCGCTGTCTGCCATTCTGTTCGGCGCCAATGCCCTTCTTGCGGATTATAGCGCGATGCCAGAGAACGGCGTTCAAGCACAAGAGAGGTCCGTGATTGCCGTTACCGCTGCAGGGTTAGCAGCAGGCTTTAACCGTTCCACATTAGACTCACCTCGGTTTTGTCGATAAACGCCGCTATCGCAGCGTCCGTGGTCCTCGCGTCACGCCTGGCCGCCGACACGGCTGTGTTTGCGCTGATTTTGTTCTCCGTACAGACGTTTGCGCTCTTCCCGAGGCTACGGCATCGCTTAGGGGTGAGTGTATTCCCATCCGGTTGTCTCTCCTTCGTCATCCGAATCTCCAGTCTCGCTCCGCCCTCGTGCGCGTGGCGTTCACCGTGCTGTTGCTTGCCACCTCTGTGGTGGCCGCAAAGCCCGTCATGCGAATGGCCATCTGGGTGTATGCTTCCGTTCAATTGGCCGTTACTTTCCTTGCTCCCGCTGTGCTGGTTTGGGCTCAAAAGTTTAAAAAGTGCGTGACTTCGCGCTCAGGTCTTCTGCTGACATCGACGGCTTAGTGAAATCCGGGGTCCCTGGGATGTGGCTGTTCCAAAGGTCAACAAATGAGTAGCATGACAATAGCACAACATATTCCAAGATGACAAGACAATATACAACCAGTAGTACTATGTTACAGTCCCCATTCCTACCACGATCACGTGGTCCCATCGCTTCATGACGTCATGTCCTGCTCGTCGCTCTCTTCGGTACGCTGGCGTTTAGCGCTAGAAGGCGCGACGCCGATCCCCCGAGATTCCATTACATCCATGACCGTCTTTGCTGGCGCGTCAGTGCTTTTCTTGCTTCGGGCCCTGGTTCGGCGCAAAGCACCGAAGGCCTGTGCCTTGATGACAGCGAGTGTTCCCGACATTGGAGGCACCGTCGGAGATATCGACCGCGCCGGCGACTCCCGACGCTGACGTAAACGCGGCGGGCCGTATGAACTGCAGTCGCCGTCGCTGCTACCGTGATCTTGGGGATCACCCATTGAAAGCGGTGGCAAAAGAGGCAGCATTGGCCGATCTCCTCCCGATCCCGGCCTCCGATTTCCCAACTTGAAGCGCATGGCATCGCTGCCAGGGCCAGATAGAGACACCTCAACCCCAGCCGAAGAAGGATGCCGACGGTAGTCGTATTCACCACGATCGACCCCGTCGGCAAACGCAAAGTGGAAAGGCGCAGTCAATGATGAGGAGGACGAGGCTGCCGGCAGTCCATTGGGTGAAATCGGACGGCTTGCCGGGAAAACGTACGCAGAACCCTCGAGGCTAGCAACAGGGACTTTCTGATCCTCCCCAAAACGTGGGGGGAACGCACCTGAGCCGAGGTCGGAGGTCGTTAACGTTGGCGATTCCCCAAAGCTGGGAGAGTTCGATGAAGTCGTGCTGGCTGGTTGTCCAGACTCTCCGCTGGAAGACGCCGCGTTCTGGTGGGCCCACGAGTCTCGATGAGATCCATGCAGAGCGTACCCGTACGACCCGAATTTAGCTCCACGAGCGGAAAGTGGCGCCTGGCTTTCGGATGCAACCTCGCTACCCGCAGCATAGCCCATCGACGGCGAATGAGTGTAGTGATGGCTGGGACCGGGCCCATACCCGCCATTGCACATGGCAGCATCGTCTGCAGAGCGATATAACGCGTCGTGATTGTACCCGTGAACATGCGGCGAGCCCAAGTGGCCGGTCATCATGGGTTGCGGAAGTGGTGGGATGTCGTCATTCTCGCCCGTCTTACGCGACTGCCACAACGTTCTCCAGTATTTCTCGCGCTCAGTGAATTCGTGACGCATGCTGGCAATCTGCCTGCGGAATTCGTGGGCCTCGGCTCGGGCATCGCGGCAGGAATCTTGCAGTTGTAGCACAACACTTTCGAGACTGGTGACTGTCACGAAAAGAGTAAGCGTCAACATTGCCGAGATATCTTGGCGAACACACCTGTTTCCTCCAGAGTAGAGATGTAGGTCGCCCTTCGAGCTCTGAAGGCGGCCTGCGCGTCTGCGTTCTTCTTCTTCCGTATGGCAATGTCATTCGCCCTCGCTTCTTCGCTTTGATTTTTAGGCATGATCTGGGATGAGACGCGAATGGTGGTGGACGGGATTTGAGCGTTGTGGTCGTCGATGTCGTGGTCTTGAATGAAAAAAGGCAAGGCGGATGCAAGGCGTGCGAAATCGGAGTCGAATACTGCATGCCAGAGCCCCAAAATAAGTGCTGGCCCCAGAAAGGAATTATGGCGCACGAAAAAGTAAATTACCTGTCGCGCGGCCAAGGGTGCGCAAAAAACGTGTGTTGCAGTGAGGTCGAGAGTTTAACTGACGAGAGCAACGCGCAGGGAGATGAGGGCGAGAAAGGTGGGACCAGCAGGGACTGGCGCACGGTGTTGGTTATAAAAGCATGGGGGCAGAGAGAATTCGAATCATGGCCACGAGGGCTGGGAGGGCCGCGGACTGTGCGTGATCAGCCGCTGGGATAACTCAGATTGCTGTGGCGTGTCGCGTTCTTTCGAACGATGCTGTCAGAACCGAGGCACGGCAAAAAAACATCTCGATTTCAAAGACGGACTAAGTACGAGACAGTGGATTGGAGCGCGTTTACGGCAATCTCCGGAACTACAATTTCATTCGTCTTCGTCTTGGTCGCCGTCAGCCTCTAAATCCAACGTCTCGAGGCTGGTTCCTTCGGCATCAAGCACACAGGCCACTCTTCTTCCCAACCGGCCATTTAATGCCAGATAGACGGGACCAGATCTGCTCAGAGCCAAGTCGCGCTGCCCCTTAATCGGCATGGCCAAGGTGCCCAACTAAGAAATCGCAGATGAGCACATGTTGCGCGGGCGGCCATTTGAAACCTACAAGGCCTTGTTGCATTCGCTCTAAAGCCCAGTGCATCAGATCTTCGCGGGCATGGATTTTATCGCATTCTTCCGCAGACAAGCTCGTGAATCTCAGGTCACTGTAGCCCACCGTGGCCAGCACCGTCCTCTCTGCGATTTTTCATTCAATACGCGAGTGACTCACAGGCACGCACAAAAATGGAGACCGACCTGGCATGTTGCGTGGCCGGTAAACAATTACGAGCAAGTCGTCGTCAAAGAATTCGGCGTCCAAGATCTCGAGATTGATGGGTAGCGGTTCTTCCAGTTCCGTGGGAACTATTCCCCCCAGAAGCACCACTCCAGCGGAGACAGGCGTCGTGGAAGCTGTTCTGGCAAAACGCAAATGCACTAGACACACTGGGTTCTTTGAGCAGATGCCACGTCTCGAGGCGGAATCAGCTCACGCACAAAAGGATCGATGCAGCGAAGCGCCAGGAATATGCATTGCAAGGTATTCCTCGAATCCGTCCTCCTGCGAAGCATTCATTAAGGTATAGCATCTTCTGATTGGGACTAGCCGTACCTCGTTCTGCCCCAATTTGATCCGCTCCCTGACCTTAATCTCAGGCTCGCTGGAGGTAGCCAGACTGGTCGCAGAATCCCGTCCACAGGAGACCAATGCAAAACGCGAGGTAGTTCCCGCAGTTACTTCAAACAACTGCTGGCAACGCACGGCCAGGTCTTGCACTAAGCCATCCAAATTTCGATCTAGATGATTCAAATCGCGCTGCGTCGTGGTCTAGCTCGATCAGCACAAATCCAACGCAGCCAACAAACACACTGCACACCTGCTGCCAGCCCACGTGGCTTGCCGCTGCTCGTGCGATTTCAATGGCATCAGCCAGCGTTTGGTTGCCTACGGCTAGGCCGCAGTCCGCAGGAGACCAAGTCGGCAAGAGTCCCATGAACCACTTGTCGATGGAGCTCACGATCAGCCCGGAGATGAGATAGTTGTTCACCTCGAGGATGTCGTGCCGAAGTGGCTGGGCGATCTCATTATTTGCATTCAAAGTAGCAACTTCTGCTCAGTATCAGAAAGCCGTTGGAGAATCATAAAACACCGACCTGACCGCAACCACACCAAAAACTCTCGGAAACGACGCAGTTCTTGTCGCGCAATAGCAGCAAGCCAGCTCGAGATAAAAACTGCACGGCCAGCCTGAAGAATGCAGGCCTCGATTGCCGGCGTCGATAACTGAAAAGAGGCGAATCGAGGGCTTTTCAAATGCGTTCAGTCAGATGACGTCAAACGATGGGAATTCTCACAGTAATGACCAGCCATGAACTTCTTCCAAAACGAGGTGCAGTCGCTGAAGTGCGGGTGCTAATCTCTTCTCGGAGAAGTCTCGTAGCTTGACTAACGCCTCAGTCATGGATGATTCCCACTTTTGCAGTGCCTGTGGCTGTGTCGGCTCGAGCTAAGATTGTCACCGAGAAACATACACGTTCGCTCATTTGTTCGCTGCTGCCCAGAAAATCGGCCAGAGCATCCGACGCTCGTCCGGTGAGAAGCAGACCGGTGATGTCGAGAACTGCGTTTGGCTCTTGCTCTGGAACAAGATCAGTCCGAGCAATCGCAAGAGACAATCTAACTCACGACCAAACTGGTCCCTTTGGCGCTTCTCCAGTGCTTGAATCCACTTGGGCCCAATTTCGCGAGCCCCGCTCAGCATGTCTGACCCAAACCACGAAGTCCTCATGTCCTTCACAGCTCGCATGCAGTACCAGACCAATTCCCGAGCGCTTGTCGACAGACGGGCCATGTCACGAGTATGTCTCTCCTCCAGTGTGGGCATCTCGATGAATCTGGGAAGCAATTCCGTTCTCTGGACGTCTTTATTGACGGATATTTGCGAATGGGAGACAAATAGCGGCCGAGTCGAGATCTTGGACAAGGCCGGGATATTAGCCACCGAGCCAACGAAGATGGCCCCGAGATGGTAGCTTCCATCCAAGAAGAAATGGACATAACCGGAAGAGTCGGAGACCGCCAGGAGACTCCCTGTGTTGGGTTCTTCTACGACATCAAGCTGCCCATTACTCGGATCAGTCTGCTTCAGTGGCGAAGCTATCGATGCTACGACAGGATCCGAGTTCAACGTCGGCCACCGGTTGATGAGCATAGGGATAGCCATTTTGGGTTCCGAGCGTGTTTGAGAGCCTTGAAACGCGAAGAGATCCGTGGCTCTGAAACAAATTTGACCTTGGTCATGCCAGAACGCGAACGAACTGACGGGAGCTTTTGAGATTCCTCCTGCAGACTGTCAAGTAGAGGAAGAGTCTTGAGAATTGCATGTGAGGAACCGGGCTAGTCGCTCGTCAGGAGACAACCATAAGAATGCATTGTGGTGGCATACGACGATTCCGTTCCTTTTCAAGATGTCCGGGATCGCCTTGGGAGGCTCGCCCTTCTCTGGCGGGAACCACCATATATCAACCAGTTCATTGCTGTGATCAGCGGGCACATAAATTGATCGCTCCTCGTGTCCATCCTGGATGGAATGCAGAGATATTCGAGGTGGGTCATGTGCGACGGCGATGTACTGTCCTAATGTCTGTGAGACCACGCAGAAGAACTGCACGCTCATTTACAGACCATCGGGGCTCCATGCCACGCCCACAATCTGTCCAGGACCCTTATCTCCTGCTCCCACATCGACTTCCCATGTTTTTGACCCTTGTATCTTCCAGAGACTCAAACGATCCCGGCCGCCAAGACGAGAGATGAGAACTAGTAGATCTTTATCGGGACAACATGCGGAGTGAAGCAGTCTGCATGGAGAGGGAAGATGAATGGACGCAAGAGAAGAGAAACTTTGGTCCATCGACTGCAGCCACTGGTGAGCGCTAACTAGGAGGAGTTGCTGGATCACATGTGCAAGTAGTACACGACTTGTCACTCCACGTGAAAATGTGACTACGATTTTTTGTGTTTCCCCGCTTTCCCCTGTTTGCCAGTCTTTTTGCCCAGACGGCCGACTGAATCTCCCTTCTTGGCCCGGACACCCTCTGTGTGGCTGGACTTTTGACCCAGATCCCGGTCGAAAGCACCGCCTGAGCGAGCAGTGACCTTTTTCGCTTTGCGTTTCTTGGCTTTTGAGGGTGCTTTGGCTTCTGGCAGACCAATCTTCGTTGGGCGTGAACTTTTCTTGGCAGCACGGATGGCAGCACTGGTAGCTCGTTCATCCCCACGTTCATTGTCCTCTTCCATCGCAAGTTTTCTCCGCTTGGCTCGTCGCGTCAAACCCGAAAATTTGTCACGCTTGGGCTGTTATAGAGGTGAGACAAAGCGGGTGAGATTGATTTCGACCGAAAGACCTTGTCTGCAGTAGAAGTCTGCTCTTTTCGTTTCTTGCTGGGAAGTGCGCTGGCTTCGTACTGTTCCTTGCTTACATCTAGGCCGGCGATCAGATCTGCTATTTGTAACACCCAAAAGAGCACGCACCAGCGGCAGCTTGCTTGTCTTTGTTCGTCTGGAACCATGTCCTGGCGGGTCGGGAGAAGATCTCGGCCTCATGGTCCAGCATATTTTGACCCTTCTTCAGCTCCATTTCCGCCTGACGTAGCTGCGTGCGACGGTAAGCAGACCATCAAAACACCAAGTCCGGCACCGTACATGTTTTTCTTCCTTCTCTTCTTTGAGGATCTCAGAAATCTCGTCCTTCATGTTATCGAGTTTCTCTACCCATTTCGCAACCGAGTCTTGGGGGACCACCCTGTGGCGGATCTGGTCTGCCTCGGTGCTATGTTTGATGGCGGCTTTAAGCATTTTTCGATCGGCCTCGCCAACCAACGTGACGGATCTATAGGTGTAGTTGAGGCGATCACGCGATGCGCGATGCAGAGGATCTGAACATACCGACCCTTCTTTCCCGCTCGCGCTGTTCGCCCTACCCGATGGAGATACTGAGACAACTGACCAGGCATATCGAAGTTGATTACGGTCTCCACTCCCTTGATATCAAGACCGCGGGAAGCCAAGTCAGTCGCCATCAAGTAGTCGACTGCCCCGTCTTTGAATCGTTGAAGAGCATTCAACCGCTGGAAGGGGATAAGCAAACATCGTTCACGCTGAGAAGTCACGCACCTGTTCTTGGGTCAGATCGCCGTGCAGTTCATCACACTTCATGTCAAGCAGTCCGAACACAATCCTCATTTGATGGGCGAGTTTCTTACTGCGTAGGAAAACGATTACGCTCGACTTGAAAGTCCGCTTGCACAGCGTGACAAGCAGACCGGACCTGTCTGACTCCTTGCCAGCACGGACCCGAACGAATTCTTGAACGAGTCCTCGAGCCGTGCTCCTTTTTGGATCGACGAACAGGCGGACAGGCTTGTTCAACGACATCCGGACCAGCTCATCGACCGAGTCTGTCATCGTAGCGGAGAACAACATTGTCTGGCGCGAGGTGGGGCAGGACTTGATGATCTCGGTCAGCTCGTCCGCAAATCCATCGGAGAGCATCCGATCTGCTTCATCCAGGACCAGAACATCTAGTGTCTCCAGCGTGAATGACGGTGAGTTTTGGATGTGGTCGATCAGTCGACCGGGGGTGGCGATCACAACGTCTGGCCGACTGCGCAAAGCGACTTCCTGCGATTTCAGCGAAAGTCCACCTGGTCATAGACAGATGAATAAGAGTCAATCATAATAAACATTCTACAAACCAACGATCAGGCAGAAACGAATGTCGGTGTGTGCTGCCAGCTTACAGCCGACCTCGTAGCACTGCACGGCCAACTCGCGAGTGGGGACAAGAACGAGGCATCGGGTGGCAGCCGACTTCTTCCCCTTCTCCCTGTAAAGCAGTCGTTCGATCATGGGGATGATAAACGCAGCAGTTTTCCCGGATCCCGTAACAGCATTCCCGACGACGTCCTTTCCTAGTAGCGCAACAGGAATCGTAGCAGCCTGGATAGGTGTCGGTTTGAGGAAGCCAAGCGTAGTGATGGCCTTGAGCAGTGGCCGAGAAAGGTTCATGGTAAGGAACGAGGAATGCTCTTCTTTGGAAACAGATTCCGAGTCGAAGAAGGCAGCTTTGCGGTCTTTCTCTGCCTGCGTTTCTGGCTCAGATTCGTCCTCAGAGGAGTCCTGCATTTCCACATCTTCATCTTCATTGTCTTCGCCTGCTGAACCTTCTTCCCCGGAGGACGCTAGGGGATCTTCCTCGCTACCAAGGTCTTCCTCTTCCCCCTCGCCTCCAAAATCATCTTCGTCCTCGCTGCCTTCGCCTTCAGACGTTCCAAGCTCGCTACCGTCTGCCAGGTCTAGTTCGCTTTCATCTCCATCCTCAGCGCCCTCGTCGTCCTCGTCCTCTTCGTCGAGTACCGCAGCACGCTTTCTCTTGACGCCTATCCTGCGGCGCGCGATGATGTCGTCGACGGAAATCGGTTCAGGTTTCGTGCCCTTGACGATGTCATGCAGCGCGTTCTCCTGGATGTCGGCGTATGGGTCTCCAGATAGATCGAACACAAAGTCTGGGTCAAGGTCGGCAGCTTCCTTGGGCTTGCCAGATGCTGTATTATCCTCGCCGTCCGAGTCGATTGTCAATATATAATCATCCATGTCGAGGTTCGAAAAAAAGTTGGGCGGACCGGGGATCAGACTTCACACATCAGTGGCTGTACATCCGTAGATTTACATTTCCACATGAAGAGAGTACAGATTACAGAGCAATGCGAGATATGTATGAGGGGTATAGACATCAGCTGTCCAAGCGGAATATAAATATACTACCACAAGAAGAGTTTGCGCATCTTCTTGATCTCTGCGGGACTCGGTCCGTCTATTTCAGCTTCGGGAGCACGAGACTTCTGCATCTGGAGGACATTCAGCATGTACTGGGTGGCCAATGCAACTTCCAAACCAACCTCTTCATCCATCAAACATTCTGTGCGAAGCATCCTATTGATGCTTTCCCGTGCGGGGAAATTGTAATCGTTGACGGCCCGGCACTGAGCCTGGCATTGGGTGGTGCTGCCGATGAATCGACCCATCATGTTGAATTTGCCCCAGTGGATCTGTGTGCGGTCGTTGGAGTGGAAGTCTTTGTTGGCTTCGTCGGCACGGATCAGATCGGAGACATGCACCTCGCTGAGCACGATCAGCAAAAAGGCAGGACCAGCGCAACTGACTACACGACAACTCACAGTGCTGGAATGCATGCGCCCTTGGTATTTCTGAGAGCCAGTCGGTATGCACGATGTGAGCGAGTCTGCTGCAATAAAACATCCCAGGATTGCAGGTTTTTCGCATGATCTGGCGACTTGGCTTTCAGCTGCTCCATGGTAGGATCCCCGACAGGAGCAGCAATGTTGATTCCAGCAACAAACGCTCTCAGAGCCGAATAATTGTTCAGGCCCCGCAGCTTCTGGGCTATCTCGACGATTTTCTCGATCTGCTTGGCTCGTGCCTTCACCTTATCATGGCAAAGAATGAGTGACACGACCCTGCTTTCCTCAGTTAGCTGTATCGCACCATGACGTTGGAACGTACCAATCCGCGAGATGATTAGAAAAGTCATTGAATCTTGCGATTGAATCCGTCAAAGGATCCTTCCTCCCGCGCACGAAAGTGAACCGAAGCCAGTGACGAGGCTGCACATGGAATCAGCAGGCACAGTCAAGATGCTCATCAGGACTGACCTCGATATCCAAAAACAGCTTCACCTCCAACCGCGTGATTTCTTGGGCAACTTCCTCAGAGTCTGTAGCGTTGAGTTCCATGGCAACCTTCTGCAGCTCTTTGAGGATCACCCGATACTCGTCGCCCGGCATCGCGTGGTTTGTTGACTGCGCACTCATCGACTGTTTCCCTAGCGGCAAACTGCCCTTCCTTTCCCGCATTGGGGTTGGCACGGGAAGAGGCTTAGCCGGTGTTTGACTTTGGCCGAGGAGGATGTCGACTTGGTCAAAGAAGGTTGGCGCTCGAGCTCTGCGCTGTTTGTGCTGCTGGCGGGGACGACGCTTTTCTCGTCGTCGTCATAGTCGCTCTCGTCTTCTGGATAGTCGGGTTTGTACGCCCAGGCCGCGTCCTTGTCAACGAGATTGGGCAGCAGTTCGTGGAAAGGCAAAAAGTCCGAGCCGTAATGAAGCAAATACGTCTTCGAAGTGATTGACTTGAAAAGTGCCGAAAGAGCGCTAGGCGTTCCCCTGACTTTGAAGTCATAGGGATAGTCCCGAATCCATTGCTCAAGTAGATGGCAGATTCTGTGAATGTCTTCAGCCCAATGCTCAAGCCAGAACCAAATTCAAACCTCATCTGAGCGAAGCAAGCAAACATGGGATCTCCAGATGCCTTATCGAGCTGCCGCAGCCGCAGCTGCATTGATAGAAGGACGCTTCTTGGACTAGCAAACCGACGATACGTCAAGAGGAAATGCGTAATGAAGGAGGGATCTAATGTGGTGACATCAGCAAAGCGCATGACACAATGGTAAGGCGGTCTGTCGCCCACGCACCGTCACCGCTGACGGCAAGAAAGAGCAACTTGTCAAGCAGTTCATCCAGGTTAGCCCATGGTCGACTAGCAACATCCTTCTCCTTGGTATCCTTCTTGCTAGATATATCGTTCACAGCCTCGGATGACGTTGGAGGTGTTCTGGAGGAGACTGGTGCGGCGGGGTTACTACGAACAGCAGAGATGACGGGAGGAACGTGGTGTCTTTCTCGGCCTGCCAGTCCCGCGCTCTCGATTTCTCGTGCTCAGACAAGAGATCGCCGGTCGATCGCGCGCGAGTTGGTGAATTCGGAGTGGATGAAACCCGAGAGGCAGGGATCGTAGGCAAGGGTGACGCACTCTGTAGTCTCGACAGAGTCTGACCCTGGGAAAGCGTGCTCAGTGAAGATACTGAAGAAGCGGTTGGGGTCGCGTTGCGGGAAATTTCCCAGGGAGGCGGAGAGATCAGAAGGACTGGAGATGCTGGATTGCGGTAATGGTGATCTGTTTCGCTGTTGCTGGTGTCTGGAGATGCAGATCAGCAACTGACTTGGATCCAATGACAGACCTGTACGAACGTCGACCCCGAAAAACAGCCCGAATCAGCCACTCAAATGCTTGTCTCATTTTCTTCTTGCCGGCATCCGTCGTACTCGTCACCTCAACCAGCCCATTGTCATACAGCTGCAGGAAATCCGCGGCTGCACCTTGAGGATCAACGCGCCGTTCCAAGTCGGACTTGCACGCCAGGACCAGGGTGGGAACCATCATGGTGCGAAAGCGTTCTATCATTATACATCGGTCAACAGGAGCTATTACCGGGCAAAGAGTGGACGCCTCACGCAGAAGCCCTTCGACAGGCAAAAAGGACTGGGCATCGGAAGCGTCGTAACACATTATCACGCCGTCTATCTTCGGCGAGTTTTCTGGCCACGCCACGTCCTCCAGACTCCGCTTGGCTACATCGACTTCGACGACATGGAAGGGGTATTCGTCCACACCGTCTTTGATATGGCCCACACGCAGATTATCTTGGGAGAGATTTAGGACTACAACGATGAGCCAAAAACAGACTTACACGTTTCGGCGAAGTCTCTGGAGCCCACTTCGAAGGCATGATTGGAGGGTTCAGAGAGGCCGTAGTCCTTTAGACCCTTCCGGATGACGACAGTTTTCCCGCAATCTTTCGCTCCGACGACAAGAATCGTTAAAGCATCCAGAGTATGCGCCTCAAGCTACGAGAAAGGGAGATATGATTGGCTTTATGAAGGAAGGGGATGAGAAAGTTATGCTCACGCTATTTATACGCGTTTTGAACGGGTGCTTCGTGGAAGTGGAACTGGAGCCATAAACTCCTAAGCTGCCGCTGCGAGCTCGACCGTTTCTCGACGGGGGCAGAGACATCGATGGTTGTATCGGCCGGCCGTATATACCATCTTCTGTGCTTGAAGTCGTGGATGCGCTCATGATGCTGCTCATGCTGGAGGCAGTGCTCAGTGTCGTCGTTCGGGGCGGCAGCGGTAGTTGGCCTGCACGAATCTTGACGCCACCATCGGGGAACTCTGGTCGCATATCGTCCGGGTCGTTCGATGAATCGTAATCGTCGCGGAGAGAAGAGCTGACACTGGCACCACGCTTTCGACCATTATAAAGGTGGACCGGAGCGCGCATAACGGCGTTCAGTCCGCGGGGTGCTTCAAGAGCGGAAGCCGTATTGCCCCGGTTGGGCCGAGGTGCGTCACGAATGTGAGGAGCAAAGGAGTCGACCGAAACCGACTTGCGAACAGTCTGTGCACGGAGGGCATCTGGGGAGAAGAGCCCTGCAGCATTTGGAGCGGGGTCAGCAGACTCGAGCGTCTCGACTAGCGCATCATCGGCATCCATGAAGAGAGCGGAGATACTGGAGAAGGTCTGACAGACGGTCAAGGGTGTAGATCAAAACCCGTCCTTCCAGTGCTTCTGGCATGATCGGGAACCTCCGGCCGACTTTAACCTGCAGCGGTGCCTCGGCACCACATCTCGGCCCACCCACCCACGGTCCAGCCGATGAGAGAATGGTGGACATGAACTTGGTTTCTCGTATTGTATTGAGTACGAAAAGTACAACAAGCATTGGAGATAGATAGTGTATAGCACAACAGCCTGTGCAACAAGAGGGATACTGGGCAGTACGGAACTGTACATACGATGCGTGGCTTTTTTGAATAGCAGAAGTTACAAATAGGAATATGATGAGAGATGCGCGAAAATCTCCTGGGACGATGAGCTAAACGATAATCGATCCGGATGACGCACTCACACTAAGTTACATGTCACAGTCATGATGTCCAATAGAACTGCAGCAGATTCAACGCCCCAGCAGCATGTTCGGGATCCTTGACATCAAACCGCGAGGTCAGTTGCATTTTGGCATGATCAAGAGCGGCAGCCATGTCAAAATCGACAATGCGGATATGAGTCGGCGATGACGGAGATGATGGCGATGATGGTGTCAAAGCTTCTTCATCTTCATCTTCATCTTCACTCGAGTGGGCGGGCAGTGATACACGCATGAATTCAGATTCCGTAGTGGAGGATGGCGAGCCAGACCGTGAGGAGAAGACCGGCACACCATAACCAGCAGAATAATCTGCGTCGTCATCGTCACTACCCTCGTCTCGACGCGCCTTCTTCCTGGCCGACTGTCGGATATTCCGGAACCAGTTCGTGATCTTAGCGACGTCCCTAAGATGTGCCGTTTGATCAGAGTCTCACACTTCATCTCGACCGATGCTCACATTCCAATTTCGAGCGCCAACGCTGAGCGTTCTTCAATTGTCGGGGTGGAGGTTTTGCTATAGAGTTGCTTCAATGCGTCGAGCTGATTGGGCTCCGGACGCGCACGACGAGGGCGCGACAGTAAAGGCATTGTCGAACTCGAAGAGCTATAGGGAGATGCTCGGCGGGAGGAAGCACGCAAGCTACGAGGAGCGAAAGAGACCTCATCAGCAAGGAGGACAGCCGGTGCAGTCCGACTTGGCTCGGTCGAATACGGGACCGGACCCTGGACCAACGAAGCCACTAAATCTCCACTGGCTTCTTGTGACTCTGTGGAGCCATTTTGATTGAGAGACAGGCTACTTGGTTCGTGAATTTTTGCATGTTGAAGGAAAATGTGGGACGTACACTTCAATCCTGCCTTCAACGATGGCGCCCTCATAGATGACAGTGTTTGCGACCAGGTCACCCACACCAGGAATCTCTCCCCCGCGGAAAGAAATCTTGTCTTCGATAATGGAGCTGCTGAGTTGCACATCTTCAGGATACATCGGGGTCAAGGTATAAGATGAGGATGCGGTCGAGCTTGAAGATCGCTTCTTCATTCGCTTGTTCTGAAAGAATGAATTTACACTTTTGACTTCCCTAGGTGGAAAATTGAGCGATGTGGAGGAAGTACTGGATTGTGGGTGCAGAAGACGTACAATCCGATCTCCCCCGCGAGAGCGGTACGCTCTGCGAGAGTGGGATGCTCAGTTTGCTGAAACAGCTGATTTAACGCAGCGAGTTGAGTGGGTGAGTGCCGATGGCGAGGCTTTCTTGAGGGCGGCATTTTAAAAGATTTCTCTGTGGTGAGAAGGATAGGGAAGTCAGTGGACACTGAGGAAAAAGTGCACAACTGAAAGACAGAGTGGCTGTGTCGGTAATAGTACAGTTTGCTATTTGCAGTGGCTGTGTCAATTAGCACTGATAACGACCGCTTGACTAAGGCGATTGTGTGCCAGGAAAGCTCAAAACAAGAGGACGATAGAGACCGTCCGTTATATCATTCCATGGGAGAGGTGAACAGACACATCCGATGATAGTTTCTCACATCGTTGATTTCACCCGTCCACTGCATATAAGTAGGTGGTTACATAACGGTGTCTACATCAAGCGGCAAGAGCCGGTGCACCTTCTCCACAACCGTCAACCTACATAATGAAAGTTCTTCTCGTGAACGATGACGGCCCTCCTAGTCGCACGGTTTCTCCGTACATCTTCGAATTCTACATGCATCTCATCGCGCTGGGTTTCGATGTGAAGGTCGTCATTCCGAGTTCACAGAAATCTTGGATCGGCAAGTTCCGAAGCCTTCCCGTGAGGTTCTTGCGCCAACTCGGAATACAGGCAAAGCTTTCCACATCACCGAGATCACGACAGGCAACTACTTTTACCCCATCGGCCCAGGTTCGTTTCGTAGTTCGAAATGATGTGTCGCCAACAGACGTATCAGACGGCACTGCTGGAGAAGTCGCGGCTAAATCGCGGCCGTTGAAGGACGGAGAAGTGGTCAGGCCCAGAAGAGTCATCTATTTCAGTTCTTGACAAACAGTTCAGGGCGAGTGGGTTCTTCTCGACGGGGTATCGTGTGCACAAGAAATCGGATCATACACGCTCTCTCATCATTTTGCAACAGACCCCAGCAACGTGCACCAACGTGGCTCTGCATAATTTATACCCTGGTCAGATCGACCTCGTGGTAAGTCGGAAATGCATGTCATTTGAGCGCCATTGAAAGAAACCATCAGCTCAGTGGTCCCAACCTGGGCAGAAATGTGCGCTTTGATTTGCGCTGTTATCAAAAGGCTCATGATATTAGACTTCCGGTAAAATATGGGCCAACGAAACGCTCACATTTTCACTGAATGACATGGTCAGCTGCTTTTGCTATGTCTTCTGGCACTCTAGGTGCTGCGCTCAGCGGTTCGCTGTCGAAAGTTCGCGCGATAGCGGTGTCATACGGAACTGTGGTACACCCGACTCCTGGATCCTACTTTGAGCCTGCGCATCTGTTGGCGGGCCAGATCATCCGATATCTGTGGGATAACTGGGGCCGCGATCCCGAAGGACTGCGCTCAGGTGAAGTCGACGTTTACAACGTTAACATTCCGCTCGTGGAAGGATTGCTGTCGGACGAAGGGTTGAAGATTGTCTGGACTTTCATGTGGCGCAACTCATATGCTCGTCTTTTCAAAGCTGTGTCGCCGCCAGCACAGGTTGCCGCCGCACAATCCTCCTCTGCTGCTGGTCCTGACGCGCTGTTGGTGTCTGCGTCGAGCTCGAGGGCAGACTCGCCGGAGGATCCGCTGGCCTTCAAGTTTTCGCCAGCTATGAATGGCCTGGTCAACCCCGACGAGTCCAGTATTCCTGTCGGGTCTGATGGGTGGGCTATGCACAAAGGTGAGTTCTTTGCCCGCGATCTTTCGCCAGTGGGCCAACAATCTTCTCCAGGATGGGTGAGCGTCACTCCTCTTCGCTCCAGCTTCGCGGAGCCCGCTGCAGCAGCTCAGACTGTGGACGAGAGGATCTGGAAAATGAAGCTCTGATCCGGAATGCCGTTCCCGTAACACGTACATAAGTAAGCAAAGAAGCGAGGGAAGAGAAGTAGATCGAGTACGTAAATGTCTTTTGCCAGCGAGCGGTCAATGTCCCGAACGCTCAAACGCATCTGTCTGTCTTCGAGTCTCGCGACGCCATTTTCAGTTATTCAGCTGCCTTTCATCGCCGCTGGAGCTCGTTGGATGCCAGCTTGGAGCTGGCTACGTGATGCGAAATACTCCAAGTGTTTCGCTAGAAGCCACGGCGGTCCATTGTCGTCATTTTCCACCTGTCCGTAACGGCGCATCATCAAGAGGCACGGTTCCTCTGGGAGCTCGCCTCTGACCAGCCCGCATGGGATTGCGGGGGCATTGATGGACTACTGCTCCACAGGCGACCTAAGGACTGCTCCGGGTCTGGATTTGTCTATCTGAATGCCCCCGGCTCCCAAGGTCTCTGCTGGCATAGACGTTGCTGTCTAGTCTAGTACAAACAAGGTCATTATTTTCAGCTATTCGCATCTCCTCTATTTCGGGCCTGTCTCACCCTTGCTAATTACGAACGAGTTAGGCTCACCCGCGTCTGCAATAAATCTATGGTTCAGGCAGGCCGTGTCTGGGGCTTGCGCAGTGGCACACCCGCCAGCGCTTCCTCTGATGTCCTTTTTCACAGTGAACCGCTCTCCGTCACAGAGACAGCTGGACAACTACAGTCTGCCCTCCCCGACACGACGGACGGGTGCGCAACCCCTGCCTCGGTCACCGACCAGATGCGCATCTTCGCCCACTCTTTCTGAGTTCAGACAGGCGGTCTACATCCCGGCAGCGGTGCCCACCGCAAACGAGGCGTTCAGGGATGCGCCTTCGCCACGGTTCTCCGCTTCCGCGCCTAGCGTCGTTCTGCTGGATGGCGAAGACCGGAGTTGCTCCTCCACCCCGACTTCCGGCGGATATTCTTCTTCCCCGATCGGCACGCCGCGTTCTTTTACGCAGCCAGCCGCCGACGCCTCACCTGGCGGCATTAAGCGCCTTTCGCTGTACCGCGAGCTGGACGAAGATCCGTTTGCGTACATTCCCCGCTCGCCGCCTTCTCGCTGGTCGACGGAATCTTCACGGCCCTCAGTCGCTGACAAAGCGGACGTAAAAGTCAAGCCCACGCTCAGGCTGAGAGGACTCTTCAATCGATTGAGTATGACACGAAACCCGGGTTCCAATACTCCTGATCGACGCGAGTGCAATACGTGTGTGCCTTGCTTCATAGCTCTGATAGAACTCCAGAGACCTTCCGTGTGCAAGACTCTGACGTGGGGAGCGATCCTGAACGACCACCGCAGCCAGTGTTGATTCCATTGGAACCGGAGCGGGCCCTGAGCAGGAACCCCACGCCGAGAAGTCCTCAAGGATTTGCTGGTAAATGACCTGTGGTGGCTTCCCTCTTCACATCCGATATTCACATCTGCCAGATGCAATCACGCTCGCCCTAAACAACGGTACGTGAGGCCCCGATTCAGAGGGGACCCCGCTCAGTCGTCTACATAGAACTGGTTGACCCTGAACGCACAGATCCCAAACGTGTCTCACCCAATACAAGTCCGACGAGACCTGACTATACCGAGCCGGCATCCCGTCTGCGCCGCGAAACACCGCCGCTGCCATCGCCCCGCACTCGCCCAGACACCGCCATTCCTTTCCCATCGAAGCCGCCGCCCAGTTCGCGCCCGCTGCCGTTGCCAGAGTCGATCGTGCGCTTGCTGCAATGCCGGTCGATAACGCCGTCCCAGAGCCGAGCCCTCCCACCGCCGCTGAAGCCTAATGTGCGACTAGCAGCAGGAGTTGCGCCACCTCCTGTGATCCCTGCGCGATCGAAGCTGCGGCCACCGCCGATCAAGATAATCCGCCATGAAACAGATGCCCGGCCCTCTGCTACTCTGACGGAGAATGAGGATGACTCCGAAGGCGAAGACACTATTGAAGCGGTCCCGTCGGACGCTTGCTCCCAGTTTGCCATTTATCGCGCTCCGGCAGAGCCGCTGCTGCAGCCTGTCCCTGAAGAATCTGTCGCCGAGAAAAGTGCGGCAGCTTCTCAGACCAGCGGTGCTCAACACGGCCGTAGTGACGGACCGTCCCGGATTGCGAAGCAGGGCAGACGTCACCGAAGAACGTCGTCCAGTGTTTCCATCGTCGAGGTGCCGGGCAGCCCGAGCACTCAGCGCACGGATGATGCCCGTGCATCTCAGACACCCGCGCGGGGATTCTGGGCAGTGAAGCATCGGGTCACAAGGCTCAAGACTCGTTTGAGCGTGATCGGAGGAATCTAAGGCTTATTTCATTCATTCACTGGACTTGTGGCACACTCCTTTCGTGTAACTGGAACTTGCATCAATCTGGACTAACACGTACTACTACCGGATAGCACATTGTAACCAACATTCATTGTCTGTTTATACCCATATCGCCAGCATCAAGCCGAAGACGAGTAGAAATAGGTGCGAGGAAGATAATCCGATGGGAGCTGCAGTTGCCGCAGAAAGCCGCCGTTGATGGCCGCTTTGCTGTACACTTTCAGCGAGTTGATGCTCCAGGATGCGTTCTAAGCAGACGCTGAGAAAATCACAGAATAGAGCGGCACAAACACGGACGAACCACAAAGTTGGTCGGATCCATAAGACGTGTCGTACACGAGCCAGGACAGCCGGAAGTGGCATACGAGTTTCCCGCCCAATCACCTGGGGTCGCATGAGCTCAAGTCAGACAGAACAACAACCCAACGAACCGCAGAAAGTGATGTCTAGACACACACACAAGCCATTTCTTGAGCTCTTAAACAGAATCATCTCACAGACGACGCACCGAAAATGATCGAGTGGTTTACAAAATTGGTGATCGGATCGCAACTGGCCGGAGCCAAGGCTGCGACTGGAGGTCCCCAATTGGCAGGATTGGGGCTACCAGCCAGGATATCTCCAGGAATGGCCGAGCGGTAGAAGGAATCTCCGGACCACTCAGCACTCGAAATCGAAACAGGTGGGTCTCTCACAGACAGCAATCCCCTCTTCATCCCACTTCATCGCGAAGATCCCACCGCCTTGGGCCTCGAAGTATGGGCCGTAAGATGCTTTACTCCATTCGATGATGCCGCAACCAGCGTTCCCAGGTAACGTTCCATCGCAATCTGTAATAGGGGATCCATTCGCAGCCTACAACTGATTAAAGGGACCACCGCATGAACATGGAACGACTCACCAAAACATTGCTTCCTGTGTAGTTGGTTTCGACGGCCAGGGTGCAGTCTTCAAGGGGAGATGTTACATTTCATGAGCTCACGCTGCAAAGATGTCCACGCACTCGGTCCAGTGTGCCAAGTGACCTGATTGTGTTCGTTATCGTGCACTCCTTCGATAACATCTATCTCCCCCGTCTGCGTTGCATCTTCAGCTTCGGACTGCGCGCTGATCCCGAGAGCAACTCACATACGGCCATTGCCCTCCACCCACTGCAGACAGTGAGAAACGAAGTGACACAGCAGAGATAAAATCAACCTGTCCCTGCAGCACGGTAAGAGAGAGGAACAGACATCGGTGTTATCTCTTACAGAAAGCGGGCCAAACGCCTGCGGAGCAGATCAGAAAGAGCGGCCTCTTCTGAAACGGTGTCACTGACCACATCCCCACGGCGCTCGATTCAGATCGAGGATGAACAGACCCGTGTTGTATTGGGCTATACTCGATATCCGGACGCTGCGACGGTCAAGCAACGGCGGAACACAACTGAGCCAATGTCATTCACCTCGAACGATTTTGGCCTTCGGGCAGCCAAGTCGTATCATCGCCCTAACGCAGTCCGTTCAGCGCTCTGCGCCCGCGTTCCCATAGGTCCCCCACCTTCATGAAAACCGTGCCGTTGTCGGCGACATACACCAGACTGTTGTTGAATGCATACGATGAATTGACATAACTGGTGCAAACACAGTAAGCGTCTCGCGCGTCGCGTCACAGAACGCGACGTACTTCACCGTGCCGCTGTGTAGAGCTCATACATGAGCACGTCCGTGTGGCGGGGAGATGCGGGCACACGCACTGTGTCGGATCAGAATCGGTGTAGAACGAGAACCCGCTGGAAGCGTGTGTCCTGTGAGCAACGGTCGGGATCGGTGTGGATGGGGCGCGCACTCAAAGAAGGTCTTGCCAGAGTAGTCGTCTTTCGGGAGCCAGATGAAGGTGCTCCCATTTGACGCCGTCGCTAGCTCGTGAGAGCTCGATCTCGCCCAGAGATTGCCCCATCCCCAGCCAGAGTAAGATCTCGTGTCTGGGAAAGCATATGCGGGCTGAAGAAATATGGAAAGAACAAGAAGTAGATCGTAGCAATTCATTAGGTCGTGGTCAAGAATAAGGTGAAGTCGTGCCGTGCCCGAAACGCGTGGTGGGCTCCAACCTCAACTTTCTTCGGAGTTTGATAGCCGACCTGACACTAACTATCTCAGGCTAGCTCACGACTTATGCTGGTCAAATCCGTCGACATGCAGTGGATCATATGGAACATGACATAACAGGACATAGAAACTACAGAGAAGAACACGATCACCGGTATCGGCGCAAGCTGAGCGTGTTGTGCTTCTTCCAGGTAGACCGAGCCGGGGTGTGGTTGTGACGGTGTCCCTTGCCAAGACCACGGTTCTGCGCAAAATCGTTAAGCATGCCGAGCGAAACACCATCGTAGAAAGTATCCTCACTTGCTTGCCGATGGAGGTAAGGCCACGGGACTCGCGGTGCTTGTGCACGGGGTTGGCGATCCAGTTGATGCGGGCGTCCTTGCGGATCTGAAGTGGGCAGGCATATCAATGGGAAGCTGGAGAAGGAGAACTGTTGTAACGCACCGCCTTGTGCTGGGGGTCGACAAGAATGACCTCGTAGTACTTGTACACACCATCCTGGTTCACCCAGTATGAGTTCAGGACCCGCAAGTTGCCACAGCGGCGGCCGACACGCTCCTCGGCGGTGCTGCGGAGACCACGCTGGTACTTCAGGTGGTTGACACCCTGGCGCACGGGCTTGCCGTAGGTAGCACCTGGCCGACTGATCAGCACCTGATACACGCCTTCGACGAAGGCTATCATCACATACCCTTGGGGACAGGCTTTTTGCGGTTACCGCGGCGGACACGGATGCGGTAGACGACGTAGCCCTGCTTGGCCTTGTAGCCGAGGCGACGGGCCTTGTCGGGGCGAGAGGGACGGGAAGCACGGTGGATGACGTTCAGCTGGCGGTATTCCCAGCACCTAGAGAAAATGAGCGATCGTCACAGAATGGCGTCGAGTGCCTAACGCACCGCACACGGAGCAGGAAACGGAGGACATCCGACTGCTTCTTCTTGTAAAGTTCACCGATGTATTTGTATGCTCCCATCTGAAATAACAGCAACACGAAAAGGGAACACGGTCAGAGCTGAAGAGCGCGACGCAGTCAGTGGGTGTGCACTCACAGCTTTTGTGAGGCCTCAGACCCTAGTCTTGACGATCTTGAGGAAAAGTTGTGGAATCGACACTGTGGGAAAATGATGTGTCATGTGATACCTATGTAGGACCAACGCCTGTTCCATCCAGGTAAGATAATCGTTTGATCAGTGCACGTAAACATCATTATACACAGTTCATTATACACATCGACCGACTGATTTAAACTCTATCACCCTTTTTCGCGCCTAGCTTGATCCATGCTGCCGACAAAAAGAGGGCCCAGGCACAGAATATGAAGCCCGCAGAAGACACAGCGAAGACTTTGCCTCTCTTCTGTTCTCCACTAGAAAGCGATCCTTCCTCGAACGGAAGGACACCGGATCTAGAACTGCTTGTAGAGTAACGTCGAGGCGAAGCTGCAGCTTGCAAAAGGGGTTGAGTCGGGTCGTTCGATGGCGTCGTTTCATTTCGTGTTGTTCTCGCGGGCCGAGCGCGTCTTTGGTATTGTAGCCAGGCGACCCCCATGATGCTCAGCAACTGGAAGACGTTCAAGGACCAGAACACATTGAGAATGCCCTGGGTAGAAGAGCCATCGGGGCGGTCTCGCTTGTCCTTGTCCATGATGAATCCAGCCAGGGTCTGCAAGATTGTGGCTCCGCTTTGCTCGAGCTGTGAAGGATAAGAACATGCTTGAATGGAGATTGTACATCATCACTGACACTCTTATGCGCCCCCAATGCAGTGGAGATGAACTTTGCTGGGACAATTTTGGGGACAATGAGCACCAGAAGAACTGCATAGCACAGCTGTATTAGCAGTAGCATCTAGCGCAAGTGTGTCGACTTACGTGGAGCAAAGCCGTGACCAAAGCCAAAGGCAGCAATTGCTGGCTTTGCAGTCTTGGTCAACCCGGGCGGAAGAACCAACCACGTATAAGCACATAATGTCATGAAGGAAGAAAGCAGGAGGAGCATGATGACGATTGGTTTACGCTTGAAGCGGTCGACAACAAAACCACAGATCGGATACAAGCTGTTGGTGAATGAGCAATAATTGCAGAGAACGTGTGTGGACGACCTACAAGACGCTCCCGACGAGCACATAGGAAGCTGTGTTTGCTGCATCCTTTTCTGACATTTTGTAGCGTACTTCTATGATATTGCTGGGACGCGCATCACAACAAGAACGGACAGCGGTTTGAACAAAGGCTCACGCAGATAAATGGGTGAAAGGACTCCATATCATGCCTGTAAAGATATTTACTGCGATATAGCTGCGAAGTCATCAGTCGAAACGAAGTCGTGCCGGACAAAACGAGGCTCACGCCCAAAAGACATCGTTCAGCTTGAACATGTCCTGAAGATGGACCCGTCGCTTTGCAGCGACTTTCTCGAGGGCTTGGGCTTCGGTAATATTTGTGGCAGCACGCCTGCGAGCCTCTTCGTTGATGTCGGCAGCTTCGAGTTCGGCACCGCCCTCGTCAATCAGCCATCGAGAAGATGCAATGTAGATCAGATTCACGCAGACTGACACTGCTGTCAGGAACGTGGCCACATAGAACGGTGCATGCGGCCCGAATCTCTCGACAAGAGGATAGGAGGTGCGTGCCGAGATGAAAGACGCGCTTTTCCCGGCTACAAGTCCGAAAGCCATCGATACGCCCAGCCCATGAGACTTGAAGAACCGGGCAATGATGGTCTCTTGCACAACGGCAAGTGGCTTAACGCCGAGTCCGAAGATGAAGATTCCGGCGGTCATAAGTTTGACATTGTTCGCGAGATCCCCAAGCAGCAGCAGTGCAGTGCCTAAATCGGTCAGCCTCGGTTTCTGAGCCGCTTGCTGCTTTCATGCTCACCAGAGAACACAAGCCCGGTCGCGAGGATGCTCGTAAAGGTCTGCAAGCGGTTTTAGGGGGACTTTTCGAGGGACTTTGAATGCGACTTGCCGTGCCGAGCGTGCCTGCTAGTATCCCTCCCGCCAGTGGAGCCCATGTGCCATTCAGACTGAGAGCTGAGAGGAGGAGACTGTACTCTGCATGGCTCGCACCCAGATCTCTTGATATTCGGGATTTCAGCGGGCCGAGAACGTAAGTCGTGCTAGTGCAAGTATGAAGGTTTGGAGTGGGACGACGTCGGCACGAGACGTACTAGTGACTGCCGACACTAAACCAGCAGGCGCAGAATAGCGCAATGACGCGCACGAGGGAGGCCCTAAATTCCCTTCGCCTGACGCGCAAAAGACTGGGTCGGGCAGGAACGGGAGTCTCTTCCCGCTGGTGGAGCGACGTTCGGTTAATCGTTGCCGAGGTCATTTCGGAGTCGTCGTCAGAGGTGAACTCGAGGAGGTCTGGTTGACCATCTGTCGCTAGCAGTTCGTCACAGGATGAACGACGGTGCTCGCTCGCTTGGGACACTCGGAGCATTGACATGGGTGGGGAGAGGGGAGAGGGCTAAGCGATATCTGATTAGTAAACTGCTTATCAGATTTGATGCGTGATGGCTGGGCTCAAGATAAGATCTCGTCATCAATTACTCACGGTATGCGGCTCGCACGCGCAGTCCGATCGGACCAGGCTCCGAAAGGGGCTTGTAATTATCTTGTGAATTTACATAGAGTACATATAGTGTCTGGAATATCCAGGCAGTCACACAACTTGTGCACTGAGGCTAAATCTGCGCTGGGTGGTGGCAGCACTGGATGCAACGTAGACGCATGTGAGAACCAGGACTGCGGCAGTCAGCCCAAATTGGGTCCAGGCCAAGGCTTCGACCGTCAGCGATTGCATGCACCTGAAACGCGTTTAAAATAAACTCGGATAAATGGAGTAACACTTGCCTGGAGATCGGTGGGGAGGTGGGACATCTGCCCCCGGTCCTTGTATTGGAGAACAGGCCGGAGGACACGCCCTGCTTGCGGGTGAGAATGTGCGCATGATTTGCGACTAAAGGGGAAACTGACCCAGAGTACTGATGTGATGACCAACCAGAATAACGAGCTGGCTACATTTGCCAGCACGTGTATCATTCCATCAATGAGCCATAGAATGTAGGCTGCGAAAAGACAGCCGTCCAGGTCGAGTTAAATAGAATGAACAAAAGCAGAGAATGGTATCTCGTGCTCGGCCAGGTGCCGTGGTTATTTCCGGCATTCACCAGGAACGCACACAGTCCCATTTCGGCAATACTGCTCAAGAGAAGTAATGTGAAGAGGAAGGGGTGGATATGAGCCTGGATGGATGGCATGGGTGAACGACGAAAGAATACGATTCGTAGACGCAGATGACGGAGGTCATGTTCACAGAACGTGTCAGTCGCGAGGTGGACGGAACGAGGCGGGCACATGCAGGCAAAGCGTAGATTATTACATCATTAGAGCAGCCTTGGCTAGCTTCAGAGCTCCCTCCTTCGTTTTGTTTCCTATGTACGTCAATTGACATGTGATGCATAGGCTCAGAGCAAACGGGACTCACCTCCAATAAAACCCGATGCATGAACAAATATGCACCCATCGATGCCCGTCGCTGCTGACAATTTTTCGTCTCTCAGGCCCCTCCAGGGGTCCGGCAGCGCCTTTCGGCTCTCGAAGCTCTCCGACGCAATCGGAACAGCCTGCACTCGCCAGCTTTCGCCATCATCAGGGTACACAATGTAGATCGCCTTCTCGGACTCGGGGGTCTGCGATTCGGCCTCGAAATCGAACAGATGTTCCTGTGACCTTATCAAAGAATGCCTCACAGTCAAGGATTCAAGCACCCACTTTCCATGGTAAGAACTGCTCGAACACGATTATCTTTCCCGACGGCTCAGTTACCTTACTAGCAGCGATCGCCGCTATGAGCAGATCACGCGCTGGGAGCCAGGCATTGGCGTAGAAGTTCAGCTTTCGAGAAACTCTTGTCCCGTCAACTCCGACGCTTTCGAAAATTGGGCCTGGAAGCGATATTGGCGAAGGATTTCAGCTAACAAGATAGAGAAGAAACTCACGTCAAGAATGCTTGGGGACGAAGGCTGATTCCACACTGGGTTTAGGGATGCAACACGGCTTGACAGTCTGTGTTGCTCCGGTATTTGGGCTTGAGATCGGAAGGATACTGTGCAATACCGTTGTCCACAGCGTCGATCGCTTCGATGAATTGCTGTTCCACGTTCAATATACTTACAAGGATATGGGGGAACACAAACGCACTCGATACATCTTCAGCCATAACGTCGTCACCTTGTTGTCGTCGACCGCCAAGCCAGTTTGGTTGGCAATGATTTCCTGCCCAAAATGTCTATTCAAACGAGATCGAATCAAGTCTCATCGAGAAGCCCGAGAGGACTGACTTATAGACTAGACCGGCAGACGACAGTTTAGTTTCGAAGCCATGACCAAAGACCTCCGAGAAACCTCTTTGATGATGATCGAAGAGATTCTTGCTTTCGTCGTACACGGCCCCAACATCCACCACAATATCACATGTCTCAAGTACGGCAGGATCTCGCGAACGCTTTACTTCCGCATCCCGATAGACTGCAGTGTGTCGAAGGAGAAACACAGCAAGCGCTTCGTCACAGTGAAATGTTCCGTTGTGCGTGCCAATAACCTGGGGATCGAATTGACGAGATCGGCTGTGTTCTGAGGTAGGATGTATACCTTGGATGTTTTCTGCTTCTTGGCTTGTGGAACATCGACACTTGAAGCCATTTTACGAGAACCGATCGACAGGCGAGGAGGACGAAAAGGAAAGGATCGAACGCGACTGAAGAGAGCAGGCCACATGACACAAGATCACGGCACGAAGCTAATGCCGAAATTATTCATCGGAGAGCAGACTCCACGCCGATGTTCGCCCATGGGCCTTCGGCCATCTCTATGGTACTGTACACGATTCCATGTTCAAACGGGTGTGGTATGAGTAGTCCAGGGATAAGAGGAAAGTGGGAAAACATGATGCATTAAATAATGATGTGTACTCCAGTCCGACGAGTAAGTATGGGATGGATCCGCACGTATCTCAAACGAGGAGCAGGCCCGCCGCCAGCAAAGCGACGCAGGTGATCACAGGAGCCCGAGTGGATTGTGCAGCGTTCGTGATATAATTGTCGTCCGGGCCATAGCTACCGCCGGTGGCGCCCTTCACTGCAATCAACGCACGCAGATGGCGCGAGACAACGGACATACCGGTGAAGGCGCGACATCTGAGACAGGCACGGCGCTTCCGGTGACTAGGATCGTCGACGATGTGCTGGTCGCTGAGGCTGAGGAGGACGCCTGGGGTGCGGTAGTGGAAGTTGTCGGGGGGATGGTGCTGGTACTCAGAATTGTGAAAGTGGAAGTTACCACCTGTCTATTGCCCGTAAACCCGATACTGGTGGTTAGAGAGGTGATGACGGTGATTTGGGCGGATGGAGCTGCATTGGAGACAGAGCCGGACGCCGATACAGGTTGAGAGCCGCTGGAAGCCGGAGCACTCGCAGCCGGATTACTCTAGGAGGGAAGAGACTTAGGCCGGACAGGAATCATTCGGGAAGAAAGTGACCAACAGATGATTGGGAAGCGACGAGAGGAAGGAGCAGCAAGAGAATAGAGAATGGGAGCCACATCGTCGCTCGCGGAAACCTTTGCTTTCCCATTTTGTAACACTGCCACCTTACGGTACGTCATGTGCTGTGACGATTGGTGACTATTAGCGTATGCTTGGCCCGATGCCTGCAATCTGTATCACTCTTCCCGTGTCATGAATATAATTCGGCTTTTGCTTCGTGTCCTCCATGTCGAGCAACGTTGAATATCCCTCTCGCATCCAGCCAACCTCAATACTCACTCTGCTGCATTATATCTCCCCTACCCCGCAACCTCTGCCGCCACACCTCGTCGCCTCTGAACTAGCGCTTCGGCACTCGTACCTCAACATCGCCACAGATGATCCATCATACCTGATATGGCCCGGAGCTGATGACGAAGACGAGCGCGCAAAGACCGCCCTGGAGCATTTTCAAAGACTGCCGCTAATAGATGATCTAGAAAACTTCGACTTTGAGATCCGCTACACAGGAGGCCCATCAGTGTCTGCTCACGTCCAAGTCGGCGGAGATCTTCGGCTGGTCTTCCAATGGGAGGGAGCATGGAAATACATGAATGCTGCCCCAATGCCATTCCCAACGGAATCTCTCAATGATGTGCCTCCTCCTCAATCAGGCGACGATGTCGACGGCGATGACGATGTCCCAGAAGCTCCGGAATCGTATTGGGGAGCCTATGAAGCGACTCTTCCAGACGGTGATGATGGAGTCGTGAAAGAGATGGAGGGAGCGGCGGATTCCTATTGGGACATGTACAACGCCGTGCATGGAAGCGGCGATTCCGAAATACCCTCTCCTGCTCCTGAGAAAACTAGGCGCCCGGAGCAACCGTTTGCATACACTTATGCTGAGATGCACCCGCCCACGGATCCTATGGAGTCCCTAGCTGACCGCCTCGAAATTTTGGCTAATCGTCAGCCTTCGACGCCGGATGAAGACACGATAACTGTAGTTGATCGCACCGGCCCGGGCGTGTCTGGGATTGATGCACTCAGGGACAGCATCCGAGGGTCATGGAAGTTGTTTACAGCACGGTCGGACGCGACTTCAAGCGATCACGACATCTTTCTCAGAATCGTTCAAGAGGTTCTAGCTGAAACATAGCGCAATAATGTTATGTTCATTGCCGAGCCTTGCTGAAGCAATATTCAATCGTAGATATGTACTCAGGGCCTATGAATTATTGTTGTATTGAAGACATCTTGAAATTTTGGACCGCAAGATGAAATTTTGGACCGCAAGACAAGAGATGACGATGTGAATGAATCAACATGGAAGCAAATATTTTTAGAAGACTCGATTTCTCCCTTACTAGACGATGTAAGCTGGGGACGATGTAGACTACGTAGTGGAATCTGCGCAAACTTCAATAATCAGGCGCTGATCCCCGTGATGTGTTCTGTCAACGTCAGCTGTCTCTGTCATGTGCTTCCAATGCTTCGCATTGTTGCTCAATATTTACTTCCTCTTTGTTGATCTCGTGAGTCGCTATCTTCCGTTCATAACCACGATGGCCTCATCGGTCTGGCCTCACCGTCCCATTTCGTCTCCGCCTCCTGGCTCCGCATCCGAACGAATCTCTTCCTCACCTGAGGTTCTCTCATCCCCTTTGCACATGTTCCCTCGAATTCGAAGTCCCGATTCACCCGTCTCCAAGCGAGCTGAAGAGTATCGCCTCTCTTGGGATCCTCCGGCAGACCCCAAAGTGTCATACCAGCTTCCAAGCTTTCGTTCCCTCTTTGCAAGCGACGACGAACCACCCTCTACTTCAGACTACGCAGGGTCTGAATACTCGGAAACGCGCGAAGATGAATCTACCATTGACAGCGACCAAGAGGAGGAGAGAGAAACAGATTCTATTCGGATTGTCGAGTCACTTTCTTCTCAATTTCTGCCGAACGTGGCAGATGGGCTGAGGTCATGCCACGACATTTCCGTACCTCCGCGCGCACGACCTCCCCTGTTCCTGTCCCTGCTACCGTTTTTGTGTCGAGAAATATTTCAGAACCCGCGCCCTCTACAAAACCGTCTCCGGCCATCATTCAATCCCAACTGCCTTTCACCTCGCCGCCTCCGGCGCTCAGCCCTGATCTATCCTCCACACTTGGTCACAGTTCCCCCAGAACCTTTTCGGAGCCCTTATCACCCCTATCTCTTCCACCATCGTCGCTCGCTGGTGACTACGACATGGAGTTTGAGTCATTTCCGGACCTAGAAGAAACACCTTACGTAGGCCTGCTGGTTCGTCTCCCTGCCAGCTTTACGATCTGCCACTGACACGGGCGCAGGATGTTTCTGTCAAGAGCGAGATACCGGCTCAGGATTCGTCGACAGGTGCCGCTCTCTCAGAACCGATAGCATCTCCATCCCCATCCGAAAGAGCCATTTCCGCCGCCAATGGTGCTTCACTATCTCCGGTTTTGCAGCTTGCCGTGGATGTTGGACCCGAAGTCGAAGCTCGCTCACCGGAGACCCTTCCTTTGCATGAAGCGGATACAAACAGAGTCAAACGTCGTGGGGACCATGGCAGAGAAGAAGCGCCAAGGAAGAAAGCTCGCTTCGTGCCTGCCCTCGCTGCTCCGAAGCTATCGGATGCTAAACGCACCAATGACAAATCGCTACTCAAAGGGCTTCCACTGGAGAAGAAAGCCAAGGGTGAACCAAAGCCCAGGTCTGTGAAACAGCGGAGAAATCGGCCTCGATCTCCCTCCCGTGAGACGTTCTCCGACTTGGACCCCGAGTTGACTGGCATGTTAATCGAGTCCATGGCCACCTCTCGGGCATCCTCCCTCCCCATGTCTTCCTTATTCAAGATTACCATGCAGAGTTATCCTTCCTTCAAGAGTCGTGGAACGGAGGAGCAGTGTTTGGAAATGATGGAGCGTGCATTGGAGGCAGGCACTTTGGAAGCAGGGGGAAGTGGGCTTTTCGACAAAGTCGAGAGAGATCCCTCGGTGAGCCTGATTTCGACCGTCGTTTGAACGCTCAACTAACCTCCCCAGGATGAAAGCGAATCTCGTCACGACTCCCTGTGGTATTATCAGCCTGAACGTGATCCGGACCAGGATCGTGCCCAGCTTATCAAAAGCATGATGCCTCGACCGGCGAAACGCGCAGAAACGAAGAAGCACAAGCAGTACTATTATCGCCCGTTGGAAAAGATTTCGAAATGGGATTCTGAGGATGCCTTGTAAGATATTCAGGCGAAATCCGGGGCCATGTATCCTTGATCGCAACCACACCACCCTACTTTAGCTTATAACTTTATCAATTTCGTTCTCAAAATCAATGTATACCAGCCCTTTTGCGCTTTCGTATAAATATTGGTGCTTATCTCGTCTTAGATCGGTATAATATATCAGTCGCGCTTCCTATTTGCCCTAAGAATCAGACGAGACGTCTTCTCGAACAGGCAGGTCAGGTTGTCCGGGGAGGCGCTTGGGACAAGTTCAGAGAGTAGTCATAAGCGGCAAGTTGTGGACTAGACATACTTTGAAAGCGAATTTGCAGACGAGGAAACCCTCCGTACCAGGCTCTTGCCAGGCCTATGTATCGCGACTTTCAGTGCAGCTCGTCGAGCGGCAGCCAATATTTACCTTCTCGACCCGATAAAGGCCATCATAACGATATCTGCGAGGGATAAACAAGGCCTGCACAGATCCTCTGCAAGCTCACGCACCCTTCATAGGGAGCATAGCGGGAGTTGAGCTTGTAGCCTCGAATGACCCGAATAGGTTTCTTGGTTTCGGACGATTTCTGTTATGATCATCAGCGAAAGATCTACAATAAAGACAGGCGCAACGGATTGACTTGGAGAGCTTTATTGAACTATAATTCACGGTTAGGCCGCGAGCGACGAATATCTGACTTTCACAAACCGAGTTTTCAAATGTCTGGTCAGAGCTTTGCGGTGCCGTCCGCAGCTGATCACGGTCAACACTTCGAAGCAGGCCGGACGGCAACTGGAAGGCTCACGTTCAACGGCTTTGATTTGGTTCCTTTAAGGTCGCGTCCTCCTAAGAACCGTCAGCCCTGCCCACGAAGATCTCGAGGGAACCAACCTGATCCTGTGTATGTGCTCAGAACGAAATCAACACTCATCGCCGTTGAGTAAAATAACGCGTGACTTACAACGCGTAGCCACAGTCCACATCGTCCTCGTAACCTCCGCTGAGAGCGACGCTGTACGCGCCTTGATGGCCTCCAGAGATCCCTGCCACCCACGGACTGTGAAATAGTTTGAGTGACACTAGGCAAAGCAGCAGAGTGGCACGGTGTTACGCATGGATAGCATCTGCGCTGCATCCCTCCCTACTCTCCCACCACGTTCCCACCTGCCACTGTTCAAGCTCTCAAGTGTAGAAATGGTAGATGGCCTACCGTAACGCCAGGAATGGACCCGAACACCTTGCTGAGTCAAATGAGTCGCGCCGTATCGATGATGAACGCCGAGCTGAACACGCACGGATCGTGAATGCGCTTGGTGCCAGCTTCCTTCCCCAGCCGTCCTTCATTTTCTGTAGTCCGTATGCCGCTCGTGAAAGAGATAGGAATAGGTGAGCTGGTCGTCTTTTCGGTCTTGTAGTCAACTGCTTTCCCGGCATTTCGGCCACTCCGGCGCAAAGAAAGTGTCCCTCCAGAGTCCGGAGCCACTGCCGTGATCGCGGGATCAACTCTGGTGACTTTCGAAGGGGGAGCGCTGTCGTAGTCGTCTTCCAATTTCCTTTTCTTAGAGGGCTTAGGGCGTCTGACTTCTTTAGGTTCAACAAGTGGTTTTTTCAGCCCTAGACCAGTTGAGTGTACAGAAGAGGATGCTGTGATCTAGTGTCAGCATACCTATCTCCAGGAGAAGTGCCTTGTTTCTCTCAATGTTCCTTGCGCGTTGTCGTTCATATTCAGACACCATTGCGGCTGGGAATGAGGACGGCGGAAGCAAATCGAGAATGATAACAACCGTCACGTGAATGTGACATATCGCGTAAAAGCAACTTTTGGTTGTGATATGGTGATACAAAGACTAGGAATGTGAGATGCCTATGACTAGGAAACGGACCACTCTACTTGATGCGCTTGAGCTATCAGGGAGAATGAGATAATGCTCGTTGGTAGAAATCAAGCACTTACGCGGTCGGTGTTGCGGACGATCTTGTTATCCAGATTGACCGTCTTCTGCTCGATAACATCAATGCGCTGGTTCTGGCGGTCGAGTTCTTGACCCATCGCCATCCCAAGAGCCTTGAGTCGTTTCGTGGCATCACCGATCTCGTCCAGGTTGTCATCAATCTCGTCCTCCACTTCATCATCCGACGCGGTGGACTCGAACTGGAAGCGCTTCCGCTGCTCTTTGCGGGCGGAGACCTGATCCTCTGTCCTAAATCGTCTACCGTTGATCATCTGCACCTCCTCCCGCCCATACGTCTGAGCCTGGCCCAGCCGGTCTTGACTGTCTCTGATGTCCATCATGGTCTTCTCGCGCTCATTCCGTTCATCGTCATAGCGCGCCTGGATCTTGGCCTCCTGGGCGGCACGTTTCGCATCCTTGTTGAAAGTGATCACCGGACGGAAGATCGAACGGTTGAGTTGCCGCAGCTCATCTGTCTTGTCATCGGCACGGGCAGAGTGCCCTTTGGACACATCGAGATGACGCTCAGTGTTAGCCAGTCGCTCTGGGTGGGATGAGCTCTAGAATCAGAATACCAAACATCAGGATCGCACCAGATTGAGTGCCTAGCTTCCCCAGCGTGTTTCGGGCAGTGTCTTCAGCCTCTCGTGCGAGACGAAGAGCATTGCGGGTCGAGTTGGCGCTCTCCTGCTTCAAAACTCTGGTTTGCTTCTTGATCCCCTCGACATCTTCCTCCGTTTCCTCTCCAGTGGGGGGATCGCGGCCGACATCAGCTCCGTCGAAGAATCTGCCGGAGCCGGACTTTTCTGGATTGAATCCCGAGAAAAGGGCAGCACGGTCTTGATCTTGTTGGGAGAACTTTTCTCCGGGGCGAGAATACACATCTCCCACACCGTTGTTGCGGCCGTAGCGGTCACGCGGAGCTTCGCGAGGCTGTTGGTAACCATCGTCGTGGCTGTTGGATCTATAGCTGTCGTTGTTGGATTTGTGGGGTTCATTGTATTTGTTGTCGGATGGGTAAGAAGGTGTGCGACTGGCATACGGGTCGCCATCCCGGCTGGCCACATACGTGCTGGCACTGGATCGCACAGGACGAGGATTGGTACTGTTTCCATAGTCCCTGGGCTGTTCAGATTGAACAGGAGGGATCATAGACTTGTTATTGTCCTTCCGCTTAAAGAAAGACATGCTGGTGGGAGAAAGAGACAGGAGGGAGCAAGCACAGCAGGGTGACTACCGGCGATCGAGTGTTTTTGATGGGTGGCCGTGCGACGTGTGCTATGCTGAATGCAGTGCGAGGCGTGACTGAAAGGCGCGTGACGGCACGCGAGACTTTGACGCGTTCCTTACTACAACCACCGCCCGATACATCCTCTACAAATATGTCACTTTGGGTTGACAAAGTGGGGAAACCCTAACTTTCAATTTAACGATTCATGAATATTCACCTTCTAGTTCCGCCCTCGCACGCTTGAAGATCTGCATTACCATGAAGGACTTTCGACGCGACTAAAATCCCTGGTTCGAGCTCTCTTCCTGCCACCCTCTCTGACCAGATATATAAACTTTTGAACAGGCTGCATCTGGAGACTTTCCTCATATGCTGTTCTACGGGCCTTCGGGAGCGGGCAAGAAAACGCGTATCACTTGCACACTCCGGCAACTCTTCGGTCCTGGCGTGGAGAAGGCTTGCTCATCACCAATCCCACGATCGCATTTAACTTTTCACGCAGCTCAAAATTGACCAACGGGTCTTTCTCACACCTTCGAAACGAAAGATAGAAGTGAACCTCGTACAAAGTAACTTCCACATCGAAATTACTCCCAGGTGAGAGTGAACGCCGGCGAAGTTTCCTGATTCTCACTTGTTCCTATAGTGAGGCGGGGAATTATGACAGGGTGGTGATACAGGAACTGCTGAAGGAAATTGCGCAGACACAACAGGTGGATCTAAATGCAAAACAACGATTTAAAGGTGTGTAGCGGACGTTGGTTGCTCAAGATCCTCTCTAAGATATTTCAAGTGGTCATTATCAACGAAGCGGATACACTCTCTCGTGACGCACAAGCTGCTTTGAGACGAACGATGGAGAAGTACATGTCGAATATGAGAATCATACTTTGCGCCAACAGCACGAGTCGTCTCATTGCGCCCATAAAGAGTCGATGTCTGCTCATGCGTGTGGCAGCACCAGATGATAAAGAGGTGGGGCGATTATTTCGGCGACCAGATGTTTTCTCAGGAATCTCCAGATGCAAACAGTCTTGGTCCATGTCTCACGACGAGCTTATTTCGATCTACCACCGGAAGCGGCCCAAGAGATTGTGAAGGACTCTGGTGGCAATCTCCGGAAAGCGATCTTATGTTTAGAGGCTCTCAAAATGCAATCGTCAGCAATTTCTGGCATGGAATCATACTCGTCGCTCAACAATCTTCGCAGATCTGACTTCACCGGCCCGCTTACCATTGTCAAACCAGACTGGGAGACCTATTGCCAAAAGATTGCTGTGCTCATTGTCTCGGAGCAAACACCAGCCCGTGTCATGGACATTCGTACGAAGTTTTACGAACTGTTGAGTCACTGCATTCCTCCGACGGTGATTTTGAAGGTTTGTGCCCTACAGCATCGTCGCACCGTTGCTTAACCACAAACGCAGACAGTTGCAGAGGCTGTAGTCAGTCAGGTGGACGAAACTCTCAAGGCTGAGATCATGCACTGGGCAGCTTTCTATGTCTGTGGGTATGCATTCACCTTTCGCTCGTCCTGACGCTCGCTTCAGGAGGTCCGAATGCGCATTGGGAGCAAAAAGATCTTCCACCTGGAAGCGTGGGTTGTCAAGGTCATGAGCTTGTATAAGGTGAGCGTCAAGATTTGAAATGGGTATCGCGCACTGAAGTCGAATTGCAGCAATCGTTTTACCAGTTTGATATCTCCGATTTCTAAATACACTTGTAACGGACAGATCATGTTTTACGGCCCTTGGTCTTGCCGAGTTTCGGTTTCCCAACCACTGTGACGCCTTTCCCAGACTTGACCACACTCTCAAGGGCAGCCTGCTTCTGCTTTTTGACGCTCCTCGGTTTGTTGAGTTTGGCGTATTTGTCCACGCTCTTGTTGAGGGCATCGCGACTCTTCTGCTTGGCCTTGCGTTGCTTTTGATGCAGCGCTTGCTTCTCGGCAGGCGTCAGCTCACTGCGGGCCCGCATATCTGACGACGAAGCAGCGAAAATCTCCTCTGGTGCCAGCATGGAGTTCGCAGACTTGGTTGTCGGAAGAGCTGACTCCACCGTCGTTGTTGAGACATTTGCTACTGCGGTGATTGCCGCCTTGGGCTAGATAAACGAGTTCAGTGCGTGACATTGATCGATGAAAAATACGAAACCAACCTGCTTGGGAACGTAATGAGCGTTGCAGAGCGCATCGAGCTTTCCTGAGATGCCCTCCCAAAGCTCTTCAAGTTCAGCATGTTCCTTAACCAGCTTGCCGTCCCTGTCGTCGGCTGATGAACCTGTCTGCGCAGCCACGTAGTCGCCCTCGTAGATCTGGGCAAGAGATTGGGACGACTTTTTGTCTTGAAGCTCGAAGTATCGGCCGGGAAGGAAAGGCTTGTCCTCCATGGGACGAATTCGCACAACATCGTCGAACCGACCTTCGAGAATTCTCGCTTTGATGCGGTCCTCGAGCTCCTGTACTCGATCTTCCGTCACAACTGGGACAGCCTTGGCCACTCGTTCATAGTCCAGGTCCTCCTCCAACAGCGAGTTTTGTGGTCGAGATCGGGCACCGGCTTCACCCATCACAACCCACTCTTTCGGGCCGACATTCTCTGATTCCAAACTGGATATTTGTGCTCGAAGCTCCGCCAATCGCCGTTCATGTGTAGAAAGATCTGAAGAAGGTGAGAGAAAGTCACTTGTACAAGGTGGGACTGTAACCTGTTGGCTGCTCTTCGTCTTCATCGTCAGCGAACAAATCGTCTTTCAAACGCTCTATGGTCTGCCCTCCATCTAGGCTGTCGCTCGCAGACAGATCATCCGTTTCGTCGTCGGCCGATTCTTCATCATCATCCTCATCCTCATCTCCGTCTTCATCTTCGTCAGCTTCCTCGCTACCCTCGTCGTCGCCACGCAGAGCACCGAAACCAGACATCTCGTCGTCTTCGTCCCCGTCCTCGTCATCGAATAAAGAGGGCCCATTTAGAGGGAGGTTTTTGCCACTGGCTTTGATCTTCTTTACCCGTACTTCTTCATGGAACCGAACACTACCCGGTTTTCTAGGGGATTGACCTTTTTGGGTCGAGAAGGGGTTCCTCGAGGCGGTGCGAAGAAATCGGCATAACGCGCCTCTACATGTCGCTCAAGAAGAGATGGACCGTGTTAAGAGATTCACGTACCGCCCACATTGTTTTCATCCTCATCGTCAAAGGTTTCTGCATCATCCACTGGCGCAAAGAGGTCAACTTCGTCATCTTCCTCGTCGGACGAGTCCCCGTGTAATCGTCCTCTCGAGACCTTGCGAGCTTCCGCTTCCTCGGTCTCCGCGTTGAAAGCTGCCAAGTCAAAGAATCCATCGTCAAGCTCGCTCTTGTTCCCTCTCCGCCGGGGTACCAATCTCCTCTGCAGCACTGCGTCTTCTTCGTCTTCAGACGACGGATCCCTCAAAGAGGCGACGTCTTCCCCAAGATCAGAGTTATCTCCATCGGACTGTTCCTCGGATTCAGCTTCTGTGCCGTCGTTGTCATCGTCCTCGTCTTCATCTTCATCTTCCCAACCATCCACTTCCATAGCATCAAACCCACTGTCCTCGAGAGCTTGCATCTTTTCCAGCAGTTCCTCATCCACAAACTCTTCATTGCCGTTCTGTTCGTCTCCGTTCATCCCATCCTCGTAATCGTCTTCGTCTTCGTCCGCGACATCTCCTTCCAAAGCCAAGGCGAGCATGTCACATACATTTTTCATACGCAGGTCGATCTGAGCCCATATTTGGTCATCATCTAGGCCGTCTGTGTACAAAGAAGCCACAGGCGTGGGGTTGAACACGAGCGGGGCTGGTTTGGGTGGGCTAGTGCTACGTTTGCGCTTCTTGGAGGCTTGTGACCGTGTTTCGGGTGCCTCTTCAGGTGTCAAAGAAGCGAGAAATTTGGAGATGTAGACACTGGACGCGTTCTCCGATCCCAGTGCTGAAGTGACATGAGCAGATGAACGTGAACCAAATGAAGAGATAGTGGAGGACAGTCGTACATAGATCAAAGATGAATTTGGTTGCCGCTAATGCTGTCGCGTTAACCCTAGGGGCAGCAGAATCGAGGACGCATGTCGGGTCGTTTTTAATCAACTCGGTAAGTGCAGTGAGTTCGTTCGGGTCAGCTCCAAGCAGAGACATCAGGGCACAGCTGAAGACCAGAAACGAAATTTTGGAGTGATGTAAGCTCAATTACGCGTTGTTTGTCTCAGCCAAACTTTGGCGCGACTTCCGAACCCCGACGCGTCGGTGACAGCGACGGAGTCCCAGATGAAATATGGCAAGATGTGGCCTAAATGCACTCATGCAACTTTCCTTCGCGATCAGAGACTGTGTGAATCGTCTCGTATGCCCCTCATCGACGTTAGCAACGCTCGGGCCTTCCCTCAAACTTGACTCGTGGAACAGCAACTACGCGGGTGTGTTTCATTCTTCACAAGCTTCACATCTGAAATGCAGAGCACAATTACGTTCTCGACTTTGTACTCCTTCTTTCGCCGCATGTGGAACAAAGCCAACAAACAATAGTACAGTGCGCCATTGTTCTCTGCGATCCGCCCTTACGAGATGCGGAGTATAAGACCAACTCTCGAGTGTCACATTCCTGCACATTTACTTCCTATTCCCATTTTCTTGTCTACGACCCTCACGTTCTTTCCAACTGCCCGCCAGACGAGCATTTTAACGACTACGCGACTTCTTTTCAGACCTCGATAATAACTTGAAGATGATTTCTGGACTTTCTAAAGCCATCACGCTCTACCTGGCTCCTATCCTCACTCTGACGGCCATCGTTCTATCTCTTCTCGCTTATCTGGCACCCGTCCTTCTCCTTCATGACCAAGTCGCGCTTTTGACTGTCACCCCTTCGAAGATCTTCAATCAGGGCTCTTCGAAAGCAATTGACGGGCCTTCCGTCTTTTTTGGGGCCATAGGTGCGGCTGTCTCCCATTACATCGCGTACAAACCATGTGAACTGGCTTTCCTCAGGATCCTGCTCTCGCTCTGCTAATGCCGCCAGCATCAATTGTACCCTCGCGTCCTTGAATCCCACTTACGGTATGTACGATCGAATGTTCGCTTTCTGAATGCTCAAGGATTGCCCAAGACCTCTCCGTCCTGCCGTCGAACGCCCCCAAATTACTTCTCTCTGCGCCAAGCCAGGCCACTCCAGTGTTTCTTGGACTGGCACTGGCTTGCTCGATCATCTTCTTCTTCACCTTCACCCTCATCTCTTTCCGGCACAAGATGGGAGCGAAGATGAACACGATGATGGAGAACCCCAATATGCAGCGATTCTCAGCATGGATCGGTTTCTTTGGCTTCATGATTGGTGGGAGGATGTTTCGCGCGATCGCCATGGCTGTTGTTGACCTCGTGCAGGAATCACCTCCTTCCTCATTCTCCGCATGTGGTTTGGTAAGGCGGTCTACGACTTTAACCAGACCATCGCCCTGAGCGGTGCTAATGGGCCTTCAGTGGTTGCCAATATCGGCAACGCTTTCACCAGTGCGTCGTCCCATCGCCGACTCGGCAAGCAAACCTGACTGTATCATAGTGGTTTGGGTTGCGTATGCCTTCTACGGTGTCCCCTTGATCATTTCTCTCTCCAAACTGAATGTCACAGCGACGAAGCAGTGAACATAGGACTTGACAAGCGGGCACGCAATGGATCACCTAGTGTAGATTATCATAATTCTTTTGTAGCGAATAGCAAATACACGCTTCTGACCTCGAACAATTATTGCAACACAGAATTCGTCTTTCAATTTCGATCAGGGTGAACGAGAAACGATGGGCTCAGAGATGGATTGTGAATGGAGTGCGCATAACCCTGTAGCTAAAATACACCATACATAATCAGAACACGGGCTGCTCAACGTAAGTCTCAGCCTGGTACTCCTGGGCGGGGGGAGCGTACTCCTCCGCCGCCGCCGGTGGGGGAGCAACACCGACCGGCTCCCGCTGCTCCGATGAAGGCTCCAAGATGATCTTGTCAACAGGAGGCTCCATGATAGTAACAGCGTCGGGGAGAGGCTTGCGGGGACCGGTCTGGCCCTCAGGGTCGTATCCCTTCATGCTATCAGGTATATCAGTCACACATCTCCAGCAAGTATCGCAGACGCACATTTTAACCTTGATACCGAGCACACCCTGCTTCAAGAGAACGTGACGGACGGCAAAGTCGACAAAGTCAACGGACGGTTGTCCGGAGTGGATCATGAAGCCATCGGTGAATTTCATGGACTTCGCACGGGCTGCACGCAGCTTTCCGGAAACAACGACCTCGCAACCCTTGGCACCAGACTCCATGACAAAGCGGAGGACACCATAGCAGGCACTGCAGCAAGGTCTGAATGCAATAACAGAAGCACAGCGCAGATAACACACCGACGAACGGCAAGACCACCAAGCAGTTTGTATCGCAAGCTCTCGCACTGAGCGATAGCAGAAAGGCCACGGTATTGGACCTTCTCGGCGTACAGCTCGAGCGAGTTTTCGGGGAACTTGAAACGCTTTTGGACGAGAGCAGTCAGCTCGCGAATGCGGCGACCCTTCTCTCCGAGAACCTCCTGGGTGTGGGTAGCCCGGATGATGATCTGTGGGTCTATGCTGAGATTGGATATCAGAAAAGATCGCTAGTATAGTACCTCAGTGCGGGCGTGGGTGACACGGACATCGCAACCAGAGTAACCCTCTTCGGCCAGCTCGCGGGTGAAGAATTCGTTGAGTTCAGCACGGAAAACACCGTCGGCGACGAACTTGCGCTTCTTGCTGATTTGTGTGGCCATTTTTACAGTCTGGCAGAGCGATGAGATCGAGTAAACGCGCGATGACTAGATTATATACCTTGAGGAACAGTCGAAACCGCGATGATTTTACCGGTGCACGTGTGAAATCAGAACTGGACAGCTACGATCCTTGCTTACATGTCTTTGGCACGGTCCTTGATGCTATCAGTGGCTGTATCGATATTTCCTACTTAAGCCGCCCATTGCATTGAACCTGATCCAGAACGCGCTCTCTGCGTTCTCGCCAGCCCTTTCTCTCTTGCTTCGGGTCTTTACTGCTTCATCATCGTGTTTGGCTCTCTCCGAGTTAGGTTATTGGGTTGAAGGTGAGCTCATTTCCCGCATTTCTTTTCAATGACGAGTTCGCAATATATTTGCACCTTTTGGCACCTCTGAGTAGAACTTGCCGCCACATCACTGGCCTAGCCAGCGTGGAGCATTGACATGAACGACTTGCTGAGATTTTTCCCCCTCTACACGTCTCTCTGCCAGGACATGCTGTATTGACTGTTCCTTCTCAGACTTCAAGAAGCACAATACGTTTGCTGTAGTTTTCTCTCTAGTAGTCCTGAATGTCACATTGTTCATAATGTCTAATTTTTTGAGACTGCGATCAAAACGATACAAATTTCGTTGAGTATAATTTCGAGGCCTTCCCACGTGGAGAATGTCGCCGGCATTCACTGAAAAACGAGTCTGACACACATACGGCGCAAAATTGAGGATTCATAATCACAGTCACCCTTGCGTTTACCTACAACGCCTTTCCTTTCATGTGTCTTAATGTGAAGTGCGTCAAAGATGGAAAGGCGTTCCCGTTGGAGAATGACTATCGAAGCTAGGCAAGACCACTCGTATTTACAGCTTGCTCGCGCTGCGGGCTTCGTTGACGAAGATTCCTGCTGCACCCATCCCTTGAATAACTGCATTCAAAAACTATAGCTGGAGCATTGTGAGAGGAGACTGACCGCTGCCGATACACATGCTGGTGCACAGCAAAGACTTGTTGGTCCGCCGCAACTCAGCGAGCCCAGTAACGATCTGGCGGGCTCCAGCTGTGCAATCGCAGCGAGCTGAGTTGTCGTCCAATTCACGAGATCAAACCACTCACTCATTCCCAAAGGATGCGAAATGGCAATCGAGCCACCGCTACGATGTTGCGATCAGAACTCGGTGAGCGAGCAGATACTTCAACTTACTTGGGATTGATTTTCTCTATCGGGATGCCTAGCTCTTCCACGCAATAGGCAAACTGGGAAGCAAACGCTTCGTTGATCTAGGAGGAAGTCAGTTCTGACACAATGTCCGGATTACGGTCTGCTCACCTCGTAGACGTCGATATCTTCCTTCGCCAATCCAACTTGTTCCAAGACTTTGGGGACGGCAACAACCGGAGATATGCCCATGTATCTAGGCTCGACACCGACGACAGCACTGCCGACCCATTTACCCAGGATCTCCATCCCCTCTTTTTCGGCACGTTCTCTGGTGGTCATGATGCAAATGGCTGCCCCATCGCCAACTCCACTGGCATTCCCAGCGGTCGTCGAAGCTTGTCCCCAGTCCGGAAAGACCGGTTTCAAGCCCGCTAATGATTCAACGCTGACCCCGGGGCGGATTGTGTCGTCCACAGAGATCACACTACCATGCAGTTCGAGAGGGATGATCTCTTCCGCGAAGATTCCAGTGCGCTGCGACTGAGCTCAAGTCAGCAAAGCACGAGTGCAGTCGAAGTGAAAAGGAACCTCGATGGCACGCGTATGGGAGATCAACGCGTATTTGTCTTGTGTTTCCCGGGACACCTTGTAGTGTTCAGCGACCATCTCCGATGTCCATCCCATAGGCTGTGAAATGGTTCATGATCAAAAAAATAAAGGGAGACACTAAGCCATACTTGAACACAGTCGTGAGCTGGTGCGGACTCGTCGACCGATGCGGAAATTTGTGGCGTAGGACGTGGGCTATCATACAATGTTATTCGGATCGCATGCAGACCATACACTGCGCATGCTTACTGCATTGTCATGCTTTCCACACCGACAGCAACACCGATGGATGTTTCTCCAGCCTGAATTGCGTGCGCGATATTCCGAACAGCCATCAATCCCGAGGAGCACAGTCGGTTGACAGTGGAAATCGGAACTTCGGCCGGAATGCCAGCCGCTAGGGCTGCTGCCCGGGATACATAGAGAGGTGAAGGAGGATGGCAAGTTCCTATGTAGCTACTTCAGGAGGAGCCTCAAAGGGAGAGATCACAGAAAACGGTCGCACCAACACATATGTCGTCGATCTTACTGGGGTCGAGCTTGGTTTGCTCCAGAGTAGCCTTCCCAATTGTCAGAGGAGAAGTGCCCTCCTTCAAGGCTCACACATACTTTGAACACTGCAAGCAGCAGTTCGTCAACGGTAGTGTCCTTGAACTGCCCCTTCTTCATTCTGCCGATAGCACTTCGCTTCGCGAACGTGAAGACGACGTCCTCCGGGTTCTTTTGGAGGATAGCTGTGAGGCCTCGCGGGGAACGCGTGCTGGCGGAGCGCGTAGAGGGGATGTGTCGGAGGAGAGTGCGCGTGAACATGGCGGTTGGATTCAGGTTCGACCGTGGACCCCACAGGCTCCTTTCAGTGTTAACAGAAATCCGGCGCGGGGTTCCGAACCCAGCCGAGAGTCCGAGAATCGAAGATCAGCGCGCGGTGCCAAGAGCAAATATTCAAGTTAGAAACAACTCTTCGACCTCTGGCTAGGACGTTACTACATTTCGGCCTGAACCGTAAACTCCACATTGAATAAGGGTCGCTGATGACAATAGGGAAAGAGGCAAAGCCACCCACCGACGACCATGAGCATGTTTATTCAAATTTCAAACCAGAATCCAAGACATATTTAGGCGCAAACGGTCGCAAATGATAGCTTCGATCCGTCCGAGGGGGACGGGTTATAAGGAGTATCTCTGTAATATCCATGCAACAACCTGCGCTTCTCGAAACTTCTTGCTGTTTGTATCTCCCTTGAAACTGAAAGCTTCTGTGATATATATAATGTAATACTCGTAGCGACTCGGAGTAGACGACTCTTGTCGGTTTCTTTGCGTGTCGTCCTGTAAACACACGGAATTTCATTTCATCCCTGCTCTGGTAAAGCTCGGAAACTGCGACCCAATATTGTTCCCATCTTGCGCGTGCACTCATTCCATCCCTCAACGCCGTCTCATAATGGATTCTCCCTATTGATCTGCTTCCACATTCGACTCAAGAACGAATAGCAGTTGCTGCATAAGTGATGTGCAAGCTTGGGGGCACCACATCCGGGACAGTGCACTATGTCTAGCACCCGCCTGTGAGAATGTCCCAGTGGTAGAGGGAACAAGATACACACTTTGTTTGTCCTTCAACCCCTTGTTAGCTTCTCGCATGGCTTTTCTAGAGTGAGATGTTTTCTTCTTGGGTACGGCAAGGACGAATGGAGGGAAGAGCTCCTCAAGGAGAGACTGTAGGGACGGCATTGACCAAGCTCGCGAGCCTGTCAGAAGGGAAGGGACGGCAAATGCCCATAGACGCGTCGGCAGTAATGGATAGGGAGTACGCGCGAATATAGGACGCGTGAGTCGAGGGATTTGGGTGGTGAGAGCAGCCATGGCCGTTGGGAATCAAATTCGAAATTTAGGCCGCTTTCAAGCTCCGATTGATGCTAATCCTAACCCGAAGGGCCTTCGCGTTCTCTATTCACCGTCATGCTCCGCGTCACTCGACCTTTGCGCCAGGCGCTCCGGACCACCACGGGCCTCACCGGAATCGCGGTCCATTCGAGCCCCTTGTCGGCACTCACCGAGACGTACCGAAACACCCTTGCTCAGCTCTCACACATTCCCGAAACGGCGGTCTACCGACAGGCGACGGAAGCTCTCATACAACACAAATTGAACATCGTGCAGGCCGCAAATGAGGATGTAGCTGCTGTTGAGAAAGGTCTGGGGGAGGGGTTGATCGAGGAGTCGCTTCTCATTGCCGTTGATGAGCTGAAGGTTGCTGGAGAGATGCTCCAGTGGAAGGCGTGAGTTGCAGAGCTACTCGGTACTACGTCACCCCGCTAATATGCTATAGATGGGAGCCGTTGTCTGAAAAACCTGCCCCAGGGCAGTGGGAATACAGCTCATAGACATACGTGGTTGAAGAGCATAGATGTAATAGCATATGTATGCACACCTTCGCTCGAGATCTACTTCGCACTGATCTCGACCGGCTCGCCAATACTTGGCCTTCTGGATTACCTATATAGTCTCTGAGCCTTTGAGCTGATGACGTCTCCTCGTTTCTCTCGATTTAAGCTGCATTCAATAGACTAGACCGATACAACATTGATGAACGTACAGCCACCCATCGTTATTCTCTCCTCAACCTTCATGGACTCTCTGATACCCTTTACGACCTCTGGGTCGTTGGTCGATTGCGTAGACAGTAAGCTCCGATAATTTGACTGGGACATGCACCCTGAGCTTCGCACCTACTTCTCGTGTCCACCGCCATTAGGGAAGATGCTGGTGGTATTACGAGACGGCCGAAAACTGCACGGGGTTCTGCGCTCGTATGATCAGTTTGGTGGGGACACCTTGGCTTTCGCTGGGAGACATCTAACGACGACTTTCGCAGCGAACCTGGTCCTAGAAGACACCATTGAACGAATCTATCACGGCGGGGCTTTTGCTGAAAATTGGCATGGGTTGTTTCTTATTCGCGGAGAGAATGTAGTTTTGCTCGGGGAAATAGTGCGTACACCGCACTGCAACATAGGCATGAGCTCTGATCTTTCCGTTCAGGACCTCGATCTGGAGGACGAGGTACCCATAGGTCGCCAGGTCGAATATGGGCAGCTGGAACCATTCCATAAAAGCGAGGTGGAGACTAAGAAAGAGAGGGAAGAGGTCAAGTCCCAGATTCTATACGAGCAGAAAGGGTTCTGTAAGGAGGGTGGTGAGGGCGATGGTTACTAGCCGGCCGATGGGGATATGCAGACGCGGAAGACCGTCCGGTCGAGGAGGGCCGGCTTCACAGGCAGATTCATTACGCCTTCCAGTATCATGGTCAGATACATCCTGTACTTGTTGTAACATTGAGAGAGCGTACTATATATGCACTTGAAAGTAGGAATGGCTACAGAGAGAAATACAGTAATTCGAGAACATTTCGATTAGCAAGGGAGATAGAAATACACTCAAGGCACGTTCTTCCTCTTCTTAGTCTTCTTATTGTCCGCAGCGGATTTAGATTTGGAGTTGCCGTTCGTAAGTTTGGACGGTTTCAGTGGCGAAGCAGAGAACGGATTGGTACAGGACCGGTTGAATGGCTCGACGATGTCTTCAATCCGCTTCCGGAGCTCGCGTTCTTTCGTCGTAAGCCGGTTGAGAGCCTCCTCCGTCTTCTCCTTTTCCTTGATGATGTCGAGGGCTCGGATGGTCTGCCAACTGAAACGGATTCGTGAATGGGTGTCAGGCATTCGACAAGACCGCAGCTCACCCTTCATGCCGATCACATCTGAAGTTTCCAGCGCACCACCAAGCCTCGTCAACCTGCATTGAATTGCTGTCCTTGTCGTCGTAGGTATCGAGGATGGCTTGAGCATACTCCGCCGCCCCAGGTTCAGTCCATTCGTCTTCATCCATCAAGATCCGTTGGTCCCAGCCGCATTGCTCAACTTGATCTGCTCGCTCTTTGGCACTCTCTAGCAAGCGCTCGCGCCAGAGAACAATGTCCAATTTGTGGCGAAGCCCTTCGCGGAGAACCACAAGCTCCTCCAGAACGCTTTCCAGATTGGCGACATCGCGATCTTTTTTACCCCCAGAGGTTTTGACGCGCGAGACGGTTGTCAGTTTTCCGTCTTCTTCTTGTTCCTCGTGAATGATCACCACCGCCTCGCGCCGTTCCGCAAGCTTGACGCTTTCCCAGAGAGCCTCCTTCTTGCCCCCATTCTTGGTAAATGTCTCGATCCGCTTGTGCAAGTTCTTGACTCCACACTCCGTGGAGCAGTATTTAGAAAATGCGCCCTGCGCGGGCTTGTGACAAGCATTGGGGGAATCTGGATTTGCATGATCAAGTCCATAACGGCAGCGAGGCTTGTAAGTCGTCTTGAGCGAAAGTTGAGGGTTTTCTGGAATCAAACATCATCAGTACATGCTTAAAGGACTCATTTCGGACATACTCTCAATACAGACAGGACAGAAGAACTGATCCACCAGATCCACGACCAAGTCTGGCATTTCTACACATGAGGTGTGATACCACTCGTCGCACCTACACTTAATGAGACCCAGGAAACAAAAGGAGCTGAGTGCACTTGCCTGTCACACGCAATCATGAATTTATCCTCGTCATAAGTAGTCTTGCAAACACAATATAGTTTGTCGTCATCAGTCGCCAGCACGTCCTCGTCCTCGTCTTCCGGCTTGACTGAGCCCTCGGGGCCAACAGAGCCTCCTGGCAAGACTGAAGCTGACCGAGATCGAGATGCCGACGCAGCAATCGATCCACCTTTGCGAGATAGCGTGTTTGGAACTTTGGACTTGAGCCTGACGCACTGGCATCGGAGGCCTTGGCAGCCTTGGGCTTGGGCACTGCCTTCGCTCTATGTTTCGTGGCTGCCCCTTTGGACTTCAGCGCCGACTGTAGCAGTGTTTGGTTAAGACTTCGCAAAGAAAAACTTGCCACGCGCACCTTGGTAGCCACCATGTCATTCGAGCTCTTCCTCTCCAGCCCTTCGGTGGTTTTGGGATGGGTGAACGATACCGGAGGTGGCATGGATTCACGCTCAGAGACGATGGAAGACGCAAGAACCCCGCTGGGAGCAGGCGAAACGAAAGAGGGTGGTGAGGGTGACACCGCCATCGGCGAGACATGGCGCGATCCTGCCGTCTCAGCACTCGGGACTTTCGGCACGGATTTGGGTGCGTGTCGAATGGGTTTGTCGTCAATGAGACTGAGCAACTCGTCTTCCACGTCGATTTCCATTTGGATCACGGGTTGTTCGGGTTCGGATTGGGTTCGTTCTGGTTCTCCTGGTGACTGCCCTTCCCCGACCAACTCAGCCACCACCGAGTCAACATCCATAGCCTCTTCCTTCTTTTCTTTGGGCTCGGATTTTACGGAATCCGATCGGCGCAGTGGAGTAAATTCTTGCTCGAGAGCGACAGCAGCCTCAGGCATGGTGGTGGGTCCAGCAAGTTTTGGCGGAGATGCGCTTGTGCCTTGTATCGGGCTTTGACTTTGGCTTTTAACCACGTGGGAAGGAGCAGGCCTAGGCTTGGGCAATGAAGCTGTCGGCGAGAAGATGCCATCTGCCTTGGATTTCGCAACAATGGTTTTAGCGTCGCTACCCATATCCGGGGGAGTGGGATCAGCAAAGTGCTCCAAAAGCCATTCATGTGCATCTTCTTCCTTAGACTGTCGGACCAGGGACGGCGACTGGGGCGGCAGCGGCCGACGGTGGGGTGGGCCAGTGCCCTGCGCACGACTCTCTATCGATTGCCCTGGCGGTGGAGACAGGTGGATCTCAGCATGGCGGCTCGAGCCAGGTACAGGCGAATGGTCCACTGCGGCCATGCGAGATGCGAGCGAGCGAGCTTTGCGCAGTCTCCGTTCCTCTATGACCTTTTCCTCTACGATGTAATCCTCGGGAGGGCGTTCGGGAAGGTGTATGATGGTATTGTATCCTTCCCTCCGATCCGGAGCAGCCACTTCTGCTGGCTCTTCCGGTCCAGTCATCCGCGCAGCAGCTTTGGCTCGTCCCATTAGGCTTCCAGGCGGCGACCTTCTGGCGGGGATAACCGGGGGGCCGTGAGTGCCGACATCCTGCGGTCCGTATGGCCCGAGCCGCTCTGTCCCCGCATCGGTCACACGGTGACGATGGGAAAGTCCATGTTGGGCGATGTCATGAGGAGTAGCTGGGCGAGGGGAACGGATATGGGAAGAGGTCGGCGGAGGATCGACACGGCCGGGATCGTGCACAGGATTGAGAATGCTTCTTTCACCCGTCCGCCGAAGGGACATCGTGGGTTCCTGGAAAGGCTCGAGAGCAAGTGCCGCCGGTGGGCCAGGGGAATCGGAATAACGCCGTTTCTTGTTCGGAGGCTCAGCGTGCGAGTGGAGGATGTGCGAAGGAGACTGGAACGGCGAGGGGCTCGTAGTAACGGGTCGGAGCATCTGGCCCGGATCTGACTTGCGCCCAGGGCGCAAGTCGCGCAAGTCAACGGGAGGGTGAGTCACGTCAATGTTCTGAGAAGGCTCACGGTCTCGGTCCCAAAGCGGGCGCTGGGAGGCTGTCTGAGGATTAAGAATGTGCTCGTGATGCCGCGGTAGCTGGGACGTCTGTGTCGGAGAACGGTGAGCTGGCGGTGAATGAGAATGCAGTAGCATGCGAGCATGCTGTGGTGGATGGTTTTGTGACGGCGGGGGTCCCATCTGAGAATACGGAGGAAGCGACCTGAGACGGTGATGGTCATCGACAGAACTGAGGGTCGGAGCATAACTGGACTCTCGATGTTGTTCGCGGGATCGATGTTGGGATTGCTTTTCTGCTAGGGCGGCAGCGCGCGCGAGAGTGTCGAGCGGTTGCTCCGCGGGGGAACGGGAGACTGGAGCAGAGGGAGGGCGTTCATATCGAGAGGCGGAATGGATCAAATGTGGTGCCAGTTTGACGGGCTCAGCGACAATGGGTGGTCCTGGGTCTGAGAGACGGGGTGGATCATGAGAAGGCTCCTTTGCCGGTGGATCGTCGCAAAGGAGAGACGATATGTCGATGCGACGGGACATGTTGGTCAAGAGCAAGATACCCACGGGGGAATTAGACTGACATTGGAATTACAGAACGTGCTTAGGCCAATCAGCAAATACTGGTCACTCGACCGTTGCGAATCTGTGACGCCAGTTGCTATCTCCATTCCCCGCAGACGAGAACCAAGGCACCAACTTCGCAAGAATCGCGTTTCCACATGAATGATACACCTCGGCTCATCAGAATCTGATTGGGTCCGGCGGCCCAACGTTCCGGTGGCGAAGGGCATTAATAACAGACGCAAAACTTTCGATTGTGCAAAAGAAACGTAACAAGGAATGTACAACGAGACATTGCGACCTAGCCCACAAGGCGACTACGAAGAGCCAGCCCCAAGACAACACCGCACCCAAGTCCCATCGTTTAACCTTCTCCATCTCATTTGACGGTCTCTAGGTCCTCGACCTACTCCATCCAGAAGGCGGGCAAGTCATCGGAGAGATGCTTTTGTAGAGCTGTCAAGACGTGAGTTAAGCCCGAAGCACAACCAATGCAAGACGTACATGTGGTTTTGCGTTAAAGAACCACTGGACAGCCTGGCCTTTTATATGACCGCCGTCGTGGGAACAGTTATACAGTCATCACGTGCACACTGTGACTGTGACGGACGCAATCACGGTCAGAAATCGATCATCCTGCACAGGACGAATTCCAGTCTCTGGTTGGTATATCGCATCTGCGCCGTTGACGAGGCTCATTTCCCCGCAGTTTCCACCGAAAAGCAGAACCCCCAACCTTCACATCGTCTGTAGCTTAAACGCGATCAAGCGGACCAGAAGGGATGTCCGTAGCCACCAAAAATCCCTTTGCCTTGCTCGAAGATGGTGGGTGTCCTTGTCTATCATCTTATGCAGACTGATCTGAAAGATCGTCCAATCTAGTGGAGGACTCGTCCCGGCCGTCCAGCCCAGTCCCCGCTCGTGCCCCCGTACCTGCTGCTGCAACCACCACCACTACACCCGCGACTCGTGGTGCTGCTAAGCCCCGAGGTGGTCCTGCTTCACGAGGTGGAAAGTATTATGCTCGTGGTGGAAAGCCCCGTACCGATGAGGGTGGCTTGAACCAAAATGGCATCGAAGAGCCTTCTCAGGAGAGGAAGTGTACGTCCATCCAGCCTCTGCACCAGGCATCGCGTACTGATGGACACGCAGTCGATGGTCGTGGTCGCGGTCGTGGCTCGCGTGGCCACCGCGGCGGCCGCGGACGCCCTTTCGACAAGCACAGTCAGACTGGCAAGGTGTACGTCCTCCTAGGACCTTTCGCTTGCTCCCCCCTTGACACTTGCGCACAGCGACTCTGAGAAGAAAGTCAACCAAGGCTGGGGTGCCGAGGAGGGGAACGCCGAGCTCAAGGCTGAGGAAGCTGGTGTCAAGGATGCGACTGTCGAAGCTAGCGACAGCGCTCCCGCCGGCGGATGGGGCGCATCTACTGCTGAGGGTGATGCTGCAACTCCAGCTGCAGAGGGAGACGCGAAGGGCCGCCCTCGTCGGGAACGCGAACCCGAGGAGGAGGACAACACACTCACTCTCGAGCAATACCTCGCGCAACAAAAGGAGAAAGAGAACACGGTCGTTCCTAAGCTCGAGGCTGTCCGCCAAGCGAACGAAGGGGTCGATGGCGAACTTTTCAAGGGTGGTGTCGCGCTTGAAAAGGGCGGAGAAGAGGAGGCCTACTTCGTAGGCAAGGTTTGTGATCCCCACTATCATCTGAGTCCATTGACTGATTAGGCAACCAGAGTAAGGCCGCACCCAAGGCCAAGGCTAAAAAGGAAGAGAAGGTCTTCCTCGAGATTGACGGCCGCTTCGAGCGCCCGTCTCGTGGCGGAGTACGTGGTCGCGGTGGCGATGACCGTGGTGGTCGTGGCCGCGGAGCTCGTGGTCGGGGTGGCCCTCGCGGCGGACGTCCGGGTCCCGCCACGGCGCCAGCACTCAATGTGGACGACGAGTCGGCCTTCCCCTCGCTCTCGTAAAATCTGCAATCGCAACCGCACCATACAGCCTGTTCCTCGATCTCATCTCATCTTTGTTTTCATGTGGCCACGACTCAATGAATCAATATGAAACTGCTCGTATGCTTCGATTTTGTGTCCACCAGTGTATATAGGTTATTGCTTTTGTACCAGTTCCCATGATTGTACTGTTCCAAAGCCCAAGAACTAATTCCATATTTTATCCATCTGAACGGATCGGGGATCAGGATATCATCGACATGCCTGTTCCGTCACTGTCGCCTCTTTCGTCTCATCCATCCATCCAGTTTTATTCATGATTGAAACGATCTACATCGCCCGCCATGGTTTGTCTTCTGCTACTTGCTACCCTTTCACGCGCTAGACGGTGGCAGGATTTCGATTGAATTGGATCAGTACTAATTGGTCGGCAAGTGTGAGTAGTTGAACACTCATATGTCTGGCAGCGTCTTAATCTTGCCCAGTTCGCGTCTCGAAGATAATCCTGTTCACATGGTGCAGGACGAGCCCCACGGGGCTTCCCCGTGATCCCCCGCTGGCGGCATTCGGAGAGGTGCAATTTATGCTTTCTAAGGAAATCTCTTAAATCGGCCCGTTAGACTCAAGCTCAAGAACTCGCCGATTACTTTCTGAACATCCCTGAGGATCAACGCCCGACAGTCATCCTATCTTCTCCTTACTGTGCGATCTTGTCGAACGGATAATGCTAGATGTCATAACCGTTCAACAGACCGATGTCTCCAAACGGCCAAACCCACTGCTTTAGCTCTGCGTGTGCCCATCTTTGTCGAGCATGGACTTTCGGAATGGTACTCTCACGTCCAAAATGATACTGGACTGCACCCTCGACCTTCTTCCGCCGAATCTCTCAAGGAACACTTTCCCGACGCCATTGACCCGGCCGGATGGTCGTCGATCTACTATCCGCCTCGCACGGGCGAAGATGTCGCCGAAGTCCACGCGCGAGGTAAAGACTTCCTCGCTGCATTCATTCCGTTTGTCGAGCGGGCATTGTCTGAAGAGAAGCACAAGCGAGTGCTGCTCGTCAGCCACGCCGCCACCGTCATCGTTCTGGCCAGAGCGCTGTCGGGCAATCCGGAGATGCCGCTGCGGATCGGGTGCGCTACGGTGACTGAATTCGTCAGAGAAACCGCCGATAAGAACCCTCTCGCTGGTTGGAAGTCCGTCAGAGTTGCGGACGCGGCTCACTTGAAGGATGGTTCGCAACGAGATTGGGGATTCGAGGACATTGAAGTGGCTGATGGTCAGGTGGTAGATGATCCTGGAGTGCCTGGAACACAGGGCCAAGTCGAACTAACGAACGGAGTCCAGCTCCATGCCATCGCTGGTGGCTCGGCGAACTTGTAGATCTATTTCAACTATGGATATAGCGTAGAAGATGCTAGAATTTGACCCAAGCGCTTGCATAACTGACACTGGAATCCCTCACAGTCAAGCACTTGCTGCTCTGCTCGTAACGTGTCCATTGGATTTCCTGGCCGCCTTGCTTCTTCAGGGCGGCCATAGATCCCAAGAGGACACCTATGGGATGTCGTCCACAGATCGTGTTCTTGGTTCGGGACAAGTAGGCGGAAAAGACACCGTGACAGTCCGGTTCATCAGAGGGCAACGTCAAGATGGACATGGCTTCGCGATCCAGGGCCTCGATTGACGCATGGATGGGGTACTCACTGGCCGGGCCCAGCGACCGAGAAAGATGGATCGGGTTTGCAGACTCTGAACTATCATCAACGGCTGACGGCCAAAGCAGCACTTGGCCACGGACCTCCGGATCGGTAATAGGTGTATGAGAATCGTTGTCCCCAATGACAGAAGTCGCTGCTGACCACAGTCAGGGTATCGGGCCGCTCGAGATAAGGGGCAAGCAATGCACCATACGAGGCTTCCGAAGCCATAGAGATGGAGCCAACAAGCACTGGCGTAAGTACGATGTCTCGGCTAGCTTTGAGATGAAAGGCGCATGGGTGACTAACAACTCCAACACGCACTCTTGGAAGACTTTCCTGATGTACGGCAGGTGCATTTCAAGACTGTGCTCATCCTCATCCGCATCCTGGGTGAGATCCGAGAATTTGCCAGTGGCACGGAGAGCGGAGATCGTTTCCGTATCGAGCGGTATGTCACCGATGGGGGTAGCGTAAGACGAGCATTGTGAGAGAGCACATCCATCGAGATAGACGTGGTGCGATGGTCCCAAGAGTACGACCCGTTTGCTGAACAAAAGTCAACGGTGTCTGTCTACAGCGTCAGTTCTGCTACATGCATGTTCTCCACATCGATAGCTCTGTAAGCCCAAGCGGCCGCGGGACCGGAGTATGAGTAGCCAGCATGTCTGTGACTTCGTCAGCCTCTCTCAAGCGGAATAAGATTCGGGCAACTGCACGGAGCAATGATGGCTTTACAACCGCGAACAGGAAGAGAGTAGCCGAGTGTAGAGCCGTCAACAGCCGCAAGCCATGTCGTAAGTTGCTTATCGAGGCGTCCAGCTGGATTTCAGTTAGATGACTGTAGTGACAACACAGAACGAGGACCATCGGCCGTGTACCAGTCCCCTGCGTGAGTTGCAGAACGCGTAGACATGATGGTGGTGACAAGAGGAGCGATGGCTAGTGCAGTCACATCAAAGAAGACAAACAGAGCATGATGCGGCATGAATATGGATTGGAGGACGCATAGTACATAGAGTGGGTAGAACGGACAACATCATCTACTCCTCCGAGCGCAGACGTGCAGCAGGGTTGGTAACTTTGATGCCAAGAGCTTTGGCACTGGAACGAAGTCAGAAATTGACGCAAGTTGCGCTAGATACCACACACCGCTCAAGGATGACCGTCCGGTTTCGTGACGAGACACCGTGTGCAATCTCGGCAGCAAAAGTCTTGTTGTGCATCAACAGCAGATCGACCTCTCGAACGTTGTTGACGAGGAATTTTTTGAAGCCATTAGGAAGCAGGTGTTTCGTCTTTTGGTTGCTGCCATAACCAATCTAGAGGAGCGATTAGAGCTGTACACCATACGATGGAGTCCAACTCACCTTGGGCATGGGGGTCTGGCCCTTGAACCTGCGACGAACCCTGTTGTCGATACCCTTCGGTTTGCGCCAGGCCTCCTTCACGGACACATAGCGGTCGGACTGGTGCCGCTTGAACTTGTTCGTCCGCTTCTTCACGATCGGGATCTTGACGGCCATTCTGAAGCAGAGTGAGAGCTGGTCGCACAACGCGCGCAATCGTACTTACGGAGGGCGATGGAAAAAGAGTTGCTATGAAAGGTTAGGGTTTACGTTGTGACGGATGTAACGTCCTGTATAGCTGGTTGATGATCTTTATCGATAACAGCTGCTCCAATCTCGATCATCAATCACTGTGATCGGCTCTTTTCGGGGATGTGTCAATGTGCCAAAGTCTAAGACGCACCGACAATCCCGATCTGCCCAGTAGCGGAAGAATCGATAAGGGGTTGCCACTTTATGCTCATCCCTCTTTGAGAGCTAAGCCTACATCTAGACACACACACAGGTTCCGATGGTCGTAGCCCGCGGCCGACAGGGCCTTCGACCTCAACAGCTTGGGCAGAGCACAACGTGCGGGCCGCGGGCGAGTGATGCTGCCGCTCTCCACGCACGTGCCACTCCGTCACGCCTTAATTTTTGCGGAACGACGCACTCTTCCCACCACCACCGCTTCCGTTCACAGAGTGCACCTCCATTGTCGATCGCGCCCTCGAGTGATATGCTCTCGGCTTCGACGCTCGACCTCACCTTTGACGACGAAGAAGACTTCCGGCCACCGCGGCTGTACCGGGCCGCGTCTGTCGTCAACAGTTATGCGGTCACCTCCATTGGCAGGGGAGTCGCTTGGGATGAAACCGACGCTTCCCATATGAATGGAGATGGAGGCTATCGCAATGCCAAAGAAAATACAGGTCTTTTCTTCGATACGCCTTCCGAGAGCAAATTGTTCTTTTCATCTGACTCTTCTGATCGCCTACAAGACTCACCCCGCATTCTACAAGAAGTCATGCGGCCTGTCACCAACTCGTTCCTCCCCGTTGTCACAAATGAACAATTCGTCTACTCCCCTCCTACTTCGCGTCCGACTTCTCCTCTAAACTCCGTCCTACCTTCACATACGCCACCTATGTCCCGCTCGCCCACACAGCCTCCGCGTCCACGCAGACGCTCCTCGCAACAACGCGTCTCCCTTATCGCTGGACGCGTGTCAATCGCCACTATCGAGCCGCCTTCACCTGTTCTACCCCACAATCTTCTTCGGTCCGGCAGTACGAGCAGTCTGCTCAGTCAGGCTGCAAGTACGCGCGCGCCCTCTCCTGTCATTAGCGATTCCCTGGGCGACCGCAGCATTTCCGACTTTGTCATCGAGGCCGAGATTGGCCGTGGCGCATATGGCCTCGTCAAACGCGCTCGGCCAAAGATGCCGGATGGCGGTCTTGGGCCCCCCATCATCATAAAACAAATCATCAAGTCGCGTATTCTCGCCGACTGTTGGAAAAAGCATCCTAAGCACGGCACCATTCCAATAGAGATATATGTCATGTCCTCGATCTCTCATACGAGCTACGTTCTTCCGGCAAAGCGACCTTGGGATCCACTGCGAAATGCAATCTACGAGAGCGATAACACTCCGACAATATCCCCGCCGACCCTCAGTAACGATGGCGAAACAGGACCTGCAGAGGCCGGCCCTTCGTCGATCTCTCGGGCCGCGGCGGAACTGCCTTGGGTTGAAGGCGCTGTGGTCAATGGACATCCTAACATCTGTGCTCTCCTGGAATTCTTCGAGGACAATCACTATTACTACATCGTTCTTCCCTTCCTCGCACCGGAGCCAGCGGAAGGGCTCCTTGGGCCCTCGAGTGAGGCTTTGCGGGCGTTCTCGGATGTAGCATCCTCTATTCCGGCAGGCCCATCGCATCCGACGCCAGGGGATTTATTCGACCTAGTCGAGATCTTTCCGAACGGACTTCCGGCAAATGCCGTCAGAACTTATCTCGGCCAGCTTGCTGATGCGTTGGCGTTCTTGCACGATCGGGGGATAGGTCTGTTGCTTGCATGTTTTCACGTCTGGTTCTAACTGCGCATCAGTACATCGCGATGTCAAGGATGAGAACGTTGTCCTAGGTCCGGACGGACGATGTATCTTGATTGACTTTGGCAGCTCCGGTCTGGTGAAACGGGGTGGCTGGGACACATTCAGCGGAACGTGAGTGTCCAACGACAGCCTGAAACGTCTTATTGATGGCTAGGCAGTCTTGACTATGCTGGTCCTGAGATTTTGCGCGGTGAACGTTATGAAGGTAAACCTCAGGATGTTTGGGCCTTCGGCGTCGTGGCCTATGTCCTTCTGGTGGGCGAGTGTCCGTTCATGACGCCGGCCGAAGCCCAGGATGGTATCGAAAGTCCATTCGCCAGTGCCGCCATGGCATTAGATGAACGCTGCAACCCCGATGACGAGAATGACCCTTGCGGCAAGGCCCGGGAGGTAATCGAAGCAGATGGCGGTGGCGCCCTGGAGGACGGTGCCGCTCTCGTGCGAGCTTGCTTGCAAGTTGAAGTTGATAAAAGGCCCAGTTTCGAGCGGATCATGCAATGTCGCTTTTTGGCGGGAGATGTTGAGGGCGCTTGGGTGTAAACGGAGGAGAGAAGATCATGAATGTATTGTATCCAGTAATCGAACGCCTCAGACGCATGCATCTCTTTTATACTTATACGTGTATTTCATCGTTGTGCCATCCTGCATCCTCTACTACTTGCTTCGGTTCTCTGTGTTCCTTGGATCCAACATTTCTGTGAAATCGGATTTCGAAAGAATCCGCAGTCTCCGTAAGTGATGAGTGTCTAGGCGCTGTCAGCGATAAAAATGCCGTTGGCGGTGAGATGGGTCAGATAACACAGATTGTTCAATACAACCAAGTCGTTTGGGATCCGAACTCATCAACATCTACGATGACAGAGTCTGAACAACGAGCGTGTAATCGAGCCACTTCAGCACCCCTGCTTCGAGAAGGAGCGACTGGGATGCGACGGGACCGAACGATCGATGATAGATCGAGATGGCCATTGACAACGGCCTCGCATGCAAGCAGGAATCAGATGAGAGTGTGTTTTTCGAGTCAAGCGATCGATGCACGTGACCCGCTGTGATAGTGAAATTTTCGACCGCAACGAGTCCAAACACCACCCTTCTCTCTCTTTCCTCTCACCATCTCCCTCATTCTCCAAGTGAGTGTTCGTCTTAGATCCTCTGCATCGTCGACGTCTTCCACTCTGTGTCTGCCTGTCTTCTCCCCTCGTATGCGCACTCGCGGATGTCCGGGCGTCGCGATTGCAGGCTACTGATCTTTGGCGATGCCGAATTTACTCATTATGCCGTTCAGAACCACTAGCAATGGGAAAGGACAAGTCTCACGTTAACGTCGTCGGTGAGCTCCCACTCGATCTCAGCTAGATGTCTTGCTCATCGCCGATCTCTTGTCTCTCAGTCATCGGTCACGTCGATTCCGGAAAATCGACCACCACTGGTCACTTGATCTACAAGTGCGGTGGTATCGACAAGCGTACCATCGAGAAGTTTGAGAAGGAAGCTGCTGAGCTCGGCAAGGGTTCCTTCAAGTATGGTGCGCTCTTCCTACTCGATCGCAGACGATCGGTGGATTGAGAATTTTTTCTTTCATAGCCTGGGTGCTCGACAAGCTCAAGGCTGAGCGTGAACGTGGTATCACCATCGATATCGCTCTCTGGAAGTTCGAGACTCCCAAATACGTTGTCACTGTTCGTGATCTTTTTTGTGTCCTATCATTCTTTTTCATGGTAACTATGCAGGTCATTGATGCCCCCGGTCACCGTGACTTCATCAAAAACATGATCACTGGTACCTCCCAGGCTGATTGTGCCATCCTCATCATCGCCGGAGGTACCGGTGAGTTCGAGGCTGGTATCTCCAAGGATGGCCAGACTCGCGAGCACGCTCTGCTCGCCTTCACTCTCGGTGTCCGTCAGCTCATCGTTGCCGTCAACAAGATGGACACTACCAAGGTACTCAATTTTGCAATTGATCCACAAGATCTTTCGTCTAACACTGCTCGCAGTGGAGCGAGGACCGTTTCAACGAAATCATCAAGGAGACTTCGACTTTCCTCAAGAAGGTCGGATTCAACCCCAAGACGGTTGCTTTCGTGCCCATCTCCGGATGGCACGGTGACAACATGTTGGAGGAGTCCACCAAGTTCGTCTGTCAATGATTCTCTACGTTCAATTGACTGACTTGTTTCAAGCATGCCCTGGTTCAAGGGCTGGACCAAGGAGACCAAGGCTGGTGTCTCCAAGGGAAAGACTCTCCTCGAGGCCATCGATGCCATCGAGCCCCCCGTCCGTCCCTCCGACAAGCCCCTCCGTCTTCCCCTCCAGGATGTGTACAAGATCGGTGGTATTGGCACGGTCCCCGTCGGACGTGTCGAGACTGGTATCATCAAGGCCGGCATGGTCGTCACCTTCGCCCCGACCAACGTCACCACTGAAGTCAAGTCCGTCGAAATGCACCACGAACAGCTCGAGCAGGGTAACCCTGGTGACAACGTTGGCTTCAACGTCAAGTGCGTACATATTTGAACGAATACTTCGCGTTTACTGACTGCGGCGTGCAGGAACGTCTCGGTCAAGGATATCCGTCGTGGAAACGTTGCCTCCGACTCCAAGAACGACCCCGCGAAGGAGGCTGCGTCCTTCAACGCCCAGGTCATTGTCCTGAACCACCCCGGTCAGATTGGTGCTGGTTACGCACCCGTCCTGGATTGCCACACTGCCCACATTGCCTGCAAGTTCGCCGAGCTCCTCGAGAAGATCGATCGTCGGACAAACAAGTCGATGGAGATGAACCCGAAGTCGATCAAGATGGGTGACTCTTGCATCGTCAAGCTGGTTCCTTCCAAGCCCATGGTGCGTGTTTCTCAACTGGATGATTGGGATGATCCCTGAATATATGCCGCCAGTGTGTCGAGTCCTACAACGAGTACCCTCCCCTTGGTCGTTTCGCCGTTCGTGACATGCGTCAGACCGTCGCCGTCGGTATCATCAAGTCCGTTGAGAAGACCGACAAGTCGACGGGCAAGGTGACCAAGAGCGCCGAGAAAGCTGCCAAGAAGAAGTAAGGGGTTGTAGATGTAGACTGAACTGTTGTATCATCTCTCTCTCATGTTTCTTTTCCCCTGCTACTTGCCTGCTCAGTTGTAGCCGCGATGTGTTGTCCTCTACCTGCATTTAACGTACACACTGTATCATGATAACGATAGCAGCATGTCATGTCCAATGATATTGTTGTTGCCTCCATTTGACCGACTCAATCAATCAATTCCAGTTTGTTATTTTCATTCAACAAACATGCTCAGGCTCCATGTTCAGTATAACCCGTGGTCCCAGGTCGCGTCCGACAGTGCGCTCGAAGACCTCCATCATGAATCCGAACAGATTCTTCGTCAACGCTGCGTCCCAGCGGCCCTTGGACTGTTCGTCACGAATAAATGCATGCTGGGCCTGGACTTCCAGAAACTGATAACGTTCGGACGGGCGACTGGGTGGTGAGCGTGAGCAGCAAACTCACCGAGGTGGGCACATCTGCATCCTCCAGCGTGGTTCGAATGAGGTCACGGCCAGCTCGCGGGACGTGTGTATCCTGCTATCATCAGGCCCTAATCTACGCGTACGGGATAGTCTTCCAAACCTGTTTGCCGAATATCATCTGCAAGTCTCTCAGATTCGATCCAGCCATCAATCTCAACTCTAAGCACGTACAACCAGTTCCCCTTTGCCCGTAAGATCGCCATTTTTGACGCGGACAAGCGAGTCGTCACCGCCTTTGCCAAGAGTCGCGCTGTGGACATCGGTCGCAAAGAAACAAACCGACGCAAGGACACGCTGATCGAACGCAGCCTCGTCTGAGCATCAGCAGCAGAAAGATTGAAAACCTGGGACGCTGAATTACTCTGAAAGCCTGTCGATCCGTTAGCTGAGGATTGCAAGCGCGAAACGTCGTTGCAGACCAGATGACCGCCGAGGCACATTCCAGTGGCTTGAGCGCGTTTCAGAGGCATTGTCAGCTGTACTGACGAGCCGACATGCCTGCGATTCTGCCATTGCAGTTCTTCAGGGAGTCAAGAAGGTCGATAGCCAAGGTTGCGTCCTGGGAACGATTTCAGTCAGTCTGGCGCCCAATAGTCGATTGCCAATAGCATCTACCTCGTCGTAGGCGGAAACAGTCTTTTCGACCTGGACGTGCGAATCAATGACCATGCCCCGATCTTTCCAAGGAAGATTGCGGTACCTTGTACTTGTTTCCACGATCAGTGCCTTCGACGTCGTACGGAATCGCCTCAGGGCCTTCGAACTCATGATAGGTAGATGGGCATGCTGGTGGGGCCATTAGATCGGAGGATATCCAGACGCAGACGTCAATTCACCGACAACGAATCCTTGGCTCGCGATCGCGCCAGCAAACCTGTCGTGTAATCTCAGTCCACTTGGCGGGAGATACATGGAAAGCTCTGCGAACCGTTCAACTGGCCCAGTAACTTGGTAGATTTCACTGCACAGAGGTCATCGAGGGAGCCGAATTCAATCAGAGATAGTAGATACCTGAATACCACAACACCTGAACGGCCGTAGAGTCAACAACGCGGCATGAGATGATGTGCCACGGCTTTGCTTACCAGGAAATTTAGCCTGCGGATATTGCGGAAGGACTGGAGAGATGACATAGATGCGCATGGGGCGGCCACCATCCAGCTTTGAGGGGACGTCGTGAAATTCCTTCGAGATCAACATGGTGTTTTGCGCGTGAGCGGTATTGCTCGGAGATGCTCCAACAGCAAGTCGTTGCAATCAGATATCGCGATCGCTAACTTCGGGTACATAACGATCACGATGTTGACATCATGATCAGCGAGCAAACGTGCGAATGTCTAGCACCAGCACCTCCTCGCTTTTGCTTTTTCCCTCCGAGCCACCACCATGGCGTCAGCGAGCATCCGCCCTTTCAAGCCCACGGACGAAAAATATGCTCGCTTCCTGATCGGAAAGGCCAACATGCAGCAGCTGGCTACAGCGAACATGCAAGGTGCGTTGTAGCACCCCGCTCAGACGTCTTGCTCAAGTGTCGTGGCAGCCGACATGAATCCATTCGTGCTTGCTATATGGGTCGCCCTCTCCTCGGCGCTTGTGCAGTATATGAAGTGGTGGCCGGATCCCCAGACGTTTGGCTGGTTGGCATATCTGCGTCCTCTTCCCGCGTGCGTTGTTCGTCTATTGTTCGGGTGCCATATTCCCAACTCGATTTAGTTTTGCGTGCATGTTCCTCCCCATCATCTTCTCTATTGACTGGTTAGTCGATCTCCATTCATCCGCTTTCACGACCTAATTATCTCCGTTCCCAGGCTGAACCGGAACGACATTGAGGAGGTCACACAAGAAGTCCTCAAGGCGCGCGACCTATGGAATATCGAACGGCACTACTCTATGTCTCCTGGCTCCGGATTCTGGATTCTCGAGTACGATGATCGCCCTGTTGGGCTCATCGCTATCGACGCCTCTGAGCCGGTCAACGAAGACGCCGACGGACAGTCGCCCTCTTCCTCGGCGAACAAGAGTTTCGAGACTGCCACGATCCGACACTTCTACGTCGAAGAACCCTATCCTCAGAGCGGGGTGCAGGAAGACTTGCTGGACCATGCTTTGGAGCACTGCTTCAAGGGGGATGCGGTGAAGAGAGTCAAGGCTGTGGAATCTCAGCTGGTCCCTTACATCCAGAAAGTCTTGAAGAACAAAGGATTCGTCTTCGAGAAGAACCTGAAGACGGTCGGGGTGTTCCGATGGAAGCTGTCTTCCTCCGTCCTGGAGAGAAGCGCGTGGAAGAAACAAAAGTAGTTTATATATGGTATCAATCGGACTGTATCGATAGTACTCGACAAACGTAATCTAATCTATGCCGAATGATGGCTTTCAATCTCGAACCGCGACGACGCCAACAGCCGTTCGTACTCGTGCAATCTACAATAGCGCAGTCTGGCGTTTGGATCATCAAACATCTTCTCGAAAATCCCGGGCGCGCGATTGTGTTTTGCCTAGCGTATGAAGGACTACAGAGCAGCGTCGCCCAGGCCCCCAACGTGGAAACTTGCGATTTGCTCGACAACGTGCCTGGCTATTCTGCAAACTACGTCGATCCCAGGCAGTGGATCCAAGATGCTATTGACGGGGGTTAATTAAGCTTCGAAACAATGGGTTTTCACCCTCTAATGCCTACAACAGCGGCTGCGACAGACCAGTTCGATTTCGTGATCGATTCAGTCGACACTCTGCTCTCCGACATCGGATCCGTCGCAGAGACGTACAAATTTCTGCATCGCGTTCTTTGCCTTATCCGGGCACGCCCAAGTTGGTTTCTTGCCCTCTCGCTGAGCTACTCACTCATCTGCTCGCAGGCCCATCGCGGCTCATCCTGCACGGCGTAGCGCCATGCGCGCTGCTCCCATTGCTCACGCAAAGCACATTTTCGTCGTCGCTGACGCACATTCTGGCCCACCCACCGTCGCTGCTGCTCCATCTCTCGACCGAATATCTGACGCCGCCGCCGCCACTATCTCCGGACGCAAAATTCTGGAGCGTGTTTACACCCATCAGCGAACGCGTGTACGAGAGCGAGAACATCGTCTTTGGGGCGGATAGAGACGGGGCAGGGGGGACCGGGGAATTCGTGTGTGAGTTGGTCGTTCGAGTCGACTCGGGGGACGGGCTAAGGAGAAAGGGCGTGGAACGATCGTTGATTGGATGGTCCCTGGCAGGAGGCCCTTGTTTGTTGAGCACGGTGCACGTTTTGAAACCGCTGTGGACGCGAACTGCATTGGAGACTGTGGGTGCTGTCCCAATAGTCGATGGCTGCTGCTGAACATTTTCAAGCCCGCCGTCGACCCAACTCAAAATGTGTCCTTCAATCTCACATTGACAGCCTCGCAGCAAAACTCGAGGGCTCAAGTTCCTCTTCCTTACGTCCACGAAGGTGCAGAGGCACGATTTCTCTCACTGATATCCGCTGACGAGTGGCCAGGGAAACCGACGATATTCTATGACCCAGACTCGGGCGATGACATTGACGATGACGATCCAGACGAGGACCTTGATATCTGAAAGCGTACAGAACATGTAATCTAAGCACGCGATCCAAAACTCGATAGTGCGGAAAGGGAAAAGCGACGGTTGCTCTTCTTCTTCGCGGCCAGCGCTTTGTCATCCACAGTGCTAGTCGATGGCTGAGGGTACGACCCGATATTCTCCCCATCAGCCGAAGAAGCCGATCTCGGAATCTCCACCCGTCGCTGCGCAGAGATAAAGCTCCCGTTGTTGGCCTGCTGCGCCTGGGCCCTCAGCGTCGACAACGCCGGCGGTCGGGGATGGAACGCGAGGGCCGAAGAAGGTCGATGCCGAGAAACATCGGCAGGAGATGCCGGAAACCGAGCGAGATTGGCTAACGCAGGCATTGAAAGTCGACGTTTCGATTTGATCTCCGCAAGGGTCTTCGGACGAGCATGCGCGGTCAGATCTGGCGAAGCTGGATCCATAGTCCCACGACTGATTCCCCGACCAGAAGTATAGCTCGACGAAGTCAACAGTGGGCCCACTGGGGGCTTCTGCGCCTAGGCTCGAATCAGCCCCAGTCGAAGAAAGGCGCATCACTTACGTCCAAACCCGGGGGATGGGGCACAGGAATCCCGAGCTGGCTCACTGTTCCATCGCTGGGCAGAAGACAGTTATACAACTGAGCGTTTGGAAGATGTGAAATTGTATGGGCAGCCATTTGCCGTGGCGGTGACGACAGAGTGCTTCCAACTTGCACATTCACGTTGACGCCTTCATTGAACTGCTCGTGTTTACTCTTGCCCGGCCACAAAAAGCGCTTCACCAGTTTCTTCATTCTTCCGACAACGCCTCGGGACTTGACTGGCATGGATTCAGCAGGAAGATAGCTCAGACCCTGGGAATATTGCTCCTCGTCCAATGCAAGAGCCCCGTCCAATTCGCTGAATGCTGGGGATTGAACGGCGGCCGCCGCCTCGTCTGTAATCGAGAGAAGACTGGAAGGGATCACTTGTGACATTGAGGGCCCATCAGTAGCCCAGGCAGACGATACAACAGCTTCTGCATATTGAACGGCGCTCGAGTCCCCCGCATATTCGATTTCGGATTCGATTTCAGGAATAGAAGATGGGATAGGCGAGACGATCGGTGAAACTGAGTCGGGGTGAGGGAATGCAAGGATGTGCGCCTCAAAGGGATCTTCTTCGACCGGCACCAAGTCATGGCCAAAAGAGAGAGCTGGAGAAAGCGGAGAAGGAGAAAGCGTCCAGGGACTACCTTGCTCACTGCCAGAGAACGAAGCAGCACTGTCCGAGATGTCTCCTCTGATGTCCAGAACATCCATGTCCGAACTCATGCTGGTCTCTGCACTCCCAGGCAACGAAAGTGAAGTGAGCATGGGCGCGGACGAGATCTCGATGGACGGGGTGCGATTGGTGCCGAATGATTGACGTGGAGCAGAGTACATAGGCGAAGGGCAGGGCGAGATATCCAGCAGGACACGGTCGTTGTAGTCGCTTCCAAATGACGTCTCCCAGGACGGAGAGCTACTGTAGCTGAAGGAAGGCGATTCATTGACGGATTGCAGTTGACGATTTGATGGACGAGGAAACGAAGAAGATGTAGGTGACGCGAAGATCATGGGCGAGACAGGCGAAGAAGACGAGACGGAACAATTGATAGAGCAGGCAGGCGAGACACTAGACGCGTTCTGAGAGCGGATAGAGCGTTGCGATTCGGGACTAAGACTCTGTCGATGAAACCGGACCGCACGAGTTTCCTGACCGATAATACGCTTAGGTTGAGGAATTCTAGTAGGAAAATTGTTATGCAGATTCGAGTACTTGAGCTTAGGGGATGACTTGGATATGACGCCTTTCTCTGGAGAGGAGCGAGTTGTGTAGATCGTGCTGGCGGAAGCGGCCTACATTTGGTTTAGAGATTAAATCAGTGACAAGAAAACGACACCAACCGTTGCAATAGATCTCGAAGTATCTGTCTAAGATCCAGGTCAGAATACAGAAGGGCGGGGAGGCTGACTATATGCTCACGCGAACGCGAGTGAGCTCTGAATCCAGAGAGTCGGCTGGAGTTATGACAGCATCCCCGTCATAGGCAGGAAAGTATCTAGTCGCAGTGTTGGTGTCCATCTTATCAACCAACCTTTGCTGAAAATCGAGGACGTGGTCAAGGTGAAGTGGATCAGACGAGGGTCCAGATGAGGGACAGGTGACACTTCGGCGATGGATAGAAAGCGGCCAAGCCCCTGGCAGAACGGGGCTCGGCGAGGGTGGAGGATCAGGATTGCACGCTGCAGCGGAAGTGGTGTCGATCATTGTACGTAGAGAAAGAAAGAGACAGCGCGTTGTTTGTCATTGTTACTATAACATGAACAGGAGCGACATTGTAAGCGAGGATGCCGTTGGGGATGGATGCCCGTCTAAATCTAATGCGCACGCCGCAAACATCTAGACTCTAGAGCGAGCCACGAACGGCACCGTCAACAGACTCGGCAAAGTAAGCGATGTTCTTGTCGTTCAATCCAGCCATGGAGATGCGGCCGTCGGCTGTCATGTAGACATGAGCGCGCTGAGCGAGAGCCTCGGTCTGCTCCTTCTTCAAACCAGTGAAGCTACGGAGGCCGTGAATGAAAAGAATGACGATCAACAACGCGCACTTGCCTGAACATTCCAATTTGGCTTTTGATGTGGCCCCACTCGCCAGGTGTCTTCAAGTCGTGGGTGAGCATGTTGAATAGCTTCTCGCGCATGCTGATGATACGTTCAGCCATGCCCTTGACTTCGCTCTCCCATTCCGTGTACAGCGCCTCCTTGCTGAGGATCGTGTTCGCAATGCGAGCGCCGTGGCTGGGAGGATTCGAGTACATCGGTCGGATGACAATCTTCAGCTGACTGTCGACGCGAGCCTTCTCCTCGGGGTCACTGGTCACGAGTGAGAAGGCCCCGACACGTTCACCATAGAGACCCATGTTCTTGGCGAATGATTGCGAAAGAGCGATCTGGTGACCTTGTGAAACAAAGTGACGGACAGCGAAGGCATCACGAGACGTGGAGCCCGACGCAAATCCTTGGTATGCCATGTCGAAGAAGGGGAAGAGCTTCCTCTCCTTGCAGATGTCAGAGATCTCGGCCCATTGTTCAGGAGTCGGGTCAATGCCAGTGGGGTTGTGAGCACAGGCGTGCAGCAGAACAACAGAGTGCTCCGGTGCGTTGGTCTTGAAGGGCGTGAGCTGGCGTACAACATGAGCAAAAAAGTGAAGAAACGGACCAGCAAATCCGCTTTCAGTGCCTCGAAGTTGAGTCCGATGGTAGCAGGATCAAAATAGGAGTATTTTCGGACTTCAAAGCCAGAGTCTTTGAAGATAGGCGTGTGGTTGCCCCATGATGGGTTGGGGAGATACACGACCTTGGCATGAGGGTAGTGGCGAGCTAGGAAAGCAGCACCAATGCGGAGCGCTCCAGTGCCAGAGATGGATTGGGTGGCAGAGACCTAGGGCAATTGAAGACGATGTTAGCGAAAGGGGGTAAGCACGTACGACACCCGCGTTGACTGGGGCGCTATCTGCACCATAAGCGAGCTTGACTGCGTTCTGTGTGAACTCCGCGAGACCCGTGATGGGGAGATACTCCTTGTCGGGGCTCGAAGCCTCGATGATTGCTTCAGCCTGTTCAGAGGTGAGAAGGATTGCCTCCAAAGAGGTGTATGAGACCAGCCTTTTTGACAGATTCAAGAACGTAGGGCTTTCCCTGGCCGTCTCTGTACGCGCCAACACCCAGGTTGATTTTCCGAGGATCCTTGTCGGCCTTAAACGCCTCTGTGACGCCAAGGATGGGGTCCGGAGGTCCAGCAGGAACGGAGGACCAGACGGAAAGCGAGCGGAGGGCACCTACGCTGACGCCAGCAGCACGGCGCGTGAGGTTGGTAGCAAGCATGGTGAATGAAGGTAGAACGAAAACAACGTCCTCCGGGCCTGGGTCTAGTTCTGCTCCCGGGTATTTAAGGGTATTTACGATCACCGCCCGTAACGTGCCTAGGCTTCGCGGAGATAGACGGTCCGTGATTAGATAATCTGCTAGATAATCTCGAGCTCGAGTCAAGCTGATTTTGTTCGACTCATACCTTGAACATATACCACCATCTCTTATGGCGGACTCGAGCGAAACGTACCTGCTCTCTCTCTTACTTGGCTCCAGTCTGATCATGATATCTCTAGTCCGATCGCATCAACGGAAGGGACCCCAGGGCCATCTAAAAACGAGTTGAAGAAGCTGGCGAAAGCTGCAGAAAAAGAGAAGAAAGCCGCAGAGAAAGCTGCGAAACAGCAGGAATTGGCCGCGCAGCAGGCTGCTGCCGATGTCGTGCGTCCTGTCTATCCACAGTACTCAGCCATGTCACTTCCACCATCGATAGGATTACGCCGTCAACTTCTATGGTCCTCTGCCTCTTCATCAATCGCAGTCGCGTCCGAGAATCCCGCGTGTCGAGATTGCCTCCCTCTCAGGATGCGATGGCCAAATAGTCTTATTTCGCGCGCGAATTCAGACTTCGCGAGCTCAGGGAAACAAGATGGTCTTTCTCAATCTTCGCCAGCGCTCTGACTCCGTACAAGCTTTACTCACAGTCACACCCGAGAAGGTATCCAAACAAATGGTCAAGTGGGCGGCTAGTCTTAGCGACGAGAGCATTGTCCTTGTACAAGGTTTCGTGAAGAAGAGTCCCGAGCCTATCAAGAGTGCCAGTGTGCAGGATGTCGAGGTTCACATTTCCCAGGTACCCTCATAGCTTCCCCATTATCTGGAATTTCGGCTGAGTCTTCATCAGTTGAATTTGGTATCGGGTGTTCAAGGCCGGCTTCCATTTTCGATCGAGGACGCATCCCGTCCCGACACCGATGAGCCTGCCGAGGGCGAAGACGGGGAAGTGCGCCAACTCGTCAGAGTCATGCTCGACACTCGTTTGAACAACCGGGTAATGGACTTGAGGGTACTGTACTTTTCTCGTGGAAAGTCGAGGCCATGCTCATCCCCGAGCACAGACGCCGACGAACCAAGCTATCTTCAAGATCCAATCCGGGATCGGCGACCTTTTCAGACAATTCCTTAGCAGCAAAGGCTTTTTGGAGATCCATAGTCCCAAACTGCAAGGAGCAGCCACAGAATCAGGCGCGTCTGTTTTCAAAGTCAGCTACTTCAAAGGCACGTTTGGCATTCTCGTTATTTCCTTCCATTGATTTCGTTTGCAGGAAATGCCTTCCTCGCACAGTCACCTCAGCTTGCGAAGCAAATGGCCATTGCCGGTGATTTCGAGCGTGTGTATGAAATTGGACCTGTCTTCCGTGCCGAAGATTCAAACACACATCGCCATATGACTGAGTTCATGGGTCTCGATCTGGAAATGGCCATTGAAGAACATTACCACGAGGTCATGGAGTTGCTGGACGGGTTGTTCTTGAGCATCTTCAAGGGCTTACGGGAAAAATATAGCAAGGAGGTCGCCCTTGTCGGCCAACAGTTTCCGGCTGATGAGTTCAAATGGCGAGAGGGACCCGAGGGCACCTTGAAGCTGACGTTCCGGGAGGCAATTGGGCTTCTGCAGGGCGACGGGGTCGAGATTGGACCGAACGACGATATCAAGTACGTTCAGTTGCTTCTCCACACGGATTCGAACGCTTATCTTTCACGTAGCACTGAAAATGAGAAACGTCTTGGCCGGATCGTCAAAGCCAAATATGAAACTGACTATTTCATCATCGACAAGTTCCCGATGGAGCTGCGGCCATTCTACACCATGCCTGACCCAGAAGATCCTGTGAGTGCTCATTTTTTTGCGTGCTGCTCGGCGATTCACCTGGTGCAGACGCTCTCCAATTCGTATGACTTTTTCATGCGGGGAGAAGAGATTCTTTCGGGTGCTCAACGAATTCACGACCCAACTGTGTTGGCAGAGAAGATGCGCGCCAAAGGTGTCGATCCCGAGTCCATGAAAGCTTATTTGGACGCATTCCGGCTGGGATGCCCACCCCATGGAGGAGGAGGAATCGGACTCGAGCGAGTTCTCATGCTCTTCCTCAAGCTAAACAACATTCGCCGGGCTTCGCTCTTCCCACGCGACCCGAAAAGACTGGATCCCTGAGTAATCAAGTAGCGCCCCATTTGCTATATGTACCGATTAGAAGACAAATGATCATTGACCCACTCATGCACATGTTGCACCGCGATATATGCAGTGGCGCGACCGTTAGTTCCTGTGATGGAAACGCTGCCGATGTACCAACCGAGAAGAGCCCAAGAACCAGTTTTACCACTATCGGTCTCGATAAATACATCGGCATCTTCCTCGTTGGGGCACTCATTGTCCTGGGACTCATGTTGTGGCTAACTTTGAGATACTTCTCCAAGCGCCAGTCATCGAAGATCAGGTTGCCTGCCTTACCTGTGGAGCATTGCTCCGAGCAGTTGGAAGATGCCCTCGAGCAGGATTCGACCAAGGTCAGCCTACAGTTTCACTGGGCGTCGTCTTCAGCTCCTGACTTAGCAGTGTAGCGCGGCACGCTGCTGGAATGTTAGATTTCATTGTTGAGCCATATACATACACGACTCTTGTGTTACAAATGTTTCCGCTGTAAGAACATCTATCCGGACATCAGCCGGCATAGTGCGAGAGCTGCTTTCATAGTATCTTCATCAGGATCTTGCATCGCCGACTTGGGAGAATGGGACCCGCAAGAGCTCGGCGGCGTGATGGGTTCTTCTAAATCCGTCTCTCCTCCTCCATGGTCTTCGTCCAAAACGAGCGGAGGAAGATCCGCAATCAATCCCTCCTTCTCGGCAAGCCTGCGACGTGCACATGCCCATTCCAGCTTTCGAGTCTGCTGTACGCGACCGAATTCGACGTAATCATCTGCGACAGGGCTCATCGGGCCGATGGGAGAAGAAGCCATGTTTGCCCAGATAGGCACTGAGGGGTCGCGACGAGGTCTCGAAGGGGTACGAGGCGGCGGCGGCAGACCTTGCACAGCTATCTCAGACCTAGACGCGACTTGGTCTAAGGAGGGGCGTTTTGAAGGCGATACAGTAGAGCTGGAAGACGACTTGCGTCGCGTCGAGGACCTGATGCCGGACGTCGATTTGGACGAGGGTCTGCGAGACCGGCTCTTGGTATTCGAGATGGATCGCGCTTTCGATCTAGATTTGGGAACTGACGCGTGTCGTCTCTGTTGGAACCAAGTTGAGATGGTCGCATCATCTCTGAAGGAGCAAAGTCAGGTCTTATCCAAAAGCGCGATAGGAGAACGCACGTGTCGGCATAGCGAGCGAGTAGCTCGCGTTCTTGTTGACTTGGGTATGGGTTGGTGTGAAATAGTTGTTCGAGGACAAGAACCTGGTCTTCGGTCATTCGCGCCAAGAACGCGTCGATAGAGATGTCCTGCAGTGCTACGCTCATAGAATGGTCGTTGTCCGGCCCGGTATGGGCAGACGTGGACTGTCGCAAGTACTAGTCACAGCAATTGTCACGAAATCAACGAACGCGTCCAGAAGCACGTGATGGCGATGGTTGTTGGGTTGTCACGTGTGCAAGTAAATGCAAATGATAGTGATGATAGAAATGGACAATATTACAACATATTCGTAGACTTAAATGGGGTTGACTAGTGGCGACGGGATCTCCGGCGGTCAGGATTGCTCTGCCCGATGGCACTAGGGGGGATGGCATTTCCTTCAAGAGCAGCGGCGATGACCTCAGCCGGGAGATCGACGTGGACACCCTCCGAGTACCTGAAGGCATCCAACGGCGAATAAGCCGGAGGATCTCTACGGGTAATCCCATCAGGAGGAAGACGGTCTTCCGGTTCCCGGGTGGCTGTGCGGTCATTGCTTGGGGTGCGTCGGTGAGATGAAAGCGCCTGCAAATGGATATCACGAAGATTAGGCGTGGGAGGATTCGGAGTGACTGGGGATTCTGGAGGGTGCACCTGAATGGTCAATTCGGGTCCTGCGTTCGACAAGGAGGCGGCCGCATGAGTCAAAGATGGACGCTGACGCCGAGGCGTGATAAACGGGTTCCGCGCACCTGGCGAAAGGGATCGCGTCGATGTCGTCGGTGATGAGGTCCCGGATTCTCCTCCTTCCTCGGAAAATGTCTGTGAACCTGAGGGTCCTTCAGAGGAGTCCTCCATGGTCGGGGTGATCGGCGGAGGCGGTGTCAACGGCGTCTCTGTCCGCAAAGGGGACGAGACTTGCGTCCTGGGACGTCGAGATCGATGAGATCCGCGTCGTGCACCGTCAACACGAGGACGAGAACGACCTCCTACGTCCAGCAGGATGCTTCCGCGCTCGCTGCCATATGCCGGTGGAGGAGCCAACGTTCCAACACTAGGAGCCAGACCCCACTTTTTCACGTTGGCCTCGATGAACACAAATCCAGCCTGCCCCAAATTGACATGCACACTGCAGGGCCCATCCGCGCCTATTGTCGGGAAGAGGTTCCACCGACTAAGACCGACATAAGCATCCTCTAGTTTGCGCCCGTTGCGCGTAAAAAACACCGTCCCTGAACGAGGCCGAAAGCCGACACCGAGAACATCTCCTTCTTTCAACCGAGGGCCAAACTGGGAAGCCGTAAACGGATAGTTGTGGGATTTCTCCCCGTTGGAATGGAAGGCGACCGAGTATCGATTGTGACCGGGGAGGCGGAAAGCTGGATACGGCTTGGTGGCGAGTCCAACTGAGACCGCAGTTGTCTCCGGTAGATCAAACATCTTGACCTCCCAGTAGTAGACTTCATTCAACTTGGGAAGTGGGAGATTTGACTGGACACACGACGAGGATGCGGGATCAGGAAGAAACGTAATCTCCGTGCGCGCATGGACGAGGAGCGAATTGACCGTTTCGTAGTCGGGCTCGAAAGACCACGCTGACACACCCTTCTCTTGAATCGATAGGAATTGAGAAAGTGTTATGTCTGTCGGCAGAGAGTTGGGAAGATATTGCAGCTGATAGTCTGCCGTTTCCCCGAGGTCAAAAAGAGAAATACGACATAAAGGCTATGTAGACGTACCACGAGCCCGAAGATAAGCGAGTCGAACAGAATCACTGACGCTTTCCAGCCAACGACTCTCTAGGCCCTCAAAGCCACCCTCACTCTCGACAAACTCTTCTCGGCTCATGTCAATGGGCCCGTCGTTGTCGCGCAGCATAATGCCGCGCCTTCGGCGAAGTAGTAGAGCGCATACAAGAACCAAAAAGAGGATGAACAGAAGGGTGGAAAGGATTATAAGAAGTGGAAGAAGAACGAATAGAGCGTCCGAGGGAGCACCGGGCAGCTCATCGTCTGGAGCGACGAGAGCGAACTGGCCCGCGTCGTCATACAGCCCAGGCATCGGAGATGGGAGAGAGTAGTTGTGATGTCACACCGCATGGGGTTCGTCACATCCTCACCGCCTCACTCAGCCAGCCTGCTCTCGCACTGTTGGTGCGAAAGCAAATTAATCAGTCTTGTGGTAAGTTATTCTACCGTTTTCATGCCCAAATCATTTTGATTCTCATTTCCCCTGCGGACAGAGGTAGACCTCGCATTCATTCACGGCGACGCGAGACCGGGAACCCCTCTACGATGCAATCACAAACAACCCCCAGACGCAGAGTATCGAGACGGAGAGCAGGATCGTATCTACCAGCCAGTCAAGAGACACACGATAACGCTCTATCCAGCATCCGGACAATGCTGCGCGGACGAACTGGTTACGATGCATTTCCTGTCTCGTTTCGCTTGATTGTCCTGGATACCAAGCTCAGTGTCACCCGCGCCCTACACTGTCTGCTCGAAAATAGTGCGCTGATTTGTGCCGCAATTGACTGGCGCTTATCCAGCTACCTTAGACGTGGTATCGGCACCTCTGTGGAATAGTGACCAAGCGAAGTTCGCGGGGATGTTGACCGTTCTCGACATCATCCACCTCATCCAATATTACTACAAGTACAAGACTGCTGTCGGATATGAGAACGTCAGGACAGATGTCGAGAAAGTTGAGCTAGGGTCGCTGCGAGGTTCGAATTCCGTGATCGGTTTCCCATCTCTTACCTGGCACAGAAATCGAAAAGGCTCTGGGTGTCGCCGAGCCTCCGCTTCTCAGCGAGCACCCCGATGCGTCTATGTTTGATGCTGCCAAAGTTCTTATGCGCACCCATGCACGAAGATTGCCTCTGTTGGACAAAGATACTGACACGGGACATGAAGTCATCGTGTCTGTCTTGACGCAGTACCGTCTACTGAAATTCGTCGCTCTTAACGTATGCCCCCGTTTGACAACGTGATGACTTTACACTGAACTATTCCCAAGTGTCCAAGCGAGATTCAACAGCTTCACATGTCCCTACGGAAACTGAAAATCGGGACTTATGTCAGCTCCCCTGGTGTCAAGCCTTTCCATCCTATCGCAACAGCCAGATTGGACACGAAAGTCTTTGATGTGGTGCACATGTTTTCCGAGCGATCTGTGTCTGCTGTGCCTATCATCGACGACAATGGAATTGTGGTAGATATGTACGAAACTGTGGATGTCATGGTGAGCTTCCTGCTGCACATAAACCACAATCTTTGCTAACTCTCTGCTTGAGACTCTCGTCCGCCTTGGAGTATACCAGAACCTGGACCTCACCATCGCGGAAGCCTTGAAAACGCGATCTCCTGATTTCCTCGGCGTTGTCATTTGCACGGCATCGGATTCTTTGCGCACACTGATGCAGCTCATCAAGAAACGACGGGTTCACCGATTGGTTGTCGTGGAGGGTGAAGTTTGTACTTTCTGTTTACCACATTCTCAGTCGTATAATCGCTTTCATGCAGGAGGAAGAGAAGCAAGGCGGCAAGAAAGGGCGACTGTTAGGAATCATCACGCTCAGCGACGTTCTCCGCTATATCGTCGGGCACGGCGACTTGAACGATTAGTGAAGAAATGCCGTTACGGCCCCTGTATTTCTAATCATTTTGAATCTGTACGCTGTAATCTGGATCTCGCTTCGAAGCCGATATTAAATTCTCGTGTCCTCCCATCATGTCGTTCCTTTTCTCTCAGTACGAGGTCTCATATATCAAGACGGTGCATGCTCCTGTGGAACGGGTCGTCGACTTCCTGCGTGACACGAGAGCGATGATGCAGCTCAGCCCCGTCATAACGGACGTCTCCAACCCAAACCCTGAGGATCTCAGCTTCTTCAGAGTCGAGGACACCGTCACCTTCCTTGGCCTCAAATCCAAGACAGTGTACAATGCTCGTGTCGGGGCAGTCGAGGGTGGAATGCATGCAGTATCGACCGCCGCAGCTGGGACAGAGACCACTTCCACTTACACAGCGCACTTTATCTCCACCAACGAAACCGAAGTTCGCGAGAAGGTCAGCGTCAAGGTGACTTACTTGTATTTTTAGTCTTTCTCTCTGTTATCAGACCTACAGGCATTCTTCCTTCTCTTGCCCTTCATCAAAGGCGTGATACATTCCGCCCACAATACGACGTTGGAGTTGCTTGCAGCAAAGCTTGCATCTGAGCTGGAGGGAAAAGAGAGCCCTTCGCCCTAGACAGAGGCCGGAAGGTCAATCAAGCGTATGCGCTTTATCTACAACAAGTAGTCTCAGGGCGGTGAGGATTGGTGCCAGTGTGTTCAAGGAAGTTTGATCTATCCGGGCGCCCGGCCCGGACAGGAAAGCGGTTGATGGCTCCCACACATGTCAGCTTGAGCTGAATCACTACCGTTATAAACACCCGTTGAGCACCAGTGGTCAGCTTTGAAAATCAAACCGCTGCGAATGGCTCTACTGCTCGCCATCGGATTAGCTCTATCCGTTCTGGCGCTGGGGATCTTTTGCATGCGACGGTCCTCATCCGATCCATATGGCGACTTTCATCTGTCCTTGAACAAATCAGCAAGCGACAGAGACTCCCCACCTCAAACAGAATGGTTGAATATGGGTTTCTGGAAGGTGTTGCCTGTTCATATTTTCCTGCTTTTCTCCTCAACGCCAAACGCACAGGACACAGCCATCTTTTCTCGCGCCTGTGAAGGTGGGACTTGGATATGTTTCCTCGTGGTTCGATCATACAAAGACTGGATCAATAGCATTGGCACTCAAGCTTGTCGAAGCAGCAAGGCTCGAACGGGGCGATACAGTCCTAGGTATGTTAACTCTCCTGAATCCTCAGAGTGATCTGGACCAGGAACTCGAAAGATGTCGGTCATGGAACCGGCGAATCGTTGATATTCTTGCTCTCTCATCCTACTGTTCCTCGCCCTTGCCATGTCACTGGGATTACGAGTCTGCCATACCACTCTCAACGGTCTCAAGCACGGCTGGAAGCAAAAGGATTCCAAACAAGGGTCGATTTGCACGTTGGCGACGCAATATGGCGGGCTGGTTCCCGTAATCCAGATCACCCTCTCATGCCTTCGTCCGAGGGGCGCTTTGAGACCATACTGGCGCTGGACTGCGCCTACCATTTTAATCCCAGATTGGAATTCCTCCGTCAGGCCTTCCGGGGTCTGAAGCCCGGCGGATCCATCGCCCTAGCGGACATATGTTTCGGTCCCGAAGCTTTTGAATCGAGCTGGAGCCGTTTCGTCATCAAGACTATGAGGCTCATGCCTGATTCAAATATGATCTCGGGGGATCAATACGTGCTGCAGATGCGAGACATCGGTTTTTGCGACGTACAACTGGAGGACATCACGCAGAACGTGTTTCCGGGATTTTGTCAGTTTCTCAAGTCGAGAGGGCTGGGTTGGTGGGTGTTTGGGCACGTATTCGCTGTTTACTGTAGGGCTGGCGCACGTTTTGTGATAGTTAGAGGGACAAAGCCATCATAAGAGGAACACATCTACGTCCAATACGGTCCAATGTTCACAGCACGGTCATCAGTGACGTCGTGTGACCTCAATCATGCTTCAATCTGTCCTTATACCACGATACGAACAGCGGTCGACGCCGACGCCGCACACTGTCTACGAGATCAGAGTGAAGGCAAATGTGCGAGACTGGTCCGTGTGGCGCCGCTATTCGGAGTTCGATGAACTGCACTCTGCGCTGAGGGATGCCACAGGCGACGCCCCACCAGCCCCGCTGCCTTCCAAACACTCTTTATCGATCTTTCGCTCTCACTCCGACCCGAAACTCCTCGAGGAGAGAAAAACTGGTCTTGAATTGTACCTCCGTGCCATCGTCAGTGCCAAGGACGAGAAGTGGCGCGATACGTATGCCTTGCGCAACTTCCTCGGAATCGCGATCGGCAAGCAAGGAGAACTTCCACAGAGCGGTCAATTCACTCTTGCGTCGTGGTTGGACGAGCATATCGAGCTGCAAACCAGGATAAGGGACGTCCGTGCGGACATCAATAAACGTGATGCATTGGCCGACAGAGGTGACACCAATGGCTCCCATACTTCGAATGTTGCCGCTAAGAAGAAACTGGCGGGGGTAATCAGCCGGGTTGGAACGCTTGCAACTGGTCTGCAGGAGCTGGCGCTTGGTGGAATGAGCGAGGGGGAACTGCAGCGGCGTACAGATATGATTGCCAGACTACGTGACGATTGCGAGAAGTATGTGTCCCTTTCCTGCGGCGTTCCCTGTGTTCATGTTCCGTCTAGGCTGGGAAAGATGGTCACAGTTGCCCGACAAACAAGTCGCGTGTCCGCAGGCACTTCCGCGGGCCGTGGGACTGCTCCTGACACTGATCGAGAGGCGCTGCTGGGTGGATCCACTAGCGGCGGAACAGCGACGAGATCCTTCGGGCGGGTCTTTGGGGCAGCAGCACCAAAGCCCCAGGAAACAGAGGAAACACGGCCATTGGATGACCATGGGCTCTTCATGCTGCAAGAGGCCAAGATGCAGGAGCAGGATACCACGGTCTCTCAGTTGACTGCTGTATTGCAGCGCCAACGACATATGGGGGAGGCCATAAACAACGAGCTTGTACTCCAGATCGAGCTCCTCGATGACCTAGCCAATCGCGTGGATGAGACATCAGGCAAGCTAACTGGGGTGAACCGCGAGATGGGACGATTGAAATGACATGGGATTGCGATTATTCCGTGTTTATAGTACATATGAGGATTAATATCTAATACATAGATGCACACTGTACTCTAGCTCTATCGTTTCACCAGCAGTTTTCCGACACCCTAAACAGAAAGGTCTGATGAGCATGGCCAGAGACGCGGATATGAGAACATCGCATACCTCGAAGCATGCGATCATGATTCCGCATGCGGGAGCAATCTTTGCCAATCGGGGTAGTAAACCGGCGAACAGGGCGGAAGCACCCTCCGTCTGCAAAATACGCATCACTAACGGAATGCTCGCAGTTTTTTGGGCGGAGGAAGTCATGATCAAGGCCTGTCGCCTTGTCTTCAAAACGTCGAAAGGATTCGTGACCAAGGCAGCGGACATCCCACTGGTGGCGCCGCATATGAAAGCGACACCGGCTCCTTCGCGACCATTCCTCCGAAACACTCCCTTGATAGTTTCATACCCTGCCCAGTAAAGGCCGGAGAAGGGAACGTCTCGCCATAGCGTTGGACCCAGGCCACGCCAAAGCACGCGAACACCATTTTGGCGCACTTGTTCTCGCACAGAGGTGAGGACGGATGTAAGAGTGTGTGGAACAAGAGGATGAGCCGGGGTCGATTGGAGGTTGGTTCGGATCAATTCGAGAGGGGAAACGATTGAGGTGACCGATGAACGGGCCAAGATGCCAGCAGAGAGTGGAACGACGGAAGCCGGAAGAAAATTAGGAAGAACATTGTTCAGAAGGTGATCGTAAGTCAGCATGTATGCCGTTGCGGAAGGAACACCCATGACTCTGGAGCCGGTAAGTGAATATAGAGGCCAGCCCATGGTTCACGGGAAAATGCCGTACAGTGTAGTTCCAACACCTTTCCACAGTCCACGCACTCCCTCGGCTCTCCAAACATGCCGGACTGCGTCCGAAAACCCTCTCACTGGCTCCGTTTTGAAGACACCGTGATCCCAAACACAGACAATACGCTCGGAACCCAGTGGTCGTGCTAGAGAAGACATCTTCCGAACGCACTGGAGACTAGAGGGTTGGCAGCACGCTCCGGATGGGAGCCGAGTCCCTACTTGGACTGGCTGGGTCTGTAACCGCGTTTTGACGACATCGAATGGAGTCACTGAGGACCTCCATGGTCAGTATGAGATCCAGAGCGTCAAGATGGCAACTCACTCGTCAAGGCCGTCATAGTGGACCCCGTAGCCGCAGCCACAAACTTCGCCTCGTATTCGTTCATGATGAAAAGGCCATGCGATCACGTGGGATGAATCATCGACCAGCACCCGGCGGCTTTTCGGACTTGAAGTTGGAGTCAAACGTTTATGGCATTGGCAAGTCGTACATTTGTTCCGCGCTAGAAAGTCGCAATAAGTCGGCGCATCCCAATAACTCGCTTTGGCATGAATGAACTCGATTTCTCAATCGTATTCACCCGAAGGTGTAAATGATCAACTACTGCTTTGTAAATGCATTCGAGCAGATAGCAACCCTAAATTTGGTCTGTGCGTATTTGAAATCGATATGATTCAGTCACGGTACAATAATTCCATTGTGTAACCTTGGAAGATAGGATTATGTATCACATCTCAAGCTTGAAATCAGCCTCAAGTCATGTGACTCCATCATCTTTCTCTTTCTCTCCCACCTAATCCTGCCTGCATCTAAACGAAATGGCACTGCCCGGCCCTGCTCTGTCTGCTTCGAGAGCTGCGCTCTCAGCCGCTTTGGCGGATCAAGCTCCTGAGGCCGAATCACTCGAGCCTGGCGAGATCCAGGAGGTTGAGGTTGACATGCAGGCACAAGCGGAGGGAATCCGTACTGTGTTTAGTGATCCCACGAATTTCAACGTCAAGGCACGACGGCCACATCCTTTCAGAAAACCGTACTCATCTCTGCTCAGCACCCTCTCTATTCGCCATGGACTCTGTGGTTTGACTCGCCTCAAACTAAGGGTCGCAACCTCCCCCAAACACCGATCTCCGCGTTTCCTCAGACTCCGGTGCCGCAGACGCCTGGTGTGGCTGCCGCTATGGGCTGGATGGAGGATATCAAGCGGGTCATTAGCTTTGACAGTGTAGAGGAATTCTGGGGGTGCGCCCACCTTCTCAACCAAGCTGATCAGTCACGAATTTTTCTGATGCAGTCTCTACAACAATATCATTCCACCGTCCCAACTTCCTCCGAAGGCCAACTACTACCTCTTCAAGGTTTGAATGCTTCAGAGTGTCATCATCCGTTATTGAACTGTATTAGGAGGGTATCATCCCTGCGTGGGAAGACGACGCGAATAAGAATGGGGGTAAATGGAGCATTCAACTGCCCAAGGACAAGAACCGTAACAACGTTGACAAGATGTGGCTCTATACCGTATGTGAATCACCTTCGGGTTGAACTACGTCACTGATGCGCGCTGGATTGCAGATGCTCGCTGCGATCGGTGAAACCTTTGACCCGGCGCTGACGACAGATCCAACAACACCCCCGCTCCAATCACTCATCACCGGTGTCATTGTCTCGACAAGGCCACAGTTCTATCGCCTGTCTATATGGACTCGTCTCGCGCCAGGGTCTAACGATGAGGAAGACAAGTTACGGCAAAGGATCGAAACAGTGGGCAAACACTTCAAGTCAAGCGTTTTGGGCTACTCCGACGGCCAGAAGTTGTCCGGGCCTCTGGCGACGGAAGTCGAGTTTTTGTCGCACAAGGACAGCGAGAAGAAAGGCGGCAAGGGCAAGAAGATCGTTGTCTAATATATTGTAAAATCTTGCGGTGCCGATGTAACTTACAAGTACAAAAACACATCGAAAAGCGAACTCTTCTGTGCTGCGCAGCTCGCTACATTGTGCACAGCCGGGTGAGGCGCGTCTGGGCTGTGCGACTTTCGGTAGCTTATAATGATAGCATAACAACATCAGCCCCACAACGCAGTTTCTTTCTCGCTTTCATCATGTCTATGTCCGGATTCCTATCCTCCATCGCAGACAAGGTCCTACCTTCGTCGCACGAGTCCATCCATCACCATTTGAGGACTATCACTCAACAGTACTCCTCTTCGACCACGCCGACTCAACGCCTCATCACTGTCGAGAAAGGCGTCACGATTGATCTTGATGCTCTCGGGCGCGATGCCAAGGCACAGAGCAAGGAGCTCTACACTTGGGGGTTTTCTGAGGATAGCGACCTCAAAGATGTCAGCGATCGGCTCGCATACTTGAACTTCGTTCAGGTGCGTTGTCTTACTGCTCGCCTCAGAAAGCCTCTCTAAGGAGCCTTGGTTCAGGGTGCGCTCGCTAGCTCTCTCGCTGAGAAGCTAAATGCCGCTCGTACTCCTTTCAAGAACTTGCGGGATGCCGAGGCTGCTCTGTTGCCTCGAAGGAACGCCCGAGCGGCGTTGCAGTTGCAACTCAACCGGATCGAGCATGATCAACCGCGAGGATTGGAGAAGCGCACTGCCGAATTGAAAGAGCAGTTGAAGAAACTTACTTTGGAGGATCAGCCGCAGGAGAAACAGGCGCGTGTGTGCTGTGTCTGATTACAGGTCACTTACTGTTTGATCAGGCGAGCCTCCTGAAGCGTAGCGCTTTGCGAGAATCGGAAAAGATGAAGGCACGTCGTATGTTCCAATATATGGACCGAATCTGATATCTCGATATTCAGTGGGAGGCAATCCGAGAGGTCGGTCTCATCTTGATCTACCGCAATGTTCGTTATTGAGCCCTTTCCAGTACGCAGAGAAGCTAGTCATCCTGTCTCAAGCAGCCCCTGCTCTTATAGCTGCTCTGCCTACTTTGCCTCCGACCGAAGAACACCCGTACGCTGGTGCACAATCGACTGGCGCCATCAGGGCAGCTCTGCAGCGTGCTCTCGACAACTACAAGACGGGTCATGTAGATCTCGTGGTTCCCGTGGCAGGCGCAGACCTCAACAGGTCGGACACACGTAGTTTCGGGGAAACGCACGCCAGTGAGCTCTCGAGCATCAACTCTGAGGCGCCCTCCGCAGCGCCTGTCACCCCACCTGCAGAGTTGAGCTCTCCCCAGACGGCTGCCACTTCTCCACCGATTTCATCACACCCTGCTCCAATTGACCCATCGAGCCTGAATTTGTCGCCTGCCTTGATCCCCAAAGCATCGACTGACGAGGCCCCATTGGTCGCCGATGCAACTAACAGCAGTGCACCAGTCCCTCCGCCTGTTCCAACCGTAGCAGAAACAGGAGTGCCTCTCTCTGCCGGTGAAGACGGACCGGGCCCCGCCAGTGGCTCTCTGCGTGACATCAAATCCACGCGGCCAGCTGAGGATGCCCCTGTTTATGGCTTCGGTGGCACGCAGAAGTTCGAGAGCGCAGTTGAAGAGAAACAGAGACTACAGGCTTATTCCCATGCAGCTCAAGAGGCTCCTCCCGCTGTTCACTTCGAATCTGCAGAAGAAGAGAAGAAACGGCTGCAAAGGGAAGAAAGCGCGAGAGCTTCGGCCGGTCCATCCACTGGAACTAAGCCCTCTGATGAGCCGGAAGATTTGCCCCCATCGTACCAGGATTAGATGGGACACTCTAATGTTTTGAATAATTGTATCAAGTATGCATTTTCGGTGTTGCGCTATCGCGTTCACAACACAGTGAGATAAAATCAGTACAAGAGACATGCAGTGTACGTTCGAGCACTTGCGAGTGATGAATGCATCGAAAGCCTCCTCCAACGTCAAAGCAAGAGCTCGGCCCAAAGAAGACTGCGAAAATATAGGCGGAAAGACAACTGGTGAGGAGCTGTATGAATATAGAGAATGGGAAGACGTCACGGTTTGAGCGATGTTGCCCTCGGGAGCCTAGCCGCAGGTGTGGTGTTACTACAGTTTGATAAGTTACGATGGACACGAGATGGATGCTGGTGATGCGCATTATCAGTAAACGGGATACGAAGGAGGAGCGAGCGAACCCTTCAGGCTATATCGTCGTCGTTGCGTGTGAACTTATGTTTGCTTTGCAGCGCGACTTCTGTCATGCCTTTCCCACTATTTGTGACGCCCACTACGAATACAGATGAGTGCCATGGCAAGCGGTACAGCATTTTAGAACGATGCTCACCTCTTCCTAACGGATTTTCGGGTGTCTTGAAGATACTCGTTCCCGAAATACCAGCAATATGCACACCCTTCTTCTCAGACTTTTTAGCAAACTTCTGCCATGTCGCCTGTTTCGCAGTCTGCTCCTTCGCCTTGGCAGCCCGAACCTCAAGCTTCTTCTCGTTCTTTTTCTTTTTGCGGTCTCGTTCCTCCTCTTCCGCAGGCGTCAGCTTGCGCTTGTTCGTAGGGGCCGCGTAAGCGTAGTTGGCAGGCATGCTTTTGAGCTCCGATGCTTTGACTTGTTCAGTGGTATTGTAGCCTTTGAACATGACATTGTAGACCCGGTTTTCCGTCGAACCGCCCACAGCGGTGATGCGAGCGGGGTACCAACTGCCGTCTGCGGAATATTTGGCCAAGCATTCGTCTCCTGCGGACCATGTATGCGTTGGAGTGGATAACGCTTGTTTACGAGAAGACTCGGCTTTGTGTGAGGATGCAGCTGCTTCGGCTTGGGCCAGCGCGGCCTTGGTCAATTCGATAAGCTCCTTCAACTCTGAGCGAAGTGAGCTCAGTTCCGCGTTATCTGGGTCGGCGGCCATCGCAAGTTCCACCTGTGACAGTTGCACTTGATAAGTCTCGAGATCTGTCTTGTCCATTGCGAAGGGAATGCGGATGCAAGGGTCAGGCAGGTGAAGGTTGAGGGAGTGAGAGTAGGTGAGAGTGACGGGTGACCGTGATGAAGCGCACTGCCACATATCTTTGGAATCTGCCAGTAGAACCCGATAACAAGGTACAAATGAAGTTGTACATAGACAGGTATGTATTCAATCCCAAAAACCTCCCCCATCCAGCTTGACACGAGTGTCTTGTTTGGCTTTGCTACCTTGCGATCGCCCGGCTCGTTGGGTGCTGCGTTTGGAGTGAAACTTTCGTTTCTGATTTGAACGCTTTTTGGCAAGATCAGCGGAAACAATCTCTCGCACGCCTTTGCTTGTTGGGTGGTCGGAGTTCTCCGAATCGCTGGGAGATCCAGGTCGAGACCGGGGAGGCGAACGAGAACGATCGGATCTTTGCTGGTCCTCTTTCTCTGATTCATGCTCTGAGTCAGCGGGTGGTTCGACAGCCGCTTCCTCAGCTTCACGCTCCCCCTCTTCGCCGTCGTCTGAACCCTCACTCTCTTCTTCACTCTCCTCACTCTCCTCTTCACTCTCCTCTTCGCTCTGGTCGTCGACGTCCTTCTCTCCTTCTTCGGATTTGACTGCATCCATATACTGCACACGAGGGTCAGTGACACCGATCGATCTCAAGAAGCCGGCTCACCTCCTCCAAGGCCTTCATGTCCTTGGCTTTGAAGCCGCTGGCAGCCACCACCACGTCCAGACGGAAATCACCCCCGCCACTCCATCTTCAGACATGGTGCTTTTGAATCGAGGGTACAATGCACTTTCATAGCGGAACCTTCGCCGGAAGAACGTTCTTATGCATTCGACATCACGGTTGAAATACCTGTCTTATGTGAGTTGCTGCCCTTCCAAGCTGGGAGAGACATGCCATTCTGCGTTTTCGTGTGATGTGCTGACCATTTGCGGGAAGTCGATCACAACAGGTTCGCCGCTTTCTCGTCGGATGAGGATGTTGAATTCATTGAAGTCACCGTGGATCAGGCCAGCATGGGCGAAGCGGACAATCAGATCCATCAGTGCCGAATACAATTTTCCCGGCGCAGGCACTTCAGCTATCTGGCGACTGGGAAAAATAAGTTCTTGAACTTCGGGGGGAGTTGATAGCAAACACACAGTGGGTAGGCGTCGATGAATTCCATGAGAATGCAATGTCTTGCTTGATCCACTGGTCTGGGGACGGGGAAATCATGCTCATGCAACACCTATTGGAGAATTGGCGCCGGGTAGAACAAAAATATCAGGTGGCGTACCTTCATGAATGCCCACTCCTTTTGAGCTGATAGACGAGACATGTACATCCAAGACGCAGACTTTCGCTTGCCGAGATAATCTCGCTTTGATTTGATAGCTCTGAAAGATATGCGCCCTAAACTAGCGGAATCTTTAGGAACAACTAAAGAAGTCGAGTCGAGTGAGCTTACCGATGTAGCTTGAGGACGAGCTCCTTCCCTCACTGTCTGCTACCATGTAAATGTCTGACGTGCAGCGTCAATATTCATGTCTAGATTAGGCGTGCGAAGCTCACCAGATTCTTTCCCGACTCCGATCTGATTTCCTACTGAGTGCATCGAGTCTCTTTTGGAGAGAGCCCTCATGGCAAGATAGTCGTATCCCCCATACGTCAGCCGATATCCGTCATCTTTAACGAGCTTGAGCGCCGGCAGGCTTCATAGATGAGGGCGTTACATTTGGAATTTTGCACTTTAGAAACGAGATTCCGTTTGGCCAGAGATCCGATGATCTTGTTCACCCCTCCATTCCTCAGACCAGAAATCTGCGCAATGAGAACCGTAGGCACGACCTCGTGATTTTTGGAGCCCATTTCCACCTATGCATCGTCGAAGCGTCTACTGAACCGCGAAGAGAAAGCCGCATACAGCAGTGAGCACTCTGAACTCCTCCGACGTGACGTATCGCAGATCCGTTGCGTCCAGCTTCATGGCGCGGAGAGAGCGATTATGAGATTAAAGTAGTGAGAGCCGAAGAGATCAGAGTTTGAGAGGAATGTGATCGAGTGACGGATCAGTTTTTTTGAAGCTCCGAAGGCTAGAGGCAATTTACGACGTTCGCCCCTCTTGACTTGAACTCTCTTTATAAATGAGTGAAGATCTCTCTCGAGGATCCAGGGCAGTGCGTGTCGCAAACAAGGTCCCGGATTCCATTTACGTGCAGTGACCGGACAATGATGTTGTCAACAAGGCTTCTGCTTCAGCCATTTCTGAAAGTATAAAGACCACCTCGAATCTGGTGTCCTTTCGCGTCGTTCTAGCTGCCGACCTCGATGTCCCTGCTCGTGAGGCTATCTGGTCAATATTCGAGACGAACATGCGCTCTCTGTAAGCTGGACCAAGACCGTTCGAGCACTGTGAGCCGATGGATCGTCAGACTCATGCCGTCGTCATTGGGCTGGAATCCTCCTGAAAAGCGATTGGAACTATTCAACGACCTGCATCGCTTCATTCTAGTTCACACGAAAGAGGCGCCCCATCGGCTCGTTGCCTTCGTTGCATTTCGCTTCGAATTTGAGGAGGGCGAGGACACATTGTATTGGTCAATATGGTCCTTGTAACCCGAGCTCTGCTCTGACAGACAGTTCTAGCTATGACCTGCATGTCTCTTCCACAGCTCGACGTCAAGGACTTGGACGTGCCTGATAAATCAGCTTCAGAACATTGCTTCTGATTTTGGGATGGATAAGATCATGCTGACTGCCCTGAAATGTCTCTTGTCTATCCTCTCATATTATACCCTCTGACTGAGATCCCAAAGCAAACATTTCTGCTCTGCAGTTCTATCGCATCGTTGGGTAAGCACGATTAGGCTCTCGCTCCCATTCTGGCGTCTGACATGTCGCTCTGCAAAGGTTTGAGCTGGATGAGACATCTCCCGGAGACGAAGACGAAGAAGACTACAAGCTGTTGAGCAAGTATCTGGAATATATTGATTGATCGGGCCTCGTTGTATTCATCTTGGATCCTCCAAATCTTCTCAGAACTTACGTCGTCTTTCTGGGAACTAGAAACATTCTAAAGCCCCGTGTTCTGGTCATTCAGTGAAAATTTGCAGCTTTATTCCTATGAGAGATAAATATAAAACTGACATCTTATACAAATGCAGTCCTGATCTCGGTTTCCTGTCTGAGAATTCAATCTGGATCAAAGCGCGAACACGATGACGACGCGTCAGCACGTGACCGTACTTTCTCCTCCAACCCAACCACTACTTGCCCAGCCCTAAATCACTATCCGAGTCGGACCTGTCGTTCTGATCACAAAAACGATTGCATCCACCTTGCGTCCCGTTCTCCGTGCGCTCATGTCCAAGCGCCCGCAGCTCACCCCCGAGCAAATCGCGCTATCCGAGGCTCGAAAGGCCAAGAAACTGAAGCTCCAGAGCGATCCCTCGGAGCCTGCTCTTCCGGAGAAGAGCAGGATTCTGCGTCGGCCTTGGATTGAACTGGATCGACCCGGGGCGAAAGACGCACAACAACGACCAGGGAGGTTTAGTCTCCTGACTTGGAATGTCCTGGCGCAATGCCTAGTCCGTGCGTTGCCACTGTGGTACAATATGACGGGAGCTCTCCAAGCTTAGTATCCGAAGATAGGTCGGTCGCTTTTCCCCACGAGCACGTGTCTCAAGGGTGCCCAACGGCAGCCCATGATACAAGAAGAGATTCTGTATCAAGACGCCGATATTCTGTGTCTGCAAGAAGTGGATGGACTGGACAAACTGCTTCCCGTGCTCGAGAAAGAGGGGTATCGGCACCACTATGCATCAGGACCGGGTGCGCGCGCACTTGCAATCTCCTGGCATTCCCTTCCGACACTTGAGCACAGGCAAGAAACACGGCTGCCTGATAGCATTCAAGAACACGTACGAAAAGATCGGCGACCGGCTGGTCCTGTATGACGAGCAGGACGTGCGGAGGGATGGTGAAGACAAGTTTCGCCGCGGAAGTAGTTTCCGGACGAAGAACATCGGGTCTCTCGTTGCCTTGAGATGCGTTTCGGATGAAACGCGCAGCGTGATAGTTGGTACCACGCATCTATTCTGGCACCCCAGGTATACATATGAGCGGGCAAGGTCACTTTCCCTTTGGTACTCTCAACCATGCCGCTGAATATGATCATTCCAGACAAGCTGGAATCCTCCTCCGAGATATCACCAAGTACAGGGCTGATCTTGGCCACGGATCGTGGCATTGCATACTAGCAGGAGGTAAGTCAAGCTGCTCTACTTCTACGTCGCTCGCGATGGCGAGTCAATGCCTCATTAGATTTCAACTTCACTCCCGAAGATCCAGCGTACTCCTTACTCGTAGGGCGGCCGCTGACTCAAGCCCAGTCGGAGCGCTTGGATATATCTCGTGTCGTGTAGGCGGTCCTTTGACGTTGCTGGCCCCGTGACTAAGGGCTCCCAGGCACGTCTCGCTCGACCCGAGTGTCCCGGTATCAGGCCCGCGCGTGGCAGACGAGGATGAGGGCGACGATCCTGACCTCGTCATCACCAACGCGCGACGAGCGGTGCCCGCTGATGGCCTACTATCGGATGCGGAGCTGTCCTCCCTGTTCGCGAGCTCTGGTTTAGTCCGCAGTGCCTACAACGAGGGTCTGCATCACTATCGCCAAATAGCAGGCGACATTGGCACATTTGGGGAACGGCTGGGATGGGTTGCCGGGAGCAAGGGCTTCCACGAGCCTGAATACACGAGCTACACACATTGGTGGAAGGTCAGCTCTGGTTTTCGAGGCCAAGACAGTCGGAACCCTGACCGCGCCCCAGTCTGTGCTCGATTACATCTTCTTCGTCGAGCCGCGGCCCTTGCAAATTACTGGTTTTCGGGCCCCACATGTTGTGAAGAACATGGAACTCGGACTTCCACAGACCGGCATCTGCGGCAGGTCAGTCTTGTCGCTGAAGACGCTGATATCGGATTATGATATGTTTTTTTTGCAGTGATCACATCTCACTGTGCGCTGAGTTCCGAGAAAGCGTCGAATTCGAAGCATTAGGTAGTGATAGATGAGTAGGGAACGAGCGGCTGTCCGTGGGCGAATGCGTATATGTATGCGAGCATAGAATGTAACGTTTAAACATTAGCGGGTCCGGTCGGAGCCCTCGATGAGACTGTCAAACAGCCCTCCGGCAGACTGTTCCGTCCGGAGCTGGATCATGTATACTATTCCGGTCCTCACTCCCATGTCGCTCAGCTCAATGGCGACTCCCGTCTTCCCGACCCGCTCGACCCCGTCCGACAACACAATGGTGGAGATCAGGATCGATCCCTTCGAGCCAGTCTCGACGACAAGCTGCTTCACGTTCGTTGGGCTTTGCCGGTACAGCTTCAGCTTGGCCGAGCCCAGCGATTTCCACTGCGCGTGGTGTTGCTTCAAAAACACTTTGCACTTCATTTCGGCCGAGATCGTCGATGTCACGGGGCCTGTGAACACGGGAGTCTCCTCCACAGGCGAGTTCGGCGGGCTGGGCTCGTGGAACGACGGGACGTGACGAGGGATGGAGACTCCCAGTTGCCCCGAAGGAATCATCGTCCGCGGCTGGGGAGCATACATTCCGGGCCCAGGACCACCGGGCATCCCTCCTGGTCCCGGTCCGTTGACCATCCCGCCCGGGGGAGGTCCATTCGGCATCCCGCCGTTGGGTGGCCCGTACGGCGGCCCACCTGGGGGCCCGTTTGGCATGCCTCGGGGGTAGTTGGGCATCGGCGGTGGGGGATAATCTTGCTGAGAATACTGCGACCGCAGTGAAACACCGGATGGCGAGTGATGTAATCCCGTTTGCTGTGGCTCGGACGGAGGCCTCGACGGAGGCGCTGACCCAGGCATGATGGAACCCGGCATCGGTCCGGACGGGGGAGGCGATCGGTACCCGGCGTTCACCATGTTGGAGCCGTAGCTCGCGCTTCGTGCCGGGGGGACGACTTGTCCAGGACTGGCAAAGAAGGGTTGAGAGCTTGAAGCCGAAGGATGAGATTCCTGTGATGGAGATGGCCGTGGAGGCATATTCTGGCCAGGACCGACAGGCCCATCTGGCGGTATCCCAGGCAGAGACCGCTGCGACCCTTGCTCGCCGGCAGCATTTGCCGGAAGCGGCGGTAGCGGCGGGGGCGGCTGACTGGCAGGAGGAGGCACTGCAAGATTGTCACTACAGCAGCACGAGCACATGTAGGTTGACACTCACAAGAACTGGCAAATGCAATGCACTCTTGGAATTCAGCCAGCATAAAGTTTCGAACGTGCACTGATTCGGCTTCGATGATCAGTGTCTCCTTCCGCATGATCGCGACTTCGAGAGCATTATCTGAGCCATCTTTAGTCAAGAACGTTCGTCATGCTTGGGAGACCGACCTTGGCCCTCAACTGCAGCCACCCGAAGCACTTTACCGGCCAGAGGTGGATAACACAACCACATATCGGCCCCCTCGCTTCCGTGTTGACTTCGCTCTTCGTTCGACATCCGCTCACAGATCAAAAATAAGTCCGAAAGAAGGAAGAGGTGTCCCATGCGGTGCACGACTTCGACTCCAGTTGCTCGTGGCGTGAAACGGATAAGGGCATCGACGGAGAATCTGAGTTCTCGAGTGAAATGTAGCGTTGGAGGGGACATCTGCAGCCGGACGACCTTGGGTCTCATTGTGAAGATGTCCAGAGTGCGTTCCGTGGTCAATCGTCGTTCGAGATCAGAAATCGGCATTGACATCGTCGACGACGAGACACGGCTGATGGATGTATTCGCAGTTTCTCGGGATAGCCGTTCCCTACATCGGAAAGATACGAGTCAGAATAAGGGAAGCTATCGGAAATTCTGCTCACCCAGACGACAAGCTGCTCCCTCTGGCTGAACTCGTCTCGCTACCGCCCGGCTGCTCAAAGTTACTCATGCGAACGCTCTCATTTAGGGTAGATCGAGGCGAAGTCGTCGCACTTCGGTCGTTCTGCGAGCTCCCATCGATGCTCGGAGCCGACGGTTGCAAAACAACAGTGTCTGCGGGTTCCTCGGGCGCTCCAACAAAGATCTGCTCCCGCATGTCAAGCGTGTCTAACAGCCTGTCCAACTTGTCCAACGCGCCAACGAGGAGTTTGTGGTCGCTACGCCCGGGAGTCGTGCTTTTCAGAAGTCGGGAGTAGAGTTTGCGATAGTACTTGAGCCGGGCTTTGGGAAGCAGAAACAGCCCATCTAATGTCCAAGTCGGGGTCTCGAGGTTCGGATTGCAGGCCCAAGTTGGGGGAGGGATGCTAACCGAGAACGTGCCCATCACAGTCGGCAAACGGGGGTTGCTCTGCACAGGTTCCCAGTCGTCGAAACCCGTGCAGAATTTGCCGCAATATGAGGTATAAGGGACTTCAAGGTCGTCAATCTGTTTACACATAAGAGGAGCAAAATAAGGTTTGAGCTTCGGAGCCTACCCATCGCATCAGTAGATCTCCTAATGCCTTGGGAGACGAGGGATTGGTTCCAATCTCCCTCAATTTCTGAGTTGGAAAGAACAGAGAGACACGGTGAGATATTGGATAGGCAAGGGAATGGGAGGGCCGCGCACCGCCAGCAGAGACCGATTCGCTTTGTATACCCCTTCAATTCCCCGGAAGATGTTGTCCAGCTCTGGGGGCGGGAGATTCGACCTCGACCACGCGGCGGCGACTTTCTGCGGGAGCATGTCAGTCCAAGCCGATTCGAAAGTGGCGCAACGTAGGGTACGCACTCGAATGATGCCAGTCAGTTGCTCGACATAGGACTTTTCGGTATCGATGAGGTCCGTCAACGGGTTGGATCGCTTTTGCCTGGCTTCCATGGACTCCGGGCCCGACGGAGACATGGGGGAGGCGGGAGTACTTGATGATGAGGCTGGAAAAGATGGGTGGTCCAATCCGTCGGGGTCCTAGCGACAGACTTACCACCTGGCACGGGGAGGGAAGAGAAAGAAGAGGAGCTGAGGTCTAGTGGCGCGAAATTGGAGCCTTTGGAGGGTGGCGGCGGCGGTAAGGTGTCTTGCTGCGTGTCGGCCATGCTCGTTTGGACGGAAGACGAAATGTAATATCTGCGAGTCACGTGTAGTCATGACAGATGCCGATTGAAAGAACGGAACGTGTGTCAAAACTCAGGACAGATACAACTAGATACAGGTATACAAACAAGTAATATAACTTATCGAAAGGGAAGACGTTAGTATCCTAACAACACGCTGTTCAGCCCTAGCTCATCGCTACCCAGGCACTCGGGCTTTTGGTCGATGTGCCGCCAGAAGACTGTCGGCGATGCTGGGAAACATCAGGAGCAACTAAAGCTTGACTGGCAGGCAGCGGGGCTATTCCGCTGGAGCCCTCAATCGGAGATGGCTGGGAACCGCTCTCGTCTTTCCGCCAAAGTGTTGTCCTCGAGAACGGATACAGCGGCAAGCTGATGTCAAGATTGGGATTGGTGGACGTCATCCTGTGGGCCAAAAGATCAGCAGCCGAGAGAACGAGCCAGACGCGTCAGATACCGGATGATCTCTCGCATTATTCCCTGAAGAAGACTTTCTTGACGAGCTGCCATCGACCGTCACACCGTGTGCAGCAGTTCGATAGATTCCACGTACTTCCGATAGGTGAACGTTGGCCATAGATCAGCATGGCAAATCGAAGCACCGCGATTTCACCCCAGACTGTGCTTTCTCGTTCCGTATCGCCGATCTCGATGAAATACTTGCACAGCTGGACCTGAACGACCGCAGCCAGATACCAGCAGAGCTATAGCGCAAGTCACACTCAGTGGTCAAGACAGGGCCATAACACCAGCTCACCACTACGAAAGGGTGCAGGCGCGTGATATCCAGGGACGTAGCGGACAGCATTGAGTAAGCGCCAAGAATACTGCGCGCCGCATTGACACAGCGAGCCGTGGAAACACATTGAGGATTTGTGAAGTCAAGATAAGGATTGTGCAAGGTGATAGTTGCGCTGGATGGAAACAGAACGGTCAAGCGACAACCAGAGGTAAACCTTGCGGACGAAGACGTACGCATAGGGAATCAGCTTGACCATATAGAGATCAGTGTCGAGGTCACAGCCTTGGGGTGCATCGGTGACCCCCGAATTAGCCTTGAAGATGGGTGGCAGGCTCTCTAGGAAATCCGTGGAGACGAGTGCATCCAGCTCCTTGAAGCCCTCCAGGAAAAAAGGATTCTGGTTTTTGCTGGGAGCAGTCGGCGCTCGCAGGTTTCCACGAACATTGAAATCAGTGACACGCCCAAACAACATCACAGCTTTGATGAAAAGCAGGAAGGAATCGGTGTACTGGATCTTGTCAGCGCATAAATTCACACTAGCCTGAAACTAACTACCTGTGGGGGATGTCTTGTGAAGATATCAAACGCAGAAATGTCCTGAGGGTTGCTCGGAACGGCAGTCTGAACGGCGCGTTAGGTCTCGTCCAAATTCGAGATAGGGACCCACATCAGATTCAAAGTCCACCGTACGAAGAGGCAGCTCAGTGCCCAGATCTCGTTCGTCAACTAGCCAAAGGATCAGCTTTGGGCCAGATACCCATGCAACCAAGCTCACCAGCATGAATCCATCCCCCAACAGAGGCGATCCGGTCAAAAACAATGGTCATCCACCATGTTCGACGCCTCGACTCCAGATCCCGGAAATCCTTCGGCGGCGCAAGATATGCTCCCGGGGAGTTGTTTCCGTGGGTTGTAAATGTGCCAGGGTAGTTTAGGCGCAAAGGGATAGCCACACGGGTCAGAAACCCGGCAAATATCCACACTTCCACCCACCGGCCTTCTTGGTAGAAGTACCAGCAAAGAATGATGCAAGCCTGGAGCACCGGAAAGATATCTTCTCCCGTTGCCATGGTCTTGTCCATATACTGGCGAGTCTTGCTTGCATGGAATTCCGCAAATTGGTCCCGGCGACTTCCATCGGGTAGTGTGACGAGATTCTGCGGAGACCACCGAGATGCGGCTGTGCACTGCTAAACAGTCAGCGCTTGTGCAGCTCAAGAGAAGGGACAACGCAACGATAGCGTGTAGGATTGAGGAGTGAGGAAATCCGGGATCTCGAGGAGACAGATGCATTGAAGACAGAAACGAGGGCGGTGCAACACTCGAGACCCGCATGGATCCCACTTGAAGAACGTCTCGATGCTGATGAGGGTTTCATGAATACCTGGCTCGGACTAAACCCACCGGCGCACTCACTAGTGGTTCAAAGTGGCTGGATCAGGTAGATCTGGATTCCAACCGAGGAAGAGGAGGTCCATGAGAGGTTCCGGTAGGCCCTGGGTGGGACTGTGATCACTCATCGAGTCATTCGGCATGAGATTCATCATGGAAAGCGAGGCCTGCGGAAGTGATATACCCCCATCCGATGCATTCGCTGTAGAGCCCGGTCGCTTCGGAGACGAAGATCGAGAAGTTCTATGTTCATCGTCGTGCAGCCTGTTCCTCAGTTGTGCTGCAACCATCGATCAGGCCATGTCCACACCTCTCGGGAAAGGACGGACCTATCTGTGTTTCCAGCTGTCTAATTTTCTCGAGAGGGTCGGTGTCCGGGGCAAGCGACAATCCGTCCACGGGGTCGTACAAGCATGTCGGTTCCAGAGGGTGTCTAGTCGAGGATGAACGGATTCGCACAACGGGGCATGCCTGACTCACGTATAACCAATGGGCGCGGGGACGCTGATAACAGCTTGGTGTTGTCTGTGGTGAACCGCGTTTTGTGGTTGAATGCCCGAGAAGCCCGGAAGCGAATTCAGCAACTCACTTCACGCATGTTCCGCAGTGAGGGCGGGCGGCATCGCATTTCTGATATCTGGCATGAGTGGCAGGCGTCAATGGTGGGCTCCGTCACATACAAGCTTCTTCCGACGACAAGAACGACATGCCTGGACGGTAGACGGTATTCAGCACGAGGTGCGGGCGCCTAGACGACGCGACCACGACCATGAGCGACGCACCTGGTTCCTACGGAGAGCGGGGCGGCTGGCGCCTGGATTGGGGGTCTTGGGCATGGCCAGTTACTCAGAAACGGAACGGGTAGAGAAGTTGCAACGGGCGACGACTGTCGTCTTCTCGGGTGTGTCCGTGCGCCGCCGTCAAGTAACCTTGCTGAGTAGTCGGATTATTCCGCTGCACGTCTCCTGGGATGCTGGACACGATGCAACGACAGTGTATGCGCGGGGGGGAAAGAGGTTACAATTGTACTAAGACGGCATCATGCCTAATACGGTAGTGCATGGCTGAGATCAGATGGCTGCGCCGGCGCCCTCGGAGGCCGATGGAAAGCACGCTTTTGCAACAGGACTCGCGTTCAACATAGTTAAGCAAGCCAGAATTACATGCGCATTTGGATCTTTGTGAATACTCGGTGACAAAGAATTCGCAGTAAATTACAATCGTCAAGATCTTCAAGAGTCAAGACATCAGCCAACAATTCCGATTATCGATTCGGCACCGGTCTGGCACCTACAGGATGGTTGCAACAATTTTTCTGCTATGCTCCATACGGCGAAATTCGGTTAGATAGATGCCTAGTAATGTGAGATGACACGTGAAGAATATGAGGCATATTGATGTGTACCTTGCCAGGTCCCGAGGTTGAGTTTGGAATTTGTGATTGGAATAGTGATGGAGGAACCTATGAGAGAGGCCTATGTACAAGCAATTGGAATGAGATTGCCAGGTCCCATAGAATACGATAGCCGGACCTTTGTGTGCGATACGCTGATCCGTCACGGTGAGGCAGTCGCCGCAGTGGTGATCTGTCTACTCACGAGTCACTGCAGACTAGATATCAGCAAGGCGCTACGACAAGATAGTAGAAGACTTGCTCCGGGCCTTCGTCTGTGTGCAGCCAGCTAATCAGTAAAATGTCAGCCCGATGCCAACGACGGAATCCAGAAGATCACCCACTCGAGTTTCTCGGGCACGATGTGGTCCAAAGCCATGTCCATGTCGGTAGGGGCATCGGAAGAGAGTTCTCAGATAGATTCTGGATCACAAACCTTTCCTGACGTCTGGTTTGATCAAGGGAGAGACAATCAGTGGCTTTCAATAATGCACGGAACGCGCCGTCCACCTGGATCGTAGTTCTCGTTCACACTCAGACTGGCGCTTGTGTGTTTGCTTTCGAACCGTAAGTCTCAGAATTACAAGATGTTCAACAATCGCGCACATGAAGAGATATAACATTCCAACCTCGAAATCCAGATCAGGTGCTACAAGTCGCGCTCACGGAAGACGACCACATACTTGGGTGTTTTTGAGACCAGGCTCGATATGGCTCAAGATTTCATTCGTCACAAGATGGCAGCCCTTTCCTCGCCGTTGCAAGGTGAATTCTTTTTGCCAGCCCATTCCGGCTCAAGATGGACGGGGTTGGATGAGATAATCTCATCGCACGTGAAGCGATCGCGTCTACTTACCACGTGATAGTTACCACTCCTCATGCAGTTGCTGCCAGGCCGCTGCCGACTGACTGCTCTTCACGAAAGCCGCAGCACGTCATCCTTCGGCACCGGGCACTTCCTGAGACCGTCGTCTTCGATCTGCCGCAGTCTGGTTCGTCGCCCGTCTTCGACCGGTAGATGCCACATATCCAGGCACCGTTCGTGGCCTCAGTGACAGAACGTGTGTTGACACTACTCCAGATTCCATAAAAATCCAGATATCCTTCATCTCTCTTACGACGCGAATCAAGAGATGTGGGAGTCGATGTGAACTGCCGAGCGTCCACACCCCCGGCTAAGTGGATGTCGGGTTCCTGGGGATAAATGGCCGAAAGTGTGCGATGCTTTCGTTGGGGGCGTGCACATGCTGTTGCGGTGGGCGTGTTTGGTTCTTGGATGGTGCCCGAGGACACGAGTCATTTCGCGCAGCCGCCAAGGTCGAGGAATGATGCGCGAGGCATTCTTGGAACACCAAGAGTGACGGAAGGAACCTTCGAAAGAACCGAACCCTTCGAAAATGTCTCCAGAAAACATTGCAGATCCGAACAATCGCGAGCGGCGACTTCGTATCGTGTTGATGTGTGATGCCGCATGCAGACCCAGGTTCTGATCTGAGATAAATACTCATTCCCCCCTTCCAGCCGGGAGTGCAGTACGGCAGAGCATCCTTGCGCCACTCGTCCATGGGGGTCCCAATAGGTCCGGGAAAATTCGCGGATCAGGGATCAATGCCGAGAGCCTGCGTCAGGGCTTTTACGTGTACAAACTTTGATTCCGCGGGATAACCATCTCCTGATGATCTCACTCTCGTTTACTCATTATCCACGATGTCCTCAAATTTGCGTCTTTTTCTATTTTCTCCCGCATGGCAGAGCTGCTCGGAAACCCCTCTCTCCTCGCCCTCGTGCTCTTTGCCACTGCGGCTTATTTCTGGGTCCGCAAACAGGCCTCGGCTCTGCCCCTGCCTCCCGGACCCAAACCCAACTGGCTCGGGAATGTAGACCTGCCCAAAATCCGGCCTTGGCTCACCTATGCCCAATGGGGGCATACTTATGGTTCATACTCCCCAACGACTCTCCACCCCTATCTGACCCAACGCAGGCGACGTGATCTACCTCCATGTGTTCAATAATCCTATTCTCGGTACGCACGCTCGGTTGCACCTTGAGCTCGATGAACGATGATCCCTTCCTCAAGTCCTCAACTCTGCCGAGGCGATCTCGGACCTGTTTGAACGACGGAGTGCCAATTACTCGAGCCGTCCGCGGAGAACCATGGTGGTCGACTTGTGCGATATCCCGCCATTCGAGCATATCTTTCCGTGCTGATAAGTCCCACAGAATCGGATGGGATTGGCTCGTCTCCTGTGAGCATTACCAAGACATCATCATCTTCTGACTGTTGTTCACATCATTTCAGCCTTCCCCTACGGCCCAAAATTGAGCGACCACCGAGTCTTATTTCTGAAACATCTTCCCAGCGCCAGAGAACCGTCCTCGATGTGCCAGTCCCTTCAAATCAGGGAAACCCACGAGATGTGCCGAAATCTGCTCGCTACTCCCGAAGCGTTCCGCTACCACATCCGGACAATGGCCGCAGCAGTGGTTCTGAAACTTACGTACGGCCTGTCTATCGAGTCCGGTCAGTGCACTGGAGACACCGTACTGACGATAGCTGACTGAACATCACTCAGGGGACGCATACATCTCGCTCGCTGACCGCGCGATGTCGAGTCTAGCTCAAGCTGGCATCTTCGGGTCCTTCCTGGTCGATTACCTTCCCTGGCTGAAGCACGCCCCGTCCTGGATGTCATTCAGGCGCAAAGCTAGGGAATGGCGCAAACCCGTGCGCACGATGCTCGAATCGCCATTTGCAGCTGCCAAGAAAGCCTGGGTGCGCGGTCCAGCTTTATCTTTGCAATGCACTCACCTCTCGACGTCCATAGGTGGAGGGCACAGCCACAGATTGCTTGGTCTCTGTTGAGTTGGAATCGGGGACGAAGAGCGAGGAGACCATCAAGAACGTCGCGGCAACAATGTATGCGGCGGGTGCCGACACCGTCGTGTCTGGCATCTCTTCTTTCTTCCTCGTCATGCTCCTGCATCCAGAGCTTCAGGAAACGGGAAGGCGAGAGATCGACCGGGTCATTGGCAAAGAACAGCGGCTGCCGCTCTATTCCGACCGCTCCCAGCTCCCGTTCATCGTCCGTTCTCGTCTCTGTGCGTTCTGGGTTGCGATCTCACGCACAGTCTTCTTCTGAACAGGACTACATCTGCTATGAGGTTTGTGCCGTCCGTTGTTTGGGGACAAGACTGATCGACACGCATCAGATTCTGCGGTGGAATCCTGTCACACCGCTGGGATTGGCACGCACTGTCACGGTGGACGACATGTACCGAGGGTACCGCGTCCCAAAGGGGACGACCAGTGCGTGACAACGGAGATGTCTAATTGCCTGCTTACGTTCCCACCAGTTCTGCCCAATGTATGGGCTGTATTGCATGATGAGAATGTTTACCCTGATCCTCTGACTTTCAACCCCTACCGATTCGCCCCGGAGAACCGTGTGAATGGGCTAAATCCGATTCCGGAGCCCGCGTTTGGCTTCGGCAGGAGGCATGTACCGTGTCTACTTGTGTGTGTGTGTCGCTTACATGTGCTCAGGTTATGCCCGGGCAAGTATCTCGCGTTTGACACACTGTGGATGGCGATCGCCACTGTGCTGGCTGTCTTCGATGTTTCGAGGGAAACCGGCGAGGACGGAAAGTGTGCGGAACTGAATCCGGAATTCACAGCGGGCCTGATCAGGTAAGCGCTTCATTGCGCGTCTGTGGTGCAATCCGGCTGACAGCCGCAGTCACCCGCTGCCGTTCCCATGCAAAATCACGCCCCGCTCCGAGAAACACCGACAACTGATTGTGCAGACAGAGCTCTGGAAGAATTAGATTGTAGCTAGCTAGCTACTCCGCCGCCTTGAAAACAGGGAAGTTGGCCACCAGGGACGGCGATTGGCTCAGGCGCTGCAGAATCAATTTGCTGGTGTTATTTTGCCGTTTCGCACGGGCACGAAGATCCCCGGCTAACATCGAAACGCTAGCCGAGCCTAGCAGAGGTCTTGCATCGGGGTGCGCCAGATGCAGATGTAGCGACGCTGTCAACACCGACAATAAGATGGTGCTCAGCAGCTCGACGGCCACGGTTTGCTCGGCGGCCGGCTCTCTCTCGATGAGGGGCAGGATCCCCGGCACGAATCGGTGCAGGAAGAGAGGCAGCAGCGGCGGAGAGCAGCTGGGTCGCGGCATCGTCAGTGCAAAAGTCGCTACGCGCGTCGCGACATCCGTCTCCCCGTGACTAGCCGGCGGAAGCAGCTCAGACCACATTATCCGCAGAAACTTGTCACAATCGCACGCTCGGATGCACCGCTGGATGTCCAGCGTCGAGGCTTTCGCTGCACGGGCCTTGGAGATGGCCTCTCTGACCACTTGCCGCGGCTGGAGATGCCCAGAAGGCTGCAGATCGTGCACGGAAGCTGCGGATTGTCATAATCAATTGTGGACTCAGAACACACTCAGATGCACCTGTTGGCCCGCACGCTTCACCCACTTTCAGTTGGATTCTGGTCCGGTCGAAGAGATCGGGCGCCCTTTTATCGGAGAGAAGAAAGAGAATCTCCCGGCTGCACAGGCAGAGTATCGGCCGGGGGAAGTTATCGTCAGTCAACAGTGTCTGCAGTACATTGATGTGCTTTGGGGCAGCGAAACTGGGCACGCATTAGTACATGTACGCGGTCATGTGACCAACATACTTGTGATGCTGCACCTCTTGAATCAGCGTAAACACGACCGCGACAGACGTCCATCGAAGCAGTGGGCCAACGAAGTATGAAACACCATCGTTAAGGGCATCCTCCGTCGCATCCTTGAGTGCATGTGACAGCAGAGCAGGTGCTATACGCAGCAACGTTTTGGGTTTGGCCGTTCTAAGACAAGTCAGCGGATGCCCAACGAAACGCGTCCAAAGAAAAACACCTCAGGATCGAATCCTCCACGCCATCGCTGTTGAATAGCGCTTTAGACCACGTCTGGAATGTCTCGGCTTCTTCCTCAGACAAGTCGCCTGCGCGATTCAGATTGGTCGGTTTCAAGAACCGTGCGGATAAAGTTCGATTCCCTTGCGAGAATGTTTCCATTTCAATCTGTTTTCGGGACCTCAGTTATGGTAGAGACAGAACGCGTGACTCACGTGATAGCGAGCGAGTGCCACTTGAATGAAGAGGACGACATCCCCCAAATGTCCGATCACAACCTGCGGGTCTCCTAATGCACCAGTCAGTAGGAGTAAGAAGAGAGCGCTGGAACTTTTCACCGACTGAATCACACTGACAGTCTTCGAGGCAAAGCAAAGCGTGAAAAATCAACTCGGACATTTTCGCCTGCAGTGACACCATGTCGAGGATGTGATCGTACTGATAGAACAAACGACAAAAGTGGCCGAGTATTTCTGTGTCAAGAGACCCAGCGGCTTCTTTGAAGCGCTGATGATATGTGAGTGGGTTTGCCACCGTCAGATAGAAAGGATCTCACCATCAGGACGATATCTGTGAAAGGTTTGTGCGTGCTGCTGTCGCTCCACAATCGAAGAACCCATTGCCGAGTTTCACCGGGATCGGCCTCGAGAGCCAGTTTCATTCCAATCCATGTCTATAACCGAAATGTTGAACACCCAACTGACACAAAACAGAACGATAGCTCACATCCAGGTCGAGGCCTGCATCCTGCGCCTCCGAGTGCAAGTATATCGTGCTGTCATTCGAAAAGGCCGGATCCATGGCTGATACGAAAGCTTGATCGACCAAGCCCGTCATCAGAAGCTGTCGCAATAACTCGCGAGCAATGCTCCGCGTTCTGAGTGATATCAGTACTAGACCGCGGCCCAAAGTGGGTGCTCTCGCACAGTATGGGATCGTCAGACTTGTCGAAGAACGGACCAGCCGAATCGAGTATCAGTCTGTCGCACCGATCCAGCAACTCGGACCGCCGCAGAATTGTCGTTACTGCCACTTGCAAGGCCGCCCGCTGACGAGAGCTTCAGAGAAACTGCAGTCGAGCGAAAGAAACATATACGAACCCAGTTCTCAGAGTTGTTGCCATCAGATCCCAGCATTTTCTCGAAGGAGGATAGAATGAAGGGCAGCTGGTCTTAATCATCAGATATCGCGACTGAGTCGATCGAAAAACCGCACCCTGCCGACGATGAATGCCCTCCACACTGTGGGCGGCGCAGACTTGCCCTCGGACAGGCAGAGGAAAGCTGACACGAACAACTGCGTGTAGAAGACCTGTGCTGTCCACGAAGCCCATCGAAACACGCTGACAAACAGCGCAGCAGGATCGGTCCCACTGCCAGCACCGTAATCGTCGGCGCGGTGAATGACCTGGTATGCCATCAATCAACACCGGCGTCGTCGCACTCGGAATAGGGATTGACCAGATAGCTCAAAATGAGACTGAAGCTGACGGTATCCGTGTTCGAAGTCGCGCCGAGACCATCGCTCTTCCCGGGGGCAAGATGCAAGTTGTGCATCAGCGGTGGCTCAGAGGTAGTTTGTATATCTTCGCCCGTCAGCAGGGTCAACAGCCCGATCATCGGCGCGAGCACCTGCTGTACTTCTGACGACACGGGTGTATGCGCCAAGACAGAGTTCCCTTCCTCGACCAGCGACACCACCTGGGACGACGGCACCGAAGTCACATCAGCTGCTTTGAACAGCAGGATCACGAGTTCCGACGCGGACGTGGTCAACTGGTGGAAGTGGGACAGCGGCAGCTGATGCGCAACGCGGATGAGGGCCAGAGCGTCTTGCAGCGTCGTCGCCAGCGTCATGGGGTTATCAGCGTACGAGAGCGCGTTCGATGGGAGGCGGGACGAGTAGTACGCGTCAAGCGCCAGGCGGCATAGCATATCCAGTGTCGCAGGGGCGTGCAACTCGGTCGATCTCGCTGCTTGCAATAGAGTGGACACGAACACTGACACAGGCAGCATCCCGCCCTCTTGTAGCGCCACTCTCAGGTACTCCTGGAGCTCTGCGTCTCCAGGGAATGAACGATACAACACGAGAACAGAATCTAGTTTCATTGAAATCTAATGGCTGCGCATACATAGGCCTCGAGACGCACTGCTCAATGCTCTTTGCGTCGCTTGAGGGCTCTCGAAGCCTGACTGGTCCGCGATGAACATTTTACTCAGTGACAGCCATTTTGGGGCGCTGACGCCGCTTTGGAAGCTATTTCGTGTTAGATCATCCAGTGACATGCCCCAATGCGCGTTATAGACAGGGATTGAGACTTTGACGGAGGCTCAGAGAGGGAACGACTGGACAAGATGGCAAAGAGTCCTTGTTCACGTGATCGTGGGATTAGTAATACGAGAAAGAAATCGATAATTGTATTTAAAATCGTCGAAAGAACGAAGGAGATAGGTTTCGCAGTCCGCACGATATTATATCTTTGCGATCAGCCGCCTGGTTTCCTGGGGTGTAAAGTGAAGGATAATACCCAGGACCTTGACGAGATGAGGCTGGAAGAAGCTCAGAACATCGGCAGTAGTAGCTGCCCGAAACATACCCTCATCTCTTTATGCTCGAGGAATTGCAGGATCACATTCCTGAGATACTCCAGGTTGACCTCCTCCTCATTTTTTGAAGCTGGCGCCGGCGAACCAGGCCGGGAATCGGAGTTGGAGATCGACGTCCTGCCTTCAGAAGCCCCGCCAGAGGATTCGTTCCGCGTTGTCCAGTATCCAACCCCAGGATTGCGCTGTCGTTCGAGCAGAGCAGCGGAAGATTGAACTTTTCGGATTTCCTCTCGCAAAGTCTGTCGAATTGTGAGAGATATCGCAAGTCTGGTTCAGCCAAACCGCACCTTATTGGTTGTGCGCAACTGAGATTCTCGAAGTTTGGCCTCTTCGACCAGTGCTTCCAAAGACTGGATCTTGATAAGGGTTTCTTCTCCTTGAGCCTTGGAGTTTTCCTATGACAAAGTTTAACAACAACAGCGCCGTCGATGCGGCCAACCCACCTGGAGATTTTCGCGGCTTTGCAATTGCATCCGCATGTCTGCTGCCTTGATCTGCTGTACGGTGAGTTCATCCTGCAGACGCTTGATCTGTGTCTTGAGTTGTTCTGCAAGGTCTTCGTCCAACTCCTTGTTCTTGACTGTGGACCCCAGCGCCTGTCGTATCTCGTCGTTCTCACGCACTTTCTCACGCAACTTACGACTCCATTGGCCTTCACTCTCGTTCCTCTCTTTCTCGGCAACCGCAAGTTGTTTCTGCAGATCCAGTATTCTGGTTTCGTATTTGGCTTGCGAGGCAGACAGCAATTGGGCAACATCTTCTGTCGAACCAGAGGGTTCTATTGGACGCACGTCCGGCTGTCGCCGAGCGTCGGCCAGCTCATCGCTGAGCAGAGACAAACGTTCTTCTGTTTCACGTAGCTGGTATTGCAATTCCGTGTTCTGGCTTTGCAGGGAATCAAGGTGCGATTGTGAAGACTCCAGTTCAGCCTGGCGGAGCTGCAGCTGCTCGAAGAAATTGTTTTTGTCGTTCGTCAAATGCCTTGTAGACTGCTCTAGATGAGCGATCTGGGCGTTCAATGTCGACGTTTCTTTCGTATGGGTACTCTGTAAAAAGGTCTGTAGAGTCCCTTTCGGGGGGCGAATGACAAACCTTGGAAGTCACAGCATCCAGCTCAAACTGGGCTCGGACCGAGGCCAATTCTTTCTCGTGCCGTTCTTTGGCAGCCGAAAGGTCTTTTTCAAATTGTAGTCTCAGCCCCGCCATCGCCTTGTCCTTGTCCGCAGTTATGGCAGCGATTTCGGCGTGCAACTTGGCCTTGTCGATCTGTGCCTTCTCTGTTTCTGTCTTCTCTTTCTCCCTCAAGGCCTGCATTTCCCGTTGAAGATCATCACGTTCCTTCTCGGCCTTGACAAGCTTCTGGCGAACGGTTTTCAAGAGACTGATCGCTTTGACACGTTTCTCCTCTTCTTCCTTGGTTACACGAGTCAGTTGCTCCACTTCGGCAGCAAGTTTCTCAATCTCGGTCTTCTGAGCGGCAAAATTCTCATCTCCTTTAGAGATGGAACCCTGCGACGCTTGCAGCAAAGCCTCGCTTTCCTCCAGTTGCAGCTTAAGCTTATCGATTTGAGAGGATTGCGAGGCAGATTCCAATCGGTGCGTGTCGCGAAGTTCTTCGACACGTTCTTCCTGAGCTACAGCAGGTCGATACGAGGCTGTCACATGCATTCAACCACGCACTTTGTAGTTTCCCATTCAGCCGGCCGATCTCCTCCGCAGAAAGCTGTACGGCAGTTGAGGCCTGAGGTTCTGTCTGGTAAAAGCTAGATTCGTCGTACCTCCGACTTTTGTTTGAGGTTACGGATGAAGTCTTGCAGACCTTGCGAATCACCGATCGTCTCTAGAGGTGTATGTTCTTGGAGAACCGCATCTGCGGCTGCCTTCTCTGCACGAAGCCTCTTGAATGAAGTAGATACATCAGAGAACCGTTGTTCCACTAGCCGAAGTCGTTGCTGTAGCGCCTCCACGTCGGTTGCATGAGCAACAGAAGGGGTCGGAAGGTCCATAGCAGGCGAATCCGGAGCAGTGGACTGATGCTCAACGGCGCGATCTGTACTTTCTTCAATGCTGGCATCCGCTTCAGGCACTTCGTCTGAGTCAAGAGACGCAGAAGATAGTGGTGGCGCGCTCGACATTTCCGTCAATGCTGTCTGAGCTTCCAACTCTATTTCCAAAGCAGCGACGGGATCTTCTGAGCTTGGAGCTTGAGGCCGAGGGGACACAGTCTCAGCCGTGATATTATCGACCGGCTGAACCAGAAGGGGATCCACCGCATGGGAATGGGGAGCGATGATCGCGAACGGTGTAGGTTCGTTGAGCGAAATGGGGGAGGAGATACGCGACTCAGGTAGTGGTGTGGATGTGGGCGACAGTGGATGCGTCGTCACAGTCTCCGGGGACGACATCCGAACTTGTTCCTCTGCTTCTGGAGGAGCAGGGGCCGGGGAAACTCTGGCAGAGGTCGCTGGTGTAGTTTCGCTCGAAGCTTCTCCAATAGCGAAAGACGCCCTCAGCCGATCTTCCAGCTTTGATTTGGCTCGTGGAGGGGGACTCTGCGCTTTCTCTGGGCCTCGTTGCTGAACCAACGTTTTACGTAGGTTCGACAGTGCTGATTCAGCCAAAGTTCCAGTAGAGGAAGGCGAGTGACCATCCCGAGGCTTTCCTGAGGGAGAGGCGGGTCGCTCGGGATGCCCGGATTCGGACGACGAACGGACATGCGGCGCAACTTGAGCAAGGTTCTGGACGAGAGAAGAAAACATTACGCAGTTGAACAACTGCTAAAGCTGTGGCAGTGCTATCATCGCATTCCGAGCCGATCTCATTCAGCTTCAGCACCTCATTCAAGGGCAGCCTGCTCACTACTCAGTCACAAGGGGATCGCCGAAAGAATTATGTATGGATGTATCGCTATATGTGTTAAGATGCGCTCGCTTCAGCTCTCTCTGGCTCTTTGCCTTTGCCATTCACGAGCACTGAAGGTGCACTGTCCGATGCAGCAAGCTGCCAAGCGGGAATCGTCGGTCGACCTAGTGCTGGTATTGGAGACGCGGAGGGACTGGCTGATATAGATGGACCCCGGCTGAGCAGGAGAGCTTTCAGAGACTTCAGTTCATGCTGAAGTTCAGTCGTGGACTGTGCCTGGCTCTCTTTGTTCCGCTCGAGCATCTGATGACCGTAAGATAGCATGCTCGAAGATGCCAACGGGGACGTGCCTTCGGCAGCATGTCACGAATAGAGTTGATTTCGTCCCGGATCTCGCGCATTTCATCCCGCGTTTTAGCCTCGTTGTTTCGGACCTCTTGAACCATACCATTGACATTCTTTGTCGTCTCGTCTATTTGCTGCTTTTGGGCCTCCACTGAAGATCGAACAGCCGCCGACTCGGCCTGCAGTTCTTTGAGTAGCGCCTCGGCGGCATCGAATTGGGCTGTTAACGCGTCACGATCTTCCTCATATGCAGTCGATGTCGGAGGCTGGAGATGCGGCAAAAGATATTTCTGAGAACCGCATCATGTTAATGAAGCGACAAAGGACGTAGAATAAACCTTGAATAAAGACACGGCGCCGTAGGTGACGGTTCCAGAAACGACGGCCGCGATCTACCGGTAAGCACATTAGCATGTGTTTTCCAATTAGACTGATCGCTCGCACAAAATAGTCTCTCCAGTCCCACCTGTACGGTGGAGGTTGACCCATATACGAGAAGGGGCCATTGTACGTGGCAGGGTATGAGGGACCATTGGTGGCCTGTCGGATGGCGATGTCTATCTCCTGGGCCGTAAGTCCCTTGGCCTCGAGGAACTGGATGCGTTGAGCCAATGGAGACCCTTGAGTCTAAGTTGCAATGAGAACAACTTCTTCGAATGAGAAATGACATGCAGTAGAGTCGTTGAGGAAGACGACTGCATTCCGGATGAGTTCTTGTCGGTCTTGTGGGGAAGGAGAAGCCATGACAGCTTCGGCAAAGACCGCCGACTCAAAGTGCCATCACATCAACTTTTATTTTGTTTTGCACTTGCAAGTTTCCCTCTCTCACCATGCTGCCCCTCGCGTCTTGCAGAGCAGCGAGCAGCTCGCTCTTCCGAGGTTAGCTTTTCATACTCATTTATTCTCTCCCTCCTGCTCACTGCTGTCTAGTTTCTCTTTCTTCTGTCTGTCGCAGGGCATGGTTGGCCAACACTACGCTCAGTACGTCAGACGCGCTCCTGCACCTTTCTAGTCCTCATGGAGCATAACTGAACTCTCTCAACAGTTTCCCGGAGAGGATACGCCGAGGCTTTCTCCCGTGCCAAGCCGCACATGAACATTGGGACCATTGGTGTGTCCCATTTGAGGCCCAGTCACCATCGAAATGACACCGTACAGGACACGTCGACCACGGAAAGACGACACTGACCGCTTCCATCACGAAGGTCCTTGCGGAGACGGGCGGCGCCACGTTCACTGACTACTCTCAAATCGACCGTGCCCCCGAAGAAAAAGCTCGCGGTATCACCATCAACTCCTCCCATGTCGAGTATGAGACGGAAGCGCGTCATTACGGGCATATCGACTGCCCGGGTCACGCTGACTGTGAGTCTTCGTCGTGTCTCTATGCACTTCCTTGCTAATTCCAACGCAGACATCAAAAACATGATCACTGGTGCTGCTCAAATGGACGGTGCAATCATTGTCGTCTCCGCCACGGACGGGCAGATGCCTCAGACTAGGGAACATTTGTTACTTGCTCGTCAAGTCGGTATTACTCGTCTGGTGGTCTTTGTCAACAAGGTCGACCAAATCTCCGACCCGGAAATGCTCGAACTCGTCGACATGGAAATCCGCGACCTTTTGACCCAGTACAACTTTGACGGCGAGAACACTCCTATCATTATGGGCTCTGCGTTGGCTGCTCTCGAAGGCCGGAACCCGGACATTGGAGCTTCGAAGATTGTTGAACTCATGGCTGCTTGTGACTCGTGGTTGGAACTGCCTGCTCGTAAGCTCTTCTTGTCGACCTCCACCGTGTTGCGACTAACGTGGTTCCAGGTGATCTCGAGAAGCCATTCTGTCTTCCGGTTGAAGGTATGAATACTCTCACACATTCACCCAAACCGTCAAGCTCACCATCATCAGATGTCTTCTCTATCTCTGGACGTGGAACTGTGGCTACTGGACGAGTGAGTCTTGGCTATCTAATGCGTCGCAAGTCTCATTGCGCTATCAGGTCGAACGTGGTTTCGCTACCAAGGGCACTGAGGTCGAAATCATCGGATATGGTGACCGTATCAAGACCACACTTACTGGCATTGGTATGTACAGGGCCTCGTTCATGAACGTTGTTCTGAAGTTCTGCAGAGATGTTCCACAAGGAGCTTGATCGTGTAAGCTTTTCTGTCCATCGAACAGCAAACGGATACTGATCGGCATTAGGCGGAAGCCGGCGACAACCTCGGTGTTCTCTTGCGGGGCTTGAAGCGCGAGCAGGTCTCTCGTGGTCATGTCATCATTTTCCCTGGCACGATGAAATCTGCTAAGAAATTCCAAGCCCAAATCTACGTGCGTACTGAATCTCGGGTATCCATGTCGGATCATCTTACTGATGTGCTATACTCCAGGTGCTGACCAAGGATGAGGGTGAGGCGCAATTACTTTGCTGACATCGTTTTCTCTAACCCTGGACAGGCGGTCGTTACACACCCTTCATGGCAAACTACCAACCCCAGCTCTTCATGCGCACTGCGGATGTCTCCGTCAGACTGACATTCCCCGAAGGCACTCCCGATGCTGAGAACAAGATGGTCATGCCCGGCGACAATGTTGATGTCGTCTGTGATCTCACCCACGACATTGCATGTGAAGTCGGTTTGCGGTGAGTCATCATCTAGATGAACAAGACCCAGGGCTGATTTGAGGCTTAGTTTCACCCTTCGCGAGGGTGGCCGAACCAGTGCGTACTGTCTCAAAGCTCTTCAGCGTTTTCACTGACTTTTCTTTTTCTCAGTCGGCACTGGAATCGTGACCAAAATCATCGAGACCGTTTAATCGGTCTAATACTAGAACTAGCATCGCTTCTCCCCTACCTACTTGTACCATATACACCCAACTCCAATGAAACTCGCCAGGGGAGATGATAATTTTACAATTCATGTCTGAGCCCACTGTGCCGCCACGGCTACGCGGGCGGCAGTCCGCTATTCCGCCCGTCCCTATTTGGAAGTCGCCCTTACTCCCGTCTGCTTCGTCCCTTGAAAAATGTACTCGGTCCTCAGACAAGCCTCTCGTCGAACCGTCCTTACGCAGGCCGTCCGCCCGCCCATTTTCCGCACACCTCAGCTCTCAAGAACGCTGATTAGTGAGTTGCGGGCACCAGCCGACGGAGACCCCCTCTGACATCGTCGAAGCAAAGCGGTACACTCCGGAGCACGAGGCGGTCGAGTTTGACGATGCTACGGGGCTTGGAGTGGTCTGCATCACCGACCACGCTCAAAGCGCACTGGGGGATGTTGTCTTCGTCGAGCTGCCTACAGTTGGAACTCATGTTACGAAGGGAGGTAAGTCTTCCCACTGCTCAAAAACCTTCCAGCAAAAACTGACCCGATACAGACCAAATTGGCGCGGTAGAAAGTGTCAAGGCTGCATCTGACATTGTGGGTATCCCACCCCCGAGATTTTGCATGCGCTGAAACTTGGAAAGTACGCTCCGATCTCGGGCACGGTCGAGCAAGTCAACGAAGACCTGTCTTCGCAACCAGGTCTGCTGAACAAATTCCCAGAAACCGAGGGTGAGTGAGATTATCGGAGTCAGACTGAAAAGTCATGATTGCAGGTTGGTTGTGCAAGATCAAACTGTCGGACCCGACCGAGGTGAGCCCCATTCATTAGATTTGGGCTAGTCACTGGAGTTCATTCGCGTGCGGCAGATAGACGCTCTTATGACCAAGGAGTCGTACGAGAGCACCTTGGAGTGATGGAATGGGACACTAGGGAACTGGGACCTCTGCAGCACATCTCACAACGCGCTCACACCTATCAACCAAGTTTTGTACTTGATGATAGCATGCATTCAACTGTATCTCCTTCATTGGCTAGTAGACGGCGACTGCTCGTACTGGTACTTCTCTCCGCGCTCCTCCATTCTAAGTTTCGCCTCCTTGAGTGCCCATGTTTGAATACTGAGAGCACATGTCGGTTAATGAGCGCAACAGACAACAGGCCTGAGGTGACGCACCTTGTATCGGGTTTGAAATACATCAGCACACCACCCACGAGCATGGTCCCGTACATCCCGTAGTACCAGACGTTCTCCCAAGGTTGCTTGATGCGTTGGAAACCTGGCGGTGGCGGCTGGGATCGGGAACAGATTTAGCGAGGTTCGTAAACTGGAAGGTCAAGGCCCCACCTTTTCGCCAAAGAGCAGACCAGTAGGTTCGTTATAGTGCGAGCCGTGCGAGGCGTATCGGACTGTGGTCAACCGTGCCAGAGGCCGGCCAGCGGGCACAGCGCGTATTGTGGAAGAAAGCATTGTCAATCACGTGTCGTGAATCGTTCCGTCTGAGCCGAACGTCACCATCACGGTCATGCCTGTGTCTCTCAAGGGCTACGAAATTACTATCTACTGTCCAGTGTCCGTTCCAAGTCCAATATGAAGCGTAGATTAGAGAAGAAATTCCGATTTGTCCCCCAATAATTATTCCCTTGATTACGTACCGATTGAGATAGAGGATATCCTCTACATAATGATACAATCTTTCTTCTTCTTCTTGGTATTACGCCTCTCCTCCTCTGCTAATCGGGCTTGTTCACGTTCACGCTTACGTTCAGTGAAGGCATCTCGGAGCATCTGAGCGTGATTGTCTTCTTCGGCTTGCATCTGCTGTGCTAGGATGTGGCTGCAGACAAGTTAGCATCAGAAGAATGGGATGAATGCTTACAACATACTCTCCGGGGTCGTGCGGGACAAACATCCCAGCCTCAATCTCCGCCATCCTTAGCGCATCCTCGGCCGTCTGTCCAGCATAGTCTCCCCCGGCAGGCGAGGATCTAACGAAATTGGAATCCACAAAAGTCGAGTTACCCCCATCCACATCTTCCAGACGCTCCCAAACCACAGATCCTTCGTTCAGAAACACGTAGTCTGTGACAAGCGCGTACAAAGACGCGTCGTTGGCCGAATCCGGTTTGTGTAAAACAGATAGATGAGAGTTCCGGAAAAGCGCAACAAGGGATCCTGGCTCGAGCGTTGACGCAAGATGGAAGAGACCGTGGTACGTCAGCTGAGACCGAGTGCTGTCGAGAAATTGGCGGATGGCGATGGCTGTTGAAGGTCAGACCTCTATGCCCACAGGAGTAGCAAGGCGCGCGCACCATCTTTGATCTTCGCCCTCTCCTCCGACGTGAGCTCCGGCCCACTGGAGCTGTTGCTGCTGCTCGGCCCTGCAACAGGCTCCGCCGACTCATCTACCACCAACTGACCCTTGGCGACGTAGTCGGCATCCACGATCGCTGTCACTGCTGTGTCATAATCTTGCGCGCGCGACAGAATGAGTGCCGATTCCGGGCTGTCCGGGTCGACGAGCCACCCATGCACGAGTTGGATCTGCGCCTGTTCAAAAAGCTGCAGCGCACCGCCGTCGCCTGCGGGCCGGAAGGAGGTCGCGCCCGTGAAGAGTGGGTTCAGGTCGAGGCCCTCTGGGGAATGTAAGCGTCAGTGACGCTCGCAGGGTGCAAGGTGATCCCCACACACTTTGCGTGAGCGGCATTATCGACAGCGCAGCAGAGATATCCACGTCCGGGGACTTGAGCAAGAGGTACTCGCCGACGAGTTGCGACAGGAACTCATAAGAAACACTGCTGCGGCCCTCCGGTAGAATCTGAATGTCGCCTCGTAGGATCAGGATGTTGCCTGTGCCAAGTTAGAGGTGCGGTGGTAGGGATAGCCGTCGCGTAGCGCACATATAGCAATGAACGAGCATGGACTTGCGAGAGCAGCATTACAATGTGTTGAGGAATGAATGCAGCCTTCTCACCCATTGAAGTTCTGAGTGATGACTTTGACTTCGTGCTTGGTGTCACCTACCCCGAAGCTAATCTTCTTCAGGTGCCAAACTTCCGCTTCCGAGTCGTGTAATTCAGGCGCCGGTGCCAGCGACATGGTCAAGTATTGAAGTTAGATCGTGATGGGGTTAGGGGCAGTTGAAGATCTCCCGCCAAGTCCAATGCCTTTATTTACATCATATTACAGGTTTATCCAACACTGATGTACAGCCTTGCACAGTCGTATCATCAGACCGCAGTAAACTACTTACGTGGCCTAGGAAATAAGCTGAGTAAGAGCAGCGATGTGAGCTTCACAACGGTCCACGATGTCCGAATGAACGATGGATGACCGGAGCTCTGACTCCAGCTTGGTGAAGCAAGTCAATGGGTCGTATATGTAAATCAAAGCTCAAGGCCTCACCTGCAGCAGCTTGTCCGCCTCCCACATTCTAGTGGGCAAGTTTTCTAAGGAAACGTACACGGCAGGGATTGAGTGGCATCTCAGCAGCTCGGCTTCGTTGCTGCGCAGAATGGCCAAAGCTACTCGGAAGAGGACGTCGATTCCGTCTACCATGAAAACATCCCAGACTCGGAACAACGTCTGGCCACATATGGTTCGTGAGCTAGAGAATGAGGGATAGTCGAGTGCTTACCTCGACAGGCAAACAATCTGTAAACAGAGATAGGAACCATGAAAAGCAGATCGCCGCAAGGTCCACACCGAGATCAGCGAGATGAGCGTGAAGTCTGGGCGTATAGTCCTTGACATAGTCAAGAAGTACCAGAGGACAAGCTCTGGACGGAAGCAGTGATGGAGAGAAGAACCCCTCTGGAAGGATGCGCTCGATGATGGCTGCAAGAGCCCAGAAAGCCTCTTCTTCGTCGGCGTGAACTAGTAGCAACGTTGAAGTGACGAGGTTCATTCCTTGACAGTAGCCTACTGCGGGATTCATTCTGCCCAAGTCAAATCTCAGCAACAACTAGGGCTGGAGATGACTCACTGGCTGTAAGCCGTCAACACTCTCCTCAACTTCACCACGCCGGCTCCATCGCCACCGAAAAACACATTCAACGGCATTGTCCGGCCGACATCTTTCTCGATCTCGACAAGGACCTGGGGAGAAGCCTGGGCTGCAAGAAGATCCAGAAAGAGGCCGGGTTCCTTCATTTCGAGCCCACCGCTGCACTCCAGCCAGACCTTGGAGCGATAGACAAGCGGGATGCCGTGCCGTACGAGCCGATCGAACTCGCGGCGCTCATCTTTATTTGCGGAAAGCCCCAGTTGCGCAAATCCTATCAACCCGTCGCTATGCGACAACTCGTCCACCTCGTCGGATGTGCCCAGACCCAGAATAGCCGCAGCGCCACCGGCAACAGATGCAACGGCAGCTGCTGCTTTGGAGGACGCGGTCTTTCCTTTGCTGCGTTGGCGCACAAACACGTCCCATTCCTTGCGCTGGCTGATCTGCCGAGCATCGTGGATCTCTCGAAGATCGTCCAATAGCGCTCGGACTGTGCGGGCACATCCATGTCGTGGAGTGTCCGATGTCACAGCAAGGATCGCCGTGTGTGCAACAGGAGCTGGTGCACCGGAGATGGAGAGCCGGTTCGACGCGCGCGACTTTGCAGCGGATGATTTTACACTGGCGGGAGACCCACTGGCACTGCCATGCTCCGATTCGCAGTCGCATTCGCCCTTGACGATCTGAATCACAGGGCGGTCTTCAGAATCGGGCCAGCCTCCGTCATCGTCCTCTTCTCGGTCGGCAATCTTCACTCCAGTGAGACAGGCAGGGGCTGTGTTCTTGCACTCTTTGGCCCGGATGAGCAACAAAATGTCATACTGAGCGACATCGTATGAGAACCCAAACCGATCGGTCAGCGTTTCCCCGGCAGAGAACCGGGCCGCAGACGGCATGGGCACAGGTATCGAAAATCGGAAGTCACGCGCCGTCAGAGGCGTGTATGTCCGCGACAAATATTGGGTCGGGGGCTTGGCGGTGACAGGGATAATAGATTCCATTGGAACAGACGGTGCCTTGGCCACAGCGGGGGCCGACAATGGCTCACTGGAGGCTGGCTGGCTGGCTGGTGGCTGCTGCTGTTGATCCACGATGGGATTCGTCCTACGCATGGCAGAGCCCGAGGCGGCAGCCATGAAGCTCGCAAGCAACGGCCCTGTCCCAGTGATGAGCGAAGCTGCGCGCGATTTTTGGCGGCGATGCTGCTTGCGTCCATTCTGGGTAGGAACACTTCCCAAGGCCCGACTCAGATTTTGGATGGTCTCCTGCGGTGATGACACTGGAGAACTCAGAACACCCACGGGCCCATCACTCCCCGAATGTGTCTCGACTCGACGCGCTTTCGATGGATCTCGAAATGTCAGCCCTTCGTCACGCGCATTTTTGACCAACTCCAGTGCCAGGCGAGAGATGAGAGGACCCGTGTCGAGACCCTGGTCGGCGAGAATGCTGGCAGGGTCAGATGTCATGACACGGGTCGCATTGACGATAGCCTGCAAAGACGAGCCCTGGACCAGCATCACAGAAGTCACATCCTCATCCTTGGTCCATGCCGTCGACGATCCAGCAGTGGTCGAAGCGTCCGAGTTGTCAAAAACAGTCGTCAAATGCGGTGCTGCAGCACTGACAGGCGAGAATGCAGCTGGGGACGGCGGGGGCAACGACTGATGAGCCTCCGCTGAATGGATGGACGTCCCATCGGTCTCTGCAATACTGTTTCTGTTGCTCCCATTCAGCATCGAGATGCTGAGAGTGCCGAACACGCTCCGAGCTGTTCTCCGTCTACCGTTACTAGGCCGTGGTATTGGAAGGGGGGTTGCACTTGCACTTGTTTCGGCTGTGCTGCTGGTAGATGCGACTCGACTGGGATCTGGAACAAGCGCTCAGCTACGAATGCAGGTGAATGCGACAAATGGCATACGTTGCTGAGATTTGCTCCACCAGCTGCCCATCCATTCACCCACAGACGGCCTGTCAGGGCGCGGTCGCACTGTGACCTGATTCTCGGCTTCAGGTTCAGCGTTGGAGATGGCCACGCCGGGAAACTGTATGCCCTCGTTACTGGTACCAGTGGGTACCGGTGTACTCGCACCCTCGCTGGACGAAAGACTGCGGGGAAGTGCGACTTCATCCTCGATCGCCTCCGTCAAAGATTCCTTGAGTGACTGTGGACCAATCTTGTCTAACGTCTTCTAGAAAGAGCACTGTGGCACTCACTAGGAAACTTTGATGACGTCGCATACTGTGCTCGTCCCCTTCAATCTCATCTGCGAACATCGTTTGGATCACCCTCCTAGCGATTTCACGCTCGGAATCGATCGACAAGCCTTCTAACAGGACTTCGGCTCTACGTCTCCTCGTTTCTTCTCTCTCCTTCAAGACTTTCCGGTCCTCTTCAAGCTGCACCCGCTCGTCAGACAGCTTTTGGAAAGCCTGCGACAGCACACGTAATGCGGAGTGGTACGGATGCGGATGGCTTGTGGCTTCAGCCGGCGACTGGGTGGCTCCGAGACTTGATATGACGGCCTGAATTTCGGCGTCAGAGCACTGGTCCCATTTCGTGTTTAGGACCGTGGTTGTTATGACAGGGTCATTCGTTTCCTCTAGACCGAGCGTACTGCCGTTGAGAATGACATGTGGTTTCTGGGAAGGCCGCTCTCCGACGATAAACAGAGGGGCAGGTCGGTCCTCCCGAGGCCAAAGTGCCGAAAGTGAGTTCGTAGTGTTCGTCTTATTGCTTGTCTTCTGCGATCCACTAGATACTGAGGACGCAGGCGCCGTCTTTGAGTATCCGCGCATACTGCCGTCCTGGTTTGCATCTCCCCTTGAGTCCTGCTCGAGTTGGGATTTCAGGACGAAGTAGTTGTTACTGCTGGCCGCTGAACGAGTTTCGGGCGTACTATCGGCATGACTACCATACCGACCGCTTTTGCGACTGCGGGTCGACACGGGCTCTTCGTGAGAGAGGGGATGCTCGTTAACCGGCGTGTTTGGTTGTCGATTAGTTGAAGCCATCTACATGGCCTGTTTGGAGGCGCGTGAGCTACTGGTGACGCGGGAGCGGAAGTCAAGAGATCAAAAATTGATGATTTTGACGCCGAGCCGGATAGGGAATCAGTACGCGTCTTTCCGTCCTCTTTTCTCGCCAAACTCTGTATGAACTTTATCCGATCGCTGGGACGTTCCTTCTATTCTGACACATCTCATCTGGGACGGCGCTTCATCTTCTCTCGTACTCCTCCAGCGCGCAATATGGCAACTATGACTCTCGACAAGTTCGGCAACTTCGATTTGGTCACTAAGTTCAAGCTCAAGTTCACGGACATCGAGGTTTCCAAGTGGAGGAGTCGGGTTACTGGGCTTAGTATTGTTCATTTGGATTACCAAGGTCAGATACTCTACATTGTGCCCGTCGCCAAAACTTAAGCTTCTTCAGCTCCCCTCGTAAATGGGTATTTTGCTGTTGGGACAGAGAGTGCGTTTGTGTGTGACGATCCTTGAATCAAGTTTCTCAAAGCTGTATGTGCAGTTTTTGACGACAGTGGATGTCCTCATACACTTGAACAGTGCGTTGTCTCCAATGTACCGCGTCACTGTTTCCAATCGTCGTCCGCACAGTTTGGTGTTCATGGGCTCGGAAAAGTACCCTTACAAGGGCATCATCGACCACTTGGCAAACCGAGGATTCTCCAACGGAACTAATGCTTGGACGGACAATGACCACACGGCGTACACCGTTTCGACCGCTGGAGAACAAGGGTTCCTGCAATTGTTACCGATCTACGTGGACCACATACTTTACCCCACAATGACCAAGGCAGGGTGAGTTCTATATCCGTCGGGGTCGTCATGCTCGAAGTGACGGGCGGCTATAGCTTTGTCACCGAAGTGCATCACATCGACCCGAGTGGTGAAGATTCTGGGGTCGTCTATTCGGAAATGCAAGGCCGGGAGAATACTTCGGGGGATTTGATGGCTCTCAGGTCAGCGGACGTTTCAGATCGACTGTATGCCGACTAACGCCCCATAGACTGCAGCGCTTGCTCGACCCACCCGGAAGCGCCTACCGAAGTGAAACTGGTGGTCTGATGGAGGCTTTGCGGGTATTGACCGTCGAGCAAAGTGAGTGGCGTCTCCAAGTTCATTCCCCGATCCAACCGATATGAACAGTCCGTCAATATCATGGCACTTACTACGTTCCCCACAATCTGTCCTTGATTGTTACCGGAAAACTGTCAAGTGGCACTGAAACGCTTCTATCGGTCGTCCAAGAGAAAGTTGAGCCCAGCTTGATTGCACATGGACAGAACTTGGGGCCTCGACCCCCTGGCTGGAAGAGACCTTTTGTTGAAACACCCAGTGCCATCCGGCCTCCGATTGACGAAACTATCAAGGACACCATCGAGTTCCCTGAAAAGGACGAGAGCGTCGGCGAACTCATCATCAGCTGTCTCGGTCCTGCACCGAATCAGTTTCTGGAGAGAAAGGTCGGTCGGCCATTTCTCCCGAGTCGCTGTACTGATCTCTCCGCGTCTAGGCACTAGATCTGCTTGGCTCGTACCTGACGTCGTCAGCCGTTGCTCCTCTGAACAAAGAGTACATTGAGATCGACTCGCCGCTGTGGTGAGTCTATCTCTGGCATCTTTGGTCTGTCCACAACTATATCGTTTTCAAGCACGTACATCTACTTTGGAGAAGACACGCGAGCTACTGCACTTTACTTGCCAATCTACGTAGGATCGATTCCCACGGAACATATCGACGACTTCGATGTCCGTCTGAAGGACAGCCTTCGTCGGATAGTGGCTGAGGGTTTGGATATGGAGCGGATGACGATGGTGATTAGCCGGGATGAGCGACAGGTGTGTCCATTTCCTCATCTAGCAGGCTTGTCTGATATTCGACCAAGCTGCGCAGCAAACTCGAGTCGTCTAAGGGCGATACTTTCTCCGGAACTGTTATCACCGACTTCTTGTATGGAGCGGAAGATGGTTCGGAACTGGAGGCGTCCATGGATGAGCTCAGTCAATATGCTGACTTGCGAAAATGGACTAGCAAGCAATGGACCGATATTCTCCAGAAGTATGTTTTATGTTCTGCTTTGGAAATGCGCTGACGTCTGCCAGGTACTACATAGACCCGCACAACGTCGTTCTCAGAGGGAAGCCATCAGCTGCTCTCGCCGAGAAATTAGACACCGACGAGAAGGCTCGCATCGCGGCCCAAGTCGCTCGTCTGGGACCTGAAGGACTGAAGAAAGCCGAGGAAGAACTCGCACAAGCCAAAGCCGAACATGACACGCCTATTCCAACCGAAATGCTCCTCGACTTTGCTGTCCCGGATGTCAAGAGCATCGCGTTCATCCCCGTTCAAAGCTTGCAGGAGGCGGGAACCGGCCGATCCGGTGTCAAGCCAGCTTCTACCGAACTTGTCAAGCATGTACAAGCTAACGGAGCCGCTTTGCCTTTCTTCGTTCAATATGATCATGTCGAGGTATGTGATATCGTCTTCCTGATATTCCGATCTCTTACGCCATCCCAAGTCCGACTTTGTCAGTGTGCAAGGCTTCTTCTCTTTGGCCAACATCCCGGATCGCCTGCGACCGTGAGTGACTTGCCATGTCACGAGCCCGAAATTGAAGCATCGCAGACTGATTTCTACGTACTTGTCGACTTTCTTCGCACTGCCCGTCAACCGACAGTCCGGCGAAAAGCTCACACACGAAAATGTCGTGAACATGCTCGACAACGAGACGGTTTCGTATGAAGTGGGTTTGGGAATGTCCAATGTGTTTGCAGAGACGTTGCGGATTAGCATCAAAGTGGAACTGGCCAATTACGCAGGAGCAGTCGCCTGGCTTAAAGACATTCTGTACGGCGCAGTCTTTGACAAAGAAAGGCATGTTCCCAAGCATTGGCATTCCTTCCTTCACTGACTGTCGATGGATTCAAGACTGCAAGTGACCATCGCCAAGATCCAGCAGTCGCTACCAGAGATGAAGAGAGATGGAAACACTGTTCTCAGCTCGTTATGGGCAGATCTGTTGCACGACGAGAACTCGACTTCAAGAGCTGGCGGAATTTTGCCTCAAATCGAATACATTCCAAAGTTGGTCAAGCGATTGGCTGACAGCCCTGAAGAGGTCATCGCAGATCTCGAAGAGATTCGCCGTTTTGGTGCGGCACTTTTTTGAATATAAATAGCAAAACAGTCACTAACCGAGCCTCAGTCACGGATCCGAAGGGCATTCGGTTCTCTGTCTCCGGAGATGTTCTCAAAATTAACTCTCCCCGATCTCCATGGTCGAAGTATTTCGACTTACCAGTAGGTTCCCAAGCCAATCATGCGACCAATCAATTTGACACCTTCAGGAAACGGAATTGGCGCCTGTACCACTGTCCTCGCAGACGCTGAGCCCGCTCGGCAAACAGCCTGTGTCAAAAGCTGTTGTGATGAGCTTACCCACAATCGAAAGCACGTTTTCGACCCACTCTGCCAAGGCTATCTCCGGTTTCAACCACCCCGAATACCCTGCGTTCAGAATTGCATTGGAAGTGCTCAACGCCACCGAAAGCTATCTCTGGGTATGACTGCGCTTCATTGCCTTGCATCAGAGTGCTTATGTCTGTCAGCGATACATCCGGGGCTCTGGGCTTGCCTACGGTGCATATGTGTCGTTGGACGTCGAGTCAGGTCTCTTGAGCTTCTCGCTCTACCGAGTGAGTCAAATAGAGATGCTTTGGCACATGTCTCACAAACCTGCAGAGCTCCAACAGCATCAGCGCTTTCAAGGAAGCGTCGACAGTGCTGAAGGGATTGGTCGATGGCTCCATAGACCTCGAGACCACGACTCTGGATGCTGCCAAGAGCACCGTCGTGTATGGTATTGCCAAGGGTGTCTCCACACCCGGACGTGCGGTGAGTCCCTTTCCCTCGCGAGTGACCCGCATTCTAATGGATCAACTCAGGCCATGTCATCTTTCAACAACCAAGCTCTCCGAGGGGTTCCGCAGAACCACCAGGTAGAGCTGCTTGAGAAGTACCAGGTGGTGACCAAGCAAGACGTGTTGGCCATCTTTGGCAAGTACTTTTTGCCACTGTTCGATCCAGCTTCCTCGGTCGCAATTGTCGTGGCAGCCCCAGGGAAGGTGGACGGTATCGTAGAGGGACTGTCCGCAACTGGCTTCCAAGTCGAACAGCGCTCTTTGGAAGTTGATCCCAGTGAACTAGAGGAACATGACAGCGACTGCAGCTCATGCGATTCAGATAGCGATTCGGATAGCGACTAACCTGCCACATGTAGAGGGCATACATCATTACTACTGTACTCAATCTAATCCCCCATTCGTCTCCTCGGTCAAAACCTCGATCCGCTTTCCTTGGCTTGCTTGACCGGGCTTGAGTTCGACATTTTCGAGAAAGTCGTTATCCACCAAGAAGCGAATGGCTTGCGACAGATTCGAGACGGTAACGCGAATCTCAGGAAGTAGTAACTGCCCTCCATCAGTTTGAAATTATCGAGCATCGACTTCACTCACGTTACGCAACAAAGTCGGCCGAGATGCGAACTGATTGCGAGGAGGAAGTTTTGGTTGCTGGGGTTTATGCCGCTTCACCGGTTGCGGCATAGAAACCTGTTGGTCGGGGACAGACGGAGGCTGAAAAGCAAGTTCTGCTTTCGAAGAGACGATCTCCGGAGCACCATCTTCAGACTCATCATCTGAGCTCGATTCAGGCTCAACGCGGGGAGGATGTTCCATGGCTACGGGAGCACCGCCGCCTCTGCCTGTTCCACGACCTCTCCAGCCGGAATCCACTCGGCCGCGTCCTCTCCAAGTAGAACCAGATTCCCCGTCTATACCCCGTCCTCTTCCTCTTCCTCGTCCTCTTCCCGTTCCGCCTCTTCCTCGCCCTCGACTGTCTCCGGATCCTTGCTCGTCATCCACCCGTCGGCGTTTCCGGGCTCCGATTCCCACATCCTCGAGTGAGAGCTGGCCGCGTGCGACGGCTTCCTCCATTTTGCGTTTTTTGTCCTCGACGCGCTGCCCGGTGGGCCACCGTCGTTTGCGCTCCGCGATCCATGCTTCGAGCTGTTCGGGAGTATCCAGGACGATGGTTGTTCCCTGAATAGGGAGTCGTTTTCTTGACGGCCGTGAGCATCTGTCTTGGCACACGCAGACTGAGCCAGCCTACCCTTTGAGACTCGGATCGGCATCCCAATCGTCCTGCTTTTTTCGTCTGTCCCAGCCGGGAGGGAAGATGAGGTGCCGATCCATCATGTGCGTCTCAACAGAGTGCTTAGAGCCTGTGAATGTGCATGCTTTGTAGGTACAACGGTTGTTTCCTGGTTGGAACCATGATCCAGAGGGCTTTGAATTTGGCCGCACGGCTGGAGATATGGGCACGGAAAGATGGTTGTAGGCTCCGGTAGGGATTTGAGAGGGGCCCGCCGCTGGTTGCTGTTGCTGATACGCTTGAGCGTAGTGAGATGAATAGTACACGGGCCACTGTTGTTGGTGCATAACAAAAGTTTCCCGATCACTGATGCGATTGATGTCGGGATAGTTGGCTCTACTTAGTTCACTTAGAGTTACAAAGTTGATTCTTTTCTTGCAATTACGAGGGCTGCACAACATATTACGCGTATCGAGGAATTACTACGTACACTACGTGACAGCGAGGGCGGATGATTTTCGGACGAGTCAAGGAAGACAAAAGGACGTAGAACGGAGGAGGGCATGTAACCGAGTATCCCTGGAGAAGGAACGACTACGGGTAGGACTCGGGGGTAGCTCGGTTTGCTCATTCCTCCAACTCCTGTTGCTGCTGGTGAGATTCCTTGTTGACACGGCGTTCTTTCTCGCTTTCGAGTTGGTTGTACAACCTGAGAGGAACATCAGCGTCGGGGGATCACGCGTGAAAGAATGAGACTGACAAAAAGAGGGCCTTTTCATTGGCCTCCGGCGTTCCAACGATAGTAAACATTCGCTCGCCAGTTTCATCGTGAGGTGCTTTGGCGATCGAGATTTTGGAGCCAGACAGACGCCGGATTTCGGTAATCTTGGTTCCGCTCCTGCCAATTATGCAGCCGACCATATCCGAGGGAATGGAGATGTTTTGGGTACGTAAATTAGTAGCTGGCTGAGACAGAACGGGCGATTGAGCTGGCGGCGGCGAACCAGGGGGAGAAGAGCGGCCACGCTCGCCATTCGCGCGGCGCGGGTTGTAGGATGGAGGAGCCCCACTCACGGACCGTCGACCGGATCTATCGTCTCCAGTACCCGGATGAAAGAGCACCGTGCCCAGGCCACGCTCCCAATCTTCCAGAAGGCACTTGCCGATCTCTTCGATGGCGTGCCCAATAGCTTCCGGGGTGCCTTGTACCTCGACGATACGTTCCGTCGATTGGGGCAACATGTCTTTCGACGCGACCATCCGCGTACCAGAAGCATCTTGGATAGCCTTGATTTTTAATCCATTCCGGCCGATTATCGTGCCCATAAGATTGTGTGAGATGAGCAGGCGGATGGAGGTATGGACGGAGGAAGACGTCGAAGAAAGGATCGGAGAAGTCGGGTTGGTGGCCACGAGTTGCGAGATTATAAGGGAGTACGCCTGAGGAGAGATTAGCTGAATGGGTGGCAGAATCTACATCAAAACGTACTTTGGCCACACCTTCCACAGGCCCAGTCACAGTAAGGACGCGCTCGTGGACGCCGTGAATGACTTTGCTAACACCAGCCTTTACGCCAGTTTGTTCGCGCAAGTCTGCGACATTCTTGCCGGCTTTGCCAATGATAACCCCAGCATCCTTCGTGCTGACCAAGGCGCGAAGAGTAAGGGTGTCTTGGCTGGAGGGAGATGGGGAACGCGATTGGGGAGAAACTGGTAAATCTGGCGTGAGATGTGAAAAACGCGAGATGTGAGGCATATGCAAACCGGAACCGCGCGGAGACTCGTCGGGCATATGGAATGGAAGGGAAACGGGAAGGAGGAGAGGTGAAGGTGAGATGGCTCAGACTGAATATTTTTTGGATCGTTCGGCAATCAGCGAGCGCAAGGGTTGCGATCCGAGACATCAAGGACCGAGTCATAGTCAGAACTGGTGTATCGACAGTGGTAATTCGGTCGGGGCTGCTCATATTGCTGGCGATAGCTGACGATAGCCAGCAGGGCGTGATTCTCAGCGAAAAAACTCTGGCATTGCGAGTATTACACGCGTACGGTATACGCTCTCATCATTGCATGTAATATAGCGATCGGCATGGGGCATGGGGTACATAGTCATAGCGAGGCGCCCAAGCCTCTAGTACCCGAGCTCCTTGAGCTTCTCAGACGAGGCATTGTTTGCCACAGTCTTTTGACGGAGCTTGACAGCGGCCAGCTGTTTCCAGCGTGATGAGCTGAATGAGACTGAAGGTGAACATACTCAGACATACCTTGCGCTCGTGGAAGGCCTGGGCTTTGATCTTCCGCTTCTCCTCAAGACGATCCACAACATCCTTGTATCCCCATCCAACCTCGTGAGACAAGCGCTGGAACGCCGCACGATAAGTCCTCACTACAGGGTCAAGAGTCATTTCACGGACCTTGACAGTACAGTACTTGCGACCAGGCTTCAACCGCAGAACCCGTAGAGCCTCCGGAACAACCATGCGCTTTTTGCGGTCGTAAGGAGGGGGAACACCCTCGAAGAGCTTGAGGCGCTCCAGGGCTGCGGCACCACGAGGAGTCTTGTGCGGGGTCATTCCACGGATAGCCCGGTACAGGATCTTGGACGGTGCGCGGTGATGGAAAGGGCCGGACTTTTTGGGGTTGACGATATGGCGTTTGTGGAGGAAGTTGTGGTAGCGGAGCTGCAAATAGACCGTTCAGCGTCCTGCAAACGGCGCAACCCGAATCCACCGACTTTGTTGCGGAAGAAGCTCCCAGAGATGTTAATCTCCTCGCAGCGCACAACAACGATTTTCTGCCCGGAGAGTACCTGCTTGGAGATTATGGACGCCAGCCGCCCAAGCAAGTGTCCCTTTCCATCAATAACGATGGGGGTCGAGGAGAAGGTGGTCATTCTAGGGCGAATTAGCAGTAATCGTCGAATGATGCCGGACGCTGCTTGCCTTGAAGATGAGGTGAACTTTGAAGCCTCTACAACGGGTGCCAATCCCGTGCCCTAGTTGTGCAGTTGCACGTGTGACTTCGGGTTCACGTGACGGAGCGTCGTGCCGAGTTTTGATTGACAGCTGTCTGGCATATAGGGGCATGCCGCCACATTCGTACCCAATATGCTCGAGGCGTTCAACTTCAGACTTTTCAAGCTTTTTGAAAGCTCAACAGGTGGTCGGCAACACTTATAACTTGCCAAATACTCGGTGGAAGAAATTTGGGGCACATGACAGATCTTTTCGGTGTGCCAAAGCTAAGCTGAAGAGAATGAGCCCGCGTTTCAGACTGACTTGTCAGTCAGCGTTAAACTTTGTTCGCTGCGGGCCGTAGATTAACTCGGTCTCGTGACATGAGCGTACACGCTCTATGGGGTCGTGTTCTGCCGTTTTGTGATCGAATCAACAGAAAATGTCGATACTCAAGTCTCTCAACCTCAGCGATGTAAATCCAGCTTCTCTTGGGTACTATTCGGATTGAGATCTCTACATAACAAATAATGTGTTACTATGCTAGGCGCCGAACTTGTAGCGCGGGACACCTTGATATTGTTTATCAGAAATCACAGCTTGCCCACTCAGATCGACCTTAAACAGATGGCCAGAATCGGGGAATTGTGGTTGTCTTTCTTCCTCTCCACTCGCCTTGCAGTGCGCCGACGTAACGTACAACTGATCGTTGTTAGGCCCTCCAAACGCACATGATGTGACGTTCAAGACGGTCGGGAAGTGAACCTCGAGATCAATGATACCTGAGGGGGAGATGCGAGTTATGCTGGAGCCTCCCCAGCTGAGAAGATCAGGACTCAATTCGGAGACTACAAAGAATGAGCATCAGTACTCACCGAGCACTCCACACATATCCTTCAGTATCTACACAAAGACCATCACAGTAGGAATTCTTCGGCAATCCCAGGGCCATGGCGTCTATAAAAACGCGCCGGTTGGATAAGTTGCCGTCGTCGCAGTCGTAAGCAAAGATAATGTTGGCTCTCGAGTCGGTGAAATAGCTTGGATGTATCAGCCGGGTCATGTTCCGGAGCAGAAGCTGCGCACAACGTCTTTTCATCGGGACTCCAACCCAGACCATTCCCATCCTAGCTTCAAGTCAAAACCTTAATCAAACCGCCAGACAACCAAGCTACCGTAAATGGTCCGGGGTCAGCCAACACGCAACTCCCGTCACTGGGATCGAATCTCCAAAGCTGCCCCGGAATCCCTCGGGCCTTGTCGTAGACAGTGCCAGCAAAGAAACGGCCTTTGCTGTCACAAGCGCCGTCGTTGAAGCGGGTGTATGGGAGAAACTCGGAAGGGAGAGGGCGAGAGATGTATTGTATCTTGCCGCCACCTTGTTCAAAGAGTGCGAATCCTTCGGCGGCGGCACCCGCCAGCTGTAGCCAGGTAAGTTCGAATCAATGTATAACAGGAAAGCATGCCCCAGGCTCGCCACGGCGAAGGGAGACACAGCCTATCTTCTGTTCGTAACTGTCGATCTTGACCTCGGCGGTCACCGTGTTGTAGTGGAGAATCTAAGGATTTTACGGCTCGATAAGACGAGATCCCTCCGTTTCGTACCTTGCATTCGTTGATATCCACAAAATGCAACACTCCCGTCTCAGAGTCATAAAGCGGACCTAGCCACTGCCTCAGCACGGCGAGGCATACGGGGCACGGCGGGGGTGGCAAACCTTCTCCGAGGGTGCACCCAATGTTGAGGATAGGTCGGTCGATAACGATTTCCTTGACCATGGATGGTGTATAACAAGGACGAATGGATGAAGAAAGAGTCGGGGATCAAGTCTGACACAGCTGACCCCAGTGATGCAATTGAAATCACGTATCATTTAGACGCAAAACATGGTGAGTGAGGAATTGGACTATTTTTGACCGTTTATCATAACAGTCTAAGTAGCTGGAGAAAAGTGAGTGATAGGCTTTCACGTAGCAGGTCTGCGCGTACCATCAGGCGTATTCTTAATGTACTCAATAGCTAGACATCACGGGTTAGCCCGGCTGGGAACGCGGGTGCCCACACGCACCTTGGGCTACGCTCTGGATCTCGTCGGCCTCTGCGTCGGGAATTTCAATGACGAACTCCTGCGAGAACAGGTGTCAGTAACGTAGCAGGTCAACTCCGCGAGAGAAATGAGGTACTTCTTCAATAGCCATTTGCACCTCGACGCAGTCCAAGCTGTCGAGGCCAAGGTCGGCGGTAAACGAAGCAGTCGGGGTTAACTGGTAAAGACATGAGTTGGTTGTGCGTCAGCCAGCAATAAACAAATGCACCTTGTCTGCTGGGACTTTTTCGAACCCTCGCAACACTTCGAGCACACGCGACTGGATGACTTCTGGCGACAATTTGCCACCTCCGGAGTATGCACGGAAGGGAAGCCGAGCAGGAGTACGAGGAATGAGCAAGGTTGAGCGGGGGATAGCTCGTGCCAGGCGTACGAAGGACATGACGGAAGGAAGAAATGTGCGATTATGTAACGTCAGTCCGTCTTCTGCTTTGCTTTCATCATGAAACATGGTGTCGCGTTCCGCAAGCTCTCGCGGACCACCTCCCATCGGATGCTCATGCTACGGTAGGTCGCCAGCTGTATGTTTATATACTACTGGAATCACGTCCTCTACAGGAACATCGTCACTTCTCTCTTCGAGCACGAGCAAATAAAAACCACTCTTCCCAAAGCTCGCGAAGCCGCGAGAATGGCAGAAAAGGTAGGCACTGACTTACGACCCACTGCATTACTTATGCTGGGCTCGGCCAGATTATCACGTTGGGCAAAAAAGGACATCCACCAGCTCACGCACAAGCTGCTGCACTGCTTCTCAAGCCCGAACTCCTCCCAAAGCTGTTCGGAACTTTTGCCCAGAGATACGCAGACCGTCCTGGGGGATACACGCGCATTCACAAGTTCGGAAATCGCCCCGGTGACGATGCACCCCATGCAATTCTGGAATTGGTTGACAATCCCCGCGACATACGATGGGAGATGACGTCGCGCGCCGTGGGCTGGGATCTCCTTCGTGACAAGCTGAAGACCAAGAAACCGGCTACTATCATTAACGCTGGTTTCGACGATACTATCATCACGCTGTCCGAGGAACGCGCTTTGAGTCCTACCCACGTCGGGCGGCTACGGCCGAAGACTCGATGGAACCTGCAGAAGGTTCTCAAATTCCGTGGTGATCTTGCGCTGCCGGCGATGAGCCAGAAAGCTGGTGACTACATGGTGCGTTCGCTGCGCATTTCAATCTCGATATTAGATTGAAGTCTCACCGCCAGGAACATCTCCTTGCCGCACCCCTGGTGTCCCGGAGCGTCGAGGCTGAAACTCGGAATGATATTGCTAAGCGTCGCAAGCGATACGACGAGGAGATGCGGAAACCGGAGGGAGAACGAGACGTCAAGGTCACCGGGGTCGGCTCTCACAGACCCAGGTATCCCCGACGAGAGATGAGACCTGCTGGTCATGCTCTTCCGGGAGAAACTCGGGGTGCACTCGATACGGCGCGGGGAGCCTTGGTCCTCCGCAAAAACGTTGGGAAACCGAGAACATTGCCGCAAACTCTCACTTCATTCCGCCGTCATACATAGTCAACCGACTACTAATATAATCTTAGAAATGGTTTGAAGCCGCCTGCAAGTCATCTGCATTTAACCAGTCTGCGCCGTTGTCTATCAGAACGTCCCAGACATTGTTTCTGGCGCGAATTGGCCACCCCGGAGTGTCCCAGAATCGTGCTTTGATTCCCAGACCGTGTGCGTTACCGATGTGAGTTTGGATAGCGGACAGTTGGCTAGCAGAGATGTTGCCCAAACCGGACCATCCAACAGCAGTCTGGTAATCTGTGCTCGCAGTGGGGGAAACAGCGGGGTAAATGTCGCGTTGAGAGCTGAGCATATCGTCAGCATGGTCGTTTCGGGTTCATTCATGACCACTTGCCAGTCAAAGGTGCATCGAAAAAGACATCCCGGGATGTGAGTGCGAGAATTCCGGCGAGCGGTGTGTTGCCCGTTCCGATGGCTGTTACCGCGGAGGACGTACAGTTTCCATTCGAGTGGCACGTGGTGAGGTACCCGCGGTCCCTCAGCGGCCCGAGAGCCTTGAGCACGGCGGGCAACGTGCTGCCGATGAGTGAGATTTCAGAAATCAGGTGGATGTTCTGAAACTGGATGACCTTGGCCCATCGGTCTTCATGTCGATAAGAAGCTGGATGCTTGTTCCGCTCGAAGTATCAAAGACTCCACTGTGGATCCGTTCAGCGATAGAGTCCTAGATGCTTTCGGAGTGGATTGCATATGTACTTGACTGCGGTCTGATTCACCGTGAAGGCATTCTTGGGATTCTGGGCCTCGATGATCGCCACCAAAGGCTCGATGTAGAGAGAATCAAAAGTTCTGTTCGATGTGAGAGCCGCTTGTTCGTGTCCAACCTGAATGTTGTTGTATACATCCGTTATCAGCTGGACAGTTGGGTGGCAGGAATCCGAACGTGGAGAGTTCCGTTGACGAGCCAGACATCGGCTTCGACACTCGCGACACCGAGACTCAGCGCGGTCAGCAAAGGCACTTCACGCCAATCTAAATGCAGTCTTCAGTGTATGCCAGGGAATGCGATTGTGAGGGAGAACGAACAATCATTGTGGGAGTGAATCTGCTTTGGCACAATTCCTTGAGTAAACTGATATGCGATGGGATCAGACGTAGGATCACATAAATCGTCAGACATACAGCTGTGGGATAGCGCAGCAAAGACGAATTGGCCGCCTGCAGGGACGAGATCTCATCCAGCACGCCTGGATGCTGGGACGACGGGATCACGAGACCTGCTGCAAGGATAAGAAAGACAGTGAGCGGTGTGTTCATCATAGCTTTGGTCGAGACGGAACTCGAAGTCAGCAGGTTTATAGCCTCACGTCGTCGTTCTATTTGCAATGATCACTCCACCCACGGTTGTTCAAGACAGTGACGAGCTTCGGGCTAGGCAGGACACGTTCGTAGGAAAAAGAGCTTGAATGTCCAAATACAATGTCCGCGGTAATGATAGATTAGGCATTACTAGTCAAGTGGGTCCATCAATTGTCGTACGGTCGGTTCTTCATAAGCCTCGGGGTCTTGCGACCAAATGACCCTTCCGCTGAAACGCGTGTAAAAATGAGCGTGAAACTCTACCCACACACGAGGGAAGCACGACTGACCCCTTCAGAACTGCCACAAAGTGCCGCCCAGAAAGGGCCGTCGCCGACGAAAGCATGATCACTTACCAGGATGGGCTTGGGCATACGCAGGCTGTTCGAGACCAGCATGATCATTGTCGTAGTAGGTCTGTCCCATCCGTGGCGTCGGGGACTCATCTTTATCTGCATTCCGTAAACAGATTCGAGCAGTATCAGCTGAAACCCACCTTCTAGGTACGCGCTAGGTGGATTCCGAGGTGGATACGAGCCCTCGCGACCGAGCGAATAGCTGTCACTCGCATGCTGTACAGGCTCGGCAAGGACATCCGACATGCTAGCTGCGCTCTCCTTCCGCAGATGAGTATATCCCCCATGAGATTGTTGGGGAACATCGACCGGGTAGCTCCGATCGTTCATGGCGATATTTGTCGTCGACCCCAGGGAGTTGAAGTTGTCATGATCCCTCTCTTGATTAGAGCTGTATCCGCTTGCGACCGAGTAAAGATATATCTGCAGGGTATTCGAGTCGATAAAGAAGGCGAAAAGACGGTCATACACACACACCTGGAGTATCGCTAATAAATCCACAACCCACCCATTACACCAACATCCACCCACGGGAATATGTTGCACAAGATCTGTCCTTCAGACTTGGCTTCCGTGCTGACATTGGAGAAGAAGCTTGTTTCGCAATTTGACTGCGCAGTGGAGTGGCGGGTAGCAGAGAGGATGATCCATGCAAGCGCGACAGAGAAGGCACCGGTTGCAACAACCCGTGCAATGTGACATATCTTCTGAAGAGCGTAGGTTTCTCCTGCGCAAGGATTCAAACCAGGTCGTCATCGAGGGGAGAGATACAACGAACCGATGCCACACCAATCACACCTAGCAATTGGATTCCTGCCGCGACGAGACAGATGATGCCCAGCACCGTAGAAGCAAACGAAGGAGTAGCAGCGCCAACGACTAAAGAGGAAGTGTCAGGCGATGCCTGCACACGAGAACGGACGGACTGGTTGGAGTCGCAAAGGAAAGAACACCGACAAGAGCGCCGGTCACGATTTGGGTGAACAAGGCGAGATAAATGCCAGCATTCACTAGAGGAATGGCACCTAGCGAAATCCTTTAGATGGAGAATGATTCGAGCGTGGTCTGTTGCTCACAGCAGCAATATTCGCGGGATTTCATGGTGGGTGGAGAAAGAGGCGCAGTTAGCGGCTGTGCGAATCAATTGATCTGCATCACACTTGTCATTGTACCACATCCTCCCCCAGGCTCGTCATGTCTCGAGTCTCACTGTACTTGTTCCTCTTTCTCTTTCTTGGGGTCACGCACGCGGCATCCTGGGAGTACGTTGATTGCGGCAGCTCGGGTGCTATCCAACTGGAGTCGTTGGAACTCTTCCCCGACCCACCCCTTCCTGGACAAGACCTCACGGTCAAGGCGTCCGCATATGTTACGGAGCCAATAACGGATGGTGCCTCTGCAGATGTAACGGTCAAGCTTGGTCGGATCAAGCTGCTGCAAAAAACCTTTGACGTCTGCGAGGAGGCACGGAGCAACAACATGACGATCAACTGCCCCGTCGAGACAGGATTCCATGTTCTGGAGCAAACCGTGGCTTTGCCGAAGGAGATCCCTCAAAGTGAGTCCTTCTGGCTGGTTGGCTGGCTGGACCGTCGCTTGATCATCACCAAGCCAAATTTACTATCGCCGTCCGTGGATTCACCGAGGCTGGCAAAGATATGTTGTGTCTGGGTGAGAGCTTTCTTCGAGTTTAGGTGGGGGTTCTGAGATTGACATATCGGTACCAAGATCTCAAGCTCGACTTCATGAAGCCTCTCTCTGCCATCTTTGGATCTCCATTTTAACCTGTTATTCATCGCTTGTGACAAGGACTGTACAATCTCTACCGACATCTCTATAATTGTTCGACCCGAGCCCCTGTAAGTATCGTGAAGTGGGACAAAAAGAGCAGGGAGCGTGTTTAGCTCTTTTTGGCGACCTGGCGTAGGGCAGGATAATTCGTCTCATCGGACATGAGCTTACTTCCAGTACTTACTTACCATGCGGCCATTGTTCGAACCGTGGTCGAGACATGCCTTGTACGCAGCATTGCGCGTGGGTATTCAAAAGACGTTGTCCGGTTCTCAGTTTGGAGAAGACAATTAGAACAATAGGCGAGGTGCGCTGATCCGTTCCCCAAATTCACACACCTCCGAATCCGAAGCAGATTTGGACGGTTAAAGGCAGCCGCCATGACTCTTGACAATGAAATCGCTCCCCCTCTCCCATGCCTGTGACCACCGTCGCATACGAGATCCTGTTCGAGTTGCTAAACGACACCCCGGACGCACTACGCTTGACCGGACCGGCGGGCTCTAGTTTACGATTAGAACACGGGCAAGACGTCGCTCTGGTTGCAAGCTGTCTCGTGCTCGAAATGAGAAAAGCAATCTGATGTCTTGGCTACAAGGTCCTCACGGCTGGCCTAACATACCAGTATACAATGAAGCAGCTGTCCGCTTCACCCATGCCTAGGAAGGCACAGCTATCGCAAGTACCCAGCCATTGCTTCCGACGATCTGGTCTCATCCTGATGCAAAAGAGTCCGCGCCTGGGACGACGTCCGATGTCAGGCAACCAGCCTCTTCTCGGGGACAACAACAACCGTAACAATAACCAATCGAAGCTGACCACTTTTGGGTGCGTGTGGAACTGCAGCAACTTCGCTCCTCCTCGTGCCATAACAAAATGCAGGTTTTATCTGAGATATCTCGTCCGCAAATCGTGTATTTATAGTTGCATATTTGATTCGTCGCGGTCATCGCGCATCTTGAACTTTGGCGGCATTCCTGTGAGCGGCAGAGATTGCGATCAGATAAGATAAGATGGGACGAGACTAACGCACGTGAAGGTATTCCAGACCGTTTCGTTGCGGTAGAAGGCCAGGCCGTCATTGGGACTGGCGCCGTCGATGAGAGCATCAGCATATTTGATCGCTCGGTTTCCACCATCCTCAGTCAGCCCCAGTGCACCGAATTGCCACGGCATGATCCCTCTGCGGTGTAATCAGCAGTGCAATTGACGACAAGAAAACTAAACGCACCCGTGCTTAGAGTCCAGGGCGTACTTCACCCACGTGGGATAGATCGTCGTTTTATTCTCGAGTCCCAGCAGACCAAACTCTTCCAGAACCAAGGGCTTTCCAGCCTTTTTCGCCGCTGTGGACGATGTGAATGAAACCCTCACTTTGACATTCAGCACCAAAGCCTACCATTCACGTGAGACTCCATCCAAAACAAGCCCCAAGATTCTACTGTGAAGTTGGAGCCAGGGTGATCCTGATCGAGGTGAGCAGACGACGAGAATAGGCAGTAGCACTTGCAAGGTTGGGATACCACGTCTGAGGATACATATGCTATCGAAGGGGCTCGATTTCAGAGAGCAACGCGCAGCAGTTTATCACTCACGTAAGTTGCGAAATCGACGTTGGGCAGTGTCAGATCCAAGTCGAAATCTTCCCCTGCTTGCCCGTTGAAGTTGTAGTCAGACGCATACTGAGGATCTTTCCAGTAAAAGTGGCCCTCGCCGCCAGTGGTGATAAGATGATGCGGGTCCCTGTACCAGGCCTCAGTGTGTTAAAATCCCAAAAAGTTGGCCTTCACGAACAAGCTGCGGATATAATCAGACTGCGACCTGTACCATTTCGCCAGCGTGCCGGTAATTGCCGAACAGTTTGGGCTCGCGGGCAGATCTCCGAGACAGCGGGCCTCGTTCTACAATGCCGGTTTAGAAAGCATACACAGAAATGAGCTAAACGAGCCATACCATCATTTCCCATGCAAAGATCGCCGGGGAGCTTTTATAGCGGTTGACGATGGTCTTAACATACAACTCTGGAAGTAAATTAGATAATTGACCAAGTGCCCCAGTCCTCCGTTGCTCACGATATGATGCAACCATCTTGGGGTTGGTGTAGAACACATCGTGGAAGCTTGATCCTGGAGCGAAGTGGTCGATATACAGCTCGAGACCCTAAATAAACTCAGTATGTGTGTCTGAATTTCGACAAATTCTTGACGCACGCCATACCCGACCCTGTTCAGGCCTGTGAGTCAAGATTCAGAAGACTGCGATGGGACACATACCAGTTGTTCGTGAAGGCAAGTATCAGTTTGATTCCCACCTCTTTCGCGACCTCCACCACGTAGTCGAGACGTTCCAGGCCTTGCGAGTTCTCATTGAGAGTCCAATTCCCATTGTTCCAGACCTGGAACGCGGGGTTGGATTCCACACTGATCCAAACGACGACCCATTCTCACCTGATAGTATGTCAAACCCGAATCAACAGCCCCGGCCAGTTCGGATCCGTTCTGGTGGTCTCATTATCAAGAAGAACCGTGTGTGGCGCAAACTGATAATCACGATTGCGTTGAATCCCCAAGTGCGGACCACTTTCACACCGGCAGCTTTCATCTGCTTGAAAGTGGATTTCACATCAGACTTCGTGGTCAGCAGCGGCAGCCACTGGTTCGCAGATCAGTACTGAGCACCGTACGGTACGTGAACGATCTCGCTCACGTAGGAATTGGCTCCGACAAAAGCAAAAGGCTTCCCATCGAGTTCAAATTCTGCACCCTTGGTTGTAACAAAGCCCTTCGGAACTTGTTTGCTGGTGGCGGGAGTGATCGCAGCCGAGGCGAGGACACAGAACGAAATGGTTGCCGCGAGGACCTTCATTGCTCGCCACATTGGAGAAAACCAAGATGCCACCAGTCACGACGGAGGTCGGTCCTTTTATATGAAGAGCATAACGTGGATTTGTCGGCATAAGTTCGGTGGATTTCGAGCTGGTATGAAGGAACGCTTGGAAGGAACGAGCGCGTGATGCGCGCACGCGACGCGCGGGCACGTGCTCCGTGTGGCTGGGTTCCAACGCCGCAAATCAGACTTCAACTTGAGCGTGTATGATCAGGTATGATCCTTTGCGGTTGTTTCTCATCCAACCAAGTCGACTTTCCCTTATCAGTTCACTGACATATTATCAAAGGAGTGCAAAGAAATTCGGATCTCTGTGGTCATTAAGGTCTCAGCTATACGTCAAGATCTGGTAGGCAAGATCTGGTTGCACCACTTTCCCTGGAGCCATCCCGTAGATGATGTCGCCACAGCACCAATCTGTGCTCTATGAATGCGTTGTAACGAAAGGGAATCCCTGGGGGCTGCAAACGCCTCAAACGAGGTCCCCTATTACTCACACGGCTCTCGTTGTAACATGACCATTTGGCGGGACGAAACTGCTTGCAATGCAATCTACCATCTGGAGCTATGATATTGGGCGGTTATACGCTCTCTGTGATGCTGTTGTCTCGAAATGAGGCTGTCCCAAGTATACGAGTTGCTGTGCGGCATGCTCTTGGCATCGCCTTAGATGTCAGATTTCCTCGTGTTTCTAGTCTGGCAGTGTGTAGCGTGTGCATTCCCCTACAGCCCATGCATAGCAGCGAGGGAATGGGCGTCTACGGGCAGGTTTATCTGCTTCATCGATAAGTGCGTTGCTGCTCATTTCCCCATCAGTCTCAATGTACAACCAGCCCCCCGGCTTTGTTGTCGATGCACCCCTGTAGGCCTAATGCCTTTTTTGATGCTGGACGAGCTCCTTACCGACTTGTTTTGAGTGAACGCGCTCTCTCTGCCTCGCATGGACTGCAGATCGATTTCGAATTCGCTCCTCCGGCCCAATACCATCCTTGCTCCGTCCTGCAGGGGCCTACCGAGCCATTTGCGCACCATTCCATTTCTGTAGCATCCCTTGACTCGTCCAATCACCAGATATTGTACGCTACTGCGCCTTCAGAGGTGGCAGCATTCTCCTACCAGTCGTCGCCTTCATGTTGGCCGAGCTCTCGCCATGTTCTACGACTTCGTCCTCAGAATACTCTTTCGAATCGTATCCACCTACTCGTTCGTCTCAAGATTTGTCTACTTGCTACGGGTCTGCTGTGGGCGATGTAGACGGGAGCTTGCCATTTCTCGAGTGGAGGGCACACCAAAGATCCGACGGCATCTCAGAAGCCTTCTCACCCCTCTTCTCTATGCAGACTGTTCCAGATTTCCTTTTCGAACATCCCTTGTCTCCGTGTGTCAGAGACTGCGCGGATACTGCTATACCACGCGATAACCCCGTATCAGACCTGTCCAACGATACTGAAGTCTCAGACCGCATTGTCAAAATGCAGGTCGGATGCGAAGCTCACACGCTTACTTCTACTCAGCGCCGCAAGCAGCCCGCTGACTTTTCCTGCGATCTCTGTCTGAAGAGTTTCACAACTCGGCAGAACCTATCTAGTGCGTCCTTCGTTGAGCTGTTGTCCCGATACCCCCTACTCACTGGCAGCGCAGACCATGATAATTCGCATCGGGGGCGTAAACCGCATTCTTGTGACGAATGCCATGCCCGTTTCACGACTACAAGCGATCGGAATCGCCATCAGCGCAGATGTGCAGGAATTCGTCGGTCTAGGTGTCTACATCGAACTAGTCGTATCGGAGTAGCGATTGCTTGAGGGTCCACGGTTTCGCGTCATTTTCCGATCTCGATATGTTGTTTGTACGATTCTCAGTAGTCGGCTTCTCGAAATAACATTCTGTCAGCCTCAAAGAAACGACTGCACTCTACACTCCATACAATGATACAAATAGATAGGTCACGTAGAACGTACACCGTACATTTTGACGAGGCCGCTGCTGGCTGTCCTCTCCAAACTCTGCCCATATGCATCAATCTGTCCCAACAAAAGCATGCTGTCCAGCCGGCTCGGCTCAGGCGGGATCTTGAACAGGCGGGAGACATCCTCCTCGGGAAGCGGAGGCAGATTCTGCGCAGCGCGCGCCACGTTCTCCTCCTTGCGCTTGGCGACATAGGCCTCTGCCCGTGACTTCTCGCGCGCGATCTGCCGGCTGAGGTAGCCGACATTGCCCTCCTCGGTCCGGTAGCTGTCCACCACCTCGATGATCTGCTCCAGGTTCTTGGTGAGACCGGAGGTTCCGAGATCGAGAGAAGAGAAGGAGGGTGCCAAGATGGACGTCCTGGCGGTCTCGGGGGTAGGATCAGAGAGGAGAGAGGGGATCGGTTGCGACAGAGTGCCCAAGAAGGCGCCGAGCAGAGGGTTGACTCGGACTTTCAGAGGAATTTCTTCCAAAATGGTGGAGAAGGTGAGTCGGTGGTTGATGAGACTAGATTGATGATCAACAACACGATGATCTGCACAGTATCATCTACGCACCTGGTGGTACCAAAACTCGACTTTTTGAATGCATCCAAGAAAGACGGTGTAAGTCTGAAAGCACGGAAAGACGCGTTGCCCTTGGCTGTAGAAGATATATCTGGGAAACATCAGAGTGTGAAACATCCCCACGACAAAAACGCACCGTGCACGATCACAACTCCACGATGCCTCAACTTCTCCTGGTGTATGGCTTGTATCTCGATAAGATTCTGGTTGAAGAAAGCCCCCATAGTCGTGGCTTGATAGAACCCGACGACGCTGTCATCGGCTTGCACTTCTCTCAGAGCACGTAGCATGGCCGCCTGATAGCGAGCTTCAGAGATATGAGCAACACATCACGTCTGCTGGAAGATCACGCACACCCCGATTTAGTTGACTTTTCGTCCTCATCGTTGACATTGTGTGGCGAGGCAAAGCAGTTCGAGACCCGCAGTGTCCCATCGAGATCGAGACCGAGCAGGAGACCGCTGACGAGCGGAGAAGTCGAATCGCGCGAATGTTTCAGGATTTTCGTCGCTACCTGAGGCTGGTTCAGCGGGAAGCATATGTACATACGACAATACTGACCATCCCATCGAGTTGCACGACTTGGAACGGGATCTCAGCCTCGATATCGATGACCTTCAGGATGGAGGACGGGATAGCTTCATAGGTGGGGGCAGCAGGCGTCGGCGCTGTTGGTGCTGCGGGGAGCGAGGCCGCGAGGGCCGCCGCCATCGACGTTGCGGCCATGATTTTTTGGATGCCACAGCCAAGCGCGAGCAAGCATACGATGCCATCAGCGTGGCGATGTCGATAAGATAATCTTCGCTCTCCTTCTACCACGATCTACCAGCTTCTGGGATCTTCCAGTTTAGAAAGAACATTATATAACTCGCAGCGCGCACTCGACGACAACCTTTTCTCATCGCGTATCATGGAATCCCTCCTCCGTTGGGGTATCGAGAACTCTGCCCAAAATGCCTCTCCCTCCGATCCTCCGCCAGCCCCGAGACAAGACCTCGATCCAGGTGTCATCGACATGATTCTCGGGAAGTCTGATGCGGAACTCATGAAGGAGGACCTGTCCGTCGCGTTGGATGAGTCCAAATCGGAGGATGAGCGAATCAACGCGTTAGATCATCTGGAAATGGTGAGTATCAGCTCCCCTGGATGATTGCCAGCATTGATTCTGGTCGTTTAGTTGATCGAGCAAATTGACAATGCAAACAGTATGTTGCTCATTCAATTCTTTATCTTGTCGATACTTACGTAGTTCAGACCTGGAAAAATTGAAAATGTGGACACCCCTTCATAATCTACTCTCCAAGGCGCCCACATCAGATATTCTAATGCAGACCTTGTGGGTGATAGGGACTGCCCTTCAGAACAATCCTGCAGCGCAAGATGCCGTAAGTCTGTGCCTTCTGTTGCTGGCTGATGTCCTGACTGCATCTTTCAGTATCTCTCTTATGATCCGCTACCTGTCCTAACCAGGTTTCTCAAGCCATCACCTTCCTCTACCGCAGACGTACGCTCCAAAGCCGTTTATGCATTGTCCGGTCTCCTGAAGCACAACGCCCCCGCCGTCCGGGCAATGTCGCAATCCGACGTCCAAGGGTGGGAGAAGCTGCGGGAAGCCTTGCAAGGTCCGTGACTCCGCTCGTAGTTCTCTGATGAGACTGCTCAATATCACATCAACAGACCCGAATCTCGGCGTCCGTCGTAAAGCCCTGTTCCTCCTCAGTGCGCTTCTCGTCCCAAATGCCCCCGTCTCCGAATCATCGTCCCTCAAACAACCCATCCACGCCAACTCCCACGCGGCACAGCTGGCAGATGCCAGTCGCTCAGACACCTCTGCTCCGGCTCTGAAGGCAGTGCACGAGCATGGGATCTTGGACAGTGTTATCTCGGGACTGACGCATCCCGTCCCATCTGGTGTGGACGGCGATGTTCCCGGTCCGGATGCGGACTTTGAGGAGAAGGGTGTTGCGCTGCTTCGCACGTATGGCGTGGACTGTCAAGGGCAGTTCACGCCTGAACAGAAAAACGCGTTGAACCCGTGGATCAAGAACACATCGGCCGCGGCTTCGCAGTGGGGGTTGACCACCAAAGAACTGGACGCTCTTCTGCAGACGATGGCATGAGAAAATTGGCTTTACATCGGTGTATTTGTAGTCCTGTATCGTGTAGAGCATAGTAGAAAGCAATCAAGGCAATGTACAGTCGTTAAGATAATACACACTAAGTACAGACCAAACTAAGAATCCCACAGACAAGCTCATGTAACGGCCATGAACGTTCCAGCCGTAGCCTGGAGACCCAGACTTTCGTGCAGACTAACATCTGGCTGCTGGGAATACCGCAACATATCGTCGCAGATAGGGTGCTGGGCACGAGGGAAGACGAGATCCGAAGAGGCACCGGACGACGACGCACAACGATTCTGAACTAGATCACTCAGCATTCTCGCATACCGGAACGCTAAAGGGACCCGTTGCCCGATTCGTGCGATGGCCGCCCTGAGAAAACCAGTCAGCGACGTCGCAGATATAAGATAAACGAGCTGACTCTATGAAATCGAGCTCAGAGCGGAAGGTCGCAATGTTGTCAGTGTCCTGTGCGTCAATGGCAGCTTGCAAGAAGCGCAGAATAACACGTCCAGCGATGAACCAACAGAACTGGACGGATGTCATTCATGAAGATAAAAAAGCTGAACTTCAGGCTTACCGCACAGAACGGTTCCAGCAACGTGACATCGAAGCTCGTGCTGCAGACATTGTAAATCAAATCCAGGATGGCGTGTGCAGCCGTAATGATTTTGAGGGCAGATATGCAACCCTTGCGATTCATTTTGGCATGGGGGTCGTGCAACAATATCAGTGCCCTTTGGACTCGGTTGAGTGATACTGAACATTCAGAACGGAGAGAGCGTCCTACACATGAGGCATCAAGCATGCGACATAGCTACGCGGATGTTAGAATGAATCGCGTCTCACGCAAGAACTAAAAACTTGCAGATGATGGTCCACGACGTTACCAATAATGGGATTCTTCAGATGATTCGGAAAGGAGGGAATGAATTCCGACGCGAACTGATCGAGTTCCAGAAAGGCGGCAGAGCCCCTGCATCAGGCCCTTGAGAACGAGGATGTGATTGATCAGCAGGTGGTGTTGCGTACCTGGGATCCACAGGCTCCATGGGATCGATGGGTTCTGAATGTGGGGACATCACAGAAGCGTCGCCGAAGAAGTACTTGGAACGAAACCGGAAATTGAATGCCTTGACTTTCGATATGATCATCACTGCTTTGACGTATAGGACGAAGGAATCCGTCTGTTCCTCCGGGTGAACAAGCAATAAGTCACGCCCGTGCGCCCATTGCCGCTCAGGCAGGCCAGCCAACACGCCCTTTTCGAAATGGTCTCCGCGAACAGGAAGTAGCTGTGAAATGTCTTGGTCGTCCATACTCAGAGCCCAGCCGTTTCCAGCACCGTGCAGCCGTTCTGTGCAATAAGCCAGCCAGAACACATTTCGTCTTGTCTCGTCCTCGACAACCTGGGCACTCCTGTTGAGGAAAGAATGACGATCACGGCGCACTTACTGTACTGGCTGGTACGATTATCGAAGCAGGCCGAACGGAATGTGTTATCGAATGGACTGTGCGCGCCAGTGTCAGATCTGATCGACAGAGAAACCAAGCAGGGCATTACACGGCGGACAAACATTCAGCCCGAGAGGGACAGCTTGTCGCAAACAATGTGCAGAGCTCGTGAAAACCTGCGCAGGCTCTGGTAAGCAGGTGGTGTCTCGAATCTGGTCGTGGGGCTCACTTCAAGCCATCTAGATGAGAAGGTTGGCCAAGAGCAGTGACGTAGCGATGAGAACACACTTGGAATGCGACCAGTAATACCAGTAAGGATGGTTCGAGCTTGCAGCTGCTCAAACAGCTTGTCTCCGATCGACTCCATGTGATCCGCAGTTTCGCGAGCAAATTTCGCCTGCTGTTCCGCAAACGAATCTGGCCTTGAGTCGAGGATCCGATTTCGCTGCGTGAATATCTCATCGGGCGACTCGGATATGAAGTTGGGCAGCGGAGGCGACGTGACTGCAGCAGTATACAGGGATCCCAGTGCGCAAATGGCATGGAGCAAGGGGGCGACCGGGAACTTGGGGTGATTCGGAGATAGCGCCAATGATGCCATGAAACTGGGATAGTGGATGACGCGATTGGCATGCGGGTGGAAGACGAAGAAAACATCCACGAGATGTCGCAGCAGCTCCACGCCAGGAAGCCCGACAGGGTAGTTTGTCCACACAACCTCCATCCCTTTCCCAGACCTCGGTGAGCTACCCGGGGACGCCGAGTTTCGGATCGGCTGCATGGGTTCGTCGAATGTCGGCGGGCTGCTTGAGATGCCATTGCGCAGCAGATCGTTTCCGAATAGAGAGCTAGCACCATTGATGGACGGGGTTCCCGACGACGATCCTAGGCTAGAACTCTGGGTGTTCTTCTCTCTGAGGAGCGCCTCCAGTTCCTCTGAATGTAGAGTTCAGTCGGGACTAAGGATCGAAGAGTCTAAGTGGGGCCTACGAATCCGATTCTCCAGGCTCTCATACCGATTCTGCGACGGATCAGTGGGCAAAGGCGGTTCGATCACTGAGCACGGGTCAACATCCTCAATCTGCGCGTGGTGGAAAGCTGGTTGACCCTCGTCGAATGTACACTCGGGAGTAGGCGGAATCTTCGCTTGCGTCGCGGGATTCGAGTGCGCCACGGCGTGAGCATGCGAACGGGCACACGTGGAGCAAATGGGGCGTTTGGCATCGCTGCGAAGATTCTCAGCTGAGGTTCCGCCGGGGGCGTTTCCGGACTGACCATTTCTAGAGAGGGAGACGGTCTGAACGTGTGTGCGCAGAAACCATATTCAAACTTACAAGCTTTCGTTTCCGACACTTTGGACAAGAATTGAGTACTATCCCGAGCTCTCATAGATCACAGACTACCTGGTGGCATGCCTGCAAGCCGCGTCAGAATCGAAGACGATGTGCGAAGACGATGAAATGAAATCACTTGGTTCCGCTTCAGAGGATGTGGGCCCTCAGAGCGTGCTGAGGTCGCGTGTCCATTCGTTGAAGCTTTGGGCATAAGGGAAAGATTCAAACAATCGGAACTGATTCACAATTAGCGTGCGTCACTGCGAGCAGTCATCCGGGCCACCCAATGATCACCGGACTTCCGATGTGCGCTCCGACGCGCTTGGCTCCAATGCGTATGGTCCGAAAGCAAGTAGAAATAGCAATAAAATAAATGCATCCATCCTCCTCTACCTATATACCGTGTGAAAGATCGTGAAGATAAAGTCCTCATGGGCTAAATTTCCCTGTGGATTGGAGGGATGTAATAATCTGGGACAGAACATTGGGGGAATTCAGGTTTGCAGCAGCTGCGGCCCACGTCTCATTGAAAGTGACATCTGTGAATGAGGTGTCCCGGACAACCTCGGAAGAATTGCTGGACTGGGTCCAGGAGATGTTCCCTGTCGCAGGAATAGCCCAATTCCGGAAAGATTCGCCGACGGCAGAGCCGAAGACAAGAGCACCTGCTGAATCGGTGAAAGCCGAAACTGCAGACTGCAGATCAGGCTTGGCGAATGTACCGAAAACGGCAACCTCGACGGCGGGAATGGCGGCGTTGGCGAGGACCGGTGAAGTCGGAGGACTGTCGGAATTCGACAAGACGAAATCCGCCACGGCCCGGGCTACCAGTGGGGGCATGGAGCTTAGGTATTGGAGAATGACATGGTTCATGGCATCCAGAGTTCCGTACTGGTTGGGGTCCTGGAGAATGCCTGCGCCGCCAATGTTGGGTGTTCCAGGGAAAGCACTCAGGGCCTCCCCACTGTAGACCACCGCACGAGGAGCAACATCAGGCTGAAGGGCCACGGCTTGTCTGGACACATTGATCCTCGAATCTGCAAATGGCAAACGCAGTCGCAAGACATCCAGCACACCGTAGACAGGTCGGGTTGAGAAGCAGGAAGAGTCGAAAGAAGGGGCGGATGTGGCCGGGGCAGTCCAAATACTGTTTCCAGCGTGTTCACACTGGCCAGCTGCTGGGCGGATAGGCCGGGATAACACGCAATGGGAGGTGGGAAACTTGGAGAGTTGGCCATGAGAGATCGCAAGGGCTGATCCTCAATATCAAAGGGGAGTAATATCGGTGCAGCTGCGTTTGATCAGCTTATTTTCGTACGGTGCAGCGACCGACCAACCTTTGAAGGCAGCCACAAACTGGGGTAGCGTGGTCGCTGGCCGCTGTAGATTGGTCACCCAGTAGGCACGTAACAGGCCCTCGTATTGCTTTGATGCAGCTGCAAACAGTTGAAACAAAAGACTTGCTCGGTCCTGAATCGAACATACCAGCAGCAAAACTATACATCCGGTCTAGGGGTCTGGTATCAGAGACTTCGGCGACTTGCCCAGAGGACGCCGAAGAATTGCTTGCAAAAGCGACGGGGGGAGCAGTCAATGACTGCTTCGCAAAATCGAACTGGTAACCATTCGAGACAGTTGAGAATTGGGATGGAGAACTGTCAACTATGCCATCACTCGAAAGGGTGTCCCAGGGAGCGCCGAGGACGAAATCTCGCAGGCCCGTGTTGTTCAGAGACTGGAGATCCCACAGCAGTGCAGCTTGAGCCCATGAGGTTCGATTTGAGAACTTGGTCAGGGAAGGGACGGCCCCAACATCGACAAGGACGGCTTGGGCAGCACAATTCGGGGCGGTGATTGTTCCTTGCACTGTCCAAATCCACGCGAAGACGTCTTCTGTTGTAAAGTTGGAGCCAAAGAGCTCGTTCATTGTCGGCGTTAGCGTCACTGCATTCACATGAGCGCATTGACCAACGGCGAAAGAAGGGACTTGCCGAGATTCTGGGCTAGCCCATCGCACCGATTTGTCGCAGAAGACGCACAGACGCAGGTCGCATCTGGATGTTGATCAGACCATGTGCGAATCATCAATATGGCACACACCTATGTCACACGCCACGCCAGCCAAATTGCCGCTGCACAGCGTTTTTCGTTTGCCCCGGTTACTGAAGACCACGCCGACAGCGGCGCCAATCGCACCCAGCGCAAGAAGCATCAGCACGAGAACGACGATCCATAACCGTTTTTTCCGCTGCCTTTGCTGCTGCTCGGATTTCGCCATCGAACTCGACGGGATCTGCTGTGTCCATCCCGCAGGCACTCCAGAATGCTGCTCGCTGTCATATGTTGGCACCAATCGTGGTCCTTTGAAGCTGTTGTGTGGACTCTGATCATCCAAAGCCACCCGCAGCGCATCTGATCGCAACAATAACCGGGAAATTGAGGCCGATTCGTCTTGGTGTTTCGACTCTACTTCCCTGGCGTCCGGCAGCCTCGGCACGGGGGGCAGCGGCTTCCGCGAAAACATCCGACGGAAGTTGAGGCTAGATATGAATGACGGAACCATGCTTCGTGCTGACTTGGTCGAATGCGTCGATTGCCGATGTTCGGGGGGAGGTTCTGGTTGCATGCGCGGACGAGGTGATGCAAAAGAAGGTGTCGAGGCTGGCGGCGAGTACGTTGGCACGTAGTCGGTGACATCGTCCCTAAGGCCGTATGAGAGGCCCTTGACATTCCGCACAGTAGCATGAGCAACGCTGACGACGTGCGTCCCCCGATTTGGCCGCGAGATGTTGGCAGTGCTCACGACCGGGTCTTGATTAGAGTACACAGACTCGTCGTCGGCATCGGAGACTGTACCCGTCGATTCGGGGATAGGCTGAAACGAAGACGGAGGTACCCGGCTACCAAATGGTCGAGGAGGGGGGTTGCGCAGTGACATGCCCATTTTCGGGGGAGGATATGTCATTTCGGAAATGTCGCTAGGGGCAAGCGAAGCCCGCGAAACGTGGCGAGTGGAATCAAGATCGTCCGCATCGCGTAGCAGGGATGTAATGAATGAGGTGGAAAGGAGTGAATGCTCTGTAGCATCGACGTCGATAGAGCTAGCACCTTCATGCCAGTCAGAAGGTGTAATGTTCCCGTAAGAGTCCTCTCTGTAGCGCAAACCACTGCCAACGGAGCGTGGCGCAGGAGAGCCATCCCGTCGTGAACGACCGACGAACGAGCCGACAGAGGCGAACCCTGCCGAGGACGGAGATGACGGAACAGAGGAAGGAGGTGCAGGGAAACTAATTAGTCGTCCATGAGTTGAAATATCGCCAGAAAATAGGCAGACTGCTCACCGGTGAGAGAACCCAGAGAAACTTATCGCAGAAGGCCCCAAACTGAGCCCAGAGGCCTGTGTGTCGAGGGATGTGCGTCTGTCATTCGGTTGCTGAAGATAACCAGACATCACATATCAGCCTTGTACGAGGGAGCTCGGATAGAGAGATAGATATATGAACAAGCCTGAAGCGCAGAGGATGAAGCAAGAAAAGAGCCCTAAGCGCTCGGGTGAGAGCTCAGGCAGAGCTGGTCCCTTGCGCCTGATCAGCGATCAGAGTGACCATCAGAGGCGCAGGGCCTCTATGTGGTAAATAGGGTCTAGACTTTATAATGGTCGACATCTGCCCTCGTCGCTGGCGTCGGGCATTCGGGATGGCTGATAAAATGAATCCGGCGTTCATTATTCAAAGGCGGAAGAAGCATAAAGTCGTAACAAAAAGAACATAAAAATGAAAATCGTATATTCATTGGAATAGGCCACCTGAATCCCTAATCCCTTCCGCGTCGTCGATTGTCTAGGCAATGATGCACTTGCTTCCCTTGCTGGGCTTGGGACGGACGGGCGGGTTCACTACAGAGAATGATGAGAATGAAACACCGATCATGTCTGAAACAACGTACAGACTGCTCGAATCGCCTCATCAAACACAGTCTGGTCAGGAAGAGATGAGCAACAGAAGGGTGGTCGAATACGCCACGCACCTTGAGCCCCTTCTGCGTCAAAGCTGAGCACTCCAAGTACTTCACAGCACCAATGTCTTTCGACATAGCAACACCCTGTTGATATTGGATGGGGGCCATGCGCCTACACACCATTGAGCACTGATAGATAGGTGCGCTTATGAGCAATTCACCTGTCCCTGAGTTTCTCGATAGTAGCAGGGTCTTCACGCAAGTCGAGCTTGGTGCCAACCAACACGATGGATGTCGACGGCGCGTGATGGGATATCTCGGGGTACCACTGAACATAGTGAGCTAGTCTGAGCGAGTCTGACTCTGGAAGTCGACTGACCTTGGTCCTAACGTTCTCATAACTCGGCGGGCTGACCAATGAGAAGCAAATCAAGAATACGTCGGTCTGGGGGTAGGACAATGGGCGAAGTCGATCGTAATCTTCCTGTCCGGCGGTATCCCACAGCCCAAGGGAAATTGTCTTGCCGTCAACCATGACATTGGCAGAGTAGTTGTCGAACACTGGTTAGGAAACGAGAAATGAGACAGTCGTGTTGGAGACCGGCATGAGGCGTACCGGTGGGGATGTATTCGCCCTGCAGGACGGTTAGACTGGGGGCGCAAACACACAAAGTGAGACATACCGGGAAGGCGTTGGTAGTGTAAGAGATAAGGAGACATGTCTGGTGAGAGGTTGTGAGGGCGTGCACCACGGCGATGTTAAAAGATAGCTGACTTTGCCGACAGCTCCGTCACCAACGACAACACCTATAGATGGGTGAGGGAAAGTCACGCGGTAGTACAGCACACATACACTTAATCGCCTGCATTTTGGGCTAGTTGGCTATGTGGTCGGGGGTAGTCGTGTCGAGAGGGTGGTCAAGGTTGCGTTTAGAGTGAAATCAGATGGATATGATGAAGCGGGTCACTGTGTGACGTTTGCACAGCACAACCGCCAGTGACATGGCATACTTGGCACCGGTTGCGGGAACGACGAGCCTGGGTGTTACGGCTCGACTGCATGATATATTGGGACAGATGGAGTTACAGAGTATCATACACATATAAAATAGGAGGACAGCAAGCAAAAACATATCTGGTCCTAGATAGCGCGACAGAATAGAGATAGATCGTCAAGAAGTGGTGCGCCGTTTCTTGAGTGGGGGAACTTCGGCATTGGTGTGTTTCAGCGAGTCAACGACCTGCGTCTCTTCATCCAGTTGCATCAGTTCATCAAAGTCAAGATCCTGACAGCTGTCGGTTAAGGCAGGAAGGATGAAAGGCTCCAACAGTCCGATTCCAAGACCTGTGCCCGCAGACCGTTTGCTTCTCACAACTGGACTCTCACCCTCAGGACTCGAGGAGGGAGGATGGTTTTCGCTGTTGCCCCATGCCACGAAGGGGTTCTGCTCCCCTTCCAGAAGATTCGAATCTCCGAGAAGACTGACAGGCGCTCGCAGCCGTCTCTGTACAACGGACATGGGAGTGTTGAGCATGGGGGCAGTGATGCTGCGACCGAGGATTCCACGAAGGAACGCACGCCCTCTGCTCGGACTATCCGGCGTCCCGAAAAGTTTGGAAGAACAAGGGCTAGAAAACGGGGATGATGCGTTTGCGGTTATAGCCACTCGCTTGATGAGAGGGGAGGGAGCAGGGCTTTCTTCGCGTAGCATCGTCAACGAATAATGTCGCGAACTGTGCAGCGGATGGCTCGGGCTCGTGAACCGCCATGGCTGGTCCGACGGAAGCCGTGGCGGGGAGTGTCGAAAAGCAGGAGTGAGGAGAGGATCATAAGGCGAGGCAGGTGGAACTGTTCGACCAGGTGCGGGGGAGGAGCAAGACGGCTCCGGTGGAATGGGTACGTTCTCTGTAGGAGGGACCACTGTCTCCACGGGGTTGGTGTCGACATCGAGATCAACGATAGTGTCGTGCCTTGGAGCTTTGCCGTTGCGCTTCGGTTCTTCTGTCACAGGGTCATGTCAAGAAAGTCAGGTATCTCGGGAAGAGCGACGCACTGTTTATGGTTCTGCCCCGAGGACGCTCGGCGTCATTGCGCCTACTCGCCATGGCGATCTTGTGTTTCTCGTACACATGCCGTCGCCACATACTCTTGGCATTTACACCAGCGTAGGTCCTACGACAGAACGTGCAGCGAAGTCGAGGTGTTTCCCCGTCAGGCCAAACATCCCCATTTTCTTTCAAATCCTTCTTCTTCGTCGGACACCATCCGCGAGGAGGCTCGAGCACAGCTGGATAATGTACTGCATTCGGATTCGTAGTAGTAGGAGTTCCTTTGGACTTCTCCGGAATATAATCGTCGGGATGCAAGAACCAATTGGGGTTGTCGGCGAGTACGTTATAGTTAATTTCCGGGTAGCGATCCTTGTTGGGGAATGAGGAAAAAGGCCAGCGAAGAAAGGTCGCGTCCGGGTCGGTTGGGAGTGGATCTAACCCGACAGTGGTCAGGTTATGCGCAGTGACAGGACGCGCTTGCACGCGTTCTGGTCGCGCGTCGCGAGCGTTTATGGCCGAATGGTGTGGGGTGTAGGGAAGTGGCTTAAAAGAGTCTGCAGCGGGGACAAAAAAGTTGAGGTCGGAGGCTGAAAGCAATCGACGTTTGAGAGGGCGTGAGGGAGATATGCTGGGGGAAGTCGACGGAGAGGAGGCCGGTGGAACACGGGCGCTGGATACGGACGAAGTCGACGTGGAGGAGCTGACACTCGACGTGCTCGATGACAGGGCGATAGAAGAGAAATGAGTCAGCGTTTGAGCTGTGGAGGTGGATGACGGCAGTGAGGATTCAGAAGGGGGAGAAGGAGTTGGCGACGCGAGCGCTGGACCCCCCTCCATTGTCATATCCAAGATGATGGTCAAGTAGAGCGAAGCTATGCGCGACCCGTTGAGCGGCGCCCAGGATAAAGTATCAGATCCACTCACAGCTAAGGCGGGGATGATGGTAGCGCGAAAAGACGGGTAAACAGGGCAAACATTACCATACATTGATCCCACATTCACGGTCACGTCACCACGTGTTTGATCATTACGTCAAAGCACATGGAACGGCCCGATTTTTCCGGTCATGCGTGCAGATGACAAAATGTTTCCGTCAAAAACTTGAACGAACGTATACATTTCACTGTGTTAGTTACAAGGCCATTGAGATGTACCTTTGAAAATTATAAAGAGATTTAAGGCATAGACAATTTGGACTCACCCAGCGATCATCACCATTCCTCCCATGGGCGTGACTGGCCCAAGGGATCTGAAGCGCTCCCTATTGAGAACCAATGCGAAGATGCTTCCGGAGAACATGAGAGTTCCCGTTGCAATCGCCGGAGCCGCAAAGCGGTGCACTGAGAACCGCGGATGAAGCGACAAAAGGAGCAGGGCCAGGCCGTTGAACACCTGGGGACGAACAAGTTACAACGATCGTTCAGAGAGATTGAACATCGCACAGTGTAATGGGACGCCGTTTGAAACGAAGCGATACTATCCGCCGAGATTCCGGGGCGAGCCTTGAGCCCATGAGCTTGCGATTCATCCTGTCAGAACGTTCCGACGCGTAGATATCCCACATACCTCCAAAGGCACCGGCCATGATGCCGACCGCTGCGTAGCAGCTCCCTAGTCTCCAGAGAAGAGTGGGGTTGGGTGTCAGCATATATATTTCAATGCCTTGAGGCTTAAGAGGGTGATTTGAGAGGAGTTATGAGAGTGAGGGAAACGTAAGTTGAGAGTTGAAGTTGGCTCCTTCCCGGAATGGTCGTGATTGACAGTTGACGCACGATCAATGATCAAATAAATTTCTATTCTCTCAGCCCTCTCACATCGCTTGCCCGCACGCTGATCGTAGTGGCTCTTCTGTCTCACCGAATCCCGGTACAAGAGGTTTCTAGATCTTAGATCATGGGGAAAGCGCAGAAGAAGACAGGGAAGGGTCGTTTGGACAAGTACTACAAACTTGCCAAGTGCGTCTGGCTTTGCAATGTTATCGAAGCCTTTGCTTTAACTGTGTCTCAGAGAACAAGGTTATCGTGCGCGTTCAGCCTTCAAGCTTATACAGTTGAACAAGAAATACTCGTTCCTCGAGACCGCGCGATGCTGTATCGACTTGTGTGCCGCTCCAGGAGGTTGGCTGCAGGTCGCAAGCAAGTACATGCCCTCGAACAGCGTCATCGTCGGTAAATTTTGTCGTCTTTGCTCAAAAGAACGCAGTTTTAAATCAGATCAGGTGTCGACCTTGTCCCCATCAAACCCATTCCTCGAGTGGTCACCTTTGCATCCGACATCACGACGACCCAGTGTCGTAATCTCATTCGGAACGAACTCAAAGACTGGCGTGCCGACGTTGTCCTTCACGACGGTGCACCCAACGTCGGTACTGCATGGATCCAGGACGCATACAGCCAATCGGAGCTTGTGCTCATGAGTCTGAAACTTGCTGTGGACTTCCTGGTCAAGGGTGGAACTTTTGTGACGAAAGTCTTCCGTAGTGCAGACTACAACAATCTTATCTGGGTCTTCAACCAGCTGTTTGCCAAAGTTGAGGCTACCAAGCCGCCATCTTCCCGGTGGGTGCTTTCGGACATGGTTCATCGGATGATATTAACTCTGCAATGCTCAGAAACGTCTCTGCGGAAATTTTCGTTGTTTGCCGCGACTTCCTCGCTCCCAAATTCATCGACCCTAAATTTCTAGACCCCAAGCACGTCTTCAAGGACTTGGCGGCGTCGGTTGCCTCTGGCACTGACAAGGGATCGTCTTCGCATAACGCTCAAGCCAACGTCTTCCAACCGGAGAAGTCGCGCCGCAAGCGTGACGGATATGACGAGGGTGACTACACTCTCTTCAAGGCAGTTCCAGTGGGCGACTTCATTCGGAACCCCGACCCCATTTCTGTTCTTGGTGCTGTGAACCGGCTGACCTTCTTAACGGAGGAGGAGAAAGGGTGCGCGCTCTGTTTTTCTAACTTCCCATTTGTATTGAACGACTCAGGTGGCTAACTTCGGATGTCACAACGGTGACATCAAGGCGAACTGCGATGACCTCAAGGTCCTGGGGAAGGGTGACTTCAAAGCCTTGCTGAAGTGGCGATCGGCTTTGCGTGAAGAGGTGCGGCAACTGCAAGTAGCTTCTCGGTCTCATCTCATCGCTCAGCCCAGCTTGGTTTGGAAAACAAAACCAAGGGGACGGACGATGCAACAGAAGTTGTCGAAGTCACAGAAGAAGTCGATGAGGAGGAGCAGATCCAAGAAGAGGTACCTAAACCATCCAACTCATGTGAACTTACTAATCCCTTTCAGCTTGAGCGTCTCAACAAGGAGAAGACAGCCAGAGAAAAGCGCGAAAGGCGACGCGCCAACGAAATCAAGACGCGTACCATCCAACGGATGCAGTTGTCTATGACGGCACCGTTGGAAATCGGTCTCGAACAACAAGATCTTTCGTTAGGTGGTCAGGACTTCTTCGATCTGGGTGGTGCAGAAATAGGCCTACGCAAAAGAGGCGGCGTCTCTGCTCTCGGCGACGAGGACGATGCGAGCACGGACGACGGAGTTGAAGGCTCTGGTGATGAGGACGAGTCGGTGTTGGATTCGGATGAAGAACGGCAGCGCAAGGTGGCCAGTCTCGAAGCAGAAATGGACGGTCTCTATGACTCATATCGCGACCGGCTACGTGAACGGGACGCAAAGTTCAAGGTCAAAGAAGCGCGTGAGAAGAATGCAGACCGAGAAGAATGGCACGGTATCCAAGAGAAGGGCGATTCGGACTCGGAAGACGAAGGAAACGGAGGTTGGGAGAAAATGGAGGACGTCAAAAATCAGGACGACGATTCCTCTTCGGACGACAGCGACGACGATGTCGACGGAGAACCTGCCCGTGTCAGCAAGAAACGCAGCCGTCCCGAACGTGAAACGACAAAACCTGTTAAACGTGCCCGGCTTGTCACGAAGCTCGAGCAGCCACGAGCCGGCCCATCTACACAGGCAGCCAAAGTTTGGTTCAGCCAGGACATCTTTGCCGATGTGGACGAGGAGATCGACGACGACGCCGAAATGTCCGTTGATGACGAGGAAATCGAGGTACCACTCTTGTATCCCAACACGTGCTCGCTCGCTAAACTTCCCTAGTCTGCTGACGGCAACGACGAAGACGACGCCGAAGACAACGAAGAGGATGACGACGACTTTGAGATCGTCCCGGCCGGTCTGGAGGATGATAGCGGAATGTGGGACGTTGACGATGAGAACGAGGACGAGATCAAGCAAGAGATCATAAAAAGTACGATCCCCTTGACCTTAACCTATCGGTATCTTACCATTATCAGAGCGCGGTCTCAACACTGCAGAGGCGATCACGCTCGCACAACAGCTCGTCAACCGGCAGACACCAAGACCCAGCTGCTGAACGACGGTTTCAATCGGTATTCCCTCAATTCCAAAGAAGGTCTGCCCGACTGGTTCTTGGATGAGGAATCGAAATTCTACAAGCCCAATCTTCCGGTAACAAAAGAAGCGATGGCAGCTTTGCGCGCGAAACAACGGGCGTTGGATGCTCGGCCGATCAAGAAGGTCGCCGAGGCTAAGGCCAGGAAGAAGTTCAAGGCCGCTCAGCGGCTGGAGAAGGCGATGAAAAAGGCGGAGGGTGTCAACGAGACGACGGATCTCTCCGAGCGAGAGAAGGCCCAGCAAATCGAGAAGCTCATGCGCAAAGGGATGTCGTCGGGGACCAAGGTCAAAAAAGAGATCAAGCTCGTCGTTGCCAAGGGATCCCACAAAGGTATCAAAGGCCGTCCCAAAGGAGTAAAAGGCAGATACACGATGGTCGACTCTCGCATGAAGAAAGAGGTCAGGGCAAAGAAGCGGGCAGAAAAAGCCAACAAAAAGCGCAAACGGGCCTGATCAATGATTATTCCGCTTTGCTATCTTATGGTTTAGTGAATACGAGTCACAGTGTTGCATAAATGATGTCCATTGCGCTGGTGATGACATGTCATCGCAAATCACCTTTTTCTCGTGTCAGCATACTTATAGAGGGCAGTCAGCATTCAGATGTTCGCACCAGGCACGATGTAGTCCGTTCGTCCGTGACAGCATCCAGGCAATTCTCGATGAACGCCGGCACAGACTCGGTTGCGTTGTGAGACGGTGCGATCCCGCGTCGCACAGAAACATTGGAATGGAGTAGGTATCGATTCCCGTTATAATCGAGCGTCAACGGTGCCTCAGGCTGGGTCGCATCTGGGTCTTCAAACGCCAGGCTGTCGAGGCTGGAGTGAGGATGGATCGACGGAGTTGCATCTGACACTCACAAACTTTCGAGTTCCTTCACATACTCGGTCAGAACGTCAGGCGTTTTCTGCCTGCCTAATAGAGCAGAATTGAGGATGGAAAATCGGATGTCCATAGGCCTGAGGGAGCATCAACATCTGGCTGGTTTCGCGCGGATTCACATACCGGTCCGGAAGTGCGACGTCGATATCGACGGTCTCTCCGGCCTGGACGAAATATTTCAAGACGAAGTTATCGTCTTTTTGGGGAAGTTCGACTGCCAGTTTCAGAATTTTGATGGGAGCAGTAGCGTCATTATCGAGGGCATGATACACCAGCCGATGCGACATCAGAAATTGCTCCGATTGCGCACCGAGCAGGTTGGAAGGCACGCTACAAACAGCTTAGTGACTATGTATATCATCGCGGCACGCTCACCCACTTGGGCGAGAAGATGCACGGCGATTCCGGGTGTGTCTTGAGCCAATCGAGCACTTCAGGGATCTTGATTTGACCAGTCAATGGGGGGAAAATACCAGGAGACTCAGTCGTCAGAAGGACATGACCGGCCCTGAATCATACATCAGAGAGAGAGAGAGATGGGGAATCGAATAATTTACACAGCAGTTATGACTCTGGTCGCTGATGGCAATGGAGAAAAGTAGTCTGCTTTTAAAAGTTCGAAAGATCAATCGACTGCCTGCAAAACATGGTCAGCCTGTTTCCACAACGACAATGCCTTACTTACGTCTCTAAATCTAACAGAGAGCCACGATCAGAGGCCAGGCCCCCAGTTTTTGACACTTCCTCCTTGCCCTGGGGATTAATGGACGATTCGACGCGTCGAAGCCGAAAGACGCCCCGGGAGCCGACTGCCCACGGTAAGGCCCGGGGGGAAAAGAAAGGATAGATTCCGTATGACCGGGGGAACTGTGTTGATGCTGGCAAGGAGGAGGAGCTTGCGATAGACGGCGGAAGGTGACAGAAAACGCGGGCAGGCTTGGTTGAGCTGTTAGCCTGGAAGCTGTCAGTGCGTTATAGATAATACCGTGCAGATGGAAGACAAGCCTCGCTGATAGATCGAATGAGTAGCCGTTTCGCTCTCTTGAGAGACTGGGGATCCTCAAGGCTGGAGGACAGACGAATCTGCAAACAAAGGCTTTGATTGCGTCCCACGACAGAGTTCCAGGGGTAATGATTACCTTGTTCTCTCCGAACGCCTCAGCAAGCACGCCCGAGAGACGGGATATCCGTTGCAGACTGTCCGCGTCCACTGTTTGTTCTTGCGGCAATTCAAAAATATCTTCGACGATGCCCTTTCCATGAGATACGTCAATTACAGGCCATCCGAGAAACCAGCAGCAACTGACCGCTTTGAAATCGACGATGTGCTGCTCAAGACTTCTCAAAGCCCCGACGGTGCCCTCAATCTGCAAACTCAGTGGATTTGCCTTGAACACTATGTTTGCATGGTATCTCGATGACAAATGGCGCGCCTGGGTTCCATCTGATCTATATGAGCCTTGTTTCACGACATATGGATGTCCCTACCTCGTCCCAGGATGAGAAAAGCCTGTGGCGGAGTCAATGGGACAGCTGTGTGAAGGAATGAGCATAGGTAGACGCGCGTGATGAGGCACAGGAATCACTTTTGACACTGGGTTGCGAGTCTTGTTGTCTCTGAAGAACGGCGGACAACGATGGCCACTGCCAATGGTCCTCGATAATTCTCATAGCCATCTCCTGCTTGGAGCGGCCCGCGAACGACGTAGCTCCATAGAGCTTCAGAAATCTTCGGAGCTGAGCCACCTTGAATGAGGCGGTGAGCTTGGTCACCAGCTCGTGGTACTGCACTTCATATGCAAGTTGACTGGAAGCGGCCGGGGTGCCCTTGGTGTCCTCTTGAACTATGATTCTGTCGAGGGGAGCATGCGTTTTGGGACGGTAGCGTTCGATGTCCTCGAGCTCAACTATGCCATTGCTTGCGGCAAGTTTGCTGAGGTGTTCTTGTACACTGGTCCATTCTAGGATGCTCGGACCTGTTCGTGCAGGTGCTTTAGTTTCAGTTTGGTCCCTCGTTCGCGTTTGAGGGGATTCGTTCCAGAGGAGAGATCTTCCTGGTGCTCCGAGATCGCTTTCGACGCGTGAAACCTTCTGAAATGCACGAGTGGAAGACGTTTGAGGCACGGGTAAGTGCGAAGGGACATTGATGTCAAAACCCTCCATCATCAAACTGACAACTGAGGTAAACATTATTGAAATTTCTTGAAAATGGCGACCACCGCGGTTGACGATATCGACTACTCTGACATCGAGGCCAAGTCAGTGGTACCATTCTGCTAGATCTATCGGTCTTACATTTCATTAAGATACAAGGTCAATTACAATGACAGCCTCGACAACATGGTGGTCGTCGATGGCGTGCCTATAATCGACCGCTCTAAGCTTGATAAACTGGTCGCCAAAATCTCGAAGGAATTCTCGAAAAAGGGTGTGCCGATCAAGGTGGATGATATCTTCATGCCATGGGAGGAAGGCAAAGACAAGAGTCAAGGGTGTGTCCTCGATTATCTTACCGAATATCCGGCCATTCTTGATTTACCATTCCTGAAGATTCCTTTTCCTGGAATTCAAAACCGCCGACGACGCGTCATTGGCCATCGCTGCTATGAACAATCATCCATTTGATTCGAAACACACGTTCAAAGTCAACCGTTTCACGGACATCGAACACTTCCAGGACTTTGACGAGACCTATGTCGAGCCGGAGGAGGAGGAGTACGTTCCGCGTGTAAGTCTAGCTTCTTTCTGTTCTACACCGAATATTCGATCTCGTTAGGAACATTTACGAGCGTGGCTGGCAGACCCTCAAGGCCGCGATCAATTTATCACCTACCGCGGCGAGGATGTTGAGATTCACTGGCACGGCAAGCCGTCCCAGTCTGAGCTAGCGATGAAGCCCGTGAGTATGGTATATCCTCAACAAGCCATTTGTGAATGCCATTACAGGATTGGAAAGACTTTCTATATGTCGCATGGTCTCCCGTGGGAACCTTTGTGGCCACTCTGCACCGTCAGGGTGTGCGACTATGGGGAGGCAACTCTTGGAAACCACAGCAGCGTTTTGCCCATCCTCTCGTCAAGCTGATCGACTTCTCTCCCTGCGAGCAATACGTTGTGACGTGGTCGAACGAGGCTATCGTCGTACCCGATGGAGCACCTCAAGGGCCTCAATATCTTTCGCCTGACGACGAAGGAAACAACCTTGCTGTCTGGGACATCAAATCGGGACATCTTCTTCGCACATTCTCAACCGTGAACGACAGCGAACCGCCTGCTGCCCGCAAGCAGATGCAATGGCCAGCGCTGAAATGGAGCCCCGATGACAAATATGTTGCCCGGGCCACACCAGGACAGATGATCAGTGTGTATGAGCTGCCGAGCATGGGTTTGGAAGGCAAGAAGAGCATCAAGATCGAGGGTGTCGTCGACTTTGAATGGTGTCCTTCAGGCGATAAGGACCGTGAGGACGCAGAGAAGGACTCTCAGGCGGCCGCGAATGGAGCCGGAGCTAAGGTTGCGAAGAAAGCCAGGGAGAACATGCTAGCTTACTGGACTCCGGAAGTGGCCAATCAGCCCGCACGCGTCACCTTGCTTGGCTTCCCGAGTCGCACTATTTTGCGACAGAAGAATCTGTTCAACGTTTCGGAGGTGCGACCAGGAGACTATTAGGCTGAGCCGCGTTTTGACTTTCTTACAGTGTAAACTCTTCTGGCAGAATCAGGGAGACTTCCTCTGCGTCAAAGTCGATCGGCACACTAAAACCAAAAAGTCCATCTTCTGCAACCTGGAGATCTTCCGGGTGCGAGAGAAGGATTATCCGGTCGAAGTTGTCGAATTGAAAGGTGGCTTTGTCGGCCTGTCTATCACGGTCAGGTAATCTGAACGCTTTCAGATACGGTAACCGACTTTTCCTGGGAACCCAAGGGGGAGCGATTCGCCATCGTTTCCACGAACGACCCCAACTACGGCAATCCCGGTCCCGGGATAACGATCAAAACCGATATCAGCTTCTATCAGCTTGACCATGGCAGTGGGAAGAACGACTTCAAGCTGTTGCGTAAGTGCACGGACAAGATGTGCGACTCGGCACCGGTTCTCACTCTCCCGTGTAGGGACGCTGCCCAACCGGACCAGCAATGCCATCCGCTGGTCCCCGCGAGGAAGACATGTCGTTCTCGCCACAGTCGGGTCGTCGAGCAAGTCTGAATTGGAGTTCTGGGATCTGGACTTCAACATCGATGACACCTTCAGACGAGAAGGCCAACAGGTCAGCAAGGAAGAATGGGGCAGTGGCATCCAGCTGCTCGGTACCGGCGATCATTACGCATTGACGGATGTGGAATGGGATCCCAGTGGACGTTATCTGGCCACGAGTGCCAGCTCCTGGACTCACACGGTATGTAGTCGCTGCTGTTCTCGCGCCTGTCTTATAGCTCCCCGTCTCAGCTCGAAAACGGTTACGCGATCTGGGATTTCCGTGGCCAAGAGATCGAAAAGCTGATCCAAGACCGATTCAAGCAGTTTGTTTGGCGACCGCGGCCGCGATCTTCGTTGAGCAAAGAACAACAACGCCAAGTCCGCAAGACTCTGAAGGAGTATTCCCGTGCCTTTGACGAGGAAGATGCCGCCGAAGAGAGCAACGTCAGCGCCGAGCAAATTGCACTCCGGAAACGACTCGTTGACGAATGGAATGCCTGGCGCGCCAGGAGCAAGTCAGAACAACTCGGGAGCGGAGCGCGGGCTGAGGCGTCGTCTGAGAAGGAAGAGATCGAGGTCTGGATCGACGAGGTCATCGATCAGGTTGAGGAGATTCTGGAGTAGTAGTCCTTCTGCACCTTGTATCTCTAGCCGCGTGGCGACATCTGTAACAAGTTCAACGGTGCAATCGCAATTCGCATACGATGAAGTCACTCGCCACATAGTTAGCCCTGAGTGCCGAGAAACGCCGGAGCCGGATGTGGCAAATCTGATAAGATCCAGGGTCCTGCATTCCACTGTCACCACGCTTAGTCTCAACTCCCATGGATCCCCCTTCCCCCCAGCTTTGGGCGACTGCATCCAGAGAATGGTACATACCCCCGAAACCAAAGCCCGGCCGCAAGCCGAAGAAAGATGTCGCTCCCCCAGCTGCCCAGTCAAGCGAGGTCTGCGGCTGCCTTTGATGGTGAAAAGCCAGATTGACTCTCCCTCTTACTTAGGTCGATGCCAAGGGCCGCCGCGTCCAGAATCGCGCTGCACAAAGAGCCTTTCGTGAGCGCAAGCAGACCCAGCTGGCTGACCTCCAAGCTCGTGTCCAATCCTACGAGCAGGGCGAAGTGCAACGCAATCTTGCCCTGCAGAATGTCGCGCTGCGGCTCAAGCAGGAAAACGACACTCTCCGGCAGGAAAACGCGGCACTCAAGGAGCGGCTCGCCCATGCTGAGCAAGAGCGCAACCTTGCGCAGGACATAGCCCGCGAGGCTGCGGACCGGAAACGCTACCGCGACGACTCTCCTGCTTCGAGCATCGGATCTAGTCAGCGGAAAAAGCACAAGGTCGACCACCGTGAACCGGATGTCCAGGCTCCCCGCTTTGCGCAGTCGTACATCTCGTCCCCCACGTCCATGGTCTCTTCCCCAGACTCGCTGGGATCGACCGAAACTTGCTTCTCATCTGTGCCGTTCGACTCTCATCAGGATACTTTCCATGCGGCAGCTTTCCCTGGGCTGAAGACAGAGCCGAGCTCATTCCCTGCATTCGACTGCGGGTTCTGCAGTGATAATTCCCTTTGCGTGTGCCGAGATGTTTTCCAACCGCTTCCGGAGGTGAAGATGGCCCTAAGCAACGATCCGAGTATCATCGTGCTAGACAATCCTGCACCAGTGAACGAGCCCTCGATTCTCGATAACCTGCCGCCGTACCAGCCTCCTGTACCACTGCGTATTCGGCCGAAAGGTACCAGGCCGACCAACCCGATCTTTGAGATCACTCCGGCTTGTTCCGGGGACCCTGCCAATTGCCCTGCTTGTGCCGACGACTCCTTTGGCAAGGCATTTTGCGAGAAGATATCGACGCTTCCCCCCTGTGGAGATTGTTCGTGTCCTTCGGTCGCCGACACAATGCCCGACGGGAACATGGCCGACTCGTCGCCACCCCCGGAAACGATGCCCACAAGCGATGCTTGGCGGCGACTCAAGTCACACCCGAATGTGTCGTTTTCGGATCTGGACATGCTGGCAGATGTCGTTGCGCGGCGTTCAAAATGCACTGGCCCACGTGTATTGCTGAGCCCTGAGCCCGAGGCTGGGTCCAGCTCCGATCAGCCCATCCTGCTCACCGATCCACATGCTTCGTATCGACAGCAGCAACTGGTACGGGAGGTCAGCGCAGATGCCGTTCGCGAAGCGTTATGTTTACTAGACGGTAAATATATTCCGCAGTGAATGTGTCTATGGTACTGGTTATTACATGCTGCTGCCCGCGTCTCTCCGAACATTCTTCTGTCTGTGCTGTCTCTTCCAAACGTACCATTCCTCCAACAGCAACGCGATCTGGTTGTCCAGCGCCTTACGAAACTCGTTTGACGTTTTCGTCCACGGAGGCTGTGGGCCTTTGTGCAGTGAGCGAAAGTAGACGGCGGCGGTCTTGAGAGTGGCTCGTTCGATGCCTTCGGGCAGAGGGCCGATGTATTCCCAGAGCGAGGTCAACACCCGCCAGCACATGTGATATGCGCCAGCGACGAAAAACGCGCTGGCCACCGCATCAATCACTGGGACATCTGGCTGGATACCGGCTGCAGCCATCTGCTTGAAGATCTGCAGCGACGTTTCTGGGTCCTTGCGACGTGCATATCCAACGATGAGAATCGTGTACATCAGCACACCGGGCTTGAATGTCGACTGCGCCGCAGCATTCATGACATCCCTCGCCGATTCGAAGTCGCCTGCTTTGACGAAACCCTCCAGCAGCGCGCTGTAGTGATATTGATTGGCATGCATGCCTCCCCCGAGCATCGACTGGAACACAGCGGTGGCGGATTCCATGTCTCCGCGGATCACAGCGTCATGTCGCATTCTGACTGCCAGCGTAGCTCGATCACTACGCACTCCTCGGGCCTCGAGTGACTGCTCGATGGGCCGGAAAGTTCGGTGGTCGCGCGGAGGCAGGTGGATTCCGCCCAGAATGTCCGATGTAGGAGCGACATCAGACACAAGGTGGGCCGGCAACGGCCTCGGCTGAGGGTTACGGGTTTGCGAAAAGTAAGAAGCCGTCACGTCCCATCCAATTCCGTCCACCAAAAACTTCTGGTATCGGGTCGTCGCGCTCAGAATGATATGTGCGTCCTGCAGAGTCACGCGTGGTGACGTCCGTCGGATCAGCCGCATCAACACTTCGGGCTTCGCACGCTCGACGCGTTGCGTGTGCGACGTCACGATTTCGGTCGTCTTCGAGTCCGGCCTGACACCGTTCGCTTGCATCAGTTTCAGCACAGTCTGGGCACCGGACAGACCGTTCGTCGTCAAAGCGCCCCGCATGAAGTGGTTGAAGTTGGACCGGTTGGGCCGCCCGACTTTCGTCACATCCAAGGCCAAAGTGTGACCGTCCGGTGACGGCAGGTTCTCCAGAGAGGTTGTCGTCTGCGGCTTGCACATGGAAGCCAGCAGCTGAACCGCAGCACCGCCATGGCCTGTATGGAAATACGCCCGGATCAAAGACGACACTGTCCGGCTTGTGGCGGGCACTCCAGCTGCCTCCATGTGAGCCAAGACTTGAGAACAGTTGTGCATCTCTTTCAAATCGGCATAAAAGTCGATGAACATCGCGAATGTAATCGCATCGGGTTTCACTACCACCGGATACGAATCAAGCATGGATGTCCTATTCGGAAGAATCACTTTGTGCTGTTCTTGAGACGCAACCAACATCCGGAAGATTGGACCAACTTGATGCGCGTCGAAGGCATTGAGGAGCGAAAAGACACCTTCCAGATCGTAGATTCGTAGACGCTGCCGCACCAAGCTGTTCATCATGTGGGTCGCAGTTCGCTCATCAATGTGCGCTAGGGCTTCAATCCCGCGGGATTTGACCTCCTCGTCGGGCCCGATAGACGTGTAGAGCGTCGCGATGAGTGCATGCGTCCAGTGGTCCGGAGGACTTCCGGCGGCAGCCATGTCCTCCATGCATCGCCGCGCGCCACCGAGGTCATGATTTTTGAGGTAGCCAGACAGCACAAGGTGCCAGGACCGACGGGTTGGGACCAGGTCGTTGTCCCAGAAGAGGTCGATGATGCCGTAGAGATGAGTAAAGTCTCCGGTCTCCAACAGAGCGCGCGCTCGCCAATTCAGCAAGATAATGCTGAGTTTTTGCGTGTGGTATCGGCATGAATTGAAAACGTCGAGCAGGAGCTCCCATTCGCCCTGCCCGCCTAAACACGTCACGACGACTTCGTATGCCTGTAGACCGGGCTCGTGGCCAAGTCTCCGAGAGAGCTTCAGCGCCTGGTCGGCCGTCATGGGTCTCCGGGAACTGGCTAAGTCGCATAGAAGAACTTCCAGGCAGAATGGATCGAGAAAGTATTCCCGCATCTTCGGTTGATTCCTCAGAGTGTCCAGACGCCCGGCGGTTGATTGTACTGTATGAAACATTCGGAATAACGCCTCCCGAGGAGAGGGCGTCGGTCGCGGTTTGGGAGAACGGCCCTCGGATGCAGGGGAGGCGCCTCCGCGGGTGTGACGACCTGTATTCCACCTTTCCCCGACGCGCGCAGAGACTTTCTGTGCGACTGGAGGTCCCGAGGATGTCCCCGAAAAGCGAATACACGTCAAAGAGGGCAGCGAAGGTGTGCGACGACATGTTGAACAGGCGGGCGAAAAGTTTTCGAGCTTGGAAGCCAATGTAACCCTCCTAAGCATGAACGATGCAGAGAACCAGCGGTTTCATAAAAGCCTTGATATCATTCAAAGACGCGTATGTCAGAGAGAGCTTGAATACGCACTGGTTGACCACCTTGACTTTCCTCAAAATCATCCAGTGCTTCGAGCTTCAGAGAAATCACAGGTTTGCACTTGTTGACATACGCGTAGCATAGCCACATATTGACCCCGCGTATGTCACTGGCAGGATCCAGACAACTCCAGCCTTTTCTCAGTTATCCTCGCGTTTTACATGGTGCCTCTCTTTCAGTGTACCTTCGTACCCGACTATTACATCTGTCTACTTCAAATTGCACGCCTCCCTGACCTGATCTAAGCGACTTTGACCACTGAATGCACCCGAGCGCATTACCGATCCCGAGAGCATCGACACCAACTATGCGACAGTCACTATGCTATGTGACTATGTAAACCAGATCACTTCCGAACGTTACTACGATCCGGCCCTGCCTCCCGAGTCTCTTTTGAAGCAATATAACTTTGCTGTGGTCATGGCCTTGCTTCTTGACTGCGCTAGTGCTTGATACCATACCTTGTCTCAATGCAGGAGGATGGACCCGAGTTTTCAGAATGCGAAATTTCTATTCCGTCGTGTTTCCGCCTGAGAAGACCGAGTTGGTCGCGCCAGCCACGTGGATTGAGGCTCAGGTGAACCCCATCCAGGGACCCTGAGGGCCACTGATCCGAGGCGCTCCTGCCAAACGAGCTTCACAGGCGATACGAAAGATGTCGAGAGTTAATAAGAGGTAAAGAACATCCAAGTTATCTGGTTAACTCACCGAGCTCACCTAGACACTGACGGCACTCATCTGGAGGAGTGAATGCCGGCGGCCCAAATGTTAAACTGAAATCCGCAACCATTCGCAACGCGATACACGCTCGCCGCCTACGCCGCTCCCTGCACTCCGATCTTGCCAGGATCAATTGCACTTATGATACGAACAGCCCCCTCACGTTTTTGAGAGTTAAAATGTAGAATAAAAATACGTCAGAAACCGCGTGGTATATCCACCACACGACTTCATTTTAACTTCAAGTTGCTTTCATGGAGCATCCTGGCTTTGTGGCTGAATTTTGATTCTTGAACGTGTTTTGGAAGTCAGATGCGGTCATGTGACCGCCGTGTCTTTTGTTAACGTCCGTTCTGACCGCCACGATCCTTGCATGAAGCATCCCAAATATAGTCTTGGCAACACGAGCGATCCCTGTTTTTTCTTCTGTTACCGCAATAGTATGATTACCTGAGATTGGATGCCGCGCTTTCCTTCTGTCGGCGTCTTCAATTTGTCAAGGCGCCATGTCCATCTCCACGTACCCGGCACCAGGTGTTTCATATCTGGGTTTGGCAGACGAGGCTATTCGAAACCAAGTTTTCCATCTATCCGCTTCTATTCTCAAAAATGACCACAGAACGTATAAAGGTTCGCCTGCTCACTCTCTAGACTCACCTCCTCACCCCGACTCGGCCTGCACATGCTCAGAACTCATCTCACTGCCCTCGAGACCAGCGCCCGTCGCTGCCCACGGGCGACCGTTTTCAAGCTTCCGCGATCAGACTCCCCGAGCAATCATGCCCAAGACTGGCATTCCATTACATATCGCCAATTCCACTCGGTTCGCATTGACTCCTACCAGATAGGTCTTCCATGCTAACTCTTCCCAGGACGTTGAATCATCTGCCCGATACTGGTCCTTCGTGCTAGCAGAGAATGGTGTTTCTGCGGGGTCAGTCGTCGGCTTGTGGTGAGCAGCACAGTCCTTCTGCCAATCCCGTCTTGACGTGTGACGAAGGATCGGTGGCTATACTTACAGCGACGTGCTCAACATCTACGGGATTTCCAGAGCTGGTGGGTGTCATCAAGGCTTCGTTCTTGGCCAGATTCTCATCTGTCCATGCAAGGCTTCATTCCGCAGTTATTCTCTCTCCGTCTTCCCTCGGCCGAGGTCATCTTCGAGCTCCTTACCCAGTCAAATGCCAAAGCGGTCATCTACGAGACGGCGTTCGCCGGAGCGCTGCGCGAGAGCCCGGTGCCAGCTTTCATGGCCGCATCGCCCGAAGATCTGTGCGGTGCGGCAGAGTACTCCCTTTGTGCGGTTCGTGCAAATCAGCCGGACGACATTGCGTTCTACTTCCACACCAGTGGATCTAGTGGCGGAAGCCCCAAGGCATGTCTTCTGTGACGGGCATCTGGTTGCATCGCTGATTGCGTTTCCCACAGCTGGTGCCTTGCTCGTATCGGTGGCTGGATAGTGCTGCAATCAAATCCAGCGAAATCAACGTGCCCCGCAGTCCGGACCGTCAAGATGTCACTGTGTGGATGTAAGTGGCGCTCGATTGATGATTGTAGGGCGGCTGTGAACCTGACCTTTTCCAGGGGAAGCATGTGTCATATCGGGCAGACGTTCAGTGCGCTAGGTTTTTACTCACCCTTCGGCTTTCTGAAGCTAACTTTGATCCCCTTTTCCAGTGCTAATTGGCAGGTACAATTATTTAAACTGGTTACCGCGATTTCACAGCTGAACGCTACACAGCTTACAACACGGCTCGTGTGTTATCCAGCCAACCCAGATTGGATTCTCTGCCGAGGAGCTTTGCGCCATGGTCCACCGATGCGGACTTAATCGCCTGAACCAGTTCGCTGCGTTCTTGGCCAGCCACCTGCGAGCCTCCCGCACCGATCCCAAGCTTCTCTCGCTACTCTGCGGTCTCGACGAGGTCCTTTACAGCGGAATGCCTTTGCCTCGAGAGGAAGAAGAGTGGGCGTATCGCAGCGGCATCAAGCTACGCGTGAGATCGCCTTGTAACGCATGACCCAATATTCTAAATCCTATCCTCAGAACTTATTTGGGAGCACCGAAGCGGGCGCCACCCTCAGATCAGTCGGTGGCACAGAAAGCACCGCGGCTTTGCTCCAGCCTTTGCAGGGAACGTCCTATCGGTTCATCCCTGTGACTGAAGGTGGCGCATCTGCCTATCAGTCCACTGCCCGCTTGGTCGAGTTTGTTATCTCGGCCGATTCCCCTGACTGTCCTCATCCGTCCTTGCGCAACCAAGACGGGCATTTCCACACGGGAGATCTCTTCCAGGAAGTCGCGCCAGGCAAATACATCTCCAAAGGCCGGGCAGACGATTGGATCAAGTCGGAAAACAGCCTCAGATGCGATACCAAGTAACGCGGATCCGTCCCACTCTGAGCGTGAGCTAATGATCTACCCCCCAGGTCCATCGAGGACAATGCAAGAATGCAATGTGGGCCGCTAATCAGCGAATGCGTCGTTGTCGGCTCGGGTCGGCCATCCCCAGTCCTCTTCGTCGAACCTGGCACCGACATGGACTCGGAGAAACTAAAAAAGGAGATCATCCGCAAGACGCGCCAGTTCCATTCTCGCCGCTATCTGCATGAACGCATCACCTCCACGGACAAGATTGTGGTCGTCCCTCCCAAAACACTTCCGCGCACACTCACCAAGGGAAATATCCGTCGCATGGCTGTCGAAGAGACTTTCAAGGCTCTTCTCGACGAAATACACGCTCCCTGATTAGGAACATTTAAACGTGTAACATAGAACTCCTGTCTTATTAGTTAATTAGATGTAGCGTACTCAAGACAATGCACACTGAAGCCCCTCGGGCCCAATTCAGAGCTGGATAATCTGGGATCTCCCCGGCTGCCGTAAAAAGGCTGTCAGTCCACCCGTGCCAGCGTTCTGTTGAGCGTCGGGGGATTCATCACCATGAAAAGGCGGTCTCGGAGTCGCGAGTAAGCCGACATGGTGGGTCATGGGAAGAATAACACTAGCATTGGAATCGGAGAAAGATGGATAAACTGGAAGATGCTGCTTGTAGACTTTCTGATCGTTGTCAGAAAGGGCGAGGCCCCAGTTCGTCAGAATGGTGATCGGTCGATGAGTAACTCGAAAGGATTGAAGCGCACTCAGTGCATAATGTAAAGGCAGCACGCTACTCGCCGAATTTGGCAACTGCTCTCTTGTGAAGCGGTCAGCCCAGTAGAACGCGCTCAGAGAATCAATGGCGACCATCCCAATCTCGAGCTCAGGCATCCGGGTTTGTGATAAGTCGGAAGATTGAGAATGGACGCGGCAAGTTGACTAGTTGATCCTGGACGAAATATGTGCAGGCTGCGCAAAGCACGCTGAACTAGAGCCCCGTCGAAGTCGCCCTGCAACAGCACATCGTGGAACTGTTTCGCGTCAAACGTTCCATCGAGATCGTACAGCACCGCGGCTTTCTTCCAAACGATGAGGCATGTTACGAGGCATTTGGCTAGGACCTGGCTTTTGCCGGAACCTGATGGCCCTTGGATCTCGAGCACATCACCTGGGTGCACTCCAAGAATGTCTCCGAGGGCGTCCAAATGCGAGGGCTGTTTCTCGGGGCGTGCCGCAGAGAGAAGCTAGTTTGAGTGGTCAGAAGACCGAGTGTGTGTGACGCAGGGAAGGCGTACGGAAAACAAGGACTCTGAGTGTATCGACCCGATCATGTGGGGATATGCAGAAGAACAGGACAGGAATAGATAGCCTCCGAGATTTTTTCCGCGTGGGTGGCGGACCAAGAAGCCGTTATATGTATGAGCCTCAAGAGATGAAAGACGCGTCGGAGAGCCCAGGTAGTCCGACCGTGGTCGCGTCGTTATGATCGTTGCAACAATCCAGAAAGCCACGTGTTCTCGGTGCAATAATAACTGCCAGAGATGGACATTCCCTTCCGCTAGCACTACTTTTCACCTCTTCTTCAATCATGGCGACAACCGGGGCCCGGGCTCCTCCACCACGCAGAGCGTCCACTCTTTCCACTTCTCCACCCCCGAGTAATGCCATAACCCGTGGGGCGACCGCAAGATCAGCCGTTTCGCCCCGCGTGTCGTCAACGCTGGCTCCTGGTAGACGCAGTTCTATCAAGGCAGCCGCACTACCAGAAGCTCGAGATTCGCTCTCGGCATCGCTCAAGCAAGAAACAGACCAGAAAGAACAGGTACGCAAAGGCACGCGCTCTTTCGGCGGCCACTGCTTACCTTTACCTCAATAGCTGCTGGTTCAGGTGCAAGAGAAAGAACAGGTGTGTGCTTGTGATTTCCTTTCGAGCTGGGTCACTGACTTCCATCGTTCGAATTAGACCATCTCGTCCCTGTCTACAGAGAACGCCAATCTTACCTCAGCCTTACATGCTGCAGAAACTAGAATCAATGAACTATACGCGGACCAATCTCGGTCCGAACTTGAACTGGCTCAGCGAATAGAGATCACCGAGAACTTGCGAGCGCAGCTGCGTGAATCGGAGAAGGAGAAGAGAGACGTGCAACGACGTTACAATGAACAGGTTAGCCTTGTTCCCCCACGAGAACCATTGCTCTTATGCTCAACCTTTCTTTCCTTGCAAGATAAGCACCTTCGAAGCCGAGCGTCAGGCCTTTTACGACAATGAGCAACATCTCAAATCGCGCATCATGTCGCTCATGCAAGCCAGGAAGCAACCGGAACGGATTCCGCAGCCGGCTTCTCCTACGCTAGACACTGAATCGATTGTAGAGCCCGAGGAGCAGGAGGAACCTTCACGAGAGGCAGATGACCCCACACAGAATATGGACGATCCGGAAACTGAGCCGGCCGAGATGACCGCTCTCCGACTAGAGCTGTCGACATTGTCGACATCCTACTCCTCCCTACAGAACACACTTGTTCTGCTTCAGAGCCAGTTGGTGGACCTGAAGAGAGTGAACCATGAACTGCAGGAAGAGAACGAAAGCTACATGATCTTGCTCCGGGAGAAGACGCTGAGTGGCCAATTCGATGTGATGCGCCAGGTTGGGGGTGGGTCCATCACCGATGATGATGATGATGAGGCTGCGAGTCTCAGTGTGCGCAGTGTACGCAGTGTGGCGCGTAGCACGTTGGACAAGGTTGACGAGGAAGATGATCAGCAGGAGGAGGAAGAGGAGACCCTGGAGCAACAGCTTGAACGCAGTCTCGTCCCGCCACCCGAGTCTCCTGTGCGAACTGGTCGCTCTCCACGCAAACGCACTGGCTCTCAGTCACATTCGCCCAGTGTGCGAGGCGAAACGCTCGCCGATCTGCCAATCACTGGGCCTGGTCTCGATCTTGCAGCGGAATTGGGTCGTGCAGAGAACAAGGACATCCTGGATGGGAACATGGTCGACGATAATGACCGCTCCGGGGCGAAGAAACGATCCAAAAAGAGCTCGTCTGGACGACAAGACGACTCTGCACTGGGCGGTATGCCATTCAGCGACGTGGAAGCACTTCGATCAGAGGTCAAATCGCTCAAGGATGCCAACAAAGCGTTGTCGCTGTATGCGTCCAAGATTATCGACCGCATCATCTCGCAGGAAGGATTCGAACATGTTCTCGCCGCTGATTACGAGCCGCCCACCCCATCAACTGCAGCGCCGGCACAAATGAAGCTTCCGACTTCGCCCCTTCTTCTTACGAAGCCCAGGGCCCAGTCATTCATCGTTGGGGACCGATCTAAGTCTTTTCCGAATACACCGCAGATGGGCTCTCCTCACGTGCTGCCAACGGCGCCCAAGCTCGGCACGCCCCCGGATCCCAAGGCCAAGCGGCGATCGCTTTCATTCGACTGGAAAGGATTTTCGATCTTCAGCGACAAGAAGTCGGCAGAAAATCCCAATCTGCGTCCTTTGACGTTGAAGCCAGGTTCTGGCGCCGTCACTGGTGCCCGAAAGCTGGAGAAAAATCCTGAAGAAGACGACGAAGACCGAAAGGAACGAGAGCGACTCAATGCGACCATGAAGCTGATGGGAATCCAACCCCAGCCGTCACCGATCATCCCGCCAATAGCAACACCGCCTCTGCAGGCAGCCAGTGTGCCTGCTACTCCTTCGCGATTCTCGTTCTTTAGTCGAACACCAGCACCGGCGCCGCCGCCACGATCAGACTCCGACTCCGTCTCGGTTCACTCGGAATCTGGTCGGATCGGGCTTGGGCTTGGCCCGCCAACTCTCACGGAAGAAGCACTCGAGCATGCCGAAGCTGAAAACTCGCTCGCAGCTTTGGATGCCCACGAACGGACGCTGAGTGCCGAGATTGCCAAAGGCTCTGGGGGTGGATTTACCGAGATCGCTCGGCGCCAACCAGGAAGCCGGCGTGCGAGGCGCAGTGCTGCCGGCAGCAGTGGAAATGGCAGCACTGTTTGGAGTGCAGGAGAAGACGACGATTAAACATCATGCATTCATCATTCCATATTTATTCTCATCATCCGGAAGATATCCTTAGGGTCTGGATAATTGATGCATACTAGGAATACCCTAGTTGCTAATGACATGATCATGCCTCACGAGAGTGTTCTGGGCGTGCGTGCGGATGGTGGCAAACGGGTTGGAAGCGAACTCCGATGTCTTCAGAATCAGCGGTTGTCGCAGCTTTTCAGTTTTCCTAAAAGAGTGCCGTGTTAGAGTACATATACAAGGCGTGGGGACCGGGCGCACAATGCTTTGGCCCTCTGCGCTTTTGACAACGTCGCGCTTTTCCCTTCTCCGATCTGCCCTTGCTTGAGCTTGGGCTTCTTCGGTTTTGCGTCTGTCGTGGCGCCTGGCGCATCCACGACAGCTTCGTCGTCCACAGCAGCAAGCGCATGCTGGATCTCGTCCATCCCACCTCCGACCTGCTCTTTCGCTTTACGTTTTAACCGTTTTGCGTGCGATTTGGAGTAGGGCGACTGGCTCGCCATCAGACGTTCCAAGAGCGCTTCCCGCTTCAAGTCTCGTTTCTCCTTCTTGTTCAACGCTGGCATCGAGGATGATTCGGGGTCCAGCTCTGGACCCTGCAGCAAATCTGCGGCCTATCTATATCATGGTCTGCGCGGCTGCCATAGATCGGGTAGCGTACCGCAGAGTCGAACTCAGCACCGATTTCGATATGTTCCACCGCATTGTCCTGGACTGCGAACTGCCGTTTATTGAGTTTCACAGATGGCTCATGTGCGCCCGATCGTTTTCTTCGTTCCTTGGGCTACACCAGAGAGTGAACAGCGGAACGATAGTGCCTTTTAGGACCAACCATCGTGAGGAGCAGAAAATGCAATTTAAGAGGCGCCTTGATCTTTACAGCCGATGACGTAAACTACATTACTCCTCGTTCTCATCTAACAGTTCCTCTTCGAGCTGTGGGCCGTGCCGCACTTTCTCATTGTCTAATCCGACGACTGCAAAACTCAATAAAACCAGCAATGCGCCGAAGAACACTTGTCCTCTAGTGAATCGCCCCAAGAGGAAATCGCCCAGGACTGCGATTGGGATGGTCAATGACAGACCAACGGTGACAACGAGCGGCGTCGTCTTGAGCATGGCAAGAACATAGAGATAGTCACTTGACCAAGTGATCGCCATCTGGGGTCAAAGATGTCAGTCGCGTTCGATGAGAGACTAAAAAACTCACGTTGACGACCAAGGCGGCCATGGAAGCTTTACCAGGGAGCTCCAGTTGCTCGACACCAATCCAGCTCAACAAAAGTGCAGCAGGGAATCCGGCTATGATGTTGAACAGGCCGACGAACCCAAAGAATAGTTGCATGTCCACCCGGGATTCGGTCCGAATCCGCACTTTCAGCAAGATGACATACAGTGCATAGAAAAAAGCTGATGTGAGAGCCAGGACATCTCCCAGCACCGGTCGGGGTGCAATGTAAGCCGAATGGGCCAGAGGGCGCGATGCTGCTCCAGCAGGTTGTTGGGGTAAAACGGAATCGGACAGCGATACCAGGATGACGCCAGTGAAACTGGAGTGGCTCACGTTAGGGACCAATTCTTGTTGCAGGAGCATAGGTGACTGACCTGGTGATGACCGCGCCTATCTTGGCCAAAGACAGCGATTCCACCCGGAAAATTCTCCCGATACCTAGAGTAAAGAATCCTAAAAGACAGGTTGAGATCACCATGTTATCTTCGGGGCCGAATCGCACCACTCATGCTGGATAAGATTGTGGCGCTGGCGACACTAGTGTAGTCTAGCGCAGCGTTCACCGTCCAGTTCGCGATGAACCTGTATACCTGTCAATGTGCGTTTTTTGCGCTATTTCGGGACACGCTGACCATAGAAAGCAGAAGTGCAATGCCAGGTGTGCAGTCTCGCGTTGTGTCAATGGTTCCGAGTCCGGAATTGTGGGGGGAACCTGTAAGCGATATAGGAACAGATAACGGTCGGAGAGCACTAGTGCTAACCTCGTCAATGGATCGTTCTCCTGTCTCGGGGTCCACAGCTAACGGTTGGTATTGCGACCTAAGACTATGAGACGCGGAGATGACAAGCCGAATCTGGGGTGGGCTCACCTGGAGAGTTCTTCATCCCATCCGTTCCGCTTCCGCCACCACCTCTTCAAGAATACAGGTATAAGGTAGAGCGCAAAGGAGCTGGTATTCAAGTATGTTACAAGGAACGGCTTTTCGTATCCGCCTTGATACATGTACTGACAGACATTCAGTGAGCCATATTCAAGAAGACAAGACGGTCGCTTCGGGTAATGCACCTGTGTCAGGAAGTTCGAGAAGGTCCATAGAAACACGACGCAGAGTAGAAGACCGATGCCGATGGCGTAGTCTCGCGTTGATTGCAGCCGCATCGCTCTGGCAGGTGATTTACCTCTTGACCGGCTTCGACGCGGTTCGGTAGGAGGGGCGAAGGTGTCCATTTCGTGAGTGTCTGAGTGGTGGGGGAGGTTAAAAACAGCAGGGAGCATCCATCATCCCAGTGGGCGGAGCCAACTCGGGGCAGAGCACTGTTGACATGTCTGATGGCGTGAGTCAAGGCTTGATGCCCCGAGCTTTTCTGGACTGTTTTCCACTGGATTCCCATGCTAAAAAGTTTGCATTGCTTAAGATACACGACGGATACAAATGCGATGTTATATATATATGCAACCCTATGAATGGTTCCCTGCTATTGAAGTCCTTGCTGCGAAGCGGTGATACTTTAGCTTTTCGAAGATGCGATACAGACTGATGACGAGATTGACGCAATACGCAATTAGACCAATGAAGACCAGACATATCAACGCTGTAAACCGTTGGACACAGAGAGCCATGATGGATCGGAGTAGCTGACCTTTCTGATCATCGCATCGCTGGTCGCCAGTCGGTGGGTCGGTCGTAGAGGTCGGCCGTGGTATTGAGCTGTACCAGGCGATGCTGGAGGCGGAGGTGCAAGGAATGATCGACGTTTGCAAGTTGTCGAAACAAAGCGACAATGCAGCTGACCAGGCGCAGATAAACAACACCTCTAAAAGAGTGTGGGCGAGCTTGGCCGATGTCCGCCAGAGGCCCAACGGACGTCCAAAGTACTCCAGCTAGCAAAGGTGAAACGACTGTTCATGTGCGCAAGTAGAAGTGGAATAACGCACATAGATGGAAACCATCACATGCACTAAAGTAAGAGGCGCAAAGATGATCACAAGTGTTCTGAGGTTAAGAAGTAAGTTTCGGTGATTCGGGAGCAGACGGAGACGGACGGGGAGCTTCCGAGTTCTCCTCTAGTTTTCAATCGGGTTTCTGCTCCGAGTCAGGTCAATTCCGGAGGAAATGTGCGAGCCGCGTGCCTTGCAATCGTATCCGAATGGCGATGGCCAAGGCGCATGTGGTGAAAGTGATGTTAATTAGGCGAAAAAGCTGGCTGGAGGTTACCGAGATAGACCCAGATGAGGCTGCACTCACCAGAGGAACGTAGGGGTTCGTCAGAATAAAAGCCCGCAGCCTTTTTCGCCGCAAATTCTTGTCTGGTTCACTCTCAGGGTCCTCCTCCTCGTAGACCTCGTATCTGGAATCATCCGTATGACGCCTAGCCGGGCCTTGGGCTGCGACTCGACTGGTCCAAGGAGTGTCCCATCCCGGCGTGGCATTATGTGACAGGGTCAAAGTCGCCGTCGGAGGAGTCGGAAGGGCAATCGAGAGATTCCAATCGCGGTTGATCGACCCAGAATGCGCATGTTGGCGCATTCGCCGAGGGACGGCCGAAGCACCGTCCCGCACGGTGGATGGGAGCCAGGAGATCGAAGTAGGTCTGAAAGAGACTCCTTTGCGATCCGCTTTACGATTTTCCATTGAATGAGGATCTGAGGATGGAAATGAGCCGCCAATGGATGAGCCCGCGTCTGAACCTCCTCGCGGTCGGGTGAATGTCCACCAGCGACTGGGCGAATTGGATGCATTAGGGGAGAGGGTGGCGCCAAACGATCCAGACACATCGTGGGTGTATTGGATTTCCTCATCTGTTGGGGAAGGTGGCTCGTCCTTGGCCCAGGCTGCCGAGTTTTCAGTGCACAGTTCGGAAAGGAAAGGTCAAAGCGGAACATACGCGGGGACGTTATGACGGAGGATAAGCGAGGAGGAGGTAACACGCTGGAACGACGGTCGCGCTCCTCCACTGTGCTGCGGCTTGACGAATGTGCAAGAGTTGTGCTCATGAGAGAGCAGGCGCAGCAGGCCCAACAAGGCGGCCTAAGAGCCTGTGCTGAATCCGGATCATGTCACGCGCGACTTCTGTCGGACCTGTTTGCCTCGAACCACATCAACACACCAATGGCAGACTCTGTTGTTCCATCCCTCTCAACCGCCGGTATTGGATCTAGATTCGTTACTTCAGATGATGTCGAGACGGCCAAGGTAGCTAGTTATATGGTTGAGCTGCCATGATGGGCTGATGATCTTCGTGCAGGCCCGTCGCGAAGAACAATGGAAAGCGGCATATGCTCGTCTGGGAGTCGAGCCCCCTCCTCGTCAGCAAGAAGATCCTTCCGACGGTCGGAGTCTCGCGGAAGTGAGCAGCATGCTTCTTCTCGCACTACATACTTGCGGTATTGACTCTTTCCCTCTTGGTGTGACGCGTAGAAATTGGCCGCCAACAAGGCGAGTTTTATCTCAATATTACTATTTTGGCGGACTGACGACGTCATGTACAGATCGCCAAGCAAGAAGAATGGGAAGAAAAGACCAAGCTCGCGAACCAATTCCGTGCGCTAGAAGAGGATGAAATCATGTTCTTGGACTCCATTCGCGAAAAGGAGGAGGCCGAAGACCGGTTGCGCAAAGAGCAGGACGGAGAAGAGGTGCAGAACTTTAGGGAGTGGGTTTGGATCATCACGTCGTCGATGCTCGACTGATCTTCCCACTCAGAGCGGTCGCTGCTAGAACTAGCACACTGACGAATCCACCTCCCGTCATCTCGAAGGAATCCAAACCGCCCATTACTCCCAAAGTTGCAGCTGCCCCAACGCGAAAGAAAGGCACACTGAAGGGCGTTGTTGTCAAGAAGAAAGCCAAGGCATCTCCTGCGGAGACTCAAAAGCGCCCCAATGACGACGACGAAGTCGCACCAGACTCGAAGCGTCGAAGAGTCTCCGGAAGTTGACCCGTATCAGCTAATAATGTATATTCGTGGTTCTAATGCTTGCTGGGAGTCGGAGTCCATCTGACACGGTTGAGATCTTGTTTTGAATCCCATCCTGCCAGCTTGTCCATAGCTTCTGCTCTTCTTGAAGCCGCAGCACCCATCGTCGTGCGGTCTAACAAACGTCGGGCAGCTGGAGTAAGATTTCCGGCTGCCTCAGAACGTCGGGGGGTCCAGTTCGGTGGTGCCATTGAGTTCTTTTTCGACGTCCCACCGGAGGGCCGGCCTAAAATGGGGGTGCGCCCTCCACTCAACAGTTCTGCTTTGAGGCGAAGGCTCTTCGAGGCCTTATTAGATAGCTTGTGGCTGATCGCTTCACGACTGGACGGTTCGGCGATGCGGAAAGGTGTGCTCGGTAGTGGAATATCGTCGGACTGGGATATGATCCGTGGTGTCGCATTCAGTGTTCCCCATGTCATGAGCTGCTTCACGGCGCTGGGTCCCAGCTGCTCTGGTGTAGGAGAAGGCATGTTAGGCACAAGGGAAAAGTTATTAATTGTGGGAGACTTGGGTCGATCTGCTGGTGTGTCAGCAAGGATTCAAATTGCAATGGTATAACCTCATACAAGGTGTGCCCATAATGGCAGCGTTAACATGACTGCGCGTCGGACTGGGTGGTGCAGACAAGGATCTTGACGCCGGCCTGTGTTCGTCGTCATCGTTGAGTCGAGTGCCACGATGGACAATAGCTCGAGGATCCTCTTTGGCAGCCTTGAGAGCCACATGGTACGGTGATTCGTCCGCGTCAGGAGGAAACATGAGTGAATTTCGAGCCTGCGTCGCTAGTTTCAGTAAGTGCAACATATGACGGGACAGTCGTACCTTGAATTTCCATCCGTCGACAGATGCAGAGCGAGTGTCCTTCAATGGGGCCATAACATCCACCGTACTCGACTCAATCGTCACCAGTGCAAGGTTCTTCTCTTCAGTTTTCTCTTCTGTTCCATCTACAACGCCCTCTGTTGCACCTGCATCCTCTTGTCGGTCTTCGTCTTTCACATCCCCGATCAGACCTGCTGGTTTGGGCGCTTCGATCCTGAACTTTTCCCTCATGCCCACCACTTGTTGCGGTTCGATTAGCAGCCTCTCTCGCGCCTCAACCATCCGATCACGTTGTCCCTCGACTCGTTTCTGTGCGTCCCATGCCCATGACCACCTGTCTTTCCGCTTCCTGTTCTCCTCATCCAAGATTTGTGTGAAACTTGAATTGTCTTCGGATGTATATTTCGCCTGGAAATCGTCTAAGCTTAGGTTGTCGATATGATATCGAGCCCGTTTGGCGGGTGGCTCCCCGCCACGAGGTGTCCGTGGTGGGGTTTCGGAAGGACCCGCACCGTATGGAGTGCGACCGGGAGTTTGAGGAGGAAAGCGCGGGGTTTGGCTGACTTGTTCAAGACGGCGGACGGAGGCGCTAATTAGGTGAGGATCCTGGGTGTCGAGGGCATCGAGATAGCCGTTGGTAGCATCCAGGTGCACTAGAGAGGGAAAGAAATCTCGAGCAATTATCTTGGATAGTGCCTCAGTGTATTCATCCTCCTCGAGGACGACCTAAGAATGGAAGAGTGAGCGCGTGTGGAATGGCGGTAATCGAATCCCAGTCACTTGTCTGTTCAAGGAGCGGCTAGGTTGTTCATCGGGTAAAGACATGGGCAAGAGTAGTGGTCAAGTCAAGTGATCTCACGTGTTCTTGCGTCCAACAAGTTTTAAGTAGATAAGTAGATCCACATCGAAAATCGTAGAAAATATACGTCGTGCTACAGCATAATTATCGTAGTACAATACCATTACATCGCAGTGCTCCCGGAACGAGGTCGGGGCCCGTCATCTCCTCTGCTTCTCCGTCCACTGCTGGGTCTTCCAATTCTGCTTTGTCCTAACGCAGCGGAGGAGATCGACTTGGCCGGTCGGATTGTGACGTTCGCGTGACCGGGCAACTGTGGTAAAGTCTTGTCGGACTGTTCGGAATTCGGTCGTACAGACGGAGGCATTGTCATCGGCCGCCCTTTGGGCAACGGAGGCGGAGGCATTGCTGCCGTACTGGCGCCCAAGGAAGAGCGCTTTGCATAGGGTGTAGTTGATGCTGACCCCGTCGGTCGCTTCAGTCCAGTCAACCCGGCTGTGGTCTGATGCGCATACAAGCCAGCAGTTGGAACAGGTAGGAAGGTCGGCGTGGACGGCCGAGAAGAAGAAGACGAGGAGGACGGGATAGAGATGGTCGCAGAGCCACTGGACAATCGCGATTGGGGACGCCGCAAACCACTTGTGGGCAGCATGCTCTGATTCAATGGATTAGTCGGACTCATCGGCTTCGGAGTACCGGTGGCCATAGACGTCGACGCAGCGGGCCGATATGGGATGGGATCGAGAGGACTCGACGGCCTTCGCCTTTCTCCGGGTTTCGGTTTGGGCGGTGAAGGCGAGTCTTCCATTATCAATACCCACCCCGCTGATTCGCGACCCTTCTTGATCTTGTCCGAATCACTGTCACTGGTAGGTTTCGGTGGATCGCCACTTCTCCTGGAAGTGGACGTCAGGCTCTCCCAGCTGGTTCGCACGGATGTCTTGCTGGACGTCGACCCGACAGTGCTGTTGGTAGCAGTTGATGTCCCGGACGCTGGGGATGGCCTGGTGATGCTCCCCATTCGCAATCTTGGTACCCGAGTATGAATCTTCTGCTCCAGGTTACGGACCCGGGCACGCATTTCAGATACCATCTGAACCCCTTTGCTCTTGGAAGTGGTGCTCGAAGTCGAATTCGTGCTCACAGCGGACGGGTTGCGAGCAGTGGATGGTCGGAACGAAGGACTGGCTCGAGGACTGGAGCTGTAAAGTGAAGGTAGAGCTGTGGAACGAGCGATCCCAGAGCTACTCGGTGGAGTGGCAATGTGAGATCTGAACGGTACGGCGCCGGATCGACCGACGAAAGCAGAGTGCACTTTGGCTTTAGGAGTGGCCTCAACGGCCGAACCACCTGAAGCAGAAGGGAGGCTGTCAGATGAGCTTGGAGTAAGATCTTCGAGTTGAAGATCGTCAGGCGCCTCGGTTTTCAGCAGGTCGTCTTCTGATTGTTGCGTAGCTTGTGAGAAGCGGCTGGAAGGCGCGATAGACCCGAAGTCTCGTCTGGTTTGCGCTGCTAGCTGATCCTTCAATATCGATATCTCAACGTTGGCATCTGAGCGGATAAGTAAGGATCAGACCGCCGAAACCATATGGACCCACCTCTGAGCTCGTCTTTCAATCGCTGTGTTTCCTCCTCAAGATTGGCCTTGTCGATTATCTCTTGCTCGAGTATGATCTTCTCTTCCAAAGCCTTGGAGTACTTCGCTTCGATGTCTGCCAAGCTGGAGGAAACTGCACGCTCATTTCGCTCCAGGTCATCGTTGCCCATTTCCAGTTCGCGCAGTTGCACTTTAATCTGCTGGTGCTCCTGCCGCAGCTTATCCAGCTCCCGCTGGAGAGTCGTAGTTGCGGTATTGTGGGTGGTTTGCAAAGTCATAAATTTGGACTGCGTGCCTATTCGATAGCTAGTTGGGTTAAAGTTGATGGCGGCTCACCTTCCAATCGTCCCGCTCTGTCTCCGCACGGGCCACTTTGACCTTGAGATCCTGCTGAGCTTTCTCTGTCCTTTGGAGTTCTGCCTCCAACTCTGCTTCAAGCTCTCTGCTCGCTACCTGGAACTCGTCGAGCTCTGCTCGAGTTTCCGCGAGCATGTCAGCAACCTAGAAAGAAAGATGAGAAATCGAGCGTGAACGGTCGATCATGACAGTAACCTCATTGTACTTGTCCCGCCAGTCGTTCGATGAGGAGTAACTAGGAAGAATGGTGAGGTTTGTGGAGAGCGGCCTTGCTGGTATTCAGTCTCACCTGAGATGGTTGTCGTCTAGAGACATGAGCCGTTCCCTCCGAAGGGGATCTGAAGGTGAGAGAACGGCGGTCATTAATTGAGCTACCTCGGTTGTCGAAGTCAAGTTCGGTCACGCCCAGATGTATTTGTCTTTGTTTCAACTTGCGCGCAATTCCTCTTGTTTTCTTGAGGGTTGTCTGCACAGATTGCTCATATTCATTCAGGTTTGGCACACTTTCTCTTTTCTAATTTTCCTGTCTCCGGATCTCGCATCTCCTTCCATGACACCGGAGTCATCGTCTTCCCACCCTCGGATACCGCAAATACCACTCCGAGATCGTTTCTGGCTGTTGTAATGAAGTAGCTTCTCGCGTCTCCCAAGGATATCTAGGCAAACGGTGTTCATTTCATGAATGCAAACTACGGCAGGATGGGGCCATACCACGATTCCCCTGACAACATCGCCTCCTCGGAAACAATCTGCGATCTTCACTCTGTCCTTTTCAGTAGCACGCACATCCTGTTCAGTGTGAGCTGAGAGTCTACTCCAAACGTCTCCTCTACTCGCCTGGGTGCGAATGACCCCAGTAAACTCCTCTCCCGCAGGCAACGGCACACCGTCCACAACGGTGATTGCCAGCATGGCCTGCAATGGCGACAGGCGTGTAATCGTCCCTAGAACAACTGAGTTGATTGCAGGCGGCCTCGGTTGTGTTTTGGAGATAGATAATGTCTAGGATACATGGGTTCATTTTTGCCTCGCAAATGTGACTTCCACCGACCGCTCCATCGTGCTGAGGCACACCAACCAAACTCGCCCGTATCTCAGTGTCTCTCGTGTAGATTCCGGTCCCAAGCTGAGGAACTGGCGCATTGTGCGCGAGGACAATAGGCTGCCCAGGCAGCACGACACTGAGACTGGCAGTGGTCATTTAGGAAAATTGATGTGGTGATGGGCCCCCAAAAAGTTGCTTCGATCCTTGCCACCTACTTGTTCGATTCCGTCCCGACCCGACGTTGCCTTTTTCCACCATGACCTCCCTCGCTCGCGTGTTCGCCCGCCGTTCGTTACTCTGTTACACTCGATAGCTAAGGGCAGTAATCAATTTGATTTAGGTCTCCATGCATCTGCACGGCGCAGCGCGCTCTCGCAGTTCAACATGCCTGCCATGAGTCCAACCATGACCGAGGGCGGCATCGCTTCCTGGAAGAAGAAGGAGGGCGAGAAGTTCTCGACGGGGGATGTCTTGCTGGAGATAGTGAGTATACGTCAGTCACTGTTCAAATACTACAGGTCTAACCCAGCGCTATGTAGGAAACCGACAAGGCTACGATTGATGTCGAGGCGACTGAGGATGGTGTTATGGCTAAGATCATCGTCCGTGCATTTGCATCGTCGGCTCGTATATATCTGACGCCATGTTTAGGCTCAAGACGGCTCGAAGGGTATCCCAGTCGGCAATGCAATTGCCATTGTTGGAGAAGAGGGAGATGACCTATCGGGAGCGGACGAGATGGCTGCCAAAGCTGCATCCGCACCTGCACCCAAGGAGGAGCCGAAGGCCGAGGCACCTAAGGAGGAGCCCAAACCATCGACCCCCGCCCCAAAGTCTGAACCGGCTCCTCCCAAATCCGAACTTGCTTCCGGTAGCCGCATATTCGCGTCTCCCATTGCCAAGAAGATTGCTCTGGAGCGTGGGATTCCTCTCGGAAAAATCACGGGAACTGGTCCTGAAGGACGAATTCTCCGAGAGGACGTCGAGAAGTTCACTCCGGCTGCTGCCGCTTCGTCGAGCGCTGTTTCTGGTGCCCCTGCCGCCCAATCGTCTGAATATGAAGATGTCCCCATCTCCAACATGCGTCGTACCATTGGCTCACGTTTGACGGAGTCCAAGACCGAACGTCCCCATTACTACGTCACGGTCGATATTACCATGGACAAGGTCCTCAAGCTGAGGGAAGTCTTCAACAAGTCATTTTCGGAGAAGGACAAGGCGTCCAAGCTCAGTGTCAATGACTTCATCATCAAGGCTGTCGCCTGCGCCTTGAAAGATGTTCCCGAAGCAAACTCTGCTTGGCTAGGAGAGGTGATACGCACGTAAGTCGATGGCCTTCTTTTTGGCGCCTTAGCTGAGACCTCCTTCCTAGATACAAGAAGGCGGACATTTCCGTTGCCGTGGCTACTCCCAATGGCCTGATCACGCCCATCGTTAGGGATGCTGGTGGCAAGGGTCTTGCTACGATCTCTGCTGAGACCAAAGCCCTGGCGAAGAAGGCCAGAGACGGCAAATTGGCACCCCCCGAGTACCAGGTATGTAACACTGACTATCGACAAAAAATGTTTCTCTAAGCCGCGGCCACAGGGCGGAACGTTCACCATCTCGAACCTGGGCATGTTCGGTGTTTCTCACTTCACAGCCATCATCAATGCGCCGCAATCCTGCATTCTTGCTGTTGGGGCTACGGAAGCAACTCTTGTCCCCGCACCAGAGGAAGAGCGCGGCTTCAAGACAGCACAGATCATGAAGGTTACTCTGAGTGCAGACCACCGAACTGTAGACGGTGCTGTCGCTGCCCGATGGATGTCTGCCTTCAAGGGTTACCTCGAGAACCCTCTGACATTTATGCTATAATCAGGCGCGGGACGCGTAGTACCAAAAGATCCAGTCGGATGCTCACTTTAGATTCTAATACTTACACTTTCGCGTTACCGAACGCCATCAGTCACAACCGTGTAACGTGTGCTTAAGCCTTCCATAAACGATGCAGTCCCGGAGCGACCTGACGCGTAAAAGCGAGCTGTTGGCTCACTGGAGTAAAGATCTGGAGGAGATGTCGGTACTGCACGGAGAACTTGAGAAAGTTCGGTCTGAACGCGATCAAGCACGAGCATTAGTGGAGGTGAGTTGTCGCCTGAAGGCCTTTCAACATCGTTTGTCTGACAACTATCAGCAACAAAAGGAAGGCTTGAAACAGTAAATATAGCAACTCTCTGCATTTTGCTAGCCCTGAGTTGTTGTCAAGTGCCGCACTCGCGCTGCAAGACGTCAAGCGTGTCTCAGAAACGCTAGTCAGCTTGGTCCCTTCTTCCCCCTGCGCCTGCTCTTGATGAGTATGATTGCTAGGCTGATAATCACCGGAAGGCGATCGAACAGAAGAATGCGTCGATCCAGGAGTTACGAGTGACCCTTGAAGTTCAAACAAGAGAATTGTCCGAGGCCCGAGGGGAATTTGAACGAATAAAATTACAGCAAGTGTGTGACGGCATAGCTGGTCATGGCAAACAAATTGCGCTGATAAATGGAGCAGATAGAACTTCTCGAAGCCGCTAAGCTGGTCAACAGTAAAGAAGCAGAGAGGAGGACAATTGGTTCTTCCCGTCCTATCGAAAGCCCGCATGTCGTCACGAAGGAACAACAATTAGTCCTGAAATCGTGCGTTCACGCTGAACATGAGAAGGGCGAAGTGAAAGAAATGAAACCCGCAGTCAAGGAGGTTGTTGACTCAAATGCGCCGAGTGTGATTGAAAACCAGACAGACATTCCTCGCAATCGCGCTCAGATTCTCGAGGCATTTCCTGAATATATACCAAAAGCAAATTTAGATCCACCAGCCACTTTCACTCGAAACTTCTTGTCCGCTCAGCTGGGCGGAAGTCACCAGCCACTCATTGTGCGGTGAGTTGGCTTCTCCATCGACGCCACACCTCAGAGATTCAGACAAGCTTGCACAGTATCGCCGCAGATGCTCAGAAACCGTTGGCGAAGGAACTTGGTATCCGGAAATTCCTTTGTCCGAATCACAACAAGAATCCCTGGTGCCCCCAACTCGCAGGACGGCATGGGTATATGTTTGTTGGCCTGACGACTGAACGCGACACATTCGTGGAACCGAGATCCTAAACTTGTTTATGTCTGCTCCCAAGTCTCACGGTCCACTCGAAGTGACTTACTTGGGGATCTACGAGGCCCTGCGCGTTGAGCCTCTCACTGTCGCTGAATGGCAGACTTTGACTTCAGAGGTGCAATCAGTACACGACCCGCATTACTCCATCTTACTTTCCACGCCAGAGACGAAAAGATTACGCGGAAATAGTTGCAGGAAGAGAATCTCAGCAACATAAGGGACAATCTGGAACAACTGGGAGACGGATTGACACTGCCCAATGCCAATCCCGGTTCGATTCGGGTGTGTATCAAGTGCCTTGTGTGCAACTGAAATGCGTGGGCTTCGACGAGGCCCTCTACGCTGCACTCTCGATTGCCCTTTCAGTGAGAAATCCAGGTGGGCTGTCAGAGCAACGAAAACGCGCTTCTTCGTTGGAGCAAGCCTCTCCAGTCAAACGCGTGCGAGCCTGAATTGTATCCCCCTCTCTCTCCTCTCGGGAATCTCCTCTCCTCTATCTACAATGCATCACCGAACGCCGCCGATCGGCAATTGCCTTATTACCGTAGACTTGTCTGCAGCGCGTCTGACTAATTAGAATCTTCCTATCACGTGGTCGTGCTTTGCTGCTCCCTTTGACCCAACTGTTCTTGCTTGCACATGCCAGGCCGCGTTCGTGAATCACCGTTGAAGAAACCCGGTTCGAGAACCCGCATAGAGACGTCTCATATCTTGATCATGCGCCAGACCGGCCGTACTTCGCTCTCGGTCTTGAAGGTTCCGCTAATAAGTTCGGCGCTGGTGTTATCAAACACTTTGAAGATGGGACTACCGTCGTGCTTTCCAACATCCGACACACGTACATAACACCTCCTGGGGAAGGCTTTCAGCCTCGCGATACAGCACTGCACCATCGCGAATGGGCGTTAAAAATAATCGATGAGTGCATCGTCCAAGCCGGATTGAGCATGCACGATCTCGACTGCATATGCTATACTAAAGGTGCGTGCATCGGATCTATGGCATTCCAGGCTACGGTGGCTGACGATCGATCGCAGGGCCTGGTATGGGTGCTCCCCTACAATCGGTGGCTTTGATTGCTCGAACACTCTCGCTGCTATATCAAAAACCGCTAGTGGGAGTGAACCATTGCGTTGGACGTCAGTCAATTTCAGCTCATCCGGCTCTCTCTCACGAGATCCAGACATCGAAATGGGCCGCGACGTGACTGGCGCACAGAATCCAGTTGTCCTATACGTCTCTGGGGGAAACAGCCAGGTAATCGCATACTCCCGACAGTGTTACAGGATATTCGGAGAGACTCTGGATATCGCTGTGGGCAATTGCCTGGATCGGTTTGCGCGAGTGATAGATTTGAGCAACGATCCTGCTCCTGGGTATAATATTGAGCAGCTAGCAAAGCAGTGCGTAATGAGCTTTTCCGCAATGAGATTTCCCTCAGCGATCGACAGGGGATCGCGTCTGGTTCCTTTGCCATACACTACAAAGGGGATGGACGTCAGTTTCTCCGGGATATTGACCTCAGTCGAGGCCTTCACACAAGACAAACGATTCCGGGCCGATGGCAAAGCGAGAGACGAGATGGATACAGACATCATCACACCTGCAGATCTGTGTTTCTCTCTGCAGGAGACCATCTTCGCCATGCTCGTTGAGATCACAGAACGGGCTATGGCACATATTGGAAGCAAAGAAGTGCTCATCGTCGGAGGTGTCGGCTGTGCGTCGTTCCTCACCTGTAAAACTGTTCGCGGCTGATGTGCGAGTACGGAATAGCAAACGAGAGGCTGCAAGACATGATGGGAATTATGGCTGAAGAGCGGGGAGGAAAGGTCTTTGCCATGGACGAACGATATTGCATTGACAATGGGATCATGATTGCCCACGCCGGATTGCTCAGTTTCCGAATGGGCTCAGAGACACCGCTGGCCAAAAGCACATGCACGCAAAGGCAATCATTTCTTCCCGGTGGAATACAGAATCTGATTGTTTCTAGGTTCCGCACGGACGAAGTACACGTCGCATGGAGGGCGTGAATGGCGTCTACCATCACGCAGGAGCCACTATGCTGCTCACGAGCGCCAGTGCTTCTGAGTCCAACTGTCGGCTCATATCTTCATATTGCTCCCACCACCAACCGTTGACCACCGCGAACTCCTTCGAATCGCGCACTTGCCACGGCTTGTCAGCCAGAATGTAATGCACACATCGAACCAGGTCGTCATCCCAGATGGCCGCGTGGACGGTCCGTAGAGTCCTCAGTGCATTGTAGTACCAGTTTATCGATCTCCATTTCCCGTGAAAGAAGGCTGCGAGCAAGTCCTGATCCGGAAAACTGAACGATGGCACACGCTCGTCTGTGGCAAGGAAGTGGTACATCTGCTGGGCCAGCTCAATGGAGGGCTCGAGCACAACCGTCCCCGAATTGAGTAGATTGTGAGGACGGGGCGAGTCGGAAGGTACGGGCTGAGCACCAGCCGGGCCGGATACAGCACTGAAGCCACAATTTTCGGGGACCCTGGCCGAGATTCAGTCCGGATTCCCGAAATCGGGTGTGTGCTGACATACCAGTCCTTGGGATAGTGCGGGAATTTGCGGGGATTGCACGCGCAGGCATGGCATGCTGCAATGCCGCCCGCTGGAAGCTCGAGCTCCATTAGATCATCCATATTTCTCCTCACCAGCATATCGCAGTCGAGGAGCACCACTCGCTGACCACGGGTCGTAAGGATAAACACCTAGAAGACACCAAGCGAAAGACATGCATCGTATTCAGCTAGTTCAAAGACTCTACGAAAGCGGTTATCCAAGTAGTGAGACCCTCATTCTCTGGAAACTTGCCGCAATTTCGTCCAAGTATCATGGAATCGGACATCGGCGGCTGAAAGACTATGAGTGCCCTCTTCCGGTCTCAAGGGCTGGATGTCTCGGATCTTTATTCCGCAATTGCTTAGGACGTCCCGAGCTGCTTGAGGCAGCTCTGGTGTGGCCAACACTACTAGAGGATACTTGGAATCGACTTTCTTGAGACCATGGTCCAGCACAAGAACTCCAGCAAGATAAGATGTTTTGGTGAGCAGAGTAGCAAAGGCTGCGCCAGGCATAGTCGTGGCTGTGAGCAAGCAGGGGACAGATCGATAGAAGGTCTCCTCCATGTATGTAATCATAGCCGCTCTGTGCGCTTAGATCTTGGGCCTCTGAATTTCGAGTATCTCGCGATGCGAAAGGAAAATGAGGATGAGCCGTCAATCAAGTCCAGAAAACTCAGTAGTGCATGATGATTTCACTGATTCTTACACTCCGTAAATGCGGACAAGATGAAAGCAAACTAGAAGCAGAGAAGGTGCATATTGGTCTCATATGGTATGCTCAACATAATAAATCGTGCTCGTGAATATCTTGCATCGCATAGTCGATAGAAGCTCGTAGTGCGCGGCGTGAAACCCATTGTGGATTGGAGGCTGAGTACAGATGGGAAAGAAATATGCGACGACAGGTAGCCAAGGTGGATCACCGCAAGCGACTGAGATGGGGAAGTGTCAGCCGGAATATAGACGTGGAGGACCGAACGCACCGAGCCTCACGCTCACTCTCAAGCAGAGCAAGGATATCTTTTTCACGGACGGGTCCCTTCACGTTCCGGATGATTGTACGGGTGGTGTCGTCCATGAACTCGACGCGGACTTGAGTGACACCTCCTCGAGAGCCAGTCCTACCGAGGACCTGTGTGAACGGCATTCAGTGTATGCTCGCAGCTTAAATTGAGGGACGGAAAGAACCTTGATGACGGTGGCGAGTTTTACGGGGGCCTTGGAGGAGTCCTGAACGAGAAGTCAGAAACGGACGTGATGTGGAGGACGCATAGCTGCGCCGCTCACCATCTTGTTTTGGGAGGGAGTGACGAGGTCAACGAAAGTTTTGAGTCTGTGGACGTGGGAACCGTGATGATGACAAAGCGGCCATCAGGCGGCTGTGCTCAACTGGCAAGGTTGCGTTGCGTGATCAATTCGTAGAGGAGGGTGAGCATCATGACAGCTACTGAGTGGTATTTTACAGACATTAATGTACACTACGGTCGTCATAACTAAAATCTAAAGATCACGCATCCACGGAAGGTGCGCTTGCAATCTGGCTGGCGAGCAGTGTCTTGGCCTTCTTCTCGACACCTTTGTTGCGCAAAACATTCTCAATGTAGAATTCCCCGGCCTACACGAGAATTAGTCTCAGAGACATTGAGTAGGTATTTTGCCGCACCTTGTAGCTGCTGCGGACGAGAGGACCGCTTGCAACGTATAAGAAGCCCATATCCTCTGCGACCGTCTTCCACTTGTCGAACTCTGCTGGCTCAACGTATCGATCCACTTTCATGTGCCGCTTCGTTGGCCTCATGTACTGGCCGAAAGTGACAACATCAACGTCGATCTTTCGTAGCTCTGTTTGCCATGTTTAGCACTTCGTATCTGATCGCGATCATAGCCTACCTCTCAAAGCGTCGAGCACTTGTTCCTCGTTCTCACCAACACCGAGCATGATGCTGGTCTTGGTGATGCGAACACCCTCCTTTTTGGCGTGCTCGAGCACCTTCAGACTTGTCCTGAAGGTGGCCCGCCGATCGCGGACGAAAGGAGTCAGAGCCTCCACAGTTTCGATGTTGTGAGCGTAGACGTCGAGTCCCGACTTGGCGACAATGGAAACATCCTCCATTGAGCCACCAAAGTCGCCGGTGAGAGCTTCGACAAGGATGTGAGAAGCCCTGTGGGCAAGAATTGAGTGCGCAATGATGCAACGAGTATCCGACCGCTTACTTGTGCTTGATTTTGCGGATGGTCTCGGCAAAATGATGTGAGCCACCATCTACCAGGTCTGCGAACAGCGTTGAGTTGACGAGACAGAAATCATGAAGCGGTCGCACCGTCCCGGTCAACACTAGTCAGCACGATGTACCCAAGACCCCATCGACTGATCGCTTCAGCGGTGTTCTCTGGTTCATGCGGGTCGAGCGGAGGTGGCGCGCGTGAGGTCTTGACAGAGCAGAACCTGCAGCCTCGGGTGCAGGTGTCCCCCATTAACTACACGCCTGTCAGTGTTAATCATACGACGAGAAAATGAGACGCTATGAACCATAATGGTCGCTGTTGCCGCACTTCGACCCTCCGCCTCAGTGGCACCGGGCTTGCCACCCCAGCAATCACCAATATTCGGGCAGCGGGCCTCCTCGCAAACGGTATGTAAGCCAAGACCGCGAAGATCCTTCTTGATTTTCTTGAAGGATTCTCCAGACGGAATGGACGTTTTCAGAAAGGAGGGAAGACGAGGCCTGGGGCGTCTCTTAGAAAACGAACGATTCTATCGCAGACAGTGGCCAACCCTCTGGTGTTCCCGAGCACTATTCGTTCCTGTGGGGCAGCGTCCCCCGAAATGAAGTCGTCTAGTGAGGGCCCTGCATCTAGCTGGTTTTTAAATGCTGGTTTCACGGCTACGGAAGGTGTCGTTGTCGCTAGGCCACGGTGCTGCACGGCGAATCTCTTGAGCACACGAAGGGAAGAGGTGGAGCGCGACATTGAAGGATGAGAAGAGAGAGCGGATCAATAATCCGAAGCTGCGGCCTGAGTCGCACTCGGTCACTCCGTTTCGGGCTCCCTACGGGATGACAAAGAGAGCCAAACAAATCAAACTCTCTATGAACGCTTTGTCGCGTCGCGAGGAAGACAATCTCCTGAAGGTCACGAAAGAACGGGCAGTGCAAGAGTGTCATGAAGTTGTAAAGGGTTCGACAGACTCGGACTATGTCTTCTGTGTCTGAACGCGCCATAGCCTTCGCAGACTGTATCACAGGTCGCACAATATCAGTCGCGTGGGCTTGCAGAGGCCAGCTGCGCACGATGCAGGACTGCATGATTCTCTAGTATGTAAACATTTCTTGCTTTACTTCCAGCGATGCAGACTCTACCTGGCCAGCACTGGACCCGAACCATATGAACGAGTGCGCACAGAATATCTGCGACTTCGCACTGAGCAAAAAGCCGCGAAACTACGAGAGTCGGAAGCAAAATCGGTAGCCGCATAAGTGAGTTGACGCTTTGCTCGAATCAAGAGCTGAGTAATGTGCAGTGTATTCAGTACCATAAACAACATCCATCTTATACATCTTATTTGGTACCGCCCACTGCTTCCCACTGCTTCTGCAAAGCCATCAAGGAAGAGATCATGCTGTCTCTTTCTGTTAATGAGATGTTCGAGATACAATGGTGGAACATACGCGAATGTTCCGACAAAACCGTCGTTCATGCTGCTCCATCCCAGGTTGGTTGCCGGGGTCCAGACATCCAACGCGTCCATGATGAATTGATGACGCACAGCGTCCTTCGTTCTGCGAAAGATCAGCAAAGTGAAGATGCATCGGCATAATCTAAAGGCTGACTTGGATATGGCTTGCAGTCGTGACTGGCCATCCATCTTGCTGCCAACGTCTTTCTCGCTGAACTGCTGATGTTTGAGAAGCTTGGCTTCGCGGCTCAAACGTGCAGTCTGTTGAAGCTAAGAATGCAACACAGAATATATTATCATTGAGCTTACTTTGACGGCGGCATGCGTGATTCCAAAGAGAATTCCTGCAAGCCAAGAGCGATTCGCCACCCTCAAGATCTTAGCGGCAGCAGAAGATTCAAGACTCAGGAATTTGATAGTATGAGCCTGCGCCACGTTTAGTCACGAAGAGGGATGAATACCTAGCACGAATGACTGACCCAGGTAAGCATGTCAAACGCCAGGTACGAAAAGTACGCAAGCTGACGAGCAACGGCCAGAATTTGCTCGATTGGTGGGTCGGCCGAGATAGTAGCCTTGAGGGCTGCTTGTAGATGTTCCATGGGCTTGCCCAGTCGAAGGACTGAAATGGTTATCGCTGTGAGACGCACCGGCACTCGTAGTCATGACCAGACTCACGCTTTCGCGCAATAGCCAAATGCGACTTCATGGCATTCCATCGTGCAGAATCTTCCTTGTGGCCGCGCAAAGCCAAAACCCACGAATAAGCTCGGGCGAAGTTCTGCACCGCCCGGTACAGTTTGTCTCGACCAAGAGTGGTCGACCCTAGCTTGAGCGCTCTAGAGACAGAGGGATGAAGCACGAGTTGGGAGGCAATGCTCGCCATGGCGGTTATCTATACGGTGTCGGAGAAGTGGTACAGATGCAAGCTGTTATAAAGTACCCATACTCACGTGTTATTCAAGTCTGGGGTAATCGGCCCGATTCCGGTCCATCCACACTCAATCACGATCGTCAAGAGTCGCGACACGTCCCATAAATTATAACGCATCGAGTGCAGAGTATTCAAATCCTCTAGCTCACTGAACATAACATTTCTCGGGCGCTTCCGGAAAGAAACGTCTTCTTCTGGCGTATCCGGAGACTTCGATGAGATCTTAGCATGTGGCCCTGCGCGGACGCTCCATTGTTTGCATGGATATTCCCATGGCGCAGAGGAAGGACAGTAAGAGAGATAAATGGTGATAGAAAGCGGTGTTAGAGGGAGATTCGAGTTTGCTGGTTGCAGAGATCCCCTTCGAGATTCGCGTCCTTATTTATATTACCCGACGACGTGACATCAAGGCTCACATCAAGGCTCGGGAAAAGTCGGGCATGGTCGGAATGTGGTGGGAAGTGTGACAGCTTTAGCGACAACATTTCTCGACTCCCAGTTTCTTGTTCCCAAAAGGCCGGATCCCAATGGCGAATCGACTCACTGGCCAGGTTCGTGAAACTCGACCGTATTGCAGCATATTCACGTGATAGACATCCAGCTCTTAAGACACTCCACGCAAAGAGTTCATCAAAGACTCTTCTCAAGTACTTCCACTGTCATGGTACTGACTGCCTGTCGACGCGTGTTATAAGCTTTGACTCTTATCCTGCAGTCGGAACAGCAATTCCGTGTGGAAAGGGACACATTCGGCGAGCTACAGGTCCCGGCTGACCGTTACTGGGGTGCTCAGACTCAGCGGTACGTTCTATCATATCTCCGAGGTTACATCGTTGATGATCGTGCAGTTCCCTCCAAAATTTTGATATTGGTGGACCTGCTGAGCGCCTACCTCCTCCCCTGATTAAAGCCTTCGGTGTCTTGAAGAAGGCTGCCTCTATCGTCAATGTCACCTACGGACTGGACCCCAAAGTTGGCTCGGCTATCCAACAGGCTGCTGATGATGTCAGTAGTTCCGCCTCATTCGTCTCCTTTTCTATCCCTAAGCATCGAGCAGGTCATCGCGGGCAAGCTTACGGACCATTTCCCGCTCGTGGTTTTCCAGACTGGCAGCGGAACCCAGAGCAACATGAATGCCAACGAGGTGCGCTCTGCAATCGAGACCCGTGGCTTCACCTCTGAAGTCGCGATCAGGTCATCTCGAATAGGGCGATTGAGATCCTCGGTGGTGAGCTTGGCTCCAAGAAGCCGGTTCACCCCAACGACCACGTTAACATGAGCCAGAGCAGTAACGATACGCAAGTCTAAACCTTCCTCTCTTTTTCTCTGGCCTCATTTCAGACCCCAGCTTCCCCACTGCTATGCACGTTGCAGCTGTCACTGAGATCAATCAGTCCCTGCTCCCTGCATTGATCGAATTGCGAGATGCTCTGGATGCCAAGTCCAAGGCATTTGATCATATCATCAAGATTGGACGCACTCACCTTCAGGTAAGTGTCTGTCAATACAAGACGTCATTTCAGCCAGCTCAGATCTCATATTCTAGGATGCTACACCGCTTACTCTCGGCCAAGAGTTCAGCGGATATGTTCAGCAATTGACGAACGGGATTGAGCGTGTCAAGGCCACCTTGCCGAGACTCAGCTGTCTCGCACAGGGTGGAACGGCCGTTGGTACTGTGAGTGCTGGGTCCTTGAAGTCGGGAGCGGTTTCTGATCTGGCTCAGGGATTGAACACCAAAAAAGGCTTCGATGTGAAGGTTGCTGCCGAAGTATCGAAACTCACCGGGTTGGAGTTTGTGACTGCACCGAACAAGGTAAACACGGCATCTCTCCATTGATCTGTGGTAACACCAAAGCAGTTCGAAGCACTGGCTTCCCACGATGCTTTGGTCGAGGCACACGGCGCTCTCAATGTACTTGCCGTCTCTCTGATGAAGATTGCCAACGACATCCGTTACCTCGGTTCTGGCCCTCGCTGTGGACTCGGGGAACTGAGTCTGCCAGAGAACGAGCCTGGGAGCAGCATCATGCCTGGCAAAGTCAACCCCACACAATGTGAGGCGCTGACGATGGTGGCTGCCCAAGTCATGGGCAACAACACCACTGTCAGCATTGCTGGCTCCAACGGACAATTCGAAGTGTGTTGCCCACCGGTGTCGCGCGTTCCGTTCTCACACTCCGATAGCTGAACGTATTCAAACCGGTTATCATCAAGAACGTCCTACAAAGCATCCGCTTGCTTGCTGATGGTGCGAGACCACCTGACATCTCTAACACGGGACTAATGCAGCAGGACAGGGTCACGCTCCTTCACCAAGCACTGCGTTGTCGGCATCGAGGCTAACGAGAAACGGATCAATACGCTGCTGAACGAGTCCCTGATGTTGGCGACTATTCTGAACAGTCATCTTGGATATGACAGTACGTCACCGTCTCGCTGGCGCTGGGATCTTGCTGATTTTCGGCAGATGTTGCCAAATGTGCGAAGAAGGCCCATAAAGAAGGCACCACCCTCAAAGAGGCCACCGTTTCGCTTGGGTTCCTCTCTGAGGCCGAGTTCGACAGCAAAGTCAAGCCGGAATTGATGTTGCACCCCGATCCTTAGTTACTTATATCAATACCATGTCGCCGTGCGCTACTTACTTGCTCCCCCAACAAAGCTGTTTGTTTGGTGTGTTCTAGAACACCAGAAAACCGTGTGTAATAGCACAGCCACTCGATGTCAGAACCAATCTGGGCATGCATAGGAACAGGGAGTCAGACGGAACCCTGATGCCTTGAGGTCAGAGGAACCTCAAATGAAAAATGCTCTTCAAAGTCATCGTCAAAAATGCGAATGCAGATGGTTTCCCGTCGCTAGCTTTGAGTTTTTGAGGAAGCCAACTGAGTCTAGAAAATGCCAACCTGTCCGCCAATTACGGAAATCCAAGAATGATGTATATAGAGCCTTTCAATCGTTAGGCCGCCCAGGCGGTTCCCATCGCCTGTTGTTTTTCCCCCGTTCCCTTCCCCCTTCGACTTTTGTCTCCCTCCTCTATTGCCACCGGTTTTGACGATATATCGTCGTCGTCGTCGTCTGCGACGTTCCGCTCGAGGCTCTTAAGCTCAACGACGTGTCATGTCGTTGAAACGCATTTTGAACGATGAGCCTGCTCCAGGCCCATTATCTTACACCGCTCCTCGGCCAATCCACGTTGATTCACACCCGTCGTCGAGTAAAGTAACACCGGGTCAATCCCTTCTCCCTCTCCTGGGGGGCTCAGAGTTACCCCCACTTAATCAGCCGTACCCCCAGAAGCCGTTCCCATCCCTTCCGAGCTATCCATACCCACAACATGACTGGTCGCCGAATGAATCATTCGCAATGGAGGAGAGGCGTAGAAGAGAGGAGGATAGCGAGTATGGGCCCCAAAGATCAGTACGTTCTACATGCGGCTCACATCCGTCTTCCTGTCTGAAACGATTCTAGTTTTCTTCGCTCCGATCATCCTCAAGTGAGGCACCTATGGCCTCACTCAAAGATCCACAACGGCCTCTGCCTGCCAATAGGACTGTGGAAGAAGCTCAAATGGCATCGGACCTCGAGGACTTTGAAGACGTGTGGGCTGAGGAACTCAATGTCTACGCGGCCGAGACGCGCAAACGGAAATTAGATGTGGAACAGTGGTACGAAACAAGCGTGCTGGTGAGTTGTTGGGCCGTCAGGCTTGTTCCGACATTTCACGTACTGACACGCGTTTAGGAACGCAACTCCTCTGTCGCGAGATCTGTGTCGCACTACTACTCGACGAAGATGTCAAAAGCCCCTGCCATGGCTGTGCGTTCGCCAGGACATGCAGAGGAGAGTTCACGCGCATTATCCCCAGCCAGCGATCACTCTTACACCATGGACAACTATGCATACGATCCCCCACCGGAGGTTTACGGCGACGGATATCGTGACCGCGAGTATACGTCTTCAGCCAGAGAGATCCCGCGGCTGCCGCCTCCTCCCGTGCCCGTTGCTCCGAACAAGGGCAAAGCTAAGCGCCAGTCGAAGGTCAAGGCGGAGACGCCGGCTGGGGCCGCTGCACCACCCGAACGACCTGCCAAAAGAAGGAAGGTTGCTGCTGCACGCGTTGAAGAGCCTCTTCCGACCTCCGACGCGATGGACGAAACGAACGTTGAATGGGTGCCAACGCCGCAACCCCCATTTCCATCCCGTGCGACAGAAAAAGCGCGCGAGGAACCAGCACAATCAATTTCTTCGATATCTGCAGCCAAAGCTCCGCGTAAGAAACCCGGTCCCAAGAAGAAAGGATTTGGCCCCGAGTTGGAGATGCAACGGGCCTCACTGGCTCCGTCTGTGGCAAGTGACGTAACCCCGGCTTTGTCACGGCCGTCGTCGCGCCCTTCATCGCCCGGGCCTATTGCCAATCCCTACTATTTCGAGCTCGACGAGCAGATTCCGCCGCTCAAGAAAGCCAAGAAAGTGGATGATTCAGTGATGATCAAGCGGCTCAGGACCCTCGAGGAGACGCAACGGAAGGTCTGGACTAATATTGCTCGGAAGGACGTCGCCAAGGTATATCTACTTGCTCGTTTCCCTTTGAAGCTTGCCTTGACAAACACGTGCAGGTGTACAAATATCATGTTTCTGGATACGAAGCTAAGCTCAAGCTGACGGAGCGGGTCGCCAAAGTCGTCTCTGTGCAGGCGCGCAAGCCCTTCGCGAAAACAAACAAGACGACCAAAGAGACACAGACGAAAGCCAAACGCTTGATGCGCGAGATGCAAGTGTTTTGGAAGAAGAACGAGCGTGAGGAGCGCGACGTGCGGAAGAAGGAACACAAGGAGGCCATGGATCGTCTCAAGATGGAGGAAGAAAAGCGCGAGGCCGCCAGACAGGCTCGCAAGCTCGAGTTCCTCATCAGCCAGACGGAATTGTACAGTCACTTCGTGGGAAGCAAATTGAAAAGTACGTGGATGCGTCGTCGAGATGACCTGCTTCTGACAAAACGATAGCTTCTGAAGTAGAGGGAGAAGGCGCTGATACGGCTGCGCCTGCGGGTGCCGACCTCGAAGACGTGGATCGCGCTAACCTGCAAGATATAGACTTCGACGATGGTTCGCGTCCGAGTCGAATCCCTGACGCTCAACTGACCTGCGCCCCTAGAGGATCGCACCAACTTGCATTTGCATGCCAGAGCAAATGCACAAGAGGCCATGGCTATGGCCAAACAACGAGCTCAGCAGTTTGACGTTCAAGCTGCATTGGACCGCAAGACCAATGAGGCACTCAAACTGGCGAAAGGCCAAGCGCATATTCACGATGCTACCGACGAGACGACGGAAGGAGCATCGACATCGGCTCCGCTCGTGGATTGTGAGCGAGCTCTAACGAATGATGGATTGAGACTCATTTCTTTGCAGTGGACTCCGATGAGCTCAACTTCCAGAACCCAACTTCCTTGAGCGGTTCGCTCACCATTGGTCAACCGAAAATGCTCACGGCTCAATTGAAGGAGTATCAGCTGAAGGGATTGAATTGGCTCGCGACGTTGTATGAGCAAGGCATCAACGGAATCCTGGCGGATGAGATGGGTCTGGGAAAGGTCAGTCTTTCGCAGATCCGGTAAATTTGTCACACTCAGATCTTGGCAGACCGTTCAATCGATATCTCTGCTCTCGTATCTGGCCGAAACGCATGATATTTGGGGACCCTTTCTCGTGGTGGCTCCGGCGTCGACCTTGCACAACTGGCAACAGGAGCTGACCCGTTTTGTACCTCATCTGAAAGCTTTGCCGTACTGGGGTAACGTCAAAGATCGGGCGACCTTGCGCAAGTTCTGGAGCAAGAAGGAAATCACGTACAACAAAGATGCCCCGTTCCACGTCTTGATCACAAGTTACCAGCTCGTATGCTCTTTGCTATCGGGATTTTTTCAGTCACTCATTCACCATCTTAGGTCACTCAGGACCAGCAGTACTTCCAGCGTGTCAATTGGCAGTACATGATTCTCGATGAAGCTCAGAACATCAAAAACTCGTCCAGTGTCCGATGGAAAACTCTGCTTGGGTTCCACTGTCGCAACCGACTGCTCTTGACCGGGACGCCCATTCAAAACTCGATGCAAGGTATGTTGTTTACATCTTGTTGGCAGTGCTCCTTCTGACAAGATCACAGAGCTGTGGGCGCTGCTGCATTTTATCATGCCTAGTCTTTTCGATTCTCACGACGAGTTCAATGAATGGTTCTCGAAAGATATCGAGAACGCAGCGGAGAACAAGGGAAGCAAACTCAACGAGCACCAGCTCCGTCGTCTCCACATGATTCTCAAGCCTTTCATGCTGCGGAGAGTCAAGCGCCACGTCCAAAACGAGCTCAGTGAGAAGGTTTGGCGAGTCGCCCTATGCTCCAGGATCTTGCTCATCTTTGAACAGATCGAGAAGGATATCTATGTCGACTTGAGTGCAAGGCAGCGGTCGCTTTACAAGGCTTTGCTCCAGAATGTTTCAATCACAGACTTGCTCGAGAAAGCTGCCAACATTGGCGACGCTGATTCTGCCCGGACGTTGATGAACTTGGTGATGCAATTCCGCAAGGCAAGTCTCATGTCGATTGTTGTCAGTATTAGCTGAATCGGAACAGGTGTGTAACCATCCCGAGCTATTCGAACGTGCGGATGTGGTTGCACCCTATTCGTTCGCGCTCTTTGGCCGACCTGGACCTCTCAATCGAGAGGGTGATTTTGTACTAATGCCATACTCAACGAGGAACCCGATCGAGTTCTCGGTCCCAGAGCTGATGTTCACTGGCGGTGGATTGTTGCGAGTGCCGTCGGAGGATTCGACCGTTCCGTCGCAGAGCAGTTGCCTCAACAAACTCATGAACATTTGGTCCCTTGATTGGGTTCATCGTTCGCTGTATGAGGAGGGTGCGTCTGCTTCTTTTCGAATTGGCGGTGCCCATCCTGATTTCGCCGAAGCATCCTCGTCTTTCTCCTTCCTGCGACTCATCGACAGTTCTCCTCGAGAGGCCCACGATCTGCATCTAGCGCCGCTGATTAGCCGTCGGTTGAGTGCTATCCGGCACGACATCTCGGCTGTCGAAGAGGCGCCATTCTACTGGTCGGTGCACATCCCTCTCCCTCTTGAGCGTAGTTGTCTCAAAGTATCCCAGTGAGCCGTCGTTCGCAGCCCATCAACTTCGGAGCGAGTTTAATGTCCCGCCACTATCTTCTCGGCTTCGATGCCTAGAACGCGTCCCAGGACTGCCGGATCTCCAAGCGATCAGTCAAACTGCGTGGTCCCTCAGCTGTCTGTCTCGACCTGAGTTGAGATGGTTTGTTCCTTCTGCGGTCGCTCTTCCGATTTCGATGTATTGCACAAATCGGGTGTTCCTGGAGAGGCAGGAGCAGCTGCTTGATGCACCGTTGGAAACCCTGGCACTGTTCGGTCTTCCTGCCGAGTTTCGAGACTCGCAGGACGCTTGCGATCGGTACTGCGAGCTCACTCACGGGCTCGACACGCAAGGTCTATTCCGCAACTCGCCTTCGGATCAGATGCCTCCTCCGACCATGCAAGTCCCCGAGGCCAAGCGTCTAATTTACGACTCTGCCAAACTCGCAGCGCTGGATGCACTTCTCCAGGAGCTCAAGACAGGCGACCACCGAGTGCTCATCTACTTCCAGATGACCCGCATGATGGACCTCATGGAAGAGTACCTCATATATCGTCAATACAAATATCTGCGACTGGATGGCTCTTCCAAGATTGAGGACCGGCGTGACATGGTCATCGACTGGCAAACCAAGTATGCCGCCATTTTCTTCGCACTGGCTCATGACTAAGCTCCCCGCAGGCCGGATATCTTTGTGTTCATTCTGAGCACTCGGGCCGGTGGTTTGGGCATCAATCTGACTGCGGCGGATACTGTGATATTCTATGACCATGACTGGAACCCTTCGAACGATGCGCAAGCCATGGACAGAGCTCATCGACTTGGCCAGACACGTCAGGTGACCGTCTACCGCCTGATCACCAAGGGCACAATCGACCAGCGCATCGTCCAGATGGCGCGCGTGAAGAAAGATGTCGGTGCTCGTTTCAAATCGATCTGTCTTTTGACTAAATGTGTTTTAGGTTCAAGATCTCGTTGTCGGACAAAAACTTCACGGATGCCAACAAGCCGAGCGAGATCATGCAACTGTTGTTCGATGACGAGCAGCTCGCCAACATGGAGAACACTCGTGGCCAGCCTCCTGACGGGGGCTCTGCCAAACTGTTCAATGTCGAGGGTGATGATATGGACGACTTCTTCGGCCACTCCGGTCCGTCAGCCCCAGCCCCGACTAATTCCAATGAGAACGGCGAGGAAGAAAATCCCACAGGGACCGGTGCCCGTGGGAAGAAACGCAGAGGCACTGGAGCACCCCGCGGGCGCAAGCCAGGTCGTAAGAAAGCTGATCAGTAGCAGTATCCGTGACTTGTTCATCTGTTTCTTGTTTTGACATTGCATCTCGTACCATCTCTTACTGTAGAAATCTGCATTAGTATAAGAACAGCCCAGTCATGTAGTAGTATATGTAAATCTACCTTTGAAGGAAGGATCAGCATCGGCACCGGTTCCGGCCAAACATCTTTGTGGCGAAATGTGACGCCGACTCCGTGACTCGGTGCTCTCCACTTTTCGTGCGTATCATCTCTCATGCTCATACCAACCGCACCATCTACACTAGAATCCACAAGAGCAACATCTAGAAGTTGTATACGCGGTCATTTCACTGGCCGGGAGGAGCTGCAGTCGGAGAACCCGAGCACCCACACCCTATTCTACGACCATACTTAATTGACCCCGACGCCGACCCATACACGTTTGACGACCACCCCGACTTGCACCAAGTCCCGGATACGGCGCTACCCCCGAGCGTAGTTTCACCACCCTTGTCGGTCGCGTGCGATGGCCAAGAAGAAAAAAAGCCAACTGAAGCCAGTGAACCGCGGGTTCGCGACGACTTCTGTCCCGAAGAAAGTCGTGGTCGAAGAAGAGACCCCGGACGTCCCCACTGTGGATGCTGGAGACAAGGACGGTGGCGCTGCGGAGGCGGCCGGCGCCACCGCGGAAGGCGGTCCGTTGGTCGAAGAGCAGGCGCTGCAGACGCTGGTCGACAAGCAGGACAAAGTGGAGAAGGAGATCGCAAGGTGCGTCTTGTTTTTATACCTCCCCTCCATTCCAAGCTGAGCCGGTTTATCTCAGATTCATCAAGGTTGCCTTTGTTTCGTTCGAGCCTCCGGACTGCGCTGAGAGACTTCTTTGCAGATCATCGAGACTGAAAAACGCTACTCCTATACGCTACCCCCATTGGAATTGAATTCGGCTCTGAGGAATCGCGTCCTTGCGCTGCTGGTGGAGTCCGAGGAGCTTGCTTCAGGCCAGGCCACTCCCCATCATCCGGAGCTGGAGTCTGAGGAAAAGGCTCTGAACAAGTTGGCAATAACCTACGGTGTTCTACGTCGGCTCCTTTTCACAGAGGAGCGCGTGGACGAGTGTCTTCGTGCCATCAAAGGTGTCGAGTTGGACGAGGCATTCGAATGGGTATGTTCATTGGTTCGTTGTCACAAATCGAGATCCTGACTGCTTGGTCCTCAAGCTGTATATACATTGCTCTCAGGAAGAACTGGAGGATCAGCGTGGGTGGATTGGATTGGATTGTGTGAGTTGAGGTACTTACTTTTCTTTCAGAGGTTACAGAATCGGTCGAGCCTCGGACACCTAGGTCTCCTCGAGGACCGTCCCATCCACCACGGACTCCTTCCCAACCCTGGACGATTCAGACACCTTCCTCGCCCACAGCTTCTTTCACTCCATCCCTCATGACACCGACTGCTTCCATCAGCTCCATCTTGGATGCTAACGCGGTCCCCTTCGTCCCATCTTTTCTTCGCGCACCAACGGCATCTGATGACTCCAAGCCCGCGCCTCACGACAATTGCGATGACACCAAAGTGGATTTGAAGTCGCGCATCCTGGAGCAGCTGAACCATTCGTCGGACTCCGACGACGACGACGACGATACAGCCGGACAGTATGCGCGCATCAGGATGAAGATTGATGCCATCTCCCCAGCGGGACCTGCCGCGGAGCTGCAGTCTTTACGAACACGACTGGAGCAGATCCAGAACCACTACTTTTTCGACAAGAGAGAGGCTGAGGCTCGATACCGGGTCGAAGTCCGCAAGGCCGATTCGGTGGCTCTCCAAGCGCGATTACGAGGCACTGACGCGCCGCCTTCGACGAAACCGCGGCCACTTAACCTGATCACGGTAGCGCCCCAGCCTTTCGATGCTGTTGCCGAGGAGGGTGATATATTTGACGAGGACGACGGTCCAGGCGGGCTGTTTGACGCGCTGGAACCCATGCCCGGAGAGGTTATGACTTCCCAGAACAAGCTTGTTCCCGTGCGCGACATGAAGCTGCCGAAGCACTGGTCAGGTCGCACACCGAAACTGTTGTTGATTGAAATGGTCGGCAAGATTGATCGCTATGCTGCCATCAGCTACAAGCTCCTGTCGGACAGCAGTCGTGCGAAGCGTTGTTCTGTGAGCATCCGGTGGAATGTGCTCAAAGCTGATGAGTGGTCGATGGACGATGTCGCCTGTTTCGACCAGGAGCAGGCTGAGCAGTACATTGCGGCTATTGCCTTGCACGACGTGACTTTCCCTTCACGCGATGCGTTTACTGCCGCCGCACCTTCGACAAACCAGACCTTTTTCCGTTTGCTTCCTCCTGTTTTCAGAGACTTCTGGGAGGAACTTGAGGCCGAACGCAAGACCAAAACAGATGCGTTGAACCGTGCTGTTTGGGCCAAGCTGCAGTCGATTCTAGACTCGAAGATCGGGGACATCAAGGTCAGATATTCTTAGCCGCTAGTGCCTGCAGAGATTGATCAGTCCTCAGTTCAACACCAAACAGGTCAAGGAATCGAACGGTACCCGGTCGACAGCCATGCCCCGATCGTATCTATCTACCAACAGTGCTATTACGGAGCAGGTCATGGCAGACTTTGAGGCTAGACAGGCCAGCTCAGCGTATCAAGAGATGCTGGCGAGTGTTTTCGCTGTCTAGGTCTCAGCCGTGCATTGACCGATCATAGGTCCACCGCAATCAGCTGCCTATCGCACAGTACCGTGACGAGATCATCAACACCCTGGAAGACTCTCAGGTCCTCGTCTTGAGCGGCGAGACCGGCTGCGGAAAATCGACGCAGGTTCCCGCCTTCATCTTGGAGCATCAATTGAGCCAAGGGAAGATGTGCAAGATCTACTGCACAGAGCCCCGCCGGATCTCGGCGATCTCTTTGGCCCAGCGTGTCTCGCGAGAGCTGGGCGACGGCCCGTCTGCTGTGGGGACGTTGGCGTCGCTGGTCGGGTATGCTATTCGGCTGGAATCCAATACCTCGCGCAATACAAGGCTTGCGTTTGTCACGAATGGGATTGCACTGAGAATGCTGGAAGGGGGCTCCAGCTCCACGGGTCAAGGCACCGCGTTTGATGAGATCACTGTAAGTGGAATGCGGCGCATCAGTCCCTCAGTTGACTCAATTTTGCAGCATATCATCATTGATGAAGTGCACGAGCGCACAATCGAGTCGGACTTTCTGCTGATTGTGCTGAAGCATCTCATCCGGCAACGGTCTGATCTGAAGTAAGACAGCGTTGTTGGATATGGCTCCCACTGACACTGTACAGGGTCATTTTGATGTCAGCGACGGTCGATGCAACAAAAATATCAGAGTTCTTCGACAACTGTCCCACTCTTCATGTCCCTGGCCGCACCTTCCCGGTGCAGGTCAATTTCCTGGAAGACGCCATCCAGTGCACAGGTTGGGAGGTCAACGAGACATCGCCATACGCTCGTCGACGTACGTCTTCCATCTTTCTTCGTCATTGACAATGACCGACCTCATTTCAGAGAACGACAAGTTCTACCAGGGCAAAAACCGGGTTGACTGGTCTGAAAGTATACTGACACGAGAGGACGACGAGGACGACGCGATTCATGAGAGTGTGAAGCTCGAGAAACGCTACTCGGCTTCAACGACCCAAACTATCAATCTGTTCGACGAGCGGCAGGTGCCTTATGAGTTGATTGTCCGACTGCTCGAGCACATCTGCTTCCAAGACTCGGAGTACTCCGGCTTTTCCAAAGCGATTCTCATCTTCATGCCTGGTCTCGCTGAGATCCGGCGCCTGAATGATATCCTGACTGAGCACCGATCGTTTGGGAACGATGATCTGTTCCGTCTGCATCCCCTGCACTCCACGTTGTCGAGCGAAAGCCAGGGCGCGGTGTTTGACATTCCTCCTCGCGACATCCGCAAGATCGTTATTGGTGTGTTGGCACACTCCCGACATCTTCCGGTTTAGGCTCATCGTTCCTTCACAGCGACGAATATCGCTGAGACGGGTATCACCATTCCGGATATCACCTGTGTCATCGACACGGGAAAGCATCGCGAGATGAGGTGCGTGCTAAATCTTGACCCGCTCCGGTCTTATGTTCGCTGATGTGACTCCACAGATTTGACGAGAAGAGGCAAATCAGTCGTTTGGTGGAGACATTTGTAGCTCGCAGCAACGCAGCTCAACGTCGAGGGAGAGCGGGTCGTGTACAACCCGGACTGTGCTTCCACCTGTTCACCAAGTTCCGTCACGACACCCAGTTGGCCGAACACCCTCTGCCGGAGATGATGCGTCTCAGTCTGTCTGATTTGGCGCTGCGGATCAAGATCATGAAGGTCAAGATCGGGAACTCTATCGAGGATGTCTTGTCTCGTGCGCTCGATCCACCGGTGTCCATCAACGTGCAGCGAGCGGTGGCAATGCTCGTCGAAGTCGGAGCACTCACACCCGCCGAAGAGATCACACCGATGGGTCGTCTGTTAAGCAAGTTACCCACTGATGTTCACCTTGGGTGCGTATGGCATGGCAGACGATGGACGAGACTTATTGTTTAACAGCAAATTCCTGTTGACTGCTGTTCTCTTCCGATGCTTGGATCCCGCCTTGTCGATTGCTGCCGCCATCAACTCAAAGTCGCCTTTTGTCACACCTCTGGGCCTCGAACAGGAAGCGGACCGGGCCAAGCTCAACTTCAGATCAGACAACTCTGATTTCCTGACGATCCATAACGCCTTCTCCAGTTGGCGGAGAGCCTGTAACAACGGCACACCGGCTGCTGCTCGGGCATTCTGCCGTGCTAATTACCTGAGCCATCAGGTTTGTGATGTCCTCCCCTTCTGCTGGATTGAGGCTCAACATTCCGTAGAACCTACAGCAGATGGAGGAGCTACGACAACAGTTCCTGGGGTACCTGGTCGATTCGGGCTTCATGCGAGTCGACAACACCTTCATCCGAGAGCTTACTCGAGCGCGTTATGGCCGACACCATCGCACCCGCTTCATTCTCGTTCCCCCAGAACTCGACTCGAATACGACCTCGCAGAACAATCACATGCTCAGCGCAGCGCTGGTGAATGGGCTGTATCCGAAGATCTTGTCGGTGGATCCGAACAGCGGCCAGATGCGGACCATCACAAACAACCAGACCACGTCTTTCCATCCGTCATCTGTCAACTTTGGGCAACGTCCGACAAACCTGAAAGCGAATCATCTCGTGTACTTCACCCTGATGCATTCGAAACGGCTGTATGTGTGGGAAACTTCGCCGATTGACGATTTGGCTCTGGTGTTGTTGTGTGGCGACGTCGACTTCAAACTGGGTGCCAACTCGATTTTCATCGACCGGAAAATCAAGTTCCATGTCTCGCCCAGAGACACCGTCGCCCTGAAGCATCTAAGGACCAATATTGCCTCGATTCTTGCTCAGCAGTTCCGCAGTGGCGTGAGTGTTTTCGTCGATTCTCTCATCATACTTCTTATGATGTTTCCGTAGCCTCTTTCTGAGTCTCAAGTCTTGTGGAATGAGGTCGTCTCTGCCGCTTTGGGCAAATTCCCTCTCGAATCATGATCAGTACATACCAGTCATTACTTGTTGTTCGATCACACCATCAATTACATCGTGATCATATCAGTACTCAGGTTTTTCCTCCCTACCTAAAATCAGCGTCGGCTTCAATGGCGCCGGCACTCACTCGCGAGCAAGTCGCCTCCGCTCAGCTTGACGGCGACTACTCTATCAAGTCCGAGTCGACTGCCCCGAAATTGGACACTTCGGAATGGCCCCTCCTGCTCAAAAATTACGACAAACTGCTCGTTCGGTCTAGTCACTTTACGCCCATCCCATCGGGCTGCAGTCCCCTCAAGCGGGATATCCAGACATACATCAAGTTCGTAGGACAGTTTATCCCTGCTCACATCAGATTTTAACGCGGTGGTAGGTCTGGTGTAATCAACCTCGACAAACCCTCCAATCCCTCGTCGCATGAAGTCGTAGCATGGTTAAGGCGTATTCTGAGGTGTGAAAAGACCGGGCACAGTGGGACGCTGGACCCCAAGGTCACTGGGTGCTTGATTGTGTGCATCGACCGCGCAACAAGACTGGTCAAATCCCAACAGGGTGCCGGTGCGTTCATCCCCCCCTTCCTGCTTCTAGAAAAGAAACGGGCTCTGAACGTGTGTAGGTAAGGAGTACGTCTGCGTGATCCGACTGCACGACGCGCTGCCCAACCCCGCCGCGCTGCCCCGCGCGCTGCAAACACTGACGGGCGCGCTCTTCCAGCGCCCGCCTCTCATCTCCGCCGTGAAGCGCCAGCTGCGCATACGCACGATCCACGAGTCCAAGCTGTTCGAGTTCGATGAGAAGCGCAACCTGGGCGTGTTCTGGGTGTCCTGCGAGGCGGGGACGTACATCCGGACGCTGTGCGTGCACCTGGGGCTCGTGCTGGGCGTCGGCGGGCATATGCAGGAGCTGCGGCGCGTAAGGAGCGGTGCGATGTCCGAGAACGACGATATCGTGACCATGCACGATGTGATGGACGCGCAGTGGGTGTATGATAACACGCGGGATGGTACGTGTGCGGTCGGTGTTCAGAGTAGGGAGTGTTGCTGATGCCGCCCAGAATCATACCTCCGCCGCGTCATCCGGCCGTTGGAATGCTTGATGGTCGGCTACAAACGCATAGTCGTCAAAGACAGCGCTGTGAACGCCGTCTGCTACGGCGCCAAACTCATGATCCCTGGACTGCTGCGCTACGAGGCGGACATTGGCGTCAACGAGGAAGTCGTGCTGATGACCACCAAGGGCGAGGCCATCGCTCTGGCTGTCGCACAGATGTCGACTGTGGAGCTGGCCACCTGCGACCACGGCGTCGTCGCCAAAGTGAAGCGCTGCATCATGGAGCGCGATACGTACCCCAGGCGATGGGGTCTGGGTCCGATGGCTCTGCAGAAGAAAAAGATGGTCAAAGATGGCAAACTTGGCAAGCACGGCGAGAAAATCGACGCGACCCCGGCAGAGTGGAGTAAAGACTACGTTGACTACAACCGGGACGAGGTGCGCCGATTTTTTTTTGCGCGTACTTCCATTGGACTCAGGGGTTCACGTTTCATTAGCCCGCCGCGGCTGGCCCATCCACGACAGCTGTTTCTGCCCCTGCGCCTGTTGCCCCGGTTGATGCTGTGATGGCCGATCCTGCCGCCGATGAAAAGGCTGAGAAGAAGCGCAAGCGCAAGTCGGAAGTCCCTGCGGGCGACGTCTCGATGGTCAGTGTCGGCGCGGACGAAGACGGCGAGTCAGAGCGCAAGCGCAGAAAGAAGGAGAAGAAAGCTGCGAAGGAGGCTGCAGCAGCTGCTGGGGAAGAAGAGGACGAAGAGGCAAAACGGGAGAGGAAACGGCTAAAGAAAGAGAAGAAGGCGAGAGAAAGCGTAGGGGGAGCATGATTTTGTTGTAAATTATCATGTTTCATTCTTGCATTCAAGTTTATGCCTTTTCTTGTTTTTATGATCAAGAGTGTATTGAGTGGCTAGCACTACAATTACTAGGGTCAACCTAGACAGATAATTGCCATGTCATCAAGACAGTGAGTAGAATATTAGTCCGTGCCAAAAGTTCATGAAAGACGTCAAGAGGGAGGAGTAGGGAATCAGAGCAGGAGAGCCGAGACGGCAAAGACAGCCAGGGCAGCGACACCGCCTCCAACACGGACGGAGACAGCGCCACCAGTCGTTGAGGCCGCCGATCCCGAAGGAGCAGCCGCGCTCACAGCCGCAGCAGAGCTCACGTTCGTCTTGAACGACTTGGCAATGGTCTGGAACGCAGAGAAGTCCCGGGGTTCAACGGCATTGACCGAGAAGACCATTCCGGCCGCGCAGTCTGTCCATAATCAGCACATGGAACCGGGGAGGGATCTGCGTCGAGACTTACGGCCAACTTGTCCGCAGTAGAACCACAGCGGGTTGGTCGAGTTCACGGTGACGTTCCAGGTAGGGAAATCGGTCGCGCCGGCTAGTCATGATGAGTTACTGGATTAAATGGATTGAAGGAAATAACACACTGGCCACGGGCATGAAGCCGGACGCAAGACCAAGAGGAGCAGACGCATTGTTGGCGTTCAGACGGTGGCACGGGTCAGCGAAGGAGCTCTGAGTGACCGTATGGTTCTTCTGTTGGCTGGAGAGACAGGTCAATGGGCGTCTATGAGGGAACGAAGGGAAAGATCACGTACAATTGGAAGACGATGGTGTCCCGGGGAGAAGCGCTGAGCTCAGATGAGCACCTAAAAGAGAGGCCAAGACGCGCACGTACGTGATGTTGTTCGGGGTGAAGAACAGGTTGGGGCCGTTGGGTCCAGTGCCACCGACGATGACAGTGTGAACGGCACCTGCAGCAGCAACGGGAGTCGCCGCCGGCGAGTTCTGGAGGGAGGTGTACGTCGTGGTCCAGACGGAGGTCGTATCGAGCGTGATGGGAACTGTGACAACGCTTTGAGGAACAACAGGTGGGAGAGTCGTGTAGCTGTAGTCCGCAGTGCTGGTAGCCGACGCGACAGCAGTTGCGGGCGCGCTAACGGCTGCGGCCGAAGCCGAGGAAGCGGCAGCGACCAAACCAGCACCGATATCAAGAGCAGACTTCTTGAAGGTGTCGAACGTGTTGGGGCCGGACTTGGGGCAGTTGATGGCCATAATCATTCCCTTTCCACAGTGGCTGGCCGGGGTGTTCTTGGCCTCTGTTCAGAAGTTAGGTGCCGTCTCAATAGCTTTGCACAGATTAACTCACGCGCACAGTAGATCCAAATTGGCGCGGTCTGGAGAGCCCATCAGAAGAAGATCAATGCTCGCATATGGGTCACGCACATCGTTGACTTGAACCGTGTAGGTGGGACGCGAGTCAGCAGACACATTTGCAGCAACCGGCATGCTGTTCAGCCATTAAAATCGCAGGGAATATTGGAAAATACGATCGGCACTCACAACCCGGAAGTAAATCCACCATCCTTCAACGAGCAAGGGGCCGCGAAGCTGGACTGCGACACGGTGTGGTTCTGGGGCCGATTGATGGAGTGTTCAATCGGAAGAGCGAGTCAAACCCACCTTGGGGTTGAAGTGGAACACAACCTGATCTCCTGGCATGGCGTTCTGCAATAATCCAGCGCGATTACTATCCCATCACGGTCGTCGGATGCAGATGATGGACATACCACAATCTCAGGGACGAAGACAAGGGTCCCGTTGCTCTACGGAAAAACCAAGATTCTCAGCAAGACTGATAGGGCGGAGAGCGAAGCCCACACACCCCTCCGACATCGACATCATAAACAGTGGCAAAGACGGCGGGCAAGAGAGCCAGGCCCAAAGAAAGAGAGGCAAACATCGCTAGCGAGGATAGAATTGGGTGGATTTTCAAAAGGAGTTCAAAGAATGTCAGGTGAACCAAGCAAAACGCTGGAAACTGTCGCCGGGAAGTTGGAGGAGGAGGGGAAGAAAGGAAAGATTGGATCAAATCTGCTTGCCGAGGCTTTTATGCGATAGCCTTTTCAGGACAATAGCGACTGGTCCCATTCTATTGGTTCATCACGCCAAACACCTCAGGCCTCCTGGAGAGTCTGCGTTGCTAGGCTGGTCGTCAAGCATTTACAGGACCGACATCGCTCTAATCAGTTCCATCCCACAAGATGCCGATAAGCAGAGCCCGGTACGGCCCTTTGTAGCAACGGGCTATACGCATCGAAGGCAGTTTCCAGTACGACCGAGGACTGAGAACATGTGGGGCTGTGATCTGGTGAAGGTTCGCATTTTCTGACGCCAGTTCTTGTAGGAAGGCCCTCTTCTTGAGTGATTGCCTGGCCCTTCAGACCCGGGCAACTGGGCATCCGTAAGCAATCTGTGTCAATGAAGCCGCAAGCTCACACCCGAGACACAAACCGGCTCCGTCCTCCCGCCAGCCAGTTTCCATTGAATCCATGCATTGTCGTCTCCCCTCATATCCCAGGCTGCTCGCGTTTCTGTTGATCAAGAATCGGAATTTCTCGCCCTCAGAGAGCCTTCAAGTTTGAATGAACGTGTTGCTTGTACAAGTGTGCATTAGATAGTTAGGCTATACATGAATCAACACATTTGTTCCAAAAATACAGCTAAGATGGATAGAAATCGGCGGCGTTTAGAATCGGCTTCCAGCCCAGAATCCACTCGAGGCAACACCCTCAACGCCGAAATCGCCGAATCGGGTGTCGCTGTCCAATTCAGTCCCATACATCGTTCGCGAGGCCTGTCCGTCAGGTTCTCCCGGAAGTCGTGGCAGAGCCTTGAAGCCAAACGAGGCGGCCAGCTCTTCTCGCTCTTTCTCTGAGGGACGATGACTGATCACAGAAGGGTCAACAAATGACCCGTCGCGTGAGGACAGGCTCGTAACACGGGATCGCGGCCGACTTGGAGATGGTAAACCGAACGGCTCGAAAATATCCGTGCGACCAGTGTCACGTGATGGGCTAATTTGGTTTGGACCCGTGGGGGTTGGCGATGTGGGGGCTTCAGGGAAGGGGAAACTGGGCAGGGCGAATAAAGAGTCCGAAGGAGTAGATGTGAGAGGGAGGAAGGCATAATTGAAAGGATGCTGATTTTCAGAGGCGTTCCGGGTGCTAGTCGTCGTTCCCGAAGAGGAGGCCCCATAAAACGCAGGCAGTCCCTCCATCGGAGGAGGAGGATCCACATAGGACTCCTCCTCGCCACTATATACAGTGAAACTCGGCACTCGAGGTGGAGTGGGCACATCCTCGGCGTCCATCGCAGAATCGTCCTGCAGTTTGGGCCGTTTCTTCGTCGGGCGCGTCACTAGTTTAGCGAGTTCGTCAGCGTTCAGCTGGCCCTCCTCGCCATCTTCAATGACCCCTGTGAGATCGCTTGAAGAGGAATCTCGATGTCGCTTCCCAAGCAGTTGCGGAGCAACACCGGGTGCAGGCATGTCACTTCTTTTGATCATGCCCGCTGTGCGTGAATTCGAAGAACTGGACATGTTGGAATCGTTCTCACTGCATAGAGTCAGATCATCGGGTGGACTGGCAGAAGGGAACTCACATTCCACCTCCAGAAGATGCATCAGCCACGCCAGTTCCTGGCGCACGATCGGTCATCTTCCACTGCTCGAACTCGGCTCGCAGTGAGGCCATTCCCACAGACTGTGCGGATAACGTTTCGAGTTGAGCAGCGAGGCTTGAGACCTTCTCCTGCAGGAGTTTAACGTCGGCGACCTGCTTATGCAATTCGGCGATTTCTGCTTTCAGTCCAGGAACTTGCTCAGCTTCCGTTTTGAACGATTTTAGTTGCTCAAGAATAGGTGCAAGCTAGGAATAGACATTCAATGCAATGACATCAGTCGAAAACAACGGAACGCACCTGATCGGTGATCACGCTTGCAATCTGTTCCCTCCGTGTCTCCGCCGACTCAAGCTCGTGTACAGATTGTGGGATTATTTCCCTCGATTGTGGTTTGGATGGTCCAGCTGAATAGTGTTTGAGATGACGGCCTCCCATGTACAAACAAAAAACCCACCCTCAGGCTGTTCTTCGTCGCCTGCGAGAGAGTCAGGGTGAAGGACACGGGGACTGAACTAATCATAACGCACCTTCCTCAACGATAGTCTCCTGCACTGGCTTGGCTATCTTGATACTCTTCCCACGTTTCCCTTTGGCGATGCTCATGGACTTCGTCACCGCGCGTGCGCCGCTTCCTCCGGCCACTACTGGCCGTCCCATCCCAAGTCGAGTTTGTGTCTCCTTTGCTTTGCGAGTCCGAGTCGGCATGGGCTCCGGCTCCGGCTCGGGGTGATTCTCGGTCTCCTCCACGTTCGTACCCTGTGATCCTGATTCGTCTTCGTCATCCGTGTCGTGAATAATCACAGAGCTGATTCGGGGTGCGGTCGATCGACTGCTCTGCCTCGTGGAGACACTGCGGCGTGCTGCGGGGACTACCGCAGGAGGTGCCGGTATGGGGACCATCCGGGGATTCGCGTTTCTGACAATATTCGGTTATTGAGATGAAAGGATGCTCCCACAAGTACCTCGTATCCAATAGCAATTCGATCAAGGCCTCGGTCTTGAGGTTTGCTTTGACGCCATAGTCCTAACATGTGCTTAGGCTTCAAAGAAAGGAAAGCGAGGCCGTTATCTACTTTGCAGAGCTTCTGTAGCTCTGGGCGTTTCATCTCCTGCATCTCTTTACGCGTCGGTAGCACTGGCATCGCGTTGCTTAAGTCGTCTCGTGTTCGTTGCTTTCGTATGTGGGTTTCGGAGTAGAGTCGAGGGGCGAGTTTCAGAGCCGAATTGGGACTTCGAGCAGAGATTGAGCGCTGAGGCAGTCGTAGGTGGTCTTCAAGGTGAGCGTTGACGGCGAAGAAGACAATCGCTGACCTCACGTGTTTGGTTCGACGGGCGTGGGAGTTCTCATAATTGTTAATCGCCGTTCAAGTCTTTGACTGAGCACATGACCGAACGTGTAAGATGACCTCATCATCTTTTGAGCTCTGGAATAGGGTCGACGACAAAGGACATGGTCTGTTTTAGGAAAGGATGATCATGATGCAGAGTCGGGGTCTCAGTGTCACATTGTTACGGTGACATAGTCATGTCATCAGGTCTGCATAACCATGACGTACCCTCACGTGCTCCAGTGGACACGACGTGTTCCCTCATTCGGGATGCGCACGGACGCGTTCTAACTGGTAATATTGGCTCGAGACTGGTCGAGGTGCCTGAAAAAATAAGAATAAAAGAATAAATCGAAAGAGGAAGAAGTGGAAGAGGGGAGGAAATCGGAACAGTTTGCCCCGATCACAGTCGATGTCGGAAGTGTCGGCGTTCGGATGCCGGCGGCACAGCAACCACGTGTTGGCAGAAAAAAAAAAGTGCTGTGATCTGTTCCTCGAGCTCAGAGGCCACTAACACTTGTTCCATTTGTCACAATGGGTGACTTTCCATAAGCATATTTACATAGATTGACCTACATAAAACATAAATGCCGAGGTGCCGGGCTGTTGATGGGGACCCCGGCGTGTCCTTATCTCGCTTCAGGCCTTGCATAGACTTGCCAAGTCGACGAATCTGTGTGAGGGGTAGGTACCCCCTGCACAGACCATAAACCACTTGCATAAACCAAAAAAGGCAGGAGCCATCACATCTCCGCTGTCTACGCACCTTATGCCCGCCAAAGATATAGCCGTTTTGGAGCACGGCTTTCTGCTTGCAATCTGCGTCCTTCCACATGAGCCGCGCCAATGAGCGCCAGTGCTCCCCGTCTCCTCGCCTCCTCCTCCTCCTCGTAGATCTCCTCTGAGATTTGCTGAATCTGTTGCCAAAGGTGCACGTCCTCGCCTTCCTCCATAGTCGAGTGATAAGATAGATCGGAGTGTCGAAGATCGATGACCGCGGAATGTGACAGTGCATCAGCGCATCATGGCATCACACAATTTGTGCTGTTATGCGGAAATGCGATGTGGAAAGGGCACCTTACATAGACATATCCCATAAATGTAAGCGAGATCATTTGGCACCCCGTTTATTATCTATGTCTATGTAAATATGTTATGGAAAGTCACCCAATAACTCCTTAGAATGGCACTAAGAAAATTACATCATTTTCCGTCTGGCAGGAGGCCCATCACAAGTGCCTTATGCTATCTAGCGGAGTTTGAAGCTACCTCGCGGATCAGAAGCACCAAATTAAAGGACACGGTCTCCAATACAATTGCCCTGCCGAATCTCTGATTTCAGCCGTTTTTTCGCATATCGGTCCGTCAGAACTGATCATAAATGAAATATTTTTGAGACATCGACAGCAGATTGGCACGGTAGGGCACGGTCGTACCTCCGCTTGCGCCTCCTCCGAGGCCAGGAGCTATATACTGAGTGCATATTTCAAAACAAGGGCATGGGATTTCCCCTGAAAGCGGCGCAAGCCGAAGGGCTCGAGCGCGCCGCCATCAACGACGAGCACGCTTATGACGTCGGGAACGGTCATCAGAGGCTTCGAATAAGCATATACACGTCCTCGAGTCACGGAGTGCCAGGACCCCAGCACACCCGATCGATCTATCAGTCGAAACAGACCATGTCCTTTGTCGTCGACCTTACTCTGGAAGCGTTCAAGTGTGAGGTGTACATATATGAACTACAACGAGAAACATGGTCGAATTTTGCAAAGCCACTTGAAGCAGGTTCGGCCCCGAGAAAGTTGACAACATATATGCTCCCCTGAGCGTGCCGGCCCGGATTCTGCCATCGGACTTCGGACCGACTTCGGCTACTTACCCCAGTTCTCGAATTCTGAGCGTGCGATCTCTCCTCCTCCTACCCACTATCATGCAGTCGGAAGGACTTTCTCTCGAGCAAGTCGCAAAGCACGACAATCCCTCTGATTGTTGGGTCATAATTAGCAACAATGTCTACGTGCGTGTCGCCCAGCTCACCGCGCAGCGGCGTAACTAATTTTGAACAGGACGTGACAGATTTTCTGCAGGTGCGTGCCCTCACCGGTGAGGTTTCTTGTTATTGGACCTTCCTAGGAACACCCTGGCGGCGCCAAGATCATTCTCAAGTATGCTGGTCGAGATGCGACGAGTGCATACGTCCCCATCCATCCCCCCGACGCACTGGAAAAGAACCTCCCCCCGTCGAAGCACCTGGGACTTCTGTCGGTCCACGCTGCGAAAACAGTCGCAGACACGCAGATGAATCGCAAGAAGACAAAGGATGAATTGCGCGTCGAAGGAGCGCTGGCTCAGCGTCCACCGTTGAATCGAATCTTGAATTTGACGGACATGGAGGCAAGCCGGTCTGTACTGGCTTGCGTATTCTTACTAATATTTGGGAAGCGAGTTGCACGGAATGTTCTGTCACACAAGGCAGAGGCGTATTACGCTTCTGCTGCAGATGACCACATCAGTACGGGCCCATCGGAACCCAGATCAGAACCTGACGTATTGAACATCCCACAGCATTCGTGGAGAACGCGCGCGCGTTCTCGCGTTTCTTCTTCAATGCCCGGGTCATGAAGCCCGTCGGTACATGTGACCCGTCGACGACTATCCTCGGTTTCAAGTCATCCATTCCGGTGTTCGTGTCGGGTGCGGCGCTGGCGAAGCTGGGTCATCCTTTGGGTACGTGGCTCACATTTCTGCTCCACTACGAATTCATCAGTCTTTAGGCGAGGCCAACATTGCGAAGGGAGCAGGCACAACTTCCATCATTCAAATGGTGTCTTCGAACGCATCCATGTCTCCCGCTGAGATCATGGCCGCCGCCCAGCCATCGCAAACTCTCTTTTTCCAACTGTACAAACACTCGGATGACGCTACTGCCGAAAAGCGTGTGCGAGAAGTCGAAAGACTCGGTTACAAGGCGATCTTCCTGACCGTCGACGCTGTGGTGCCAGGAAATCGAGAGAAAGATTTGCGCAGCCCGTGGATTATGGAGGATCAGGAGAAAGGGTCTCCGACATATTACAAGGAGGGTGTTGTGGACGACGCTCCATTTTCTTTTGGAACTGCCGGCGCACTGATCGTCAACGACGATCGTGACATGACATGGGAGAGAGTGAGCACTTGCAGACCTATGCTGTCTTCTATCCTGATGGTCGCTCGAAGACAATTCCTTGGTTGCGTAAGGTGACCAAATTACCCATCGTGATAAAAGGTGACCCTCCTTCATTGGAGTTGAGATGTCTGAATGCCCTAATTCTTGTTCAGGCATCCAATGTGTTGAGGTTTGTTCAGCAGATTCCATGCACTGACTAGGTCTCAAATTGTACTTCAGGATGCCGTTCTGGCCGCGGATGCCGGTGTCGATGGAATCCTCTTGTCTAACCATGGAGGTCGGTATTGTTGTGTTGTAATTCCACACTTCTCTCGATGCTGAATATGGTTGCAGGCCGTCAGCTGGAATTGTATGTCCTCCGCACCCATCAGCTATCTGTGCTCATGTTCCGCCAAGCTCCTTACCGCCTCTCGAGGTCCTGTATAAGCTGCGGAAGGAGAGGCCCGACGTCTTTTCCAAACTCGAAGGTGCGCTTGACTCTCTATCTGAATGAAATTGTCTGACAAACCCGTTAGTCTACATTGATGGTGGCATCACAAGGGGAACAGAGATAATCAAGGCACTGTGCTTGGGGGCAAAAGCTGTCGGATTGGGACGTCCCTTCCTGTACGCCCAGAGTGTGAGTGCACGATTTGCAGTCTGGCATCACCGATGATTTACTATTGGCAGGCATATGGAGAGGCTGGTGTGGTGAAGATTGTTCAGATACTGGAACGCGAGATCAAGACCACCATGATCGGTCTAGGTGTCAAAAGAGTCAGCGAATTGAGACCGGAGATGGTCGGTTATTCCACTTGCCGCGATCGAGCAGACTTCCTCATTCGTCCACAGATCGAGCGAGTGGATTGGGAACCTCTTCCCCGAGCGAAACTGTAATCGATTTGTCCTGGAGGGAGTTTTAGGGGGATACGCACGGATACCACATTACTTCATCTCACTATCTTGCTCATTTCGAGCTCTCGGATCATCTTCTCAATATATGGAATGTCGATAGGCCCCTCGATCCCAGCCACGGGGTCCCACTGTTTTTGTTCAAAAACAGCCCATTTCCACCTCTTGCGAGGCCGTTGAACAAACGGCACGAGCTTTTTCAGATGCTGCGCACCAAGAATTTGATGAGCTCCTTGTCTAGAGGATAAACTTCCTTCCACTCGTCTAAGAACATTCCCAGACAAAAGATGCGATAGGAGTCCAGCGCATATGCACCAGTGCCCGGCAAGTGGCTGATCGCAGTCGGCTGGTATTTTCGGCGTTTTCGGGGAGAGACGTGGGGAGAGTGTGCTCTGGACGTTCTTTCGTCGTGTATCGACGGTGGGTCTTTCAGGTAGGCACGAGAAAGGTCGACCAAGCGTTTGGTACGAACATTGTACGTGCCTAAAGGCCGCAGCAAATCCACGAGTTCATCTTCAGGAGCTGTAGATGTAAATGAGAGTTTATCGGCCTCATTCCAATCCACAGGGTCCTACCTTGTGACAAGAGCCAAGGCGTCGGCCATCTTGACAAGATCTTATCGAAAACGGGGATCGCAAGCTTGCCTGCGGTCTTATTCAAAAGAGTCACTGCAACGAGAAGCTTCCAGGGGTTTTCTGCACAGGATTCTGGTCCAGATGTTTTCAGTTCCTACTGATCGTTCGTATTAAGGCGACCTTGCCTTGAATGAGCTGAGGTTTCAGTTTCGCAAGCGTCTGCAACGATTCCCCCATGACATTCGCATCGAAGTGGTCTATATTTCTTGGTTTCTTGTGCAGCTTTGAAAAATATGGAGACGTCACGACAGACAAGGAGCGTTTTCTTGGGGGAGTCACAGGCAACATAATCAAAGTGCTATGAAATGGAGGAGCCAGCTGTGACATCGATCAAGGTCCACGTGATCGCGTTGAATCCTCGAGTTGTCCACCCCTTTGACAGTCATTTCGAAGTACACTCGAGATTATGGGTTTTTGCAGACGCTGTGGGAACATCGTTACAGGAGACCGTTGTAGATGTGGTGGACTGGCAGTTGGTGAGTCATCTGCCGTTCGACCGCGCGCAGACATTGATATTTGGCAGCCCCCGTTGTCCCGTGGAATCAGAGCAATCCAAAGGAGAAGACTCAAGATCGATGGTCAAAGACCTATGTTTCGAAGGATAGGTCTCCGAGTCCAACACGGGCGGACTCGCCGACAACTGCCACGACCTCCACCAGTGCCACACCTGCCCCGAGTTCATCGCCCACGAAACGATTTCCTCGGCCGATGTCGCAGTCCTCCCAGAGTCCGCTCAGCAACCGGGTTTCCGCATACATAACAGCGACGACCACCGGACCGCAGTCCTCTCGTCCTCCTTCTCCTCTCAAGTATTCGTCACTGGCCGCAGCGGAATCGGGCATCTTGCCGTCCCTTCACGACAACGGCGCCACACTAGCCAAAGTGTATGGCTCGGTACTGCAACCGAGAGAAACACTGCCCGTGCAAGCATGTGCGCGCTGTGGCTCTCATTTCTCCCCAACAGAGTCCACTATTTATCCGGATCCTAATGACGCCACTGGAGGAACACCGCGGTTCTTATGCCGGAACTGCTTCGTGAATAATGGAGGGTCCAGGGGTCCCTGTGCTGAATGCTCAAGGCCAGTGTTGATCCTCAAGTCGGATGGTGGTTTTGTTCATGCCGGGGACCGATTTTGGCACAAGAAGTGTTTCATGTGCGATGGTGCGTTGTAAGCATGTCTTTGGTGAGTATGTGCTCAAGCCAGTCAGGGTGCGATAAATACATTGGCGACTCACCGATGGTGGATTTGCTTGGTCGTCCGTCCTGTTCAGATTGTTTCGACACCTGTCTGGAGAGAGATTCAACCCCCAAGAAGAAGAAGCGACACAGTACGAGCAGTCCTACTGTCGATCGGAATCTGGGTGGAATGGCCAGCCACTCGAAGAGCAAGAGTCGCGAGGGCAGTCCTGCGCTGGAGGAACTGGAGCAGCGTTTGGGTATAGTGAGGACGAGGGAGGCTAGCCCCGCTTTGGAAGAGCTGTCCCAACGTCTGAGCATGGTTGGCAAAGAATCTCCTGGAAGGAGTCCCCAGCCCTCCAGATACTCTACACCTGGCCGCGAGGACAGTCCGTTTAGGCGCTCACGAACGAAGAGTGACCCTCTCGCTGAATTCAGTCCAAGTCCCAGTCGAAGATACACTGGTCCTCAAATGGATGGGCCCCCTTCGCCTTTAAGATATGCGTCCAAGAGCCCCAGTCCCACCCGCGAAAGCCCTGGCCCGTCTGAAGACGCTATCGCAGAGATGAAACGCAGATTCTCCAACGGCCCAGTCCCGTCGTCGCCTTCAGGCTCTCCTCTTCCCAAACCACGACTGCGGCACGCTCGGTCATCAGGCCGTCTGTCCAGCTCTGCATCATCTGTTCCTGATCTCACATCCGACTCCTCCGATGCGACGTCGTCTGCTGGGCCAGACTCGCCGCCCAGGGGCAGCGGTAGTGTTTATGACGTGGATCCATACAGTGCTGCCAAGGTGTTTACATCTGGATACGGATCCAGGTACACCAGGGAACTGAAAGACGACCACGACATCATTGTGGAGGAGACCAAGAGCCAATTGAACACCCCAGCACATACACCCACTCACACACCCAAATCGACCGTCAAATCCAAGTCCACTCCTAGCAAGAGTCCCATTCCTTTCAACGCCAAGTCTCCGAAGGGACTGTCTGTCACACCGAGCAAGCTAACGAGTTCCTCCAACTGCGTCAAATGTCGCCGGTCTCTATTCTCGGTCGAGGAGGGCGGGCGATATGTCACCGTACCCGACGACGTGACCGGAGAGCCGCTTACTTATCACACTGACTGTTTCGTTTGCGTGGTCTGTAGTCTCCCGTTCAAGGAAGGGGCTGTTGGCCAGGCGCTGTTCGTCAAAGGACCACTCGGCCCTTCGCATGTTCAAGTTTGTGGCCGGAACATTGATGTTGTCGTCTGGCTGATCTCTTCATCAGTGTGCTCCCCCAGAGAAGGTTGCGATCCGTACTGTGCCAACATCCAAGCTCCCTGTCTCCATCTTTTCGTCCCGATCACCTCACAGCTCGCCTCAAAGCAAGACACCCGAGGTCAAGACAGCCTCCATCACCACGTCGGGTAGGTTTGACCGCCCACCTGTGACAGCTCCAGCCAGCACAACCCCATTATCGTTCCCGCGCTTCGGTGCCCCGAATGCTTGCCCTGGGTGTCACGTTGCTGTCTCTGTCATGGAGCGCGGTGTTGTGCAAGGCCCACAAGGATCCCGATGGCACGCATCCTGCCTTGTTTGTGGTGGAAAGAAGCCGCCTAGCAAAGGATGGCTGGGCCGGGATGAACGAAAGAAAGGTGTCCCCGGTTGCGGCAAGAAGTTGGATAGTGCCGCCAAATCCGACATCAAGGGCATGGTTTGGTGCAGAGAATGCTCAGTGAGTGCATCGTGATTGATGCGCGCCCTTCATCTCATCCACGCCCTTAGCTTCTGTTGCCTCTGGAGATGAGAGGTTCACCCCATGGCTCGCCGACAAGGGGCCCCATTGTTCCCTCTAACACCGGCTCAAGCAGCAAGATCACGGCACAGATGACCGGAACCACGACGATCGCCCGGCAATTTACAGGGCACAGCATGCACAGTCTTGACTCTCGCAGCTCAAGCCCTATCAAAGGTCTCACTCATCAGTGGACTGGGCCTTCGCGCAGTATCAGCCCTACCAAAGGTCTCGGCGGAGGCCCGCTGAACCCAACCCGCAGCATCAGTCCCACCAAAGGACAGACGTTGCGCCCCAGGCCGAAAAGTGTCGTTGGCATCCGTAATACTAATATTGTACGCCAAATGACTGGCGGATCCATCCTGTAGAATTTTCTTGGACTATATCATCTGGGATCTGTACTTACTCATGCTGAAACTGAATGCGATGTTTACATCTGTTTCGAGTTTGTTCACTTGCATCGGACTGGACGGCCACAAGCAGACGTTGGTTCCCATCCCGGCTTTTTCTTTTACTTCAAGGTAATTATGGATCTATGGTCTCATGAATCGCATTACCTACCGCCATCGGCATCGGATCTGGTGGCACTATCGACTCTGGAGTTCCCGTCGCCTATCCTTGTTAGCCTCGACGACACACCATCAAGTGGTTACATCCCGATTCTACTCGACGAAGCTTTGTTCGATGAGATTTGGAACGAGTCTGCCTCTGTTCATAGTCTCAGCTCGTTGCCAGAACGAGGATCGTCGCGCAGTTCTGTTGGCACCTTTGGCCCACAGCTTCCTCGGAGCAATACGGCGCTCTCGCTGTCCATCTCGCCTTTGGAAACGTTGTCTCGTTTGGCCGCAAGAACCTCACTCGCAATGTTCAGTGACAAGCTCGCGGCTCTCAATCCCTCGCAAACTACATCCACGGTACTGGACCTTCCGAACTCTCCATCTCGCATCTCTATCTCGCCCACGAGTATCCCCAGCAGTGCTTCACTACCCCCCAGTAGATCTGCCATCCCAATCCGACGCCCAGAGCGCCAACCGTCATCTAGCCCTCGATCGCCGGTTCTGATTCCGCATGTTGGCATGTATGGGGAGATGCGCATTCCTGTGAATCTGCTGTGGCTCAAGGACATCGCGGTTGAACTCCTCCTTGATCAAGAAGGTTTCAGAACTGTGCATCCTGTCTTCAAACTCGCTGGAATCTCCGATTACGTTCGAGGATGGGATCAGCCAGTTGAAGGCGGGTACGCTGTCTTCAGGCCTGTGACTCGTGACGCATATAGGTTCCATTACGCACCGCTAGACGGGAATCCAATGCTTCGAAGACTTACAGTCAACAGCGATGATTCACACGAATATCTGTCGCGTCAGGCAACTCTTACTATCAAGTCAAGTTGCGTCTACACCGTTCAGGGCTGCGAGTCTTGTCATCTTCCGTCGGCGTACTTTGCTGCCAATACGTCGCACTCGGACGGTGCTCCTAAGCTGCGTTGGAAGTTTGAATATCTTGTAGGTGACCGCCTGGATTCGGGGAAACTAATCGACGGCGAGAAAACTCTGGCGCCGCTGACCTTCGTCTGTTCTCCTTGGCTCCTGCATTCCAGCCAGGCGAAGAAGATCAAGCTCATGCGAATTGTGAAGAAGACCGTCGCTTCAAAGTTGGTCGCTGAGAAGGTCGAGCCTCCGACGTGGCCTGTCCCTCCGCTTCCAAGCCCTGTCCTGCGCTCCAATCATCTCTGGCCCCTCCACCGTCGCGTTCACTCTCACTCAGGCGATCAGAAAATGAAAAAGAAACCGGAAACACCACGTGCCGACTACCCCTCGGCCCGACGCGACGGAAATGCCGTTCAGACTCGAAGAAGAAGGGCGTCGTCAGCTGGAGACGAGATGCGCCCCGGAAAGCATATTGTCTCGCCCGCCAAACTCGCTCGATTGCTCGACCAGGAAAATGTGCCTCCTTTGCCTGTAGGGCTTGGTCCAGCACTTCGTCGTTGATAGTTACGGAATCGGAGGATCGATGCAGCGTAATCTACACAATCTAATCTAATCTCCATGACATCACATGGGCTGCGTGTCGTGCTCGGTCAGCACTGTCATTCTGTGCACTGCTTAAACGACGAGGAACACCTTTCCCTTGTTCCATCGACTGCTGCCAGCCAATTATCGCGAAACCTCTCTCGCCATGTCCATTACGCACCTCAATTCTGTCTCTGAGCTCAATAGCCACCTCGCGAAATCAAAAGACAAACTCTCTGTCAGTGGCTAACCGATCGCGCCTTGCGCTGCTCTGAGGCCCTAGCCAGGTGATAGACTTCCATGCCACATGGTGTGGGCCCTGCCATGCCATCGCACCTGTCTACGAGAACCTCTCTCGCCAATACCCCAACGTGAACTTCTTCAAATGCGATGTGGATGCTGCGAAGGACGTGGCGCAGCTC